TAAAAAGTCCAACTGATATTGCATCGCTCTTGACCACTTCACTCATCAAAAATACCCCGTATAATTCGAGCATTCGCTATCTGGAACCACTTCATTTGTCCCTTGAAGGTTCGAGCTATCGGGAGTTCACTGCAATTTGCTCTATTAGACTGTCACTATTTTTATTAGAAATATACTAATAAACAAAGAATATGAATCAAAATGAACAAAGATATCAACAACAAAGTAGCTTTGTCTGTTGGCAACTCTCTGTAGATTGCTGGAATACTCTGCTATAATTAATTTTCTGTGCAAGTTTTACAAAGATTTTTTAAATATTTCCATGGGAAATTATTCAACTCAGTCATTATTCGCCTGATTGACCATGCACTTGATAAGTTCATGCAAATGCAAGAGGGTCTCCTACGAGCAAAGTTAACAGGAAATTTTTTCGACGATGCCCTTGAGATTAGCTTAAAATCATTTCAGAATATTCCTCCGCTGCTGATAGTAAGATAAATAAAGTAAAATCTTGGCGTTACTTTTTTACTACTGAATACCAACAAATTATTTTTACCAAATGAAACAGAATTTAGCGAAGGAAACAGATATTTTTTGGGGGGGATGTCGCACCCCCTACACCCCCGCTAAATCCATCCCTGGGCTTATGATAATGAGAGTTGCAGCAGTGGTCACTAGCTTTGCCCTATTTGCATCCCCTCCTCGACTCTGTTATTTGGTATGGTTTTTATTTCCTCTAGTTGTTTTTCATGTTGTTATTATGGAATTTCCATCGTTAACATGTCACACGTGGCGAGTAATGGCACCTCTTCGGGGACGGATATGCGCCACTCTAACTAACAGTGAATCACGCTTATACTGAGAGGCTAATCGCTCGATAGAGATATCGTACGCCTTTGATGTAAATCCTATTGTTTTATCTTAAAATGCCGGGAAATCTCTGGAAATCCCTTCGCTTTTGTGGGAATCTGTACGCTGTTTGCAATCACTAGCTTAAACAAGGTCTACTAACTTTTGATAAACTTAACGTTGCAATGAGAAAAAACGTCAAACTTAAATTAACTACTTCAATGCCAAAATCTTCGACAGATACAAATTCGCTAGCGGAAAAAAATGATTCTATTTTGATTATATTTTTGGCAATTTTTCTAGCAATTTTTTATCGGTTTTTGGGCCTCTACGGCAGATATTATTGCAAAACGTTTTAAACAATTATTTTTCTTCTAATTTCAGAGTTCGTTAAATACTTTGTGTTTTGTTGTTGCTCTTGCTGTTGACCTATAAATGAAAAACGTTTACTTTAATGAGATACAATTCTTTCTTTAAGCAAAAAGTCGACTGCGTGATTCAAAATTCGGTACATTTAGGCCACCTGGGGTAATAAACAACGGCGTACGTGACTACAACTTCCAATATGCGTGCGCCAACACGTATGACGTAATAACGCGACTGGCCTGCGAAGAATGAGATATATTCAAAGCGATGAAAATAAAATCTAGACCCCCTTAACAATAGAAAGACACAAAAACTTTAATAAATGTCGACTAAGAAAAGTGTTTTGTAGCTTTGGCAGATACTAAAGTGGCTTAGGGCATATGTCGATCAACAACTGACCAATGAACAAGCGTGATCGCTTGCACCCAGGATTTGATTGAATTCCAAACCGAGAATAATTTCAGTGGATTCTGTTGGTTATGACAGTATCTTGGGTGGATATTATATAAATCTCTTTGTAGACGATTTTATCTTTATTTAAAGCGAAATCAAGCAATTAACTTTTTAGATCGAAACTAATGCTTCAACTGTTAAGAACTGTTCTTAAAATTTTAAAGGATGTGCCTCAGCACCCCTCTAGATTCGTACTTGGGTCGGTTGAATTTTAAAAACGGTTTGCAGGCAACAAAAATATGTTAAATTCTTACTCTTAAATTGAATGTCCACTAGGGGAAATCAATGGTTTTGATCGACTTCTACCTTGTTTACCTTTCGCAACATGACTGCATACATTTTCAAATCTGGGACACAATTTTCAAAAATCTAATGATAGGCGCATAATTTGTACTGTCTCAATATCAAACAAAAATATAATTCATACCAATTTTGACCAATTTCCATAACCAAATTTGGCCCTTGAAGTTTCGGATTTTAACTGACAAAATCCGAACAGCAAATCACCTTTTGGTAGGAATTGGTAAATCCTGAGAAATCATTTTGTTTTGTGGAAATCTAGTACTTTCTTAACAAAAGTGAATTGCCTCTCGAATTTACGGTAAGTACTTCAGTCCAAGTAATTTATGTTGCTAAGAGTTTGGGAATTACCTACAGCTGAAGTTTGAGAAGTTTCCGTAAAAACAATGATTTTTCCGAAAATCCATCAAATTTTTAAAGCAGAGGGGGCCACGGCACGGCCCCCTGCCCCCTGGCCACGACACCCCTGGAGATAGCACAATTACTACGCATTCTACGAGGATATTTTAAGCAGCGACTAACCTTCTTGCCAAATTTGCTTATGCAACATTAGCTTATTGAAATCTGCCATCCGAACTTGGTTTCTAATCTGTCTTGGTAATCTGTTTTCATATAATTAGCCCCTCCTTTTCAAAATACTTCCCAGTAGTTGCGGAAATGGTGGGTCACGCAAATGGATATCAACCTTCATTAACATTGACGATAAGAAGCTTTGGGTGATTTGGTTGAATAATATTAGTACAAGCAAATGTTTATATTTAACAACTGCACCACAACCACACCTCGCTGAACCATTTTAAAAGACGGGAGCAATGGTACAGAATTGAAAATATCTCTCCACCTGTTAACTTAACTGACCTGATCTTTTTGTTTAAAATCACAATAACTGTATCAGAAAAACTTAAAATTTTTGCAAACATTGAAATCAAAGGAAATCTTTACAAAGAGCAGATATTGTAAGATATTGTAAATTTTTTTTATGAGAAGTTATTTTTTTTACGTATTCTTAATTACAAGTTGCTCAAAAGTTGATTTATAATGATCATGAGCTATTCTCATTACGCTTTCATGAATCCGGTTTATCCGTATATTACTTTTCCTACTGCAAAACATCAAAATATAAGGACAATGATTAAAATATAATAATATGAACGTTTTCATCAAAAGAACTCAATTTTATTAAAAGGACTCAGTTTCGATACCCCTTAGTACTCGACAGTCCAGAACTTCAATTCTTGGTCCATACCAATATGATGAACGAACGTATGGCATAGCATTTTTTTAGGATTATCAGCTGGTGGGACAACCCTTTGTTTTTATAGAGTGGAAGACAATAACCTATCGTTTTAAACATGGGAGGTCACTGGGGCAGGATGGGCAATTGCACCCTAGTTAGATTGTAATGGAACTTCACCAGAGAAGCATATTGGTGAAACATATTTTAGTGCTATTTTGAGGCATACATATTCGTATAAAGGAAAGGTGGGGGGGGGGGGTAAAGCGCCAAGAAAAAGGATAAATCAATGTAAAAATAAATAAAATTACGAGGACAAGGGGGCAGCTGCCTCCCTGTGCCCCTTACTCTGGCGACACTGCTTGGTAGGCATAATAAAGGCATTATAAAGTATTATGAAGGAACGAAAAAAAGAGGTGTCAATGAAATTGTATCTAGGCAGGGAATAAAGAGGGGTTCAGCAGCTTATTGCTCTTATGGCTTTCCTATCAACTTATCATTAAATTTTGTTATTGCTTTTTACACAACAGAATACAAGCAGGGGGTTGAAATAAAGAAACGTGAAGTTATTGCTATGGTCGTATTGCCCTTTCAACTGCCAACAGTTTGGAAACACAAGAGCAACTTGATATAACTGACAAAAAAGATCAGTAGTAAAAAATGAAAAGTAAAATTGAAACTCGATTCAGTCTGGTAGCCATAAATTCCCTGAGGGCATCGGCATATTAGCCAAGGGGCACCTCTTTCAGACTCCATATCATATGGCATATGCTGTAATATTGTTGCATAAAGTAGTTGATGTCTGAACTATAACTGGGGTAGCATATTCTGGGAATGGGAGGGAATGAGGTAGCATATTCTGGTATAGGCTTGTAATGGGAGAATTTTTATAATAAAGCCCCCGTAAAGCATTTCCGTGTGAGACTTTAAACAAGTTTCTCATCAACTCTTACCCAATTATGATTCACAAAAATAACAGCCTTTTCAAGTAAAATAAGGCACTCAGAACCGATCAACAAACATACTATCAGAATTTATGGCACAATGAAATTTCAGCTAACAGAGATGAAAGAAACCTCATCAATATTTCTTCTAAGAATCGGGTTATCAAGCGCAGGGCCTTAAAACAGCCTATCCTAAGCGTTTTCTAATAGATTATTAAACAAAACACTATGTTTTGCCTTAATTCTGTGGAAACCAAAATGGTTATGGGTTGATTGCAAAATCTTTACTTTTTTATGAAAGTATTTTGGAAATGTTGTTGTTGGTTTTGACGGAAATTCCCTTCGGCATCTGTGGAAAATGTTTGAGAATAGCCTGTAAACTTTTTTGAGGTTAGGATGAAGACAGAAAAATTACAGATCGTTTGTTATGTTGAGTAAAGTAAATAGTGAAATGTAAAATGGGTCTTTCGTCAGCGTTTCAACAACGCTTTCAGGCATGTCAACAAGTATTGTATACAAATTTGCTGTGGAAATGGGAAAATGAGATATAACATCTTGTGTACTCACGTTTGGTAAATTTTATGGGACTATTGCGTAAAAAGGCAATTTTAACACTTGCGTTGGAAATTAAACAGTCGTTAATGAGAACATCATATCAAAGTAGCTGTGTAGTTTATGGGAAAACCAAACATTGAATGCGAAGGGAAAACCATTGCTTAATGCAATTCTAAATCAATAATAGCAAAAGGGCACGCCTCCAGCCAAATAAAGTACTTTATCTCGATACTTGGGCATGGCATCCGATTACGACGACGCCTACCTATTTTACACAATAATCATTGATGTGGTCGTGGTCTTTGTCGCGTTAGCTGAAGTACTCGCGGAATGTGTCACGCTTCGATGCTAATACTACATACAATCGCTAAACACAATTTACGGTCTTGAAAAGGCGCGTACTTAGTACACTGCCACGAGCGTTCTTTCGTCAGACGAAAGTTGTGTAGCCGCGGAACAGATCACTTGCGGACGCGTCTTCAATGGAAGCCCAATAACAGGTCAATCAGATAGCAATGGAAATTTTATATCAAATTTTGAAACAATATCTTATGTTATTAATATTTTATAATTTTATTGGCTATGCTGCACTCAGTATTCCTGTAGAGTACAGTTCGACATTTTCTGCAAGCAACGGCCCAGTATTTCCAGAGCTACGGGCATTTGCCAGCCACAGGGAAAGAAACACTAATTTCAGCGGACATTTCAGTGGAGAACTTTTGACATCCTATGCAAGCAAGCATTTTGACGAGGATGCCCAAGCCTGGGATATATCGAAGCTTTTGTCTTATGAAACTGTGTGGCCAAATGGAAGAAGGATAACGACTAATGTGAAAGTTGACAGCCACTCATTGCCTCATGTGAATGGGAACGACTTTGGACGAATACCGGCTTTCAATTTTACTGTTGCTAAAGAAACTGGAAAAAACCATCGAAGAAAAAGGAACAGTAGGCGGAAGAAACGCATGGTTTACGGCCCTGATGATCGATTTTATATTCCAGTATCAATTTTTGGGAATATGCAACCCTATAGTTCATCAGTTAAAATTTCATCTGGTTGCACGGGGGTAGTCGTATCGCCCCGTCACGTCCTCACTGCAGCCCATTGTGTCCATGACCAGAAGGATTTTGTCGAAGGAATTAAAGATTTGAAGGTTGGCTTTTTGGAATCAGGGTCAAAAACGAATTGGATTGATGTACAAAATCTGCGAATATCTAAAGGCTGGGTGGATGGCGATCGGCTAACAGGGCCGTGTTTTGATTATGCTCTTCTCCGTTTAAAAAGGAAGCACAACCGTCCGTTTCTCAGTCTGTCTGTGAGTCCTGACGGTGATCGAGGTATTGGGGAAAGGATCTATTTCACAAGTTTCGAAGATGACAAACCGCAAAATACAATGTGGTACAGGTAAGATTGTATCAATAGCGAATAAGCTTTTTGATCTCAAGTAATTAAAACTAAAGCAAAAAAGAATCGGGTTGATTAAATTATGTTTGAGTTGATAAAAAAGTTTCCACTGTTTAGTGTTGCCGCAGTCAATAATAGGAAATCCTACTTGATCGGTCCCTAACGTGCGAATTGGAGAGATCTCAGAGGTAAAACTAGAAACACACACCCCCCCCCCCCCTGTAAATAATGTACGGAAGTATTAGTGTGTTGCAGCCTGAAAAAGTCCAGTTTATTGGGAAAATTTATAAATATCTCATTTACTTCTTTGTACCACTTAATAGGGTCATAAGGCCAAGCACGTCATAGCTAAAGGTAAACCCCTATCTATGAGAACGGCGTGTTTGGAAAATTTTCAACAAGTAGTCAGCAGTATTTATTTGTTTCTCCCCAGAAATCGTGCGCATGTTGATCTTAGCTCGCAATCGACGAAAGGTATTTCTTGCTCAAGAGTATAATCTGTTTGTACAGCCTTCCGATATGGAGGATTAAACTTTCAACCCTTGGTTTCAATATAGATGTTTATATTAGTTTTAAGTGGCTCGAGGTTATATCTTTTTTAGGCAGAGACCACAAGGGAGTTTTCACTAATATATACATTATGCAACGTTCAGCGGAATCCAACGTAAAATCACGGGTTGCGTATTTTCATTGTATTTCCACGAATAAGCCACTGCTTTCTGTGTTGAATTACTGCATATGTGCCAAATCATTTTCCGTGCATAAAACGAAACTCATTTCGTATGTTAAGCCAAAATAAAATAGAGAACTATTCTATTCTAGGTCGTTTTTTTACCTTTGTTAAGCACAATTCATTTTAACATATGAAAATAATTTGAGACATTTGGCATTCCGCAACTAGCTGATACAAGGGGCAATTCACTCTTGCAAATAGTGTACGAGATTTTCCCTAAAACAAAAGGATTTCTGGTGATTTCCAGATAAAACAATAGGATTTTCACCAAAGGTGTACGAGATTTGTCGGAGAGATTTGCCCCTCGAGCTTATATAGGTAAAATAAAGTTACTGGAAAGAGGACGTTTGCTCAGAACGAAATTACATAAAGTTTTTTCTGAAATACGTGATGCCTGTTTTTGATCAAACAAAATTAAACAAATCTACGTTGAAACTCGGACCGTTTTCATATTTTACTTGACCCTCAAACAAAGCATGCTTAAGCTCCTAAAGTTAGTTACCTTTTTCTTGAATTGGGACTGGAAAGGAGCGCACCCTTCCCCCGACCCCCTTTCCTAGAGAAGGGAAAAGGAGATCGCTCTTGCTGTTCCGTGGGGAAGCATCCCTGTACTTTGAAGGTCCTCACGAAATATTGTGGCGGCAACCAGCAGAAGATTCAGCCATGATCTTTGGAACTTTTCTGGAGACGGAGGTGGGGTATACCAAATTACCGGGACTGCTTGCACAAAATGGTTTTATCAAACATACAGATCCATTATAATACTGACATATTGACCGCGGGCGAATTGAGCCTTAACAGCCGATTTTGGCAAACCATAAACAAAAACCATTAAATTATAATGTCCTTCGCCTTGAAACTGTCGCAAAACTCCTAAGACAAACGACTACAGGATAGGTTAGACCTAAACCTTAAAGTCTTGTCACGATGGTCAGGCTGGAATCGCTTGTGGATCACGCGTACGAACTGCCAAAGTCACGCGAAACCACAGGTGTAAATGATGATTTCAAGTTTTTTTCTATTATTTTTAAGTTTTTTATTTCTCAAAGGGAATTTATCGTTATAAACACGGGAAAACGGAACTTCCGTCCCGAAGGTTTATGTGAAATTAATCTGAAAGAAGCTCATCCGAAGTCCTCGAGGGCTCCTCTGGATAACACGGTGAATGTACAAAAGGTACAGTCACAGGGTACGTTGCGGTAAGGTTTCCTCCGGAACCGTGCACGGAATCTCTTATGTTCCGTTCGTTTTGACTTATGCGAAAAAATATTGTTATGATCATCATAAGCTCTGCCGAGTAGTGTCATTTTTTGATAACTTCAGAGAATGGTTTTAAACAGAAATAAAAAGAACCCTTTAAAGCCATGTGAGATCAGATTGTACATTGTGGTCATTTAAGGCTTAAATTTTCAAAATGCGGTTTAATTCCACTTTGTATTCAATAAACTATTGTCAGCATAGCTTTAACTTTCTGGAAAAACTCGGGGTAACAACAAAAAAGACGCACGTTCAATGGTTCTAGACACTGTTGTGCAAAGCCAGACACTGTTTCCGTCATGAGAATACAAGAGGATATACTGTCAAAAGAAATTAATATTGGAACGATTTACCTTGACTGTATTTCAAGGTCTGAGTTGACCGCTAATATTTCAATCCTATGCGTATAGGAGGCTTTCGATTGAATATTCGCCGCAAAAATGAGCAACACGATCGCTTCTAGGGCCCCTATAATTTTCATACCTTCCTTTAAAAGTTTGTTTCTGTTATCAAGGGATGGGCATTTCAAAAGACGATCTATTGATCACATTTCCACAGAGCCATGTATCCAGTCGGATTTGAAGGCAATCTGTCTCGTTGTGGATTGGTTAACGAGAACAATAGCTGGAACAATAGCCTAAACACGATTCCTAATCCACAATAGCCTAATCCAGCGCTCCGCCATATTTTTTACAATGCGATAAATTAAAGGGGGACTGGAAACAATAAAAAATCCCTTTTTTCTTATAATCAATCAACGTCGTGACAGATTGCCTTTAATGGAAGATATTCGCATTGAGCACAATAAAACAGTGGCGGTTTGAAGGGGCCCACGTTCCCAGGCCCTGCGCTTTTCATCCTGCAAATGTATTCAACCATGAACGCCGCAGTGCCTAAAACTGCTTCTGTAACAAAGACTGATTTCCATGAGGAAAACGTGCAGCGAAATTGTGGCGAGATCGCTAGTATACTTATCAACCACACGCAGTTTTGATTTTTGATTTCGCAGTGAACTCGAAAGAAAGTAGAAAACGTTTACTTTTTCGCGGCGAAATATTTTGTAGCAACTGATAACCAATCAGGGGCGTGGAAAAAGTTTGGCCATATTTTTGAGTAAATAATCTTTGAAAATTTCCTATGCTTGCAGTTTTGAATTTTGGCGGCAAAAAGTTTTGCCATATCGGAATCAAAATCAAATTTCTCTTCAAAATTCGCCTCGAGGAAATCAGCCTTTGGGTTCGTTTTACACTGGATTACATGCCTTTCTTGTTGTTTCTCTGGGTAAATAGACGTATAGAATCTACATAGAAGAGACACTTAAATTAAATGAACTATTGCCGTTGAATGTGGAAAATTTTTATGACTGCATTGGTCCCATGTTAACCAATAACGCCATTAAAAAGAAACGCAAAAATTTTATACACGGAGAATTTGAACGCTGCGGTTTGGTAACTGTTTAAGTGTTAACCACTGCTCATAAATGTGAGAGGAAACTTACGCTCAGTCTTCACATCAACCACAAAATGCACATGCATGAAGTCTTAGAGAAAAAGGGTAATGCAGCAAATTTCCTTACATTGCCTCTGTATTTTGCTTAGCTTTTATTGTCCTTCATTATCTTTATAAGATAAACTATTAACTTGCTATACACCATTTCAAATTGCGGTCTCACAATGGAAATTCCTCTCAATTTCATTGTACGACTTTTTTAACTCAGCTTAGGATTTACCTCCATCATTTTAGTCTGGATACAGTCTTTAAATTTCTTGCGTTTGTATTGTAGTTTTACAGATAGTATAAATTCGGAAACTTTATAATTTGACCGCAAGTCGCTCGGTCCAATACGTCAGAGAATTTCTAAACTTTATGTTATCATAAAATCGATTCTATAAATATACTAGATTGGGTGCGGTGCATTAACTTGATAACGGGCTGTGTTCGAAACGTCATTATTTATTTAATCAAAATTCTTTCCTGGTACAATTTACTTATTATTCATCGTTATTATAAAATCGATGTCGGAACCACTAGCATAACGAAAACTTACATGTAGACTAATCCGAAGTCAACAATTTAGTAAAAGGAAGCTGGAAGTTTTACAAAAAGAGGCCAAATATTGAGTTGGTGTGTTTCTCGTTGCAAAAAAGATGACTGGCTACCTCCGCTTTCTAATTTTGTAATCTTTTACTATAAAACCAAACGGTACCGTTTCAAAGAGACCACTGAAATCCCTGAGGTAGCCTACGTATGCGCTCTTAACATCTCCATTGCAGTATTCCTTATCAGAGTGAACCATTAATTCGTATTCACTTAGGACTTGGCATTCAAATAATTCCAAATTAAGTTGTAGTATTCTCTAAAGTATGACATCAAGAAGGAAACGTTTGGTTTTAAACATGAGCTAGAATTTTTAGGTCAGAATATATTTTTTACCCCTTTCCTTTTTGCTTCTAGTGTTTTTAACTTCTCAGAAAGTTTTCTCAGAAACGAAGCTAATATCAAACTTCGAAAATCATTATATCAGTTGGTCTCTCCAGAGACGTTCACGTTTATAGAAGGCCAGCGGGGTCCTCGCAAGTATTGTTCAATACAATTCAAGGCATTGAATGATCGGATGAATAGAACAACACAATGTCGGTGAAAATTGTCACGTTTGCGATACTGTTTATTGGTATTGAATCCAAAATGATGCCTTTGTTCAGTACAACTGCTAGTACTTGTCATGCCGTGCTAATATCTACCTGAGGCAAAAGACGTTTTGAATAACAGTGTTCTTGCTTTGAAAGAGTTATAGATTACTGAAATTATTCATTGAAGTCAAGCGAAGATATGAAGCAAGGAATGCATATGGATAGCATTAAAGGCTTAACCTGATCGCTGTAAGTCAGTCAAGCTGATGTGCAATGGATCTCTCAATAGGTCTCAGTGTAAGAAGAATTAGTGAGACTTTCCTGATCCTTAAATGCGTACAGTAAATGTCACATCCTAATGGTGATGGGATTTGATATAATTAATCCGATAATCGAACTTTCTTAGCAGTTTCAAGGGGGTTTTCTTGTGTCAGCAGACTAAAGACTTATGTTTTGAGACAAGCATTGCTGAATGAACAAAAGAATACCAAAATTTATAAGGAAGGAGCAACAAATTATTGTTGTTGAAACAAATGTAATTTAGATTCTCAATGTCCGTAGAGAATGTCGCCTGAAACATAATTCATTTGTCCCCCAAAGCCTGGCACAGCGAAAAAACAAGTGACAAATTTGGAGAATGGACAGACAAGACAAGAAATTGAAAGAACCTTTAGGTGTTGGCCTGCTAGGGGGTTGGAGGGGGTGGAGGAGAACTTTAGTCGATCGGTTCAAGACATGTAGTGTTGCCCCTAGCACTTCAATGAAAGGGTGTCATACTTAAGAAGGAGGAGGGCTATGCTATAGGGAACACCCTAGAAGCTACACAAAACACCACGCCCCTGTTACCTGCATTTGTGTTAAAGATACTCTGTTGTGTATATGAAATGATTCAAAATATTCACCGATTTCAAATGGCTAATAGAATTTGTTCATTAATGGGAAATCAATAGCAAAAGTAAAGGTCAATTCACATTGCCAAGTCAGGAGCCGCTAACCACATCTAGACGCTAAGGCTTCTTGCAGCTGCAGAAATAAGTGGCTGAAAGCAAATGAAGGCCGACTGTTTGATCTCAAAAACGCCCATTCCCTTTACTAGGAAAAAGAAAGATTTCATAATCTTGACGCGTTGGAGCTTCTTACACGGTGCTACAAATTCAATACCGCATACCCCAAGTAAGGGAACCAGTACGTCCTTTTCCTACATAACACCACCATAAATCATTTATTAAAAGGTGCAAATCCACATTTCACGTTTCGCTACAGCAAACAATGAACATTTACGACCTAGGATTCTTAACAATTAACTAGGATTATTTCGTGTATTTCGCCAAAGGCAACTAATACTGTAGGCCCAAATTTCTGTGACTATTCTTTGCAGGCATTGAATTGGTTTTTGACGTCATAATAGCTATCCGAAATTCAAACAAAATCGGACGTTTTATTCCAAGATGAAGATTTCCATTCTGAAATCAAATAAAAATAATCGGTTTAGATGGAAACTCCTTCGAATTTTTGCCTAATCAAATGAAGACTAATCTTAAACCAGTTATGTTTCTTAGTTGAAAGAGTCAGTGGGCTGGCTTTAGCCTGCTCCTTCGTGTGGCAAAAAATAAGACTATACAAAAAGCCCAAAGGCATAGGTGTCACTTGTCCATGGCTATGCTTAAATAATTTGCACACTGAATTGCAAAGAGGACCATTATTGCCTAGGATAAGTTATTCATTTGTAGCTCAGAAATTCTGAAAGTTGCAAAAGCTCTTTCTGTTTCAATTGAAGAAATTCAGCGGCCTTGTAGGCGAAGATTAAAGTAAGAAAAACACTGATTATTCATGTGCTCGTTGATAGAAAAGAAGTGGTGATTGGAAAAAAGTTCAACAAGAACACCCATGATGCACCATTATTTAGGCCACAAGTATTTTGGGTATTTGTGCTGCATCAGACTGCATATGTGCATTACTATTTTAGGTTTTCCTCTTTCAATTATCAAAATCCTTTGCAGGCAGTAAAAACTTTGTAAAATAGCTGTTATCCAATGGGCTTTATAGAAATATTCTGAATCGAAACGAGGTACATTCGTTCTAAGGACTCAAGGACTTGGCATCAAATTTCCATCCGTATAGGACGAAGGGGCAATACATTATACGATAAAATGCCTAGTGGAAAATAATAAGACAAAAAAAACGTTTAACCGCAAGTTATAATTCCAGAGCTTATCGAGTTGAATGCAGTGGAAAGTCAACTTTTGGTGAAGATAGGCCAACAATGGACAACTAAACGCATTAATTATTAGGCATTGAGACTCTGGTTAGGCCGTCTTAGTCATAGCGTGCTTTTTGCAACTCAACAAAGATCCATTTAGCTTTATCGCTTCTATCTTGTTGGATTGTTTTCATAACTAAACAGTTATGATCCTTGTTGTAAATAATCTGAAAACCTTTTCATTATAAGATGTCTTTGTATTCCGAAGGCCTGTGAATTTAGAAACGCCAGCGGTTATCACCGACCGAAACGAAGATCATTCTTTTCGTTGTCTGAGGCTGCTAAACCACGTCAAAAAGTTTGAGATTACAACGTCAAGATCTTCTCAGATGCGAAATAAGTACCGAACTAGAGTTGTTAAGAATTCGATGAAAGAATCAGAATCGTAGAAAAGATAGCGTATTATCATCACTCAAAGGGATTTTCCTCTCTAATGCTCTAATTTCCAAAGGCTTAAGGCTTAAATGGTGAAAGCTGTTTAGAAAGTAAATAAGATATTAACGAAACTGATCTTAAAGGCCTTGATGATGTACATAAAAGCTGCCCATGAAAGCGTGGGAAATCAGAACTATTCAAGAAACTTTGCTCTGCAAATGAGCGGTAGGTTTTGTTACAAATCCAATACACAAAATAGAGGAACGTTTCCTCTACCGGAAAGCCATCGCATGCATGTCCTAATGAATCAAACCGAATGGCTCATTTTCTAGAATCTTTCTTGACAGGAGGTTATAATTCATGATAAGGAAGTCTTAACAATATCAACTCTCCAAATGAAATATCTATACCTTTTGACTATACCTTTTGACTCTAGAAACCCTGGTGTAATAGAAATTTCAAAGTAGCCGAAAAAACAATAATTTCTTGTCTTGTTTTTATTGACTTGATAGTGGCTGTTGAGGCCACGGATAAGACCATTCCTTGCATATAAAACAGTCATTGAAAACGGCGAATTTCCCCATGCGCGGTATTGATACACTAAAAAAGTTCTTCCCGTTCCGGCGTTCTTTAAAAAGTCCTCGTCTCTTTTGTGCGTCAGAAACATAGCATGGCGGTAGTGTCACTGAGATATTAAGAATTTGGAACAGTTGAGGGCAAGTACATGAGCTTATTACCTACCAAAATTCTAAAAAAATCAAGCGCAAAGTTACAAGGAGAAGGACAGGGCCTTTGATCTTGCGTATTTAAGAATGTTGTTACCAGTATCTAACTTCTGGGAGTAGAAAAATTCTGCCGCCTTGCATCCGGCAGATGCATTCGCCCCAGTTGCCACTTAATAGTTCCTTAAATGATTGCCTCTCCCCGTCGATTGCCCAGTTTGGACAGCAAGGAAAGGGTGTCGCTCGATTACATTTTCATTTTCCTACTGACCTAACTAACCTATTCTTCCATTTATTTAAAACAGGTCTTGCAGTATTGAAGCGGACGACAGTCACTTCATGTACCATTACTGTGACGCTTGGAAGGGTTCGTCTGGGTCTGGTGTTTATGCATGGCAATTCAACAAAGGAACTGAAAAATGGGGAAGGCAGCTGATTGGCATATTTACAGGAAATCGGTGGCTGGCTGAAGACGACTGGTTTTTAACTGCGAAGAATTTCAATGCTGCTGTTAAGATAACACCTTCGAAATACGTCCAACTGTGCAAATGGATGGGTAAATATGGAAAGAAACTTTGTAATCATTCAGAAGGTGGTAAGCTTAATCCCAGGTCGTACTACTAGGATTTTATCTCGCTGCTAATTTACAGACCAGAATGGCTAGAGTCGTATTTTCACAAAAAGATTTAAGGAATGTCGCGATTCTTTAAATGCCTACTGTCTAAACAAGGTCTAGAAAAATGAACTTTCCTTGGCTTAAGAGATAAATATTGGTACCTATCCTCAAAAAACAAGGTAGAAAGGGGACATTATTAAAATGCTTCACATTTCACTTATTTCCGTGACGTATCACATATAAAATGGCGGGCTACCGCATTTTATAGCGTTGGGAAGGCACCTCTCTCGTTGCTGTATCGCGCAGTTTGGCGTGATTGCTTACTTGAAGCTAGTTGGACATAAACCTTTCAAAAACCCTTGGTATTTCCTCATATGTCAAGGGAAGACTGCTTCCGACGCAATATTTGACAGTATTATTAGCGTAAGCCTTCCTAATGCAAGTGTATAGCCTTTGAATTTTTTTAATGCAGATTTAATTGTGAATATTATGCCAATCTTTAAAACGAATTTAGGTTTTAGGGCCACAGCTGTCGTAGGTACAATCATGTATTCATGATGTTAGTATAAATGGTTCAGTATTTTATAGGTAGACAAGTACAGAACTGAGAAATAGTATGGGGTTTGTTGATAGATGAATCACATTAGTCCAAAACCACTGATCTTTTACTCAAAATTGGTTTTTCTCTGCTTTAGTTTCGGTATTTCTGGAATTTGCTTAAGCCTTTCTCCAAATGAAATCTGTTGGTAAAATATGCGCACTGTGGGGGTAAAACCGAGCCGCGAAGGGGAAATCAACCAAGCAGTAAGGACTTCTGCAGTGCGGATTTATTAAAAGATGGACTTACAGTTCTTCGAAGATCAGTATAATCGCTATCAAAGAATATAGTTTGTAGGATCTTAAAGCATAAAGCAATAGACTTTATGAGATGAAAGCTTAGTAGTATGACAAGGAAGGGGATTTAATTGGGAAAAATTGGCCCTAAGTTCAGCATGTTATGAGACACAGTTCAGCACACTGCAGGACCTCCCTTTTCCTCCTCCCTTCTTTAGTCTGGGTAAATCTTCCAGCCTGTTCCGAGAGCACTTGTAAAATTTAAGAATAAAAAACTGCAAGTATGAAATACAACAAAAGTACAGAAAACGTAAATTTTCTGTAAATACGGAGAACAACTCATAGGTTTTTTATCTTTAAATAATTTTTATCGACGTCGCAATGACATCAATACCTTTGTTTGGAAAGGGGTTTTGTCTAGAATGTAAAAGTAGCTGTATTTTACATGAATTAAACTTGTATTATTAATGATACAGATATATTTATTGCAAAAATCAGAGATATGTAACCAGTGGAATGAATTCGACAGAAAGCAAATGATTTGCTACGAATGAGTTGTTTTTGTATTGTATCTCTTGTTATGGGTTAAAAATGAGTATAATTACCAAAGATACTCAACATTATTGTCGTAAAAAATTGCATTCAACTTCAAAAACATTTCTGTGCAATAAACACAAATTGAGAGTATAGATAATTTAACTTAGACGCTCTAGAAAATTGCCATTTATTGCTGAAAACAAGCGGACACAACCTACTTGCTTCGGAACCGATAAAATATTTGGTGGCAAGTCCTTTGAGAAATAAAGTTCTAGAGGATTTTCTGCAATTCTCTAAAACGCCCGTTGATGAACTATCGGCAAAATATTTAGCAGTATCATCCGTGATTTACTAAGATTCAATTGTGTTGACAATATCAACTGAATTGGTTTGTTTACAAGGAAAAATGAAAAAGGGTCTATTTTGACTTAGGCCACTGGGGTGAAAATATAAGCTTTCCATTCACTTCTGGGGCAAACAGATCTAAACAAATGGCCGCCCAGTCTGTACGTTAAAATACCCTGCCATCATGGAACTTGGAAAACTGTTTATAAAAACTTTTTACTGTAAATATGCATTGTAGAACGTATTTCACATGATGAGGGCACTGATGAGGGCTTCAAAAGTCCAGATATGTATCTGCTACTTGACGATACTCTTGTATTGTATTGTCCAGTTGTTTTTAAGCAATATAGGTTCTTTGCAAAATAATGCATTAAAATCTTTTTTCTAGATTTCATTTTTCGGTTTCATTCCAATTGCTTTTTGTAATTCGCTGAGAAATTGTGTCATTTCAAACCATGTTAAAAAGAGAAACAGCGGAAAAGAGCACAATTTTAAATATATAAGTATATACGAAAGTGCATTTTTATGCATTAAAAATTAGTGTATTGTCTTTTACCACTTACTCGACAACTTAAGCTAAAATAGCTACAATGTTATTCTTACTTGTTCTTTCCATCCAATTCTGCATACAGACCTTTTATTTCCTCGGCGTACCTTTCTTCCACTTTCTTTCTTTTAACTTTCATAGTCGGCGTCAGCAGATCATTTTCAATGGAAAAAGGCTCCGCAAGTAAATACACGGCTTTAACCTGGAAAATAATGACAAATATGTATTAAGCCGGTTGGCATTACGATAGCAAGCAAAAAGCGAAGCTGTAAGCTGAAAATACGAAATTATTGACTAATTAGTGGGTCAATAGGCACCCAGCCTAATATGAATCTACGTCTTTTATGTAAAATAAATATATAATTCCAAAGCCAGAGGGTAGTCCTACGGTATCCATTGAGACTTGTTACTCAGAGGGTACTGATTACCAGGGTTAAGATATAAGAAGTGGATACATTTTTCGAAATGGCTGTAAAGGAAGTGAATTTCATTAACGTAGAATTCAAGATAGGTAGATCACGTATAGTAATTTACATCAGAAACTAAAAGCTAGGTGTGCAGGGCGAAAACAAAACTTGTAAGGTGTGTCAGTGGATACAAGTTTTTGGAATGGGAAATGAAAGGCTTTTGCGCAACATAACGTACTGCATGAAAATATAAAACAGAATCAGTTTCTCAAGACAGCTGCCGCTAGGCATGCCGGTTACGTAAGAAAAACTTCGACACAGGAGGCTGAAAATTTTGTCAAGACAACAGTTTCTCTTAATCTTCAGCTTTTCGTCTGAGCCTGGCTTTTTCTCGCAACTGCAACGAATGTTCCTACCAGAAATGACGTCATCGATTTAAATTGCGGATGTGGATATGATGCAAAATTTTTTAAGTCAAAGGACCTTCCATCAAATGCTGGTTTATCTCCCCAGCAAATATGGCATAAAGATCGGCAGCTAGTTATTCAGGATTAGCCACATTCATTTAAAAATATCCACAAAGACCACCTAAAAGTCTACGGTTAGCTCTTATTAAAGTTAGACATTTTTAAGGAGATCTGTCACACCTCAAACCAAACTCAGACGAACCCCCATACTTCAAATGCAGTTCCCTGACTTTTCTGAATAGAAGCATTTGTATTTGCATCGTTTGATGCTAGCTTTCACAACAGTGATCCTACACTGGACACATCTTAAATCTACACTAACTCAAACTCAGATAAGCAATTTAAACGATTTCATAAGGCAGATTACTTACAACAGAAAGAACCATTGCATTTGTTTTTAAGGAACCAATTGTGTAGTATTTCGTGCTGTCTTTAGTGATATTGGGCGTGAATTCAAGACTTTAGGCCCTTGAAAATTAATGATCTTATACCATTGTTGGTAGTTCTGACTTTTGGAAGGTCAAGAAGGTTCTTTGAGCCAAAAACTGTTACATGCGATTTCAGGTCCAAATAGTAGTCTCTGTTTATGCTTATGTCTAGATGGTTAGCCTTGTTACATCAGTTGTTCTCTTTATTTTCTGCTTTATGTTCTCTTTTGAAATATGACGAAGTGAATAAATAGGATTAAAGTATGTTATGGCTATGTAAGAGAAGAATTCTTACACAACCGAGGATAGACTGGGGTTGCAAATGACCTCCCTATATGAGAAACCCCCCTACAATGTACACCACAGCGGATACCTTCCCAGAGCGACCACTTTGCAACAACAGACACCTCCCTACATTGGACACATCGCCACAAAAATACACCTCTCTACAGCAGGATCCTGCCAACGAATACCGCCATACAACGGACACTTCCGTCAACGAACACCTCCGTACAACGGACACCTGCGTCAACGAATACCTCCATACAACGGACACCTCCGTACAACGGACATCTCCGTACAACGGACATCTCCGTACAACGGACACCTCCGTACAACGGACACCTCCGTATAACCAGAAACTCCCTACAACAGACGAAAGGACATCTCTCTTCACCATACGGCGACTTTGGTCCCGCAGTTGTCGTCTATAAAGGAGTTGCACTGTGTTCAAGTATTTGTTCGAGATGGGAACTAGTCTCAAGTTAGCAGCAACAAAGATACTAGACTCTAAATGTTCTTCCTTCGCAGTTCAAATGTTTGTCAATCAATATTTGGGCATAAAATTCACATTAACCACCAGCACAACCTTACATCACAAGGTTACAATCAATTGGCGTTCCAAGGTATGACAACAATGTTACAAGCACAGACCTAATCATACATGCAATTAGTTTTCGCTGCTCTTAAACTTACTTCTCTAAATCGGCAAAGTTACCAAAACCTCCCCGTATCACACACCGTATCTATCGTCTAAGGCCCAAAGAGGCTTAAGCATTACATCCTTTGTAACAACGAATTACTGTTTGGATAAAGACAGCTGAAATCCCATTTAATCTCCATTTTATCCCTGCCTTCACTGTCTACATATGACTTAATACACAATGGTGGTTGTTACATTTCGCATATACATAATTGATTTACTTGAAGAGATTGACGCAAAAATTTTGTAGCAATAAATATTTCGATGAGCATGTATAAATATTAGCAAAATATTTGAAACGTTTAAAAAAAGCTGCACTTAATTTAGTTGCGAATCTCTTAATTGCTTCTAATGGTTAATAGTGATTTCGTGTTCATTGAAGGACCAATTGAAAAACAGCTTATGCTGGAAAGCGACCATTCACAAGGTAAAGCCACAAAGCAACATAAAGAGGTTATTGCTGCTCCAGAATGTGACTGTTGGAGTTCCAATTCTATACTTTCAAATCCCCCTCTCTATGTTATATCTGTTAATGTGAAAGGCTTTATTCTCTGTTGCCCTTCTCAGTTTTGAAAAAAGGCCTTATTTATTCGTTTCGCTGTGATTTATTATTGTATAAATGACAACTGCACTTGGCTTAGAGTTTGAATCATCCAGCGACCAATAGCAGCGTTACGGGGGAGCTACGTCTCTCGGCGGGATTTTTTTTAATTCGTCTAAATTCGACCAGAAAATGTTGGAGGAGGGCTTATATATTGGCAACGTACTTTTGTGATGTCATCCTATGATTAAGAAACTGCCTTTACGGAACTAAAAGTTAGTCATGGGCGTTTCCTTCTGGTAAAATTAGCGTTCCCTGTTGGTAAAAGGACATTTCCTTGCGGTAAAAAGGACATTGTCTAAAGATTTTTGTTTTCTCTTGCCCTGCCGTTGCCAGCCACTTTCAAACCAATAGCTCCATTTACACCCCTACATTAGCGTGCTCTGTACTGATATCTATCAAGTCAACGCCGAATCGAGATCTTAACCCCATGTCCACAGCAACCTGTAACCTTTAACGACTGTGATACATATAGGTTTAGCTTCATTAGGTTGTATGCTCAGATAATCATGACACAAACTTTCTCCAGCTCTTAGCGAGTCTCTTTAATGATCGAGTCTTGTCAATGATTCATTCGAAGGTCTACATAAAAAAGTATAGCAACATAACTAAACTAACATAGCAAGGCGGTTTATCAGTGAATGTTTTGAGCCTATGATACGATACAAATTAACACCACACAGGAGGGGACGTACACGCTAGGTGCTTCAAAATGCTCCTAAATCAAACGGCTGACCTACAAAGACCCTAACCATAAAACTCAACCAAGCCAATTATTCCAACCAAAAACTATATTGCAAACTTATTTACTGGCACAGCCTCTCAATTCTTTGGGACAGACTCACTGGAGCAGTGACAAGTAACACATTTGTCATTGGCAAACAACAAATGCAGCACTGTCACTACAATTCTATCAAACAATTCATAACTGTTGACTCTTTGCTTAACAAATGAAATTGCTTGTTCCACGGTTGATCAATGAGACGCAACTCTATATAGTGGTGTCTTGATGGATAATTTAGAGGCTAGTGGAAAACCGTTTATCCGGAAACCAAATCCAGTAAGGTCATTAGATCGGAACCTTGAGGAAAGCAGTAGCCACGGACAGAAGCAACCAGAGTCTTGTTCATTGAATTACGACATATTCCATTGATATCTATCGTGCACAGTGACGTTTTCAATGGAATTGTATATTGAAATCATCAACATTTAACTTTGCAAAATTACATGACTGAGTTGGTTATAATGTTACAGTTTCTTGAAATTCTGTAAAATGAATTGGGGAAAAATTTGACCCGGAAAATTTATTCTTTGGTTAGTTTAGACGGGGATATATGGCTAGGATCTAGGAGGATTTAGTCAAATTCTTTTTCGAATTAAACATAAACATTTCCCACAAAAGCTGGCTGACATGCTCTGCTGTGGTCTTATTAGTGGAAAAGTTGCGCTATTAAAAGTATGAGGACCTTCTTGGCACTTGGTCAAGAGAGGGCACAAACCCCGAATCACGCGGTTCTGAATCGAAGGCTTAACCAACTGAGCTAAATTTTGATCAGACATATTTGTAATTTGATTATTAACTAAATTTATTAAATTCACTAAATTTATCAAATTTAATTAAATAACAGCTGATTATTATTTCAGACAATTCACACACACGAAAGCAAAGACCACATTTGTTGGTTCAGTGAAAAGAGCCTGACATCCCTGAAAACTCCCTGAAAAATCCCTGAAAATCTTGAAATATCTAAACCATGCCCCACTATCTAAACCACGCCCAACTTTCTTTTTCCAAAAGAAGTTTCTACAAGTGTTGCTGGTAATTAAAATCATTCATTTTTTTAAAGTTTCTATGACTGCGGTAATCAGCGAAAATCAATAAATAAGAGCCTTTTATAGCCAAGAGAAAGAATTGGAAATGAAAAATGAATTCCTTGAAAACATTTGGTTCCTTTTTTTCAAGATTTGAGCCTAATTACTACCCAAGTAGGTAGACTCTAACAGACTGACAGCCTTCGGTTTAATTTTTGCCGACGGAAAACTGACATGTTAATTTGCGGGTAAACGTTGGATCCAAGAAGAAACATTACTGGTTAATTAAAAAAAAATTAATCTATTTGAGGATGGCAAATGTCAACGAATGACACAAATGGATAAAGGAATCAAAAGGACTAAAAGTAAACAAACTACTTATTTGGCCACATGCAAAATTATGCAATTATACATATGGATGAAATACCATTTTTAGTGTACCTTTGAGCAGTTAATACTTGAAATGAATGAAAACAGCATAAATTGCAAAATAGCTCGAAAAAGCAGAAAAATAACCTACAATACTTAGATAAGTTAGTGGTCGGTATCAGTGGCTTAATGCAACGTACTCATTCATTCAATATAATTTTATCTCAAACATGTTAATTTTTCATCGCTAAGAGCATAATAAAGGAAAAAGGACCAATCAAAGCTTATCATAACAACGACCACTTGACACAAAGACTTCAACTTATCAAGTTCCAGCAGACATTACTGAATCGCCTCCTAATACTTTAAGTTGCATTGCGGAATCATGATTGAAAAGATAATGGCAGATTGCTACTGTTTCAGATGATAAAGTACATTTATCTAGCTTATCTTCGGCCCGTCTAGCGATCAGGCATTCAACAGAAAATTTCTGGGCGATTGTAATGCCATTTGTGGAGATAACGGGGAGCCAAAGCGATCAAAAAAACTGTTAGCAAAAGGAAATCGGGTGCCAATGGAACAGAGTTGTGACTGAGGCTGCGTTTACACGATACCGGATTACTCACACATCGGATTGCTTTTCATATCGGATAGGGGTCCCGTTTACACGGCCCCGCATTAATCCGATACGTCCCGTACCACTTTTGCGGAGTGAAATCACTCCGCTATGAAACTGGTATGAAAAGTGATCCGATACGTCCCGTACCACATTCCATCTCGTGTAAACGGGTGAATCCGATACGCTTTCACTCCGGAACCTCGTTCTGAATCTCAAGGAAAGTTCTCATCAACGGATTCTACATCTTTACCCTTCGGGTAACGTTCGCCAAACAACTATTTTATCTTGTCATCATTCGATATTATATCTTTTCAAACCCTTCCCTCGAAAAGGCATTCGCTGGCATATGCCTTTACCGATTCAGGCTGCAATTCGACTTCTGCCTCCCCCTTCTGCTTACATTTTCTTCTTCTATGCCACTGGCCAGCACTCATATTCTATACTAAAGTGATAATTTTTTCCCGAGACCTTCGTCTCCTCAGTAGATTAACGAAATAACCAGAATTTTACATTGCTAAAATCGAAACAAGTATCCTGCACAATGAATAGCGGAGCGTTGTCGTGTAAACAGGTTGAAAACAGTATAAAAAGCAATCTGGTATCGTGTAAACGCAGTCTTAACGGTATGCTTTTAATATCGGATAGCTGAGATCAATCCGATATGAAAAGCAATCCGGTATCGTGTAAACACAGCCTGAAGCAATACATCGCGCAACATACTATTTATTTGCATTGCACCTCAAGTAACTATATAAAAAGGTACTTTCACGGAAATTAACCAAAGAGCACTAAAAAATGCTTTTTAAAGACAAGTTCAGAATCAGTAAAGGTTCTTCAAAATACGGTCAAGGTTCTTCAAATGCCTCCCTTTTGAAAAGCCTCGTTTCGATTTCGATGGTTCGGTTCATTAGCACTCCAATATCAATAACAACAATTCTATATCTTCTGGTTAACGGCTCAACAATCAGGGTTAGCAAAACCACTGCAAACTGTTTACTTCGTTTAATGCACCTTTAACGCTATTATATTTCATTGTATGTCTCTACTATAAAAATCGAAAGGTACCTAGAAGGTAGTGGTGTCAAGCTGGCATTATATTCAAAGGAAGGCCTCAAATCCAACAGCAAAGATATTCGCTAGCACCTTACGTACCTCAGTCGCAATTGTGATAAGATATATAATACATTGCATACAGATAAGTTGTGTATACAGGCCCGTCGGAACTGGGGGGGGGGGGCTGGAGCCCCAAACAATTGTCACAAATTGTAGTATGTTTCCTTTATAACAGTGTACTGAATGAGAGGGGAAACAATGTACAGCCCCCCCCCCCCAAATATGAATTTCGTTCCGACGGCACTGGTATATGTGCAAACAGACTTGTTGAGAGATCTGACCGTTACCTAGCTCACACCACCTCAATGCTTGTTCAGGATAAGGTGTGCAGGATTTGTGACACAACAGACTACACAACACAGTTCATGGCAAGTACACAGGACAAGACGGTGCAGACATTGGGGTTTTCTCAACATTTTCACTAGCAGTTCCGTGCTCAAATGTTATCCAACGATGGGATTATCTATGATTTCTTTTCTTGCTACATGTTCTTGAAAATTTTCATTAACTACATCTTAAAGTCTTTTTAGGCTGCCAATGAAAGCATCGTTTAAATTTCTATTAATAAGGAGACTATAATATTAATGAGTATTATAATTGATTAAGATCGCCTTACCGCTGCTACTGAACCTTATTCATAAACAAAACTTTTGAGGCTTCAAGAGTGGCTCAGGGGGCTGTTGATACTGAAAATTTGTCAATTTATACTTTTCTTTTGCTTTAGCAACATTTTGTGCAAGAACTCTTTCTTGATTTTTTTTAATAGAACTACACCGCTGCTTCCAAACAAACTTTTTACGCTGTCTTAAGTCAATTGTTAAAGAGCAAACATAGCGTCCAAATGTTCGGTTTACTTTGTTAATTTTCATTGAATGTCTAAATCGGGTCAAAAATTGTAACTTGGTCGTTGATTGACAAACAATCAATCTTTTTTTAAATTCATCATGGGTCATCATATAAATCTGTAAACATAGAATATGTAAATATATCAGGTCTTTTATAATAAATACAATCTATCGTGCTATAGTCCAACTTGGACTGTGCAAGATGTGAATAATGTGCTGCAGCCAGAAATCTTGTATGAAGTTAATTTGTCTCTAAAATTATCTCTAAACCAGTCACTGGATGTTGTATATCTCTGCATATAGACTCGATATTAACATTTTGTGAAATGGAGTTGAATCATTTTTGTGTCTATTTTCTTGAACATAAACGGCTTGTTACTTAGAAAAATTACATTGTGGGTCAAATGACCATGTCTGGGTCCACTGTGAGAAGGTCAGTCAAACAAAGGAACATTGACATAAAACGTAGACTAATGCGAAAATTGTCTTTTAATTGCAAAATGTGTTGCTGCTTGAATATAGCAGGCTCAACTACCCCTGTTAGCCCCTATAGATCTTCAAAACTAAATGATTCACAAGCCATCCATTTGCACGTTGGTTTATAAAAAAAATGGTTCTTCACCCAATAATGATAAACAAGTCATAATTTGCTGTGGGAAGATCACCCTGATCGTGCCGCAAAACAACTGTAAACAGTCAGCTGGACTTTGCAACGTCACTCCTATTGCGGAACCCTTTGCGGTTGCGAGGATCACGAACAAGAATCTCAAGTATGAAGCAACCAACATAAGATTGTCGATTAAGCATTTGAGTCGCGACGTTGTGAATGATCAGCAAGCTACACATGTTTGTTTTTTCTTATCCACTATCAAATGCAATAATCAAATTTGCGATTAGCTGTAAACTTTAGGTGTGCCATAAGCTATGACATTAAACCCCCAAAAAGCGAAGCGACAACTCTCTAGCACAATACCTTTTATGTTTGATTGAAAGAGAATGTCGAAGAGGTCAATGTAGATATGAAGTAACAGTGGGGTAGCTTTTTAAAAGTGGACTAAGTGTTGGTTCTTGCAGCCTCTTAAGAAGGTAGAGTTGAATTTGGAAGAGACTTGTTTTCCATGTCCATCGGGTTTCGACTAACAACAGTGAAGAATTTCATAGCAACTTGCAACTAGGAAATTTTAAACTGAGTAAAGCAGATTCATATTTTCTTTGTTTTATATTCTAAGACTGTTTTCTTTTATATTCGATGTCATTTGAACACAGTAAGCCGCCTTGCAAAGAAGAGCAAAAAATGTTGAAGCAAAAAGCCTTACCTGTTCTAGAGAATTCAGTCCGCCAGCAGAGCCAATCTCCCTCATGCTTGCCAATACAGCCTCTTTTGCTGTCTATTAAGAAATAAATATTATTGTTATTGCTAAAAAGCATATTGTGCAAGCAGCCATAATTACTTTTCAAAAAACTTGACGCTCCTAAATTTCGATAATATAGATTTAACATCCCAATAAATACAGGTTTGTTCAAGAAAATGTAGCAAGCGAACGCTGAGTTTATATGAGCCAGGGCAAAAACTAGATGTATTTGCAGGTTAATTGCTATTTCTCGATATATTTAATACATATAAGAATCGATAACAGAAAACTCAAGTAGGAAGATCTATCTGGCAAGATTCCTTGCAAACCTAACGTTATTTAACAAAAATAAAACCTTAAAAATAGTCTGAGGGGTTACCGTTCATCAGAAAAAATTATCATCATTATCGAAAGGACTTCTCTTCCTCCCACATCTTGCAAAAATCCTTACTATAGATATGTTAAACTTCAGTTTAATTTCTAGACTTTGGTCTTATCTTAATCAAATTAGGTATACCTGGATGCAAAAACTACTATAAAACTGATAATGCTGGCGCCTATATGACTGATATCAGTTACATTGAAATAAAACGGAGTGAAAAATTATCGATTTCTTAGGCTAGGCGCTCACTAGCGATAAAAGCACAAACGCAAGCACAAACGCAACCTGTGCACCAAAGAAGACGGGCTTGACACAAGCATAAGCACAATAATATGAAAACCGTTCGTTCTTCTTACGCATGTGCTTGTATTTGTGTTGCTATTTTCCTTCAAATTAAATCAGTACTTATGATGTGTCTAGACAGACCGTCCCCACAAACTCACAAGATCTTAGCTTTCGTCTGTTATGGGGCTTGTGTTACTGGTAAGGACAAAGTTGTAATACTAGTGTGCCCGTATATGTAGCATCCTTCAAGGGGAGGGGCTTGATGGAGCCCGATCCAATGAAGGTATAAATAGCTTAGTAAATGGTTTTGGAAAATACTCAAATGTTTGCTTTTTCAAAACCATTTTCAAGTTTTGTGCCACCAAAAAATAGCTTAGTCTAAACCATGCAAATCACAGAAAACTGAATTAATGTCACCATTGGATTGGCAGTTTTAACGACATTTCATGCAACTACAATTTTTATAGACACACTGCCTTGAAGATCTAATTTTTTTATTGCCCTTTGGAAAATCCTTACCACTAAAAAGGTCTTACGCTTTGCTGATTCATTGTCGCCGGAACGAAATTCATATAAAATGGCTGGCTATTCAGTCGATTTCCATTCAGCACTCAATTATCTAGGAAATAGAGCACACAGTGTGGCAATTATTGGGAGGGGGGAAGCAACTTGCCCCCTGTTCCAACCGGCCTGAGATTACTAGCATCCTAGATGCTTTCAAATATTCGATAAGAAAAGCCCTTTGGATCAAGAAAGCACAAGAGCTTGAATCGCCTCTTAATTTTTCTAAAATAAGTATTCTAATGAATCATCCTTCCTTTACAGAAGGCTTTAGTTTCACCCGATGGCTTCTTATCTTTTGCATTGTATTTTAGCACTGTTTTTCTAAGATCAAAAACCTTTATCTCAAGAATTCATCTAACCTTAATCTTTCTGGGAAAAAAATCGACAACTAAAATTTCCATAACTTTTGCTAAGGAGTAGCCAGAACTAAAAACTAATTACATCATATTTCATCTCACTTTATCACATTGACTAAACAGTTTCAAAGAAAAAAAATAAAAATCATATTATTCATAAACATTGCTGCAAATATTTTTAACCGTTAAGCAAATATATGTGGCCCTTTAGATATTTGTATGGCAACAAGCTAACCACAATATAGTTGCTTAATAAAACAGCATCAAAAAAGAGAATTAGCTCTGAGTGATGGACTCGGTGGATTTTTAATTTGTAAGTATCTGCAGTTCTGGTTTCTAGTCTTTTTCTTCAACAATATTTTTCTAAACAACAGCTTTCTTTCAAATAAGAGGCTTTTTATAGGGTTAATTATATACTGTAAAAATTAATTTGTTTGGCTTGATGACTGACAAGTTTAAACGGAACAGAATATGAAAAACAGTACAAGAAAACACGTAGCAAACGTCTAAAAACTCACTTACAACAGGGCAGCCAAACAGGAGATACATTCAATTATTAGAAGGAACATAAAAATCCTTCAACAAGAGTTCTTAATCTTTTAACCCGATCTAGGTGAAAAAGTTTTAGCAAGTTTTTAACATAAATCTGATTTTACCTACTTTACTCATCTTTAGTAGACCAATTACAGTGAAGTTACCGCAATGCTTAGTCACCGTTTACCATCCCAAGACACTATACAAAGGTATGGCCAAATTGGGCAACTATATTAGGCAACTATATCAAAATTGATGTCGCTGGATTTTATGTTGTCAATTTTGGATTCTTTGAACCAATAGAAGGAATCCATTCTCACAACATTTATCTGGCAAGCAAAATGCACAGAGTTTTTAGGTTTAAAAAGGCAAATTAGGCCTAAATGTTTAATGTTGATAACATGACGTCAAAAGTTTATTAATTTTTAACCCAGACTCAATATTTTCACTAAAGTCTCCTAAGGGAGCTGTCATTAGGTAAAGCCGGTAATGGGGTGGAAACAAACTTATAAGGGTATGAAATCTTCCAAGGATAATTTGTAGGGGGGGGGGGGGGGGAGAGATATTTTGGTAAAAAGGTTGGGTTATGAAACCAAATTACATTTTTTGAAAAGTTATTTCAAATTGTTAGCAAAATCATTCATGTTTTATGGCTTCTCGAAAATAAGTCAGATGATGATGTTGAAAGAGAATCAGCTGTGATGGCTTCTTGTCTTTTTGCATAAAATGTCTTCTGGTAAGAACACATTGGATAATAAGCTTCAATACTATGTTACCCTGATTCTTGGTGAACAATAAACTTCAAATTGGGGCAGCTACAGAAGAAAATTAATTGTTGAAAAGTTTTGAAATACTTTGAAATACAGTGGTGTTGTGAAATACTTTTGCATATTTTAAGGGGTTTTAGAAATTTTTACAGTTTTTCTTCACGGGGTTTGAAAGTTTTTGGTGCTTCAAATGATTTGCTTTTGCCCTGTTACCGGTTAGATTTAATGAAAGTTTTTAAAATGTTCCTCTTGAGTTTCTTGGCATTTCTAACAGATAGAATCTTTTAAACATGGGTGTAGGCAGCGAGGAACATGATTATAGCAAGGAAACGAGCGTCTATAAAACGAACCTCATTCTTGCACAAATCGTCGAAATCTACTGACATCTGGTGACGCTGGGCCCAAGTTTCTATCGTCTCTTTATCAGGACAAACAATGGCAACTGTGCATGTCTGTAAAACAAAAAAGAACTTTGGCTAAATCTTTATCGTCGAGACCAAATGTTGATAAAATGTTGATAAGACTCTCTGTTCTAAAAATGTAAAATGCTGATAAGATTCTCTGTCCTAAAATGAACATTTATTTTGGTGAATCAATTTACTAAAATTGTTTTTGTTAAACTAATCTTTTAGCTAATATGAATCTATTTGCTAAAATGAATCTTTTGCTAATCTAAGCCTTTTTGCCAAATGGAAAGTTTTGGCTAAACGGAGTCTTTTTCGTATTTTGATTCTTCTTGCAAATAAAAATCTAAATCTTTTTGCTATTATAAATATTTTTGCAAATATAAATATTTTTGCCAAATGCAATGTTTCGTCTAAAGAGAATCTTTTTGCTAAAATAGATCTTTTTGCTAAGATGGAACTTGTTGCTGAAATGGGTCGAGTTTGCTGAATTGAATCTCTGCTGAAATAAATGTTCGTGCTGAATTTTTGAATCTTTCTGCTTTAACGCACTCGAGTGACTCGATAAATACCTACAAAGGTAGATTAAGTGTAAAATGCATCATTTGTGTAATACACCTTTTCTAATAAACACCATTTGTAAAATAAACCATTTCCCAAGGGCTTAGCGCTTAAAGACGTCGATCTAGCACAAGGGTGACTTTAAGAAGATGGGTATAATTTATTGCAAAAATCATTAAATTATCCAGTGTTTTCAAACATTTACAATATTTAAAGTGAATCGAATGTTTTCATACCTTCCCCGTTTGGACATTATGAAAACGATGTTTCAATTTTCTGATTTTCAAAATCAAATGCTAATTATTCATTGAAATGATGTTGTTTTATCTTGAGTATGTAAATATAATGATAACAGGTTCGTATAAACCTGCGATCTAAATGCTCAAAGACAAATCATATTAAGCATCTCAAAAAGTTGTTCAAAAGCTTTTGGCTGCATAGGCAACTTCACAGATTAGCTGAGATGAATGAACAAAGGGGTATCGATTACACGACCAGGTTATGGGTCTCTGTTTATAGTGCTTTTTCAAGGGACAACAACCTACTGTCTTCTTTATAGATAACTATTGTCCATAATGGTTTGTTCAAATCGGTGTCAGTTGAAGGTGAGATTACTTGATATGATGTCCTTCATCACGAAACATGCAGTGTCAAGAAAAGACTTAACCCTTCCTCAAGGAAGTGAGTTAAATCTACTTCCCACAAAGACAATGATAACTAAGCTAGTTCTGATAACTGTAAAATGAAAATCTATCATTTCCAATGACCTTCCTAGCAGTTGTTAGCCCCTTCTGGACTTCGGAAAAAATGATTCCGTGAGGCAAATAAGATAAAGGTTTTATCTGACACTCATAAACCGCTCATTATGGATGCATCCAGGCAAAGCGATGAGATAAGTTGCTTTCTTTTGTCAAAACGATAGCTTACTGTCTGGGATATCCTCCTAAATCAAAGTTTCACAGATGCTCCACTGAATGTTAAAGTGGCTTGTAGATGTTTAAACAAGAAACTATATTATGGTAAAAGACGAATCACTGATGAATGTCTTAAAAAAAATAAAGTCTGAATGTCTTTGTACCCTTTCAAAGCATTACTATCAAAATCCTTGTTAAAAGAAAATTGAATCATTTGGTCTTTAAAGGCTTTTGCGCAACCGGCATGCTTCGTGGCAGTTGTTTTGAGAAATTGACTGTGCTTTGTATTTTCATGCCGTACGATATTAGGCCGGTTTTTTGAAATGTAGTCGCAAAGCATGCCGGTTGCACAAGAGCCTTTAATAGGATGAAAAACTGATAAACGTTCTCCTCATAAGAGAGAAAGGCGGACTTCTCTCGGGATTAGTGCAACATTAAAATTTCATGTCAGTTCGAACAGACGAAATAGCCAAAAAATGAGTCGGGAAAATGAAGAACTAAATTACATTCTTCATCTGTACCTGAATTGCATGATACAAGCAAACTTTGTCAACGGATCTTCTTGTTTGTTAATAGAATAAAAACGCTGAATAAATCTTCAAAGTCTAGGAGCAGCATTCAGTAGGAAAGATTTGTTCATCAACTCCTTTCAAGGTTACTTAACTGGATAAGACAAGAAACAGGCATTGTACCCGTTTCAGTTAAATGATGTCTTTAAAAATAAACAGACCAAAGCTGCACCGCTCCATAACTGGACATGAAGATGAAGTGGCACGTACCTTAAGACTGTCTCCAGTCACGAAGACTTGAGACACGAATGATGACCTCAAGTATACAATTTCTATCTTCTCTGGCGCAATGTATTCACCCTTGGATGTCAAATAAAAATACATCAGCATACTACAAGCATCAAAGTTACTGCATGTCATTTTCTGGTGACACGTAGAAAGACGGTGTTCCGAATTAAGTGTTCCTTAATTAGATAAATTCAAGATGAAGCCTGAATCTATATTTCACTCAATTTCAAAAGAGCAGCCATAGATAGCTGCTGAATCTTCGTAAGTTGTATTCTTAGTTCAGGTCTAAATTCAAATAAAAGTTCACAAATAAAATGCTTACATTATGTTTAGTTGCACATTCACGGTATTATCTCGACATAAAAATGCCACTTTGAAGATCTTAGGCAGAGCTTTGCACTGACGCTTAAAATTTCCAAAACTGTATCGTCAAAAGTTTTAAATGGATCATTTCCATTTAAGATATGGCAACATTTAGCAAAAAGTCCTTGGTTGAGGCCTAAATGGATGTATGTCTTCGCTAGCGAGACTTTCTTGAGCGTGTATAGTGGGTTGAAATTCAACAAAAACAAGGCCTATGATTGGTCCTTCGTTGGAACAACAGCAATACTCAGTATCTTTGCACCTATTCCTGTTGTATTTACCATTAAACTCCCAGACATTGTTCCTCGGGTCTGGTGCGCTTCCTGAACATAAAACCTAACAGCCTGGAAATCTTAGGTCTCATAAGCTAGCCAAATACCATAGACATCCACAAAGAATACAGAAATACACGAGAAGGCCATAACTTTAACTAACTTGGCTCTACTAAAGTTGGACCTTGCAACGATTAAAGCAACCACATCGGAAAACTAATAGGCATAGTATTATTGAACCCATTTCAATTGAAGGTGAAAGGTTCCTTACGTGCAAAGACCTGAGATCAAACGCAAAATCGAGACCCTAGTAATAAAAAAAAAGATTTGCCAAACCACATACATTCTTCGTGATAAATTGTGAATGACATTTGGGATTGTAGAAATGATAGCCAAATAATTACGGCCGTTGCAATTTCACGAGGTCAACGCTACGGCCATGTAGTTACGCCGAACGTCTGGCAGTGAACTAGCGGAGCTGCTCTCAATTTAGGAATGGATTACTCTTGTATGGTTATCCATACAAGGATCACTTCTGGAATGGTTATCCAGAAGTGATGAATGCAAAGGAAATATACTCTGTCTTTGTTATAATTTAATGAATTTTATCCACCTCTATCGAATGAACCACAATATTACTTTAAAAGTATGTTTTAGAAGCAACGAGAAGAAGACGTCGATAAGAATCTTCATAGCACAAAGTTGTTCTTATCGCTGAAAAGGTTGTTCTCACCTGTGCGAGCTTGAATATGTGTTTCTTTCTGTCGATGATGCATAAAGTGCCATTCTGTAACAAAAAACATTTTTCAGTATAAGCGACGTTAATGAAAATTTTAGGATAGGCAGTGTCAATGAAATACGGACAGACAGTGTCTGAAATAAGATAATAGTATCAGCATATGCAACTGTAGGAATAATGGTAGAACTGCCTATTGTGACTGAGTCAACTGAATATGCTGACTGTTACTAAATTCTCCGGCCATAGTGCATTAACTGTTATTTATGGAATCAGAGTACACAATAGCCAGAGTTGAAGAAATGATGTGTAAATATGAAAATTCATGAAAAATTCACTCTACGTTGTTAAGTTGGCGATTTTCGACACAGCACGATGTAAAATTCAACGAGAATGCATTTTTTAACAGTTTCTTTACTTCATCATAACATGCCAGATGATAAAGGACGTTTTTCAAAGGCACACCTATAAAGCTCCGTTAAGGGAACCCATTTTGATAAAAAGGTACCTTTAAAAGTCATTCCTTGGAAAAATAGTAGTCGGCACCAAGGGATATTAAAAGGATGATTGCAGAATGGTTCAAAAATGTCTAGTACAGTGAATTACTTTTCTATAAAACTTTAAATCAAAGCGAGTGGAGCTTGAGAAACGATTGAGATAGCGAGTGTTGGAGATTAAAGGCAGTCGAGATAGCAGATGTCAACTGTATCTCAATTTTTATTTACAAAGACAATGGACCCTAAATAAAACCTAGATATAATCTAATCCTAAATATAATCTTAGAATATATCTTGATTTTGTTTGGTTGTTTGATCCCCTTTTTACCTTAATTTTGTCTGAAATATTCAGCCTCGTTCCTGAGATGCTGATTTTATTACAGATTAGAGTTTTCACGGATAAGCCTCCCATACTCTCATCGTTACACTTCTGAGTAGCACCGGGGTAGGACCGTCATCAAAGCCAGCAAAATTTACTTGATTTCTCCAATATTTTCAGTCCATACTGAGTCGTTCAAAAATATGTTGGAAGATTCCGATTAAAAAAAGACCCTTACATGGTAAGCTGAATTAGGATGTCTTGAGAGAGGGTTTTTGATTCGGTTAGAGAACTGGGGCTCTGGTTTTAAGGGACTTGTTGTAACTTCATTCCTTCAGTTAGGATTAAGACTTTAGAATACTTGGTCTTTATTATCAGAATTCTTAAGATACGCAGCCAGATCTAAGGTGATATTAAAACAGTGTATCCATTACTTTAAATTATTGCTAGACATATCTCCCTATTTAACAAAAGTTTGTAAAATGGATTACAACAAAACAGCACAAGCCTAATTGGAACATAGTTTCTATTGAATATGATTGGAATTGAGACAGCAGAACGAAGCGAAGTGAGAGACTACAATAGCAGACTATTGTTCATTCAAGTCGGAGAAAAAAATGGAATAAATAGTCAATTTTGCTTTCTCTTCAAAAATTATTTTTAACAGTCACAGGCTTAGTTTATTTTAAAGACTTCTGTGCCATGTTTGTTTCCGATTTGTAAAACGAACTGAGCCTTGTTAAATGCGGAATCAAAAATTATCTAAATGACGAGTGAGCTCGCCCTGTAAAACGAAATTCTTTTCGGATTAAAAAATGATAAGATGATAAATTTAGAAAAAAAGTCATAACCCAAGAAATGTTTTGTTTAATTTAAGAATAAAAGGCCATGTGGGGTCTGGTAAAGGAATGCTTTATCACGAAGAATTTTGATAATCAATGTAATTTAGCGTGTTGTACGTGGATGAATAATGAACAAAAATAAATATATTTAGATGATACCATACAAATATCCTCTTTTATAATGGCGACGTGAAGCTGCGACTGAAGGCTATGAATGCACGATGACGAGAGCTTGCTTTCAGCACTCAAACGTGAAGTCACGAGGCTCGATAAACTTTTAGAATCCTATGGAAGAGTGTCAAGGATTTCCAACAGAACTATTCCAACACGCTTCACCCACTATTTGTTCATTTTTTTCACTGGCCTAGCTAACTCGGAGAACACAGTGCACGACCTCTTGCTCGTGAATTAGACGAAAGTCCATTTGAATAGCTAGAGTGATTTCAGGCGATGTTACAATAAGGAGTAGGGAATTCTTGGCAAGATACTCGATGTTGAAAACGTTTCTCTTTTGACATGCAAAGGTTAAAGAACTCTTGGAAACATATATATAACATATTTATTTATAGGGTAAAAGCTTGATCCAGATAAAGTGAATGACTTTAGAGCACGAGATAAGATGATTTTATATATCATAATTTGCACTTTGAATTATCAAGCTTGTTTACTTTATATGATAAGAGGCTTCGTACATCGCTATAATTCTTGACATACTTGCTGAATATTTATGCATTTTCTCTTGTTAATTATTTGGAAATTATGAATAGCATGAAAACTACTCAAATTTTCCAACAACGAGTTAGCTTATCTCCTGCTGTAACCAGGTAATGGAATTTATTAAAGTCCTTTGTTTACAGACTTTTTTCTTGGAATCAGGATAAAATATTCTTTTATATTGTTATTATTAAATCTTGCAGCTGTGAATTTTAGCAAAAAGCGAAAATGGGCATCGCCCTACTTTGGGCGGAAGTCAAGAGCGTTGCCAGGAAAACATGGGACGACGCCCATATAGGAACCCACTGAAATTTTTGTCTAGATCCGTTACTGCAGGACACCAATTTTCATTTGGATACCGTCTAATTGAATGAATTGCAAAAGTGTTTTGAGTGTAGAAAAACGCTAGTGTAACAAGAAACATAATTACTGTAAAATAAAAAAGAGCGCTGTGTAATGTATAAAGAGTTGGTTCATCTCTCAAATCCAAACACTACGCCTATACTACTCCTTTCTTCTTTTATTCATTGAAAATAGATTTAAAAGCTCGGGTTTCCAAACGGAAGGATTATAATTTTCTCCAGTCACTTTAAGAAGCTTCCAAAAAAATTGACTCAACCATGAAAGCCACGCGCAAAGGTAAAATTGAAACAGAAAGTTACAGATAGCATTGAGAATAAACCAATTAACGGTTAAAACAAGGGAAATGAAATTCTTCCTTGACTTAATTTTGCCCCGATTTTTCTTCATCCTACTAGTACTTTTACACGACTTTTTAATACCGTTTCTAATGTTTAGACTGGACCATTGTCTATTTTACAGCTCTTGGCTAGGAAGAAAATTATGTTGCTAAGTCGGGGAAAAGTGAGAAAGTATTTGCAATTGATTAATTTCTCTCCGACTTTCTTGACTCATTATTCTTAACCAGATAAGATAGGTAAATATTTGGTATAACTAGACAAGGTTTTTCTTTACCCGACAAAATTTCAGCAAACTTGGTGAGGTGGTTCTAACAACTAAATTCTTAAAAGCAGCTTCAACTCTGCAAACTATCCAGTGTGTTTTGGCAATTATGATGTCATCCCGCCCGTGATTCCTTAACTTTAAATGTCCCATTTATTTTATACACGAAACGACTATAAAAAAGCTTCGGGTCAAAAAAATATGGTGCTAAAGACAAGAATAGACACTTTAACTTCAAATTGGCATAATTTAGAAATCAAGCTGATGCTTTTCAGTAAAAATAAAACAAGAAGGATTAAAACTTATCAATTGCAAAGAATTTTTTACAGTCTCAGTGTGATTACATTGTACTAAAGTATATTCAGTATTCATGTGTTCAAAAGGTTAGGATACACAAACCTAAATGACGTTGTTCAAAACAAAGGAATGCTTTGTTCTCCACCTTTTCGCATTATTCACACTGGTTCAATTCAAAAAGGAGGAAGAAATTTCGAAGTATGCCTATTCTACCGAAAGGTCGATAATTTTTTCCAGACTGCAAGTACGAAATGTAGCGTATGATGGAATTTCCGCTTGCCGGTCTTCAACAGAAACATCCCTAATCCAAAACCTCTCCCAAAACCACAAAGAACTTCCATTCATTAACTAACGACTCCAGACTAATGACTCCAGCCATTCATACCCTTCCTCTTGTCGTTTCTATGTTTAAGAAGGGACGGATTGAAGCAACAATGATTGGGGGGAGGGTGTTAGACACTGATTCGATTTTGGTGTCACATCCTTCAGGTCACTGGTAAATGATGGAAACGCCCATTTTTAAAATTCGATTTTTAACTTCAAGGTAGAGAAGATAAAAAGATTTTGGTCCAAAGGTAGCTCATTAAGAGGTTATACTTTTACGCAATGGGGATTTTAAGATTCTTTTTTGCTGATTGTTTGGATTTTCTGTTTTGAAGAGAATTAATAGGTCATCGTTTATCCTTTTTTCTTACGTGGTAATTTGACTCAAGACCCACACTGCAAACTGACTTTCTCGAAAATTCTTGGCATTATTTTGTTAAATCTTGTGAAATCTTGGCATTACTTACTCCTGACTAAACAAAAAATGATTTTTGCTGAATGGAAGCAAAATTTACCGAAGGACACAGAAATATTTGGGGTTGTCGCACCCCATACCCCCCCCGCTAAGTCCGTCCCTGTGTTCTAGGTCTAGATGTATGAATATTGTGTATGGCTTATAGCAACATGATGATGAACGTGAAAATTTATCAAGGCATCACTGGAGCCACAAAAATGAAACCTCTTGTAGTCTATGTTTGTTTAATGAAATAATAAAGTCTTTCTTTTCATAGAGGAGAGTAAGTCTTTTGTACTAAAAAAATCACTGCGTACCCAATCAATCAATTACACACCGTATCTCAATCACTAAACATTCCAAATCCAGACGAATAGATCACTCCACTAAAGTCATCACTATGGAATACGTTTTTCTGATCTTTGGTCCATCATTAATATTAGCCTATATAGCTCTTCACTTACAAAATTAGGTAGCTTTGACATCGATAAACGTAATCAGGCCATCTTTATATTTCAATAAAAACTGTCCCACAAAAGTTGCTTTGATACAGATGCAGAAATACAGATCCTGGTTACGTTTTAATACAGATACAGAGCGGGGGTATGCTAGAAATGATCTTGATAAAGATCTTGAAGTTTCCCAGCCTGATAAGAACACAAACCTTTGAATACTAGAAACTTTTGACAGCTATTTGCAACACTGTGACAAATTTTCATAATAGTATAACCAAAAAAATTATAGAAATGGTAATCTATAACGTTTGAAATTTTGCTTTGCGAATTCTACAGTTTACTTTCAACGGATCGGAACATGAACAGCAGCTGACAAGACCCAACCATGCGCGAGGGTTCTATGGTGATGAACCAAATCACATCACAAATAATCATTAATTAACAAGTTTACAAAACTGTAAATATATAGAAGTGTCTAAAAAAGATTATCCCAGGGAATGATTGATACCCTTTAATTTGATTTGTCAAAAATTTTCCTTAAACATAAATGAGCAAGTTCAATAAATGTGTGGAGAAATATCGGTTTCAAATGAATTTTCAAGAAAGTCAATTTGCAGTGTGGGTCTTGAGTCAAATTACCACGTAAGAAAAAAGGATAAACTATGACCTTCTATTAATTCTCTTCAAAACAGAAAATCCAAACAATCAGCAAAAAGAATCTTAAAATCCTTGTTGCGTAAAAGTATAACCTCTTAATGAGCTACCTTTGGTCAAGAATCACGCGCGAAATTTGCGCGAAAGAAACGAGATGAGCAGGAAACGCGAGGCTTGATGAGGAAGGACGTACGATTATTTTTCTAATATGGTTAGGTTAAGACAAGATCAAAGGGGCCTATAGGACAGCCCTAGCAAAGGAGACTAGGAGGGGCTAAGAAAAGCGGAAGGTGTGATCAAGTTTTTGGTTTAAGTTTTTTAGAAAGACAAGTGACAATAATCCGGGAAGCAGAAGTGAAAAAGACGAGAAGCAAAAATGACGAGAAAAAGAGCTTTCGGCAATCTCTTTTTCACAAAAATCTGAGAAGCAAAATGAATAAACAACAGAGATTTCTCCTTAGTACATTTTCTTTCACTTCGCAGCTACTTATTTCTTTCTTATTCCTGAATTGCTTTGTCCTCTAGTGATGAGCTCTGCAGTCTGCAATCTGTACGCAAATAAGCCCTAAGCCTTAACCGGTATCTCTAAAGTTGCCTTAAAAATGCTGTTTTGTTCGAAAAAGCTAAAACAGAAGCCTGTCAAAGAAATAGAATCGAAACTGCAGAGCTTCGAAAATTGGAACGGAAAGCTCAAATGCAAAGGGCAAGATACATCTCCAACCACAAAACACCTAATGAGCAGAAACGAGGGTGGCCGGCGCAACCTTAACCAAAAACCAATTTTGAATAAATGAACATGCTTCAAATTTATCACCACTGTCAATTTGAGTGATTTTCAATGACAAAACTGAAGAACAGGCAGCGTTTATGAATCCTTCGTTTCATAGTGATTGTAGATGACAAATTTGATATGAAGAAATAAATCAATGAAAATAACCATAATACTACTTTTCTTCTAAAACCTTAAGCATAATCACTTTAATTAGACCCTAATTCCTTAAAAAAACTCTAATCTGCTATAGCTACTCATGTTTGGTCTTTTGAAGCCCAAATATGGCTGTGCCTAATATTGCATAAATTGTTTTGAACAGTGCCAGTAGCAAGCGGTAATACCCTAATAACTTCTGAAGGCCGATGTTGCATTTAATAAATAAAGAGCCTGTTTGTCGTTCAAAGGATCTTAGTTGTTTTGACTTTTGACGATAGCTGATCATATTGAAATGCTCAACAAGCTCAAAATGTAAAATTTATGACTAACAACAAGAAAGATGATGTACAATGAAAAAGATCCATGAACTTAAAAAGGGTCATACATAAACAAATTTTAACTTAAAAAACGAAGAAGAACCAGATGAATTTATATTGGATAAAGCTCAAATACGTTTGAGCCTGATATGTAATTGCAATTAGCTGTAATAAGCAAAGAATATGTTTCCATTGAATGTTGCTAAATGAGCACTCAAACCGAATTCTGATCACAAGGTGATCACAAACCGAATATATATTTTCACTTGTAATGGAAATGTTGTGCTTTTGCATTTTGCTTCCAACAAAAATAGCATACCTTCGACCTTTTCCTGAAAATTTTAATAAATTCCTTTACAATCTTGCAGGTAGAATATGATAATTCATGCGCTTAGAAATCTCACCGGAAGCCATTTGCCAATGTCTCCTGTATGTAGCCAACCTTCTTCGTCGAGGGCATCTCTGGTCTTCTCGGGATCTTTAAAATAACCCAAAAATATTGACGGTCCTTGAACGCAAACCTAGAAAGCAAAACCAATTATAAGGTCAACATTAATAGTTGAAACTTCCATCGATTGAAAGAGCAAATTGACTCTATCAATAAAAGTTCCATCCATGAAGGTTCTATCCACAAGAGTACAAAAACAATAAAATCTATATCTTATATCGTAATTTTCATCCCTCATTAACCCATTTTTTAAAACAGTACTGTAATAAAAAGTTTTAAACGATTCATCTTTTTCGACAACGCTATCTAAATAGATGTAGATCAAGGTATTGTGTCCAACCAACAAAATTCATAATAAAAGCTTGCAAAAATTAGTTAAAAAACTAACTTTTATTCATCATACCATCCCACTTAACATTTCATATAATGGAATACGTTATAGCTAACTTCCTTTCAAAAGGATAGCAAATGTAATTAGCGACGTGCTGGGGAAGCAATTGCAGAGGGGGCAAAGGGGTAAAATGGCGCCCCTTATTGTGCTATCTTCAAATGTTCCTTCAAAGTTTTGGGAAATATACAGTTAGGTACAGGAGTTCTTCTATATCTATCTATCTGTAGCCGTACCGAAAGACCTTCAAATCTTCAAATGAGGGGAGAGGGGTAGTCAATCACTGCCAGGATGTGAAAGAGATATTGAGTATCGTTGTAGCACCAGGCTCACTCTAATAGATAAGAGAGAATATTGTACCCATAGGTTCTGTATTATCAAACTGCACAACAATGATAATCAGGGACATTATTATTGACGGAGGTTAGGGATAGAAAGAGGGGGTAAACTTGTTTAGGAGTTTCGTGAAGGCCGCCACCATGGTAAGTGGCAAAAAACTGCAAAAAAATGTTCTAGTGATGTTAGGAAAATGCATCCAAATAATCTCAAAATCGCCCTAGACCCATGGAAGATCCTGGACAATACCCATAAGCTTTCTTTAAAATACGGCCCTAAAGCCATATGAGGCAGGCCTGTGCCCCTCCTTTTTTTTCTGGGTAATTCTTGAATATAATGGCTAATTTCCGCCAGGATCAAATCTTTGATTTGAACGAATATTACTTTTTGACATTTGCATTTATATGTGACCTCAATAGCCCTGTTGATAACTGAAATCTCAAAAAATATTGGCAACATTATACTACTTTGAGTTCTTTATTTTTAAGATTGATATTGAGGAGTCATGCACACGAAAACAACTGAAACGTTCATTTTGTATAGTGAAAGCTCTATGGTTCCCCTTCTACATTTTTTGGCTCTACACTACAGCTTTATATTAGATCTATGTATCGAAACAAGCCCAAAAGACATAACTATACTGTCTGAGGCGGCATCATAGTTGCCGTCGAAGGAAAATAAAACTTTCGAATTTAGATGCTTCCAGTTTGCTGGAAAACACACCTTTTGAAGCAGTTTTTAATATACACAGTCTGAAAGCTATTAGATGGTTTCAATTGCCCCCCTTGCCCCCCTTCCAGCACGTCACTGAATGTAATACTGCCTACATTTTTTAAGGTAAAAATTACTTGTCGTACGAATGACATTGATGTTTTTCAAATCATGCCCAATAAAAATGGCTTGTTGCTGATTCACAGAAAAGTTGAATACAAAAAAATCATTTTCTAAAAGCGTAAATATATGTGTACAACTGAAGTAAATGATATCAGAAAGATATTGTGCATGGATAAAAATTGCAAGGTTAGCTATGACGCCAGAAGAACCAAACAGAAGCATAGGAAGCTACACATATAGGTCTTTGGTTAACTATTAGAATTGTCGATGTAGTTTAAAAAGTGAGTACCTCTCCTTTGGAGTCCTTAGCAAAGTAGTCCATGCTTGGAACATCAACAAGTTTTATTCTGCAACTAGATATTGGCGGGCCAACATGACCTATCATCGCAAAAGACGATCCTTTTATTTCCACAAAGAAAACTTTGCATCTTACAAGTTGACTTAAGTGAAAGACATGTTACAGGGAAATTAGTAAATATTGCGAATTCTATAAATTGCCTTCTCGTTTCATAAACTATTGCACGTTCTATATATAAAGAAACCATTTATAAGACTTACAAGACTGAATTTTGTCCAGAATTACGAAGATTAAAATTTCAGTCCAATGAACAAAAATGAATTCGAGTAAAGACTCTTGAATACTAAACCAAGAAAATTGAGCAGCAGCTGAGGCTCACTCATCTTTGATTGTTTATGGGTAAAATTACGCAATCGTATAGCAAACAAAACTTACAAGACTGAATCAATTTTTCGACCAAATTCAGAAAGTTTTTTAAGCCATGAGATTTTGAGAAAAGCGTTATAATTGACAAAATGGGTCAATGATAAAATATATTTGTCATAGCTGATTGACTCGGCAAAAAAGTCAACATGATTAGAGAAAATGAGTCTGAAAGTTGTTGCTATTACTGCCAAACAAGTAGAGGATGCCAATGCCAGTTGGCACAACTTTTTATTCTGCACTATTTTAGTGCTACTCATTTATTCCTCTGCAATTTGCGTGACCTCGTGTGCTGCCTATATAAGTTAGCTCTTCATATCCGGGCCTATAAGCAGTTATGAAATTCCGGTATAGATTACTTAAACACCATGTTGTGCATAGCAAAAAAACGAAAAATTAACAGAAAACATACCTAATGTTGAATCAAATGGGGAGCTCATTGTTGCCATTGCCGTCAGTTCAGTCTGCCCGTACCCTTCGCAAACCTGCCAAAAAGGAGGAATCAGAATTGGCGAGCTAAGTAGGCATTTATATACGATAGTACAGATGATTTTGAAAGAAAAATAATACTTAGTATATCTGAATATAAATCAATTTGAGAACCTATAATGTTAGCAAGTGCTTTTTAAAGTAACATAAAGAACAGAAGCACTTTTGCTGCTATAAAGGATGAACACCCCCTGTAATTTTAGAAAATCCTTTCAGTTTGACATCAACCATGATTTAAAGGTTTTTAAGGTGTTTAAAGGAAGAAGAGTTAATTGGAAGAAGAACAAAAATAAGCAAATAGGAGAATGAAGAAGAAATATGAGAATATGGAGAAAATAGAAATAGTATATCTACTATGTCATTTAATTACAGATCTAACACCTATACTTTCGAAAAGGATCGCTGACGGACTTATTTTATAGATCGCTGAAATTCTTCTTGTTCTACTATATCAATTTTGCTTCCAAAGATAATGTTGCTTAAGACTTTTTACTTTAGAGATAACTGTCTTCATTTCTCATATGACAAGTTTGTGACGTAATACGAAGGACATGGGTAAGCCCTGCATTTGATTGATGAGGGTATGGCTTAAAAAAAGCAAACAGGGGATATGGCCTAGTCTTGATTATAGCACTCCCTTATCTTCCAAGGCTCATGTTTCTGGTAAGGACGTCACGCTTTATTCTGAACGAGTGCCATGTGATCGTTAGCTAGGCTGATATTTAAATGCTGAATTTTAAAGCAAAGATTAAGGTTCACACGGTATATCATTCGTCAAAAGCAACCATTCTTCGTTTTAGAAAACTGATTTCAAGACAAGGATTAGCATGAAGTGATATAGATTAGAACGCAAGGGAAAAATCGTCAGGGTTATAATTGGGATGACACTAAATATCACAACAGTAATGTCTAAACTCCTAAGTCTGGCAATGTGGCTACTTATTCCAAAATTCAATTTAATGAGAAATATTTCGACTTGTTTTGAGTCATAAGAAAGAATGTTTGTATTAGGTATCCTCCAGTTACATAAATAAGTTAATAAGTTCTTGAATCATATGGTATGGTACGTAAAAGTGACACCTCACTTAGGCCAATTAGAGACCACAACTATAGAATAATAAGGGAAATCTTAACATTGTTACAGATAATGATATTGGCAGATTCTTTCTTTGATACAAGGTACTAGGTTAATCAAATAAGTTGATTCCAATAATCTAGTAAGGATTATTAGATTTTACTATGATAGGCGAAAACTTGCCAGATAATTAGTGAATGGGTGAGCAACGGGGAAGGTCATTAAATCGTGTTAAAATTTTCCGAATTCCTGAATTCGATGTTAACGGTAGAAAATAATAATGTCATGCATCACAAAGTCTCATACGGAGAGAGGCAAATCGCAAAAAGCTAAGAGAAATATTACTAATCGAGCTTCTGTATCTAGGCTAAGGGATGTTGGAGTGAGTTTGATGGATGCTACTAACTTAAATAAGAAGAACTGTTTTTAAAGAATGAAGAGAGCATTTTCTTTGAGCATAACAAACCAGGGTCTTCATAACATAACAAACGTGACCTGGTTTTCACTTCATTTTGAATAGCTCTATTTTCCAATTAAGAATCTTATCAACTTCTGTGTAAACCAACCTTTAAACGCCTCGACTCAATATGCATCAGTAATGATACACTCTCTGGTGTGTAGAAAAGAAAGTTCTACGCTACAATGTCGCGTTTCACGATTAATACAATCATCAGGCAACAGTGTACATGAAACTCGTGGATATAGTTTAAAACAATCCTGTATTGCACAGGAAAGTACGTACAATTCTTTCTATACGGTCTCTAGCATTATATGACACGCCGGTAAACAGTTATGATACAGATCATCATTATCTAAATTGTTGGATCTCCGTCTATACAAACAGGTTTCCCAGACACATCTTATAGCTTCCAGTTAAGCATAGAAGAAGCATTTTTTTGGAAGACATCAAAAATTAATCCATAGAGAAAATCCATATATCTAAGTATCTGATAACTATGATACTTGGAGGCATGGTTGAAGCTTTGATACTTTCGTTATTGATACTTTCATTTCAATTTCATTTCATTTCATTTCATTTCAAAGATCGTTATTGATACTTTCGCTATTTAAATTAACACTCTACAACTATGCATGGGGTACAGATGATCGATTAGTCAGCACAGGTTATGTTATTTGTATCTATAGCTGTGCCAGAATTCAGCAGTTACTCATATTCGTCAAAGGTATTCGCTTTGATTACACGCTTAACGTGTTTTGTGAGAAATGCAAATGCTATAATCTTACCAAACAGCCAAATGCACACTTGAGAAATTGCTTTACGCTGATAGATAAAGGAGCAGCTCCAGATGTTATCGCTTTGACTCGGCCTCCGAGAATGCCCTGCAAGTTAGTAATATATATTCGAATTAAAAAAACAATCTTTGAAGCGTGAAAGAAAGTAATGTATTTTATAACTTCCATTTTTATTTCTTTAGTGTTTTTAATATTTTCTCCAGTCTTTCGGGAGAAAAGCAAGGACCACACAGCCAGCTTAAAGCATTGCAAACTACAAAATACTCAGTCAATAAAGCCAAAATGAATTCATAATTGCCGGCATAAGAATTTCACAGCAGTATTTGGCGACACAACTTCATATTTTAGAAATGACTACTTAAAGTCTATTTCATTTTCTTTTAATCATCGGTTTCACTTGGTATTGGCGGGTAGGCAATTGCATGCAATGGAACATAGCACATAGCTCAAAAAAAATAATGGAAAATAATAACAATATATATAAGAAAGCAAATACAAGATTACTTAGAAGATAAAGTAATTGAGAAGGAATCGAGGGCCTTGCAACGAAATTCTTTTTCAGAGATTGATTTGTCCGTAGGTTTTAACCCAAACTTATGAAAATCAAACAATGGGAGATTGTGCACCGTGGTACAAAACTTGTACATCATTCCGCATAATAAAGCTACACAATATAAAATTTTCTGTAGAGAGATCAATTTCCCAAACAAAATTGTTGATAAAACACAAATCTTTGGAGGTCTTGCTCGCAAAAACATAGACAAAAACAGAGATAACATTCAAGGAACTCGTCAGATAATCAATATAAACAAATATGTGCGGTTAAGTGATTCATTCCTATATGATAATGAACTGTAGAAACCGTTTCAGGTGATACACACATCATCGTTATACATACATAGATATAGGCCTACGAAGTCACAGAGCGCTAGTCACAAGAAAGCACTGAGTAAGGAGGGAGAAATTAATTTGATATCATAGATTATTGCCAATACTAAGTATAGTTGCCAAATAAAAACAAAGACAAGTACGAATCAATGCAAATGAAGATAAACATAATGAGTATTAACGTATTGATGAAGATATAGATTTAGTCACTCAACTTGAGGTAATAACACGGTTTGAAAGGTTTTTTCTGGCAAACTCCTTGATGAATGCGTTTTGAAATTTGCAAATTAATTTAGCATTAATGGACTCATGCAGAAAACACAATCCTTGGAAAACTCTGGTGTACTACTGGATTCCAGAAATGCAGAAACTAAACGACCGTTTCTTTGAATAGCAATAATTTGAATTTTGAATCTAGTATAAAGATTCAATATCTACCTGATGTTAAACTAAGTTTTAGAGTCTGGATATCTAATTGGACAAAGTGAAATACCATTTCATATAAATTACGTTTAAATGTTCACTATCACAGTGTAGGTATTCAAATCAATCAACAATAAAAAAGTCGGCGATTAAATATGATTTTTCAAATGATATAAGCATTCTGAATAAGAAATGGTTTTTTGTCTTTAAATTCCATTATCCTGGTAGCTTCTAACTTGTAGCAAGTTGAGAGGCGAAAATCTGTTAAATTAGGTTTTACCCAGGCGTGCAGGTTAATTCAAGAACAGACTAATAGTCTGTCCTTTTCTGATACTCTGTAGGCAAAAAGGTATCCGGTGACAATCAAAACAAATAAACCAATCACCGAAATAGACACAGCAAAAAGTAAGTTAAATCATATGGTACCTGGATTTTATTGAATACAAGCTTGTCCCAAAAGCTGTTTTTCCTAATCACACCCCTGAAAAAGATTTACACATTTAAAATTACCTTTAAGAGCTTGGGAATAGTCTAGAATATTATTGATTCCAATCTAGGCTTTGACATACGCTTTGTGTACTGTAATAACCCAGACTATAGGGCTGCGAAAAGTTTTCTATCTACAAAGTATTTTCCTTCTGCAAAGATCTTATATTTGACTCAATCTAAATTTAAGCATATTTTACATGCGTTGCTCAAAATACTAAAACGCTAAGCTGTTTCATGGACTTTGGAATAAACCTAGTTTAAACTTTAAGTGGTCAGCAGACTGAAACACACATCTTATCAAAAATTACAAGTTCCTTTCAAAGTTTACTCTTTTATCAAATAACGAATAAAATCAGAAACGCAGTTGAACGCATGTTCGATGTTTGTTCGAAACCATTAAACATGTTCGATTACTAAACAGCTAATCTTACTACAGAGCTTTCTTACTTCAGAGGTTTTGCACAACAGAATTGCTTGATAAAAGAACGACTGAAAATGCTTGGCAATTGTGGCTGAGAATGTAAAAACCACCGGTTGGTGTATGCTGGGCAGCAGAAATTATGTAAAAGGGACACTGAAATTAACTAAACACATAACCAGCAGAGGTTTTTAATTTAAGTGTCATTTTAAGTATAACTTTGATCATATACATCAACTCATTCATCTACTTGTGCAAATTTCTACAAAAAATCCTTTAATTGGGTTTCAACCACAACGGGGCTTGGTTTCGATATGGTTCAAAGCCAATTACTTTTGCAAGAAAATTTTCCATTTTTTATATTGCCCTTAGCATGTGTCTTCGCCTATCAAAGGTTTTAAGAATACTATATAATTTTGCAATCCAATAATGCACGTGAAAGGAATATGACTGTGCATCCTTTAGTAATACATTGGATTATCATAAGGGAAAGATTCTCAGGTCTGCGGAGACTGCGGGTAGAATTTTTAAAAAGCGGATTATAGACATAACTGGAAAATATCAGAGAACATATGATAGGGATGTTTATGCTTTATTCTTATGCTTTGTCTTTTCCCTGATTTTCACTGCTTCCTGGGATGTTAAAGCTTCATAAGCTTTAAAGTCTCATAAAACAAGATGTTTTGGCGAAGTTTGAAAAGCGGAGCTATCATTTAACTAAGCCAGGGTAGAAAAGCCGTTTATAAGAGGGAGCGTTTAATAGGACATATATTGTTTAGGGCAACCTTTGTTAACAAATCCCCTTGCTGCTGGTCAATCAAAATTGTCCCTTTAAAAACATACAGTACCTTGATACTTCTCTATTTTTTGCAGACAAGGCGACATTCATCAACAGGCTTTTGACCCAGCTTTTTGCTACTTCATTCATTACCTAAAAGGTGAACAACAATTGTGAATTAGGACAGCTAGTTTTCTCATTTATGAAGCACCTAAGACATACTACATTATAAGTAAGGCCTCCTTAAACTAAATAAGGACGTGTTTGATGTGCAACCTCCTATAGGCTGTTGTATTTTAGAGAACTATTTGAGCATGAATCGTCAACGATATAAAATAATCTAGTAGGTTATTTAGCTCAGAAACAATATGATTATACGTTTGTAACTGTGAGACACCTTTGTCTCGAGAAAATGGTCAGTTAATAGCTCAAACTAATTGTTACATTAATATTAAAGTTATTTCCAATAACCATAATCTATAAAACCTTTAAAGCGACTTAGCTAATAAACATGCCTTACACATACTTGAACTGGGAAAGTACTCCATCTAACTATGATGTGTCTCACTTAAGTGCTCAGCGAATTAGTGGCAATGGATTTCAGATTAAATAACCAATTTCAGGATTCATAGAGAGTTTTTGGATCTCAATCTCATTTATAAACAGAACAAAACTGCACATTATAGATAGCGAAATCTAGATGAGCAACCATCCTAACAAGACATCTCCAGTACGAAAATTATGAGAAAATAACACTATCAACAAGAATTTCATATCTTATCTAAGATTTTGTTTTAGAAGTAGGTCTAAGTCTAAGATCTTGTTTTAGAATTGATTTTGAATGCAAAAACCAAATGTGGTAATGGAGACGTTTATCTTATAGTAATTTTATATGGTCGATTGCCTGGACTGGTATCTTGGTACTAGCATCATTTGATAAATATCATGCAACTATACAATGATACCAAACATCTGAAAGGTAAAGCAATCATTTGTTTATGATGGGATCTCAAATTAAACTCAATAATAGTGCATATTGTCTTTACCTGCGGAACAACTGCAAGCAAATTTACAACTGCAACTGCTTTAAATTACTCAGAACTGGTGAATTTCAAAATTAGAACTGTTCACGGAGACTTATTGCTCAGCTTTAATACATTTCTCACCTTGCTATAAAGGACGTTCAGAATTCTCGGCACAGCAGGAAAAATGGTTGGCCTAGGGGTAAATGAGCATACACTTGCATACTACAATCTGATTAATGTGTAACTTATTTGCTACAATGCATTTTTTCAATGCTATTAAAACGAAAGAGGGTCTACCTTCAGAGCCATCTTTCGATTACGAAAGTGGCCACCCAGATGCCCTACTGTGAAAATCAAAACAGAGCTCTCCACGATAACACCTCTTTCAAAGCTCAGACAAGACAAAGAGGAAAAAACACAGGCATGAATGGAATGAAATGAAATGACAAGAAAAATATAAGGCAGGCAGGAAATGTCTTCTTTCTCTCAACCTTCATTAATAATCCTTTCCATGCTCTAGTTAAGTTGCTTTGACCTGAAGTACGGAAACATGAAACAAATTAACTGTTAGAGCGTTTTCTGCCAGGAAGGAAGGTGTACCTTCTAAAAGCTTCAGGATTTTGACTTTACCTTAGGGTTTGAATGTCTTGCACTAACTCCTTCACGTTTCCACGGAAGAATCCTATCTTGCCACCACCGACCATTATGATATACTGAAAAGCAAAACAAAGCCACTCAACATACCTCAACAAAATAATACAGTTATCATGCGTCAACAAAGTTTTCACCTAATCAAATATTTCACGCAAAAACAATTTTAATAGCAGAAAACATTTTCCTATTTCTCTTTTGATTTTCTATTTTCTTACGCATAGGCTATGGGTTTTTAAAATTTTTCTCAAAATAAACCCTCCTTTCGTTTATTCTGACTTTTTTTATAGCACCCTAGTACCTCAGTCACCGCAAGGTTGAAATATTTTGAAGACTTCTTTTTGAATCATATAAAGCTTACAAAAAGTTGTGTCACTATTTGCAGATATTTTTGCTTGATTCCCTCTTAGGGGACTTGGGCCGAGCGACCCAGTCTAGAATAAGTATTTATGACAAAAGATAGTAAGAATATGATCCGTAAATTTTCAAATGTTTCGAATAAGAGAGGTTAACAATTGTTTTGTTTCTTCAGAGTCCGCAGTTCAAGAGATTATTTGCTATAGATATTTGCGGGTAAGATAAATTGGAACTGCCCAGGCTTGGCACTAGGGTGCGTTAAAGACATGAAGCAAAGGTAAAAAGGGCATGGGACCTGTGCAAAGATTTTCAGAACATTAACTTCAATTTGTAGTAAAATATTCATTTTACGTTTATCAGAACTATAAACATCAATGATATGGTTTTGGGGAAACGAAAAACAGACTAGATCAGAGAAGCAAAACGAAAGAGACAATAGTTAGTCTGGTTTTCCAATTAAATTTGGCTCTAACCGTAAAGCTGAGGGTAGAATGCGCAGAAATTGTCCCAGCTTACCTGACCACAACGCTCATACATGTGACTCAAGGGCAGATAACTAATATAGCTATCTGAAGCAGAAATTTGATAGTACTGCAAAAGAAAAAATATAATTAAAAGATCAACTACACCTAAACTGACATCATTCTTGAAATTTCTTGTTATCTATTATGCATTTCAGTGTTATTTCTTAAACTTTCAAGAACTTAATAACCTACCCTGCTGGCACATATTTATTTAAAAATTCAAAATTTCTCTGTTTTCAAAAATGTTATAGAGAACCTTGTACACAAGTTCCTCAGATTGAGAGCCTTGAAGGGGTTTTAGATAGAACGCAAGTCTGGGTCTTATAAGAAAACACACCCCTGGTCAAATCTCTTAGCCAACATGCAGTCTTGAAGGCAATAAAGAAAACCATTTTACGTGCTTTGTAAAAATATGAAATAAAAAGAAATTAACAATGGACCATGACAATCAAACTATTATGGAGGATGGAAACTTACTTCGTCAAATAAATTAATAAAACTGGTCACATTCACTGCCAAATTTTCGTGGCTCAGCATTACCCCTTTGGGATTACCTGCAATGAAAAAATTCCAATTAAAAACAAAGAAGCACTCACGTGTACAAGTAGGAAAAGGGAATCGAATGCAGCAAACAAACTGCTGTAAACGACACCAGCTAAAAAAATAGTTGCACAGTCAAATTTTTTTGGCATGTTATTTCAGTTTGAAACATTCAATACAAAAAGCTTCTTAACACTTAAATATGAGAAATTAATCAATTTCGAAATTTTTCAACAGTGGGTTACAAAACTAATAAGATGAAATAAATCCAAAAATACATATCTTTATTGCTACACTTTGGGTGTATAGAATAGGATAGAACAATCCTAGTTGCTTCTCCGAGTTTCAAGCTAAAATCGAGTTTCAGCTAGGCAAGTAAAATGCCTAGTTGAGGTGTTTAAATGCCAAAATGGACTGACACCTCGACTGTTCGAAGATTATTTCAAGAAAATTTTACATTAGAAGGAAACCCGTGAGAATAAAACCAATCTCTTGCTCCCAAAAGTTCGCACAGATGCTGGTCGAAAGACATTCCTGTTTCAGGGATCAAAATTACATAACAAACTATCTGATACCTTGAAACAAGAACAGTCTATAATGAATTTCAAGAGACAATACGATCAACTTGACAGTGAATTTTAACTTTTTAAAATGTAATTTTTAGATATTTTTAAATTTGATATTGTAATTTGACATCTTTTAATTTTCTTTTCAACTTTAATATTAACAGGACCTTGACTGATAGAAGCTTCTGAGCAAGCTGACCAAGGTTACTATCCTGTATAAATGTAGATTATTATTATTATTATTATTATTATTATGACAAACAATGACGAACATACTTTTTCCTTTTTTTGTTAATTTCTTTTGTTTGTGTTTGTAATAGTCTTTTTCTTTGTAAACCCAGGCTAGCCAATTGCAAATTACCTTTGTAATAGTGAAATTTGTATTTGTAGTTTTAATTGAATTGAAAATGAAAAGTTTCCATTATCAAGCATCTGGTCCAAATATCGAACAGTTGCCTGATGATCACATTAAGCATGTAATTCAGAGCATGGTCCTGTTGTATGCACCAAAAACGGGTACAACTCTGCCTATATGGCAACAAGCACTTTATGACTGACCAGTAAACAGTAATTTTCATCAACTGTATTCTAATCAAAAAATGTTTTCTTTCAATGTAGATTTTGCATGCAATTTCGTATAAAAAAGAAATCAGCATTGCCTGCAACCTCATGTTGAATTCCATTGAATATTAAAGAGCAAAAAAAACTATTAAGTGTGAAGAAACCGCTCCTATTTGCACTTGTTATGTCAAGTGAAGACAACAAATTCCACCAAATATTGTGCGAGAAACAGACTAAATCGTAAGCCAATTTGAGGGTCTATGGAAACCTTGGTCGCCTTTAAAGCTGAGTGCAAGCGACGCCTGAAGCGACGTAATGAGAAACAAGATGGTATATTTAATAAAAACAAAGTCCAGGTGATATTGATACCAACCTGTGGTTCCACTTGTATAACAAATCAAGGCAAGATCTTCAGGACTCGGAAGCTGGGAAGAGGTTTGATAATATAATGAGTTAACAACATGTGAATGTTAAATTGAACCCACACAAGACATGATGTGAATAAAAAATAGATATATAGAAGAAATTTGAAGTAGACATCTTCAACGAAACCAAGTTTTGGACCATCAAATGAAATAGAATCATTGACTACAAACTTATTTTAAAAATTTTGAAATTTTTTTAAGGATAAATATTAGGTAAATATTTTGAAAAGGCTATATAAGTGTGACCACGATCCTTGAGCTGCACCGTAAGTCCACAAAAAAGCACCCGGAGGTTTATTTCGCAAAATAATTTTCGGATTTGAGGGAAGGGCTTCTTTGAAAGTGGGAAAGCAGCTGCAAAAAATGATACCAGGGTAAATTTTTTTCCTCTGTTTGAAGCTTGTTAGTATGCTTAAAATGCAGATATGTTGGAATGAATCTATTGCTGTCGAGGCAATACCTCAGCCTATGGGAGCTTAGTTCACAGAATTAGTTTAGGTGAGAGGGGGCTTATTTGAGGGGGTGCTTAATCAAAAGTGGGGCCTATTCGAAGACTAACGGCAATGAGACCTAAACTTAGGGAACTAACTCGTGCAACTATAAATTGATCAACTACCATTCCCAGAAATGGAAGTAACATTATTACCAATTTTTGAATATCAACCCCGTATTAGTGAAAAATTGTCAGTTTGGGTATAAAAAAAGTTCCTCTTTATGATTCTGTGAACTGAAAGAATTAAATCAAAGTCACTTTCTGTGAGCCAAGTATTAATATCAATACATATATTTGCATAAAAAACAATTTCCCTCTTTTAGATGTACCTAATGTTGCCAATGTAATAAAACCAATGAATAAACACCCATTGTTGGTACAAGCTGGGCATCAAGAGACAAAAACATATACACGAGAACACAGCTTTCATTAGATAAGTAACTTAATCGAAAGAGGAGAATAGCTAATTATTCTGTAATTTTTTCGGAAAGCAGGCAAAGGTTTCCTCCTGCTCAAAATAAACCAAATGAAATTCCTATATTTTAGTTTTTTATCTTAACGTGGGAAATACTGAATTGCTCGCCTTCTTTGCTATCAAAATTATTTCCCAAGATGTTGACACTTTGTTTCTGTGTTGAGGAATGAAATGAATGTCCTCTCAAACAAGATATTGATTTTGTATACACTTTAGGAAATCTGGAACACCTATAACCTTAGCAAATTTAGCTGTTATCTGCTTACAAAATGCTATCACATATCTTGATGTTTTCTTAATTTTTGTAGACGTTTTCTGCCTTAATATAAAAAACGATAGTATCAGAACAAAACGTTGATATAAAAAAACAAACCATCCGTCAAAGCTAGCAAGACTATGAATAAAAAGTATCAATTTACGTGCCTTGATGATTAAATGACAGTTTTTAACTTCAATTCAATTTTCTTACCATATGTTCGTGCTGATTTTGTTTACCAAGATCCTGTAAAAACATGAACAAGCTGAGAATATTTCTCTCATTCATAAATAAAATGCGCCAAAAATTGATATATCTTCCGTTAATTTTACTTAAATACCAGTAGACTTCTAAAACTACGAACTTTCACGACAGGCAGAAACTTTATATTCTTGAAGTTCACTTATAATTTAAACTAAAAATATGTTTCACCTATGTTACCTTGGCTTCACTACTTTATGGCACAGACAGTATAAAAAGTATAAATATCATCATTAATTAATCATCACAAAAGTGACCACGTAACGAGTCAATGTATACGAATGATAAGATACTAATATACCCTGGAGATAAAACGAAAATTAAAACCATAAAAAATACAGAGCTAGATTGCATTCTTTCTAGGATTTGACAAATCACATTTCACTTGTACCTGGTCAGCTAGTCAATGTAGCTTGTAGTTAGACATGCCTTGCTCCCAAATTGATAAAGCTTTAGATTTATAAAAATCGCTCACCAGCTAACTCTCTTACAAATGTTGCAACTAAACATAATTTGTCCCCTGTCACAGTGCATAAACTACTGCAAACTATTTGATCTGTTTGTTTAGCATACAGAAGAATGGTTAGATATCTGCATTATACATGGGCAACACAATCCAAAAAGCGAAATAGTATGCCTTGTAAAGGAAGATATCTTACCAGTAAATCTTGCATCCCAATAAGGTGTATACCGTCGCTCTTACATCTTTCTATTTGCTTCAGGTCATTCACGTTATCAAAGGTGACAATGGTTTTCAAAAATTTAGTCTTTTTTGCATTATTCAAAATATTATCTAGCTTTCCTGAATCACAAAAAAGAATCGACAATTCGGCTGCAAAAGAAAAACGTATTTTTACTTCTGGTGCCTCTTTAAAAATAGTGTCTACGAGCTTGAACAATGGAACTCAGTTGTTGATTATTCATAAGAAATTGGAAAATTCTAAACTGATTTCTTCAGAACTCTAGTTTGTTCAACAATCCTTATAATAGCAAAGAAACAAAAGAAAATCTTTCATCTTTTTTAATAATACAGTCAAATATGAAAACTTTCATCATTTCCAAACAAATCACAATATACAGAAGACAGTTACGTGCACATTTAAAACATTCAATGTATATCAAAAATTTAACTCTAAACAAAGTAATCATGTTTTGTATTCTTTCTGGTACAAAATCTCCCAAAAGGGTATGACTGGAAATTCTTAAATAAATTATGATTTTAAATGCTGTCATCTGATGGTAGGGTAAAACTTGAATTGAAAGGTATTTTAGTTAAACTATAGATTATGCAAAATTTCTCAGACAATCAGCAAGCTATAAGCTCTTAATAATTAGCTTATCAACAAGAGAATAACACAATGCTGCTTGATTGGTAAACTTAATCTGATTACATATTGGATTCAAAACATCCAATAGCATGAAAAATACTACCAAGGTCACGAGAGGTTAATGTAATCTCATACTATGAAAACCAAGGACTTGAAAAAGATATATATTTGTTGATGAGAATTAGGATAGGCCAACAAAAAATGTTGGCTCACTCACTCTGAAGTAGAATATGTTGCATTCCTTCTTGACCAAGAGTGTCATAAAGTGGAACCATTACCATTGAAAACATCATGGCACCTTGATCCACTATCACCCACTATATAAAAAAAGGAGATCAAAGTATATTTCAATACTGATGATTATAAATATAAATACCGGTAACTGCTGCTTCGGTCCGAAACTATCACTTGCATTATTGATACTAGTACACATATCGCAAATCATACAAGTACTGGCATTGAATCAAACTCATATTACTATTAAGGTAAAAGCTGCCTTTTGCATATCATTATATGTGATTCACATGCGTGTCTTTCTAGCCATAAAACTTTGATTTCCACTACTCTAATGATTCACCTTTAATAAATAAATAAATAAATTCAAAATTACTTATCTGTTTGAAAAACATATGAAGCAAAAAAATTGAAAAAGGATCAAATTGATAGAAGATTTCTACTTTGATGATAAAAATCAATTTTTGTACTTGACATATTGTTATAGAAGTTGCTTCCTTACCTCTGGTTTATTTTGTGCACTGATTCCAATAAAGCTGCCTTTTCTTAAACCAATTTCATACAAAGCAGATCCAAGATAACATGCTTTTTTGTAAACCTAAACAGAAATAATCTTGAAACAATTTTTTGCTGCCATATCACAAAAATGTTGAATCTATCAAATGTATAACTTCTCAAGTATGAAAATTTCTAAATTAGCAGAAGATTTTCTGGGACATGCATTTGTGAGCCACAATTAACTTTCTAATACCATTGTTGCTAATTTATCTAGATTATGAATATTAGAAATCTTCTCCTTCCAACTATACCAGCTTCAAGCCATAACTTTGTAAAAGCTCTATTAGTACAAACTTTTAAAAAAATTTACAAAGTGTATGAACTATTTAAATGCCATTTTCAAGAAATGTAGTAAAGAAAAAAAATCTCTTCCTATCTTTAAGGCTGATGTTCCAGTCACTTTTTCTTTTGACCACACTTTAATAGCACCATAAAAAACAATATCAATAAGTATACTAGCTCGTATTAAGAGAGCAAAAATCATCATTGCGCTTAAAATCTGCAAGCTACTTCATCAACAAATAACAAACTGTATAGTGGGTTATGATCTAAACCATAAAAGTCACAGCCAGATTTCTTTTTATATTCCATTCTTTAGACATTTTGTTTCACTTCATCTAAATATATGATTCTATAAAATGCCCAGTGATTGTGATTTACGACTATCACTTATCGTAACATAACCAAACAGAATCCAGACCTCATTATAGGTAATCCAGCTGTAAGGTGAGTTGCCATCAGCTCTTGTACCAAGAAATGGCTGGTCCCCTAGGGTTTTAAAAGAAATAATATACGAGTTAAGTATGCCATTCATATGCATGATTTTAATAAGGTTAGTTTCAGGAAAAGAATCTAGAGGCAAGGATTGGGGCATGTTAGATAAATATTGGATTTTGGTGCCACACCCTTCAGGTACCTAGAAAATGATTCAAACATCCACTTTTAACTATGAGATATTAAGAAGATAAGAAGATAAACAAAGTAAAATCTTGGTCCATGATTAATTACTACTGACTATCAAAAATATTGTTTCTGAATCAAAGCAAAGTTTACAGATTGTCACACCCCCACACTCCCTGGTAAGCCTTTCCTTGGAAAATGGAGATTATAAACATTTTTCACTTCAAAGACACACACAAAGAATTTTCTATATCAAACAGAGATCTGTCACAAGACTTTTTCTGAATAAAGTAAGGACCTACCAGACAAGGATACTCCTTTCAAAAAAAATTCATGAATAGTTTTGCATTCACATTCATCAATTGTAAGATGAGATGGTGTCTCTGCATTTATCCTAATAAGCTCAGGGCCCTGTTGAAGAAGCATCAACAAAATAAGTTCCATTGATGATGCATGCATGAGCACAAAAAACACAAAAATAGTGAAACAAACTGAACAATTGAAAAGGAATTCAAGACATTTAAATTATTCCTAATCAATGTTTGAGAAATACCCAAAACATTGACATATGTTAACCAGTTATGCAAGTGTATTACCCATAAACTTGAGGGCAGAAATTCAGTAAATTTTCATCTAAAATACAACTTTTATTGCTCTATGTGGTAAAATTTGTAATTTACCAGCAAATTTGATTGTTTCTGGAGGTTTCGCTCATTGCCTGGAAAATGGCAACCCCTGCACAATGGCAACCCCTGCACAAACATCTTTAAGAATTCTATCCCACAGTAGTTCAACTTGTTTCTCTGATTTCTCACTGTAGGCCAGCTCTTATGTAGCTTTCATTTTCATCTTATTGACAAACATATATTAGTTGCAAGCTTTAGTTATTCTTATCTTATGAAACCAGGCAAATTATATTGATATTACAATCACTGTCATTTACTTTGTTTTGCAAAACATGAATTCATCAACTTGTGGATTGAGCCAAAAAGCAAAAGTCAACTAAAGAGCGTAAAGCAAACCCAAATAATATATCTGTAAAAACAATTTTTTAAATGCCTTGTCTTGAAGCTTTCCCACTTGCCCCTTGTCATTTTCTGCATCCCTACAAAAACCTTACCACATGGAAATACTTACAGGAAGTTCCAAGGACTGGCAGTTGAATCTTTCCTCAAATGCTTCAAGTTCTCTGTTTTGTTTTAAATAGTAATATGTTGCTAAAACAATACCAGCAGATGTTGCAAGAAACTTTGGATCACTAAATATGGCTGTCAAACTTTTTGAGCTTAGCATTTCTTTCAATTTGTCCATATTTGCTTGATCTAGTACGAAAGAAACACTTTTGATAGAACAGAAGAGATATATACATTGAATAACAAAAACATAAAAAATATCAAAATTCTTATTGAAAAGTTTCAGACAACAGTACAAAATGTCATAGGAAATATTATAATTTGATCACTTTTTTGGGAAACACCTCAAATGATCAAAGTTATTGTATTTTGAGAAACATTTTTCATTAAACAAAAGAGTTAAAAAATACCTCTTACCTCACCTAGATAAGCAGTACATATTCCATTTCTCAAGAGGGACTTTTTGACTAAGCTAAATAAATGAGCTACAAAAATAAGAGATGTTTAGAATATTCCAACTACCTGTGCTCAATACCAAATAATTTCTATCTTCGGGGGCAGTTTAAAACTTCTTTTATTGTGGAGCCACTTTTTGCAAAAAAGTTTTACAAATTTTTATGCTGTCTGACCTGACGGCCTATATTAGGTTTTGGGACATGGCATGGTTGACTTACTTCCTATTCCACATTTTCTCTTCAAGACTTTATTATCTCCTCGTTTTATGTTTTTAATTTACTTTGAACTTTGTAGTTTTTTCTTGCTTTATACATTGGATAGCAAAATTTCACTCTTGATATCATATTGCAAAAAGACATTGGACTAAAATTTATGCAGCCTAATCTGTTTGAAAATCGACTAGTGAGGGGGTGTGGCAGGTCTTGCATATTCAGGAGGACAAAATTCTGAAACTTACAGACAGGGGAGTCTGTTATTTCAAAATCTTTAGCATAAACACATTTTACTAGCTTAACCTTGGTCATACATCGAGGAAATTACTAGGAGTTGAGTTTTGAAGAAAAACTGAAACACAATAGCCACAAGCCACTGCACATCTCTTGACGACACGCACACCGGCTCTCTATTTGTTTTGACATGGTCATGATTAAACTACAGGAAGTTCTAGTTCCTTGCACCACAGAGGGTACACAAATTCATTCTAACATGAACATACCTTACCCAACAGGGCCAAACAACTTCCCGGCTTCTTGGCACGAGGACAGTCACCAACAAAACAGCTCGGATCGGAAGCTGAGCAGAAAGCACCTCCGCAGCAACATCTTAACTTGTATTTTTCGATTTCTGTAATTTTCGAGACAGTCCCTTTTCCTTAGAACAAAAAGCTTGAAACATTTTCACTCGTTCCATGAAATACAATGAATAAAACACATTCACTATTCACATAACACCAGTAAATGCATTGACTGGTTTAATTCAAATCATATGACAGCCAATCCATCTAAATTTCAACCACTAATTGTGGGTAATAATGACAATCACATTACAGAATTTTTTATAGATGATGGCTTCAAAATAGATGTAAGTAGCGAAGTAACTCTACTTGGAATTCAAATCGATGAACAACTAAAATTTGACTTGCATATTGATAAAGTCTGCAAAAAAGCTGCCATTCAGCTAAACTCAACCAAAAGACTAGCTCGATTCATGGACAGCAAAAAAAAGAGTGGTGATTGTTAATTCATTTATTCTTTGTCACTTCAAATACTGCCCCCTCATCTGGTTATTCTGCAGTAATGCAAGCCAAAAGAAGCTCGAGAAACTAAACGAGAGGGCCCTACGATTAGCCCTCTCAGACTACACTTCATCGTATTCTAAACTTCTAGTCAAGGCTAAATCTACTACAATTCCTATTCACTCCATTCGGCTGCTAGCACTAGAAGTTTATAAAACTTTGCACAACTTGAATCCAGCCTTTATGATAGACTACTTTCTTCCAAAACCCAATAGCTATAATCTTCGAAAAATGGATACACTATCTGTTCCAAAGGTTAAAACGACAAGTTATGGTATAAAATCTATTAGCTTTTTGGGTCCAAAGATTTGGAATTCTCTTCCAAATGAAATAAAATCATCCAAAAATGCAAGTCAATTCAAAGTTCTTATAAAAGATTGGTACTTTGAAAATCAATGCGCCTGTAACGCTTGCAGTCAATGACTTCCATGATGCAATCACTTAAACTGCTTCATGTTAGTGTTTATTAGTGTTCACACTATTGTCAAACTAACAGTAAGAAAGGTATTATTATTATTATTATTATTATGCCTGTCAAATATATAGACAGAAACACAGTCACTTATTCCATAGAACAAAAAGCTTGAAATATTTTCATTCGTTCCATGAAATACAGAGAATAAAACGCATTCACTATTCCTGTTAAACACATAGACAGAAACACAGTCACTTATTCCATAAAACAAAAAGCTTGAAATGTTTTCACTCGTTCCATGAAATAAAGAGAATAAAACACATTCACTATTCCTGTTGAATACATAGACAGAAACACAGTCACTTATTCCATACAACAAAAAGCTTGAAATATTTTCATTCGTTCCATGAAATAAAGAGAATAAAACACATTCACTATTCCTGTTGAATACATAGACAGAAACACAGTCACTTATTCCATACAACAAAAAGCTTGAAATATTTTCATTCGTTCCATGAAATAAAGAGAATAAAACACATTCACTATTCCTGTTGAATACATAGACAGAAACACAGTCACTTATTCCATACAACAAAAAGCTTGAAATATTTTCACTCGTTCCATGAAATACAGAGAATAAAACACATTCACTATTCCTGTTGAATACATAGACAGAAAAACAGTCACTTATTCCATACAACAAAAAGCTTGAAATATTTTCATTCGTTCCATGAAATACAGAGAATTAAACACATTCACTATTCCTGTTAAACACATAGACAGAAACACAGTCACTTATTCCATAAAACAAAAAGCTTGAAATGTTTTCACTCGTTCCATGAAATAAAGAGAATTAAACACATTCACTATTCCTGTTAAACACATAGACAGAAAAACAGTCACTTATTCCATACAACAAAAAGCTTGAAATATTTTCATTCGTTCCATGAAATACAGAGAATTAAACACATTCACTATTCCTGTTAAACACATAGACAGAAACACAGTCACTTATTCCATAAAACAAAAAGCTTGAAATGTTTTCACTCGTTCCATGAAATAAAGAGAATAAAACACATTCACTATTCCTGTTGAATACATAGACAGAAACACAGTCACTTATTCCATACAACAAAAAGCTTGAAATATTTTCACTCGTTCCATGAAATACAGAGAATAAAACACATTCACTATTCCTGTTAAATACATAGATAGAAACACAGTCACTTATTCCATACAACAAAAAGCTTGAAATATTTTCATTCGTTCCATGAAATACAGAGAATTAAACACATTCACTATTCCTGTTAAACACATAGACAGAAACACAGTCACTTTTTCCTTAGAACAAAAAGCTTTAAACATTTTCACTCGTTTCATGAAATACAGAGAATAAAACACATTCACTATTCCGGTTAAATACATAGATAGAAACACAGTCACTTATTCCATACAACAAAAAGCTTGAAATATTTTCATTCGTTCCATGAAATACAGAGAATTAAACACATTCACTATTCCTGTTAAACACATAGACAGAAACACAGTCACTTTTTCCTTAGAACAAAAAGCTTTAAACATTTTCACTCGTTTCATGAAATACAGAGAATTAAACACATTCACTATTCCTGTTAAACACATAGACAGAAACACAGTCACTTTTTCCTTAGAACAAAAAGCTTTAAACATTTTCACTCGTTTCATGAAATACAGAGAATAAAACACATTCACTATTCCTGTTAAACACATAGACAGAAACAAAGTCACTTTTTCCTTAGAACAAAAAGCTTGAAACATTTTCACTCGTTCCATAAAATACAATGAATAAAACACATTCAATGTACCCGAGCGGTTTGCAATACACGTTACCCAAAATATCTGCATATTCCTATCTAAACGATGTCAAGCCCCGATGCAGAAAACCAATGTTGGAGGAAATGTTGGATGCGTTTGACCACCCATGTTGGGTCACCCAACATTTGCAAACCGATGTTGGATGAAGTTTGATCACGGTCAAAAACAAATTTTGTTTTTCAATGTTGGATGTAATGTTGGATGCGTTTGACCACTCCATCCAACATTTCACCCAACATTTCATTTTCTAGGCATGCGCATGATTCAAACTTCTTTATGAATCCAGACCCAGATTGATTTGGGTGCAACTTTTTTCAAAGTTATCGAGTGAAAAATGAAAAGCAAAAGCAAAGTGCCGAATGAAATAATCTAACAATTAATAGCTGAGGAAAGGGTGGCGGATTAGGACGAACGTAGCACTGACGAGGAGAGTCACAGCAGCGATGGCGATCTAGATTTAGGCATAGGCCTAATGGGAAGCTTTACGTTTCAACGTGTTGTTTTCGAAATCAGCTATCATTATTCACTTTTGTTTTACGCGCCTTTTTATCATCTGTGAATCAGTGCTGCAAACATGTCGCTGCGGAGACGATGAACGGTGATGGAAATGTTGGATGAAATGTTGGGTGAAATGTTGGATGCGTTTGACCACCCGCTTAAAAATATCAACGAATTTTTTAATTTTTTTGGAGTAAAAGCTTAACAAATCTGAGTAAACAGGACCTTTCTGAAAAAAACACATCGCAATAATAATACTATAAGTATTATTATTATTATCAAAAACAAGTTTCCCACTTAGCGATCTACGAATGATTTCATGTTCCCAAAACCTTTTTAAATCTATTGATAAGAACAAAATTGTTAACACATTAGTTTATATTCTGAGTAATTTTGGCAAAGGTTTCCAACTTACTCATTAAAAATAATTTGACGATACACTGCCTGATTTGCACAGAGAAAGTGAAGCACAAAACTTTGAATCTTTTTATAGCTTGTTCTTTCGCTAAACCTTCGCAACTATCTACATAAATTTTAATCCAAATCATTAGTGGATAGAAGCAATAACCGCATCGAGACCTATCATTTCATAAAACCCTTGTCTAAATACAAAGAAAATACATGATTTTATAAATACCATATAAACAAATATCATGAGTAACATGTAATATGATCAAAGACAATGATTTGCAATACAATTTTCAGTTAAAAAATCGTTTACATAAATAATTTCTGTCTTCTTCTCTAGAAAAACCAAATTGGCCATAAAATGGAATCAGGGCTTCTTTGCAGTCTAGGCTAGTTTTATAACAGCCAATCTGCTGACTGAGAATTGTCAAGGTGTCTACGATTCTGAAAATAAAGAAAAATTTGTCATTTCACAGCAGAGAAGAAAAGAAACACATTGTTCACATACAGTATAAGGTATTTGACTAAATACAACAGAGAAAAAATGGGAAGCAAACAGGGCCGAAAATTTGGTTGAATTGCTCATATCATTACCGTGGCGATTTCACAAACTCAAAATGGTGGAAACGAAAGAGCGTTTTTGTGAAATAAATCATTATAAATACAATTTAATGTCAGTGCTTTTTTAGCTTTATGCGCCTCTATTCTTGATATGTGATTTGGAAGGATCATGCAATTTTTAATTTTCGCCCAACCTCAAAGTAAATTAGGAACCTACAGGCTTTACGAAAGACGATCAACTTGTAAAAAACAGTCGGAAAATTGATTGAATGTAGTAGATTATGTTGTTGTGAAAGCGTACTTGGAACCAATAATCAGCAAATTATTTCACCTTTAACTGTATTTGTGAAAAAGTAAGATTTAAAAATGTTATTGAACTATTTTCAAGCGCCTTGCATTGATATTGAAACAGAAAACAAACAAATGCTTCGATATGCAGTGCCTAATCATCGTTGGAAAATTACTTTGACCAGTAGGAAAACCTTTATCAAGAACATTTCTCTAAGACTGGCAATCCTGCGATAATTTTGAATTTGAGACAGACAATAAAAACGGAAGTTCAGTGCAAAAGAAAGCAAGAAACTTACAATTTGCCAAGATGACGCTTTCTGTAGTTTTTGTCCACTACAATATCTTCAACTCTACCCCTCTACAAAAAAGAACGTAAAAATAAAAAATAGGTTGCGATACATACAAATATTGCCATACATAGCTGGCAATATTTTTATAGATTTAATTTTCTAATGGCCTAAGAACAAAGTTTCTCTGAATAAGATATCAATATTGAAGACAAAAAGCAATTTGAATGCAATTTAGGACCATTTGTGAAAATTTTTGATGTACAAACAACCCCAAAGTTATGCAAATTTAGGTCCATTTGTGAAAATTTTTTATGTACAAACAACCCCAAAGTTAAACATATATAAAACGAGAAAGAAGGTTCAAATATGACAAACAATCTTTGACCTCTTGTATAGCAATCGCTGGTAAAACCTTTACCATGAAAAAAAACAGCATTCAAACCTACCAGAGCAGCTTTATGAATATATTTCATTTCAACTGCTAAAGTCCCACTTCCAATAATTCTTCCCTTGGAAATATCTTCTATAACTACAATATAGTAGCTTCCTTTACATGATTTCATTTCAGCAAATCTTTCTAAAATAAAAATGAATGCAAGGGGTGCTTTTAAATAACTTTCTGGAAAAAACAGCACATCAATCATAAAAGCAGCAATTGTCAGAAATATATCATACCACAAAGCAGAGCTATTGATATCAAACTGTATTACATGATCTGACAGTAAACTACAAATGTTAGCAATGAATCATAGAAGTTCCAATCTGTTAATTTTGATTCAGTTAAAGTGATTTAAAGTATATGGAATTGTAATATTTACCAATAAATTTTTCTTTTGAAATATCACCAACAACTGTCAAGTGGGTAAGAAGCTCTAAATATCCTGAAAAATATAGAACAGGATGCTAAGGCTGCATCAAAACATTTTCATCAGATAATAAATTATTTGATGAAACATTGCAAGCTGAAATTTGAAAAATCTTACAAAATATGGTACCAAATAAATCAATACAAAAAAACTTTAAGAAAATCATTAGGATCATAGTTAATAACTCAAGACAACAAACTTGCCGGGGAATAGCCTTCTAACAGTCAGTGACTTAGAGATTCTTCTGGCTACAGATAAAGAAGAAAGAAAAACTCTTCCAAACCCTACTAGCATGGATTACAACAAAGCTATGTTTATTCCTTTAGAATACCAGCATTAAAAACAAAATACATTTCCAAATGTCATTTGGTCCACAACTGCACATTATTCTTGTAATTAGTTGACAAAACTTTGTACCTTTGTCATAATCTTCAGTGTTTAGAGGTCTCATGATAAGATTCTCTCCAGCATTAGAGGGTGAGACCCCATGCTCCACTTTCAGTGGGTTATCAGAGAAGTCAATGCTTTCAAGAATTGACTTTTCAAATAGATCAATTTTGTTCACGCCATTCTGTGAAAAAAAATAGAACTGAATTAGTTAAAACAAAATTAAAAAAGGCTTATGTAGATAAATATAAACAAATAAAAATGAACAACTTAAACCAGTGCATAAAACAGCAGAAAAATGATCAAAAGTTGCATGACTGCTAATCTGTGCCTTATCAGTGGTGAATTCTATTATGTATAGTTGAGATTCTATTCTCAGTTGTCAAAATAATGGTATCATTTTAAATCCTACTTAAAGGTCTACAACATGCACATGTGGTGATGAATTTGTTTCAAAAGCTTATCATATCATCATGCAAAGCAATCTATTTCCACGAATTGTGGTTGCTTAATAGGACCTCTTTAGTTTTGTCTATTTTCTTTTCCTCTCAGAAATACTTAGGAGCCTTTTAGCTTTTAGAAAAAATAGAAGTACAAAAACATGAAATATCTCTCTCATTTACGACAATGTCCTAAGATTATGGCGACTATAAGCCAACATTTTTTCAAAATGCTGAACTCATAGTGTAGATCTCAAAGTCAAAACAAATATTTTCAGACAGCTATGTTAGGAAAATGCCTGGGAACTTACAGCAAAGTCCTAATAAGGGAAATGAGAGGTGGATTAGGAAGAGGAAGCTTCAAATCAGTCCTTTCCGTTTAGCGTGTGCGATCGCACCCACACATGCCTGCACACGCGCAAGTTAAATTGCGCGTGCTTTTCATCACACACGCAAACAGGTGTTTTTGCAGTTTTCTGTTAACATCAAAGCCCATGGTCTTATGATTGTTTATCCTTTTCCCTTGTAACTTGATTAGCACTTTTGACCACAATATGATTTTTTCAAATTTTCAGAAGTGATGTTTGGCTTTTCACTGAATGCTCCTTTCAACTTAGCATCTGGTCTTTCAGCTAAGTCCCCATTAGCATGTTAAGTGTAATAACTGATTTCCTGTCAAAACGTAATTGTGCCCTGAGAGCAAGTAGCTGTTGGAAACAATTTTAATTCGCTCTTGTTACTTTGGAGAGCGACAACGACTTTTGAAAGATGGCTGCTAAGGGCAACAAAATCTGTTATGTATTGATTGAATTGACTTTTGCTCTTGCACAAATTTGAGTGGCTTTTACTTTTCTTGCTCCTTTTACCAATTTAATCAGGTTGGCACTTCAAATTTTCTTACAAGTGTGATTGCAAGCGCAAATTTGTTTACATGTGCGATTTGCCACACACACAAAATTTTGCTCACGAAAAGGTCTGTTAAAGCAAGATATTTTAGTTTTATTTTGAATGAGGACAAGTTAAACCAGGGGGCACCAGAAGAAGATTCAAGGGGTTTCCAGTCAAAGTAGGAGATTTTTCTTATAAATAAAACTACTCTGAGGTCAAAAATAGAAGGGACACTCTCCCCTATTTACTAATTTCCTTAAAATTTCTGCTTGTGTTTCAATGAACATCATTTCAGAATCAATTATGTTGTATTCGTGACTCTTGAATAAGTTCACTATTTACTGTCTGTGTAAATACATTTTTCATTCTTACATCAATGGCATAAGTCTTTGCCAGACTGCACAGCTTTGACACAGGAGCAGTAAACAATTACACAATATAGTTGCTACCAGAGGTGGCCAAATGATTGCTGAAGAAGAGTGAGGAAATTTTGAATTTTGATGCGTCCAGTTGGCTAGGAAATATGCTAATTGAAGCAATTTTTCTACCTTACAATACAACCTTAGTTTTAGAATTATTATACACAAGCAGAAAGCTATTTGATTCCAATTTCTGGGTGTCATTCTTTTGTTTTAGCTTATAAAATAGAATGTGGTGGATTCTCTTGATATCAGGACAAAATCTCTGAATTGTATGGCCAGGACAAAGTCCTGATGTCAAGACAGTTAGGATAAATGCTATGACATGCAGTTACATATTTTGACCTTCTATTCTTTTTCTCTTTTGTTTCTTTAAATTTCTTATGTGTGCATCATCTTTGTGGCATTTCTGGGGGGCATTATAACTCTTTAAGGTCTGGTTTCCTTTTCTCTGGTTTTCCTGTCTCTGCTTCATCATTTGATTTTTGTATTTCTTTTAACTGTTCTGATCACATCGGGCCACTCTTTTTGATAGAAACAGATAAGATGGGTATTTCCATTACTCAATTCTTCTGTCCTGCATAATCATTCTTGCACATAACAATTGTTAAATACTCCAGACAACCCGGAAGTATTGTATTTGTGGAGTTTGTTTCTCACTGGTTTTAGTTTGCAGATGAATAGATAGTGGATCATTAATTTCATAATTTGTGTTGACAACCAAGTTTGCAGAGGAATCATTAAAAAAGCCAAGGCTGCTGAATAAACGGGTGATTCATGACCCTTTGGTGGAGGGTGTCACAGAAAAAGGTTCAAGATAATTTATGAGGTTATAGTTGTTGATAGTTGAATTTTGGTTTTGGATTTCGTAAAGGAGGCATAGGAAAGATCTAGGAGCACCACCCAAAAGAAGAGCAGTACTCCAAGGAATGGGAGACTAGGAACTTATAAATTTTTAAGAGTTGTAATAGTGAGAAGAACCCTCGTGCTCTAGAGAGGAACCCAAGATTTTGAGAGGAATTTTTAGCAATAAAATAAACATGATATTTAAAACGTGGTTGGATGATACAGGTCTAGTTGTGAAACAGAAGTAGAAAGTCCGAATCAGTATCATTCATTCATGGAAGCTAGAGTGTAGAGGAATGTCTGGGTTACATTTTGTGAAATGACAAGGCTGCACCTCGTTGTTTAGTTTGATTAAACCTAAGAAGACTGTCTTTCCCCCACTTCTCAATTATCGCAAATAAATCGAAAATAAATTCAACAACAACGGATTTTTATATACCTTATAAAGTATGTAAATTTATAGCTTACACTACAGATAAGGTGTCAAGAGGTAGTGTAGTGACTCTGTTGTAGAGGTACGGTTGTGTAACGCTGTAAGTCAACATGGAAAACTTTTATGTCCGCCCTTTTCTAATACAATAAAATTAATTGTAAAATCAAAGAAATAATATCACTCACCACAGCCATTCTTGTGCGACCCAATTTCGATGCGATCAGCTAAAACCTTTTTCCAGTGGCGTCGTTTACTTGATGAATGAAAATTAGGCCTGTTTTCAATGCAATGAAAATTACGCCTTTTCACTTAGTTCTTTCTCATCATCTGGCTTCAGCAGAACGTTTAAGACTCGTGCTACAATTAAAAGTTATTCTGGAATATTTTAAAATCTATTCCTTTGTGTGATTAAAATCTAAACGATATCTACTGTCATTAATGCGGCAAAAATAAAACTGTTCCACGTCGGAAAACGACTAAACGAGGCCACAATGAACGCGAGGCTGCCCCTTTTCACACAGTTCGTAACACAGTTCGTAGTTTACTTTTTGTCAGCGACTTCACTGTTTTAATTTGATCCAGAAAGGAAACTCCAGTCCAAAGCATGTCATAATGACGTAGATAATCAGGAGCTACCTATTACATACCCAACTGAATATACGACCCACATATGTGAAAATCTTGAACCGATACTCATCTCTCCTCGAAAAGAGAACCCTCTAAAAAATAAGTATTTTTCAATCCAAATTATCTCCCTTTCACCGTCAAAGCTGTATTCGGCAGGGGCGGATCCAGAAGAAAATTTGACTGTCTCACAATCCAGCTGAGGGTTTGGGGTCCTGAAGGTGCAGGGGGGTCACAAGCTGAAATTGCTAATTCAACATCATTTTTTCATTACGAATTCTCTGTTTCTTTATTGTGCTCTTGATGATTACAGGCATTGTAGTTGCCTTACACCATTATGTTTTCCAGAGAGACATAAAATGTACTCTTGACATTTCTTTACACAAAAATGATAAAAAGGGATCAGTAACTAGAATAGAAGCAAGAAAACCCAAAAGTACAATGACATCAAATTATGAAAGTAGGATAGCAGCAATATAGAACAACTATAAAAGAGCATTAGGCAAGGAACAATAATACTATCCCTAGCAAGTGATAGAGCACAGAACAGAATAAGACATATTTTCCCATTGATGCATATGGAGTTTGAGCTTTATAGACAGTTTCCATCTGTAGTGGATTTAATGTGAGATTGAAATATAACTTGCATCAGGCTTTTGCTTAAATAAATCTACATTAATATTCATAAAATTTACTTAAACTAATATTACTGCTGCTTGTCAGGTTATGAAACACTAAAAACATATATTTATTGTATTGCTGTTGAACACTAAAAACACATAATGCTGGGAATCCAATTTTAATCAAATTTGTGTTGAAATGGAGTCAAATAAGACACTCAAGAATATTGGTTGTAGTACAAATAAATTAGATGGAATTATTTGTGTACATTTTAAGTAATAATAAAGTTGCTTTTGAAAATTTTGATAGTTTCTCTCCAAAGGCAACTCTTTCATGAATTGCAAATGATAGTTCATAAAAGGCAGCCATTAGCTGCCAATTCTTTTGTTGATTAAACACAAAAATTATATTGACTCAAAAAGCTTTTATGAATAGAAGTAGACCATGGCATCTCTGAGGGTCCACTTTTGTCAGGTATCAGAATAAACCTATATATCATTTCATAATACATATCAAAATAAAAAAAACGTCCAAAAAATACATGATCATTTGAAAGGGAAAATGGGTCAAAAGAAGTGCTGATCGTTTTTAAATTAGAAAGGGGAATAAATTGTAGCCCTAAGTAAGATATTTCAAAATACAAGCATATGAACAATTTAAATATTTGCTTAGATCACAAGAAAGATCACATAAATTTATTCTACTACATGGTTTACATAAGTTAACATTACAATGTCATTTCTTACACTGTCTCTCAATGGCAAGATTCACCTCCTTTTGGGTGTTTCATCATATCATATCATTTCAGGAAATTAATCGGAAGGCAGAACCACCAGGGAGAGTGTTGGTACCAGAGTCAAATTATTTGGACCTAACTAAGCATTCATAAATGAGAAATTGCTACAAGCTTTTTAATTAAAATCAAACAACGTCTCTCAGAAACCCCCTTCAGCCATCAACCCAAATTTTCTGTTGCTGTTGTTGTTGCTTCGTTTGTTGATGAAATTTAACCAAAGCAAAGGGTAATATGTAAAAAATTTCAGAACGACTGTTATAAGCAGGCTGTACAAAAAAATTTGCCTTGAATACCTCGCCGCAGCTACCCTCTCATTGACTGAAGGCTACACAACTACGCCTTTCTTTGAAAGAAAAGAGGCTGCAAACTTGTCAGTTCAGTGCAATAAAGTTGACAACCCTTTCAAGAGTTTCAAGTCTTGCTAGTTCTGTATGTTTTAACTCAACTGGCCCTCGGAACTCCTCTGCCTTTATTAGTTCTTCCACTCTTTGCAAAAGCTCCATTTTAAGGTGTTTACAGGAGAAACAACACGATTTTCATCACAAATTTTTCACACATCATACATTGCAAAATGCCGGGTTTGCACTGGGCTCCTTCGGGGTGGTGGGCAGCAAGATGAACTTTACACAACATACGTCTCACCGATGCCGCACAATCGCACAATTTGATTGGTGGGATGATGCCTGTGCGAACTTTAAAAAAACCATCAGTCTCACGGATACCCCGAATCTGATTACATTGGATCCCTGCGATTTCCCCGATATCATTTTTATGGATCCTTGACTTTCATATGATTACGTATACTGACTGAGACACTGAGACCAGGCCAACTACAGTAACCAGGGGCGGATCGAGACATTCTCAACATTCTCAATTTAGAATGTCAGATTTTCCCAGTTTGATTATTCTAAATAAAATGCTAAAAGTAAAGAATGAGCTCAGATTTAAGATTCAAGATAAGCATACATCTTTTTATTATGTATTTTAGGTATTTATTTCTACATAATCGTCGTATTTGCTATATTTTACTCCGTTTTGCCTTTGCGAAACATTTTTATATCTTCTCCGATGAAAAACCAAATTCTCCTTCATTGAACCTAGTACCCAGGAGAGTAGTAAGAGGCTGCGCCGCGTCCTGTATCTAGGCATGATTTTTAGAAAGTTTATCGACTGTTGCCATGCATTTTGAGAAGTTCCTTCGCATTTTTAGAAAGTTGCACGCAGTTTCTGCATGCGCACGCAGAGAATTTCAATTCATTTTTGTCCCTTAGAAGAGGTCGACCTGAAAGATTTTAACGAGAGGAAAATTCGCCAGAATGACGTATTAAACCCATTCACTTTTAATAGGGTATATCTGGCATATGTTTAACATATATTTTATGAGGTCTTGCCTACGTCGCAGTTTGAGAATCTTGAGAAGTTAGTGGGCTGGTCCACAAAGTAGCTAAATTTGACAGGGAACACCAACTTCACGTGATCAAGAATCCACACTCCACTCCAGACTACAGTGGCTGTGGCAGTGGCAGTGCCTGGTAATGATTTGTGTTTGTGCTTGATTAGAGAATAATTTCACAAGAACCCATTGCAAGTATGGATGTATTGGAAGAATTGAAACAGTTATTGACCGATTGTGCTTTGGATACCATCGAGGAGTATTTTTTTTCGCTGACTAGGGAATGGTTACTTACAAGTCTGCCGGGAGGGCCTAGGCGCCAGAACCAGATCGTAACACACAACCTTCGACATTTATTGTGGCAAAAGAATTCTTTCATTTTGATGGCTTAACCTTGTTGAACGAGAAGGGGTCAGACTTTGAGGTACTACTGAAAAATTTTATATAGGGGTTCATTTTGTGCTGCTGCTACTGGGCCTAGAGGCTCAGGTGGTAAATTCTGCAAAAAGTTTGTTTTGTTTGCAGACTGGCCCCTCTGGATGCTGGTAAAATACTTAATTTAACACCGATACCTTACCATTGTCTTTCTGTTTTTGTGTAATGTGATTTAAATGTAGAATTCACAAAAATTACACTGTTCTGAATTTAACTAGAACTAGAATATTCATTCAATGATTAAATGGTTGCCTATCTTTGTAATATAATGTTTATGGATACATTTTAGTTTGTTTGAATAGCTATTTAATTTGTTTTAAATAACATGTTATTTATTTGCAAGTTGATTTTCACTTTTGCTGTAATTTAATTTAAAGAACTGGCTGTAAAAAAGTTAAGAGAGATTTTAACAGTTAGAGAAGTCATTACTTTCTTACAGTCTTGTTACTGATATTGTTACCAAGCAGAATAGGATTTGTTGTCACAGCCTTTGGTGAAAAGTTTTATGCTATGGTGGGCTGTTGTGTTCTATTTTGAAACCATTTGACATGTTGCATCTTTGGAAATTTTATGTGGTTAATCATATGAGCTACATGGGCCTATTGTCATACACTGCACTCTTGTTTTGGAGATGCATCTCCTTTTCTGTTTTATTGATACTAAGCCAATAACGAACAAGGTTTATTGAGAATGCAACACAGAAGTCAAAATCTTGAGATATATTTATTTGAGCAAGGTGGTACTAGGAACTGGAAATGCTGTCCAATAAAGTATGTTTTACATTAAGTTAGTACACACAGTAAAGGCAGATAGAATCTGTTTTTAATGCATGTTAAAATGCAGTATTTGGTATGATGTAATCTAGTATGGCAGGAGTTGGAGTAATGGAGTAGTCTTTCAACAAGAAAAATGATGAGAAATGCATTTGTTTGCTTATTTTAGCAAGCCTATTACCAGACTAAGTTTTGATGGAATTGTGGTTTGGATAAAAAGCTAATTTTGGTTAACATTCCTGTGGAAGGAAATATTATGAAGGCAAAAAATTATCATTTTCTTTGACAAAAGAAAGTGCATCTGAAAGCTAAGCAAAGGGAAGTTTAGTATAAAGTGTCAGGTCTCAGAAGATTCAAATTTAAATTTGATGGATCTTCTAAATAGACAGTCATCCCAAAGTAATTTTTCTTCCATGTATTTCCAAATGATGAACAACAAATCTGAAACAGATATACAGACTTTGACTTTGATGCAGAAATATTTTACTCTAAAGCAGTGCAATTATCATATGCCAAAAGATATGATGCATTTAAGAGAGTTAGCATCCAGAAAGAAGTTGACTAGCCTTAGCAGTCTACTTTTGTTGCTAGAAAAGGTTTTTGCCCATTTCTTTGTCCAAGTTTCTGTGGCTTGTATACTCTGAAAGTGCCTGCATTTTTAGTAATTTCATTGGTCAACTTTTCTCTTCTTATGTTAATAATTCTCTTCTATGATGAGTCTTGTGCCCTTAAATTTTTATCAATCATTTGGATGTCCACAAAACTACACTTCTTTCTATAAAATTCCACATGTTAAACCATTAGAAAACCAAGCACAATTTGCCACACACATTTTGTCTTGATCTTTGTGTTATTTTTCCCTGCATTACCCAATTTTCAATTACTAGTGTTGCTATGCTTATTAAGTAATTCTTTAATGTTGCATCATTGTTGTTTTTTGGGCAATAATATGAGGGGGCAAGCCTATTTTTTTGATAAGATGACATCACATTTGTCCATTCTTTTTAGAATAAAAGACCTCTGTCTTCCCAAAATGTTGGAGAACAACTACCTCCCTTCATCTCCCCTGGGTGTCTGCCACTTCTTATTGTTTGTTTCTATTTCTCCTCTTAAAATTTCAATAATTTTAATCATTGCATCCATAAAAGACAGAAAACAATTTCTTGGGCGTTTCCGGGAAATGGGCGTGGTCGGTCGGTCATAATGGGTTTTGAGAATGTCAAATTTTTGTCTGGATCCGCCCCTGACAGTAACGATACTTTGCACTAAACGAATGGTTATTTTTTGTACACATCTGAAAATCTGACTGTCTTACGTGCGAACGGTGAGACAGTCTGGATCCGCCCCTGTGTATTCGATCAAGAACTCTTGAAATTCTCAAGTAATCCCATCCTCCTAATGCAACATTTTGCTAGAAAGCTTTTAAAATAGCTAGTCTTATTCCGAAAGTCTTCTTCAGCAGCATTATACAGTAGATAACCACATATAAGAACCTACTTTTTGGAAACCAGACTGATTTGGTTCTTATATAAAAAAGATTCATGAAATATATCTCGAGGGTTTTATATCAAGATTTTTATTTTGGCAAAATACACTATACGAAAGGGAATCATTGACTACATACCTAATTTTCAGAAAAAATTTTCACTGAACATATTGATGATAATAGGGTTGTCTTGAGGGCGGGACCCTTAAAAAACCTTTGCTGACCACATCCTAAGTTTGTCATTACGATCGCTCTTGTGTTTGCTGTAACTTTGTTATGCCAATGTTCAAAATTTTGAAGGGAATGTTCAATGTTCAAATTTCAAATTAAACGGGTATTCGTTTCTCGTCGCCGTTTTGCTTTGTTTCTGAGTTTTATCCTCGTATTCATATTATACTCATTGCAAGATTCACAGAATCCGGCGGGCGGACAGCCTATCATGCAGTTCTTCCCTCTCACACATTATACAGACGGACCTGTTTAGGCCAGTTAGATGTTAGATTTCAAATTCAATTATCAATTATCTTATTATGCAAAATGGTACCAGCCTACCAAATGCTATTTTGAATAAACTATTTATTCTACAAAATCAGAACCTGTTTCAGAATTATGGTAAAAAGTTCGTAAACAGCGGAGCAAATATTTTAGATTTCCAGATGTGGGTTCTTATTTGAGGAAGCTCTTTTCAAGTTGGTTTTTACAATATTGATAAAAAAAGGGTCATCAATATAAGCTTAACTTTTACTTAACTCTTTTTTATAAGAATATTGTATACTCAGGTTCAGTGCCATCCAATTTCTAAGATTGCTATAAGAATATTGCTTGGCCTCAACTCGAATATTTGTGTCTCATTTTCAGCATTTTTCTATTAAATGTGAAATGTTAATAACAGAGAATTGCATAAATATCCAGTTAATGTTAGATATTAAATATCCTGCAGTCGCTGTTTAACTTAGCAGATTTCAGAATACTTGAGAAAAACGAAGATCTATCGGCTAAAATTATTGAATAGCAGAACCAGGAATGTTAGCTGAACTAATAAAAAACTGAATACCGAAAAAATTAATTCGAAAGTTATTTTACATAGAACACATTGTAGATTATTTGACAAATTTGTCTGACATAATTAATATTTGCGTAATAAATTTACATAATTAGTGTGATACTGACTAACTAAATACATATATATATAATTAATCAGACTATTATGCCACTGCTTTTCTTCAAAACATACATGAAAACATGATATGCCTCGAGACTATAAATATATAAAGCTAGAATATTTCCTACATCATTTGGAGATAATGGCCCCCGTTTGGCATTTAACACGCATATTTACATAATTTCTGAATTTGCAATTTACGGCTTAAGCTTACTTTCTGATTAACTGATTAACACGATAAAAAATTCACATTACTGAGTACTTTACACTGCAGCTAGAAAAGTATCTTTTAGTTCTGTTATTTGGCTGCAGAAAACATTTTGCTTATTGAACATACAATTACATAAAAGTCCACTTAAGTGATGACCACTAAGTATAGAGGCTGCGCAACCATGTTCCTTTTATCAGTGTAAGATAATGAAAAGATTATAATGATCGATACTATACATGGTACATGAACGCCGTCGAAACTTGAATTACGATGCATGTTGTCGAAACTTGAATTACGCGGTGTCGAAAATTTAGGAAACTGTAGAGAACCAGCCGCATATATAATGATGACGTGTGTTACTTAGCCAATGGTAAGAAATTCTAAATATTGTCAAGTAGCAACTTCTATCTCCCTTGATTGTTACGTCCTGCTTCAACTCTACAAACACTTACTTTTACGGAGAATACCAAACAGTTAATCTTTCTTTGTCTCCCTTTTCATCGAAAAAAGGGCAAGGAATTTGCGACGTCCCTGTCACATTCTTTTTTGGACATGACGACATTGTTGCCTTTTCGTACTACAGATTCGAAATGATGTCACAACAGAGATTTCTACCTTCTATAAAACCCGACCAGTGACTGCAGTTTACGCCAGGAATCAATGATTCTGGAAGCGAGGCAGAGAGGTCAAGCTTTGCAAACACCTGAGCTCATGTCATAAGCTGGCCTACCATTTTCTTCTTGGAAACAATTCCATCCCGGAAACATTTCCTCCCTGGAAACATTAGTCCCGTTAGATTTACAGCTGCAGGTCGGGTTTTTCTTCTCTTTCCCTTTTAATTGCACTCATTTTCAGTCCAGTTCTACCACTCTTCCCAACCCTTTTTCTACCTTTGAATTTATTCATTTCGTCACCAAATACATCTCCTGTCCGTAATGCTGAAATCAAATCATCAAATTCGCCGGGACTTCTTTCCGAAATCGATTTTCGTCGCTCTTCGGGTGGTCCATTCTCATTCATTAATTTCTTCGCAGCGACTCTATGTCGCTCTCTTTCTCGTTGCTAAAAATAGGAAGATAGTGGTTTTTCAAAGAGATTTAAAAACATTTGGAATTTTAAGCATCGAAGGTCGCGCAAAATGTCAAGGGTCTTTAAAATATCAGTGGTTTAATATCAGATGGGATCAGCCTTAAATAGTTTCAAAAATCTATTGAATATTCATATTGAATTTTGAGTATAATTATTATGAACATCATCAATATTAAATATAATTATAAATCTATTGAATATTAAGCTTTATCTAAGTACTATTATAAACAATGTAAAATTGTTAACAAATTGATTTTATGATGGTATTTTTACATACTAATATAGCTTCAATCTTATATTGTCTTTAAGTTTTATCCTCAAGCTCATTAAAAAACAGTTTTAACTGAAGAGCAATCGTTCTGAAAAGAACTTGAATTAGGAATGGGAATATGAATGGCCTTATTGGAAAGCACTTTGCATAAGTCAGTCTGTATTTTTAACCAATAAGAGGAAATTACGCAAGATACTAACCACTGTACTCAATAGGAAAAACAGTCTCAAGGAAGAAAAATACAAAATGCACGGCTTACCTCAGCTAATTCTCTTGCCTTTCTCTCTTCTTCTTCTCTTTTCTTCCTCATGGCAACATTTTCTCCTTTTACTTCCTATAAGAGGAGCAATAAAAGGGTTGAAGCTTGGAACGCCCAGCTAAGAACAGAAAGCTACACGCTACACAGAGGTGGAAAAAGTATCGGAACCTGGGAACGTAGTTGCCAGAAATTTTTCGAGATGAAAATGTTAGCAGAAAGTTTCACAGAAACTTTTTGAAGTGTTAAAGTAAGTATACAAATCTGGTGACATAGGTTCAGACAAATTAGCAGAAAATATTATTTCAGTTCGCCTGTGAGCAGCTAAATTTGAGCTGCCAAAGGAATGTGGGAATTAGTCTCTTTCCATTGGAAAGAAATTCTTTGTGCACATTTTTTTCATTCACCATCTCACAGTAATCTCAACCACTCACAATCAGAATTTTTTTAACAGCTGGGCTTTTAAGACAAACCATGACTAAGACTCAGATTAATATAGGGACTGGAATCTACTTTCACAGAAAATATTTCTGGCACTATGGTGTGCGCAGCATTGATCATAAGTTAATATGCTTGGTTACATTAATCTGTTGCATGCTAGGACTCCATTTTAACCACATATTGCTTCTCACTTGTCAAAAGATTAGGCTAAGTCATAAAATGCACCATACAATTCAAATGATTTTCCCCCTGACTCTTCTGAAACTATGTTTGGAGATTATTGCATTGATTTTCCTTTTGATTTTGGTTTTCCATCATGATTGATTGAATGAATCGATTTCTAGCTAAAGTTAATTTCTTTCTTATGTTCATTTATGCATTAAGTAAAGGCATATCTAATATGTTGAGAATGACTGTTTTGGAACAATAGTCAAGATCTTCGATGTTAAATGACACTGATTATGTTAAGAAGTTGATTGCCTGACAATTTTTTGCATTTGATTTAACCTTCTATAGAAATACTTTGAGAAAAAAAAACAAATTAAGCATTAAAATAAAAACAAATTGAACATTCAAATGAGAAGTATCATACTTCTTAGAATTAAGTTTGCCCTCTTTTATACATCAACTAAGTATAGAGTAAAAAGGCACAAACAGAAAGTTTATTTGTCTACCCCCTAAATCTTGCAGAAAGTTTTGAGCCAGATTCTTAGGTTCCCAGAAAGAAAAAAATTGTTTCCACCTCTGACGCTACATTTCAAGCCAGTGCAGAACAAAGTCTAATCTAGTTTGAAAAAGAGTAATATAACTTATTCACATTTATAAATCATATAAGATCACATATAAGATATAATAAGAGGAACTTAATATATCTTAATAGCTCACAAGCAACTTTTAACAACAAACTAGGATCAAAGGATACACGACTCACCGAAAAAGAAAGCAAGAACGAGTCGAAAATGCCAAAGAATTCATCCATAGTTACTTGCTTAGGATCTTCGCCGAAGAACACAACTGTCTTTTCAAACTAAAGTCGAAATGAATACAGCATGAGAAATACTTGGTTAAAATTCCACGCAAAAAGTAACCACAAAAATCATCACATTATAAAAAAGAAGTAACAGGCAGATAAGTTTAGGTTGTACTTAATATATTCACAAGAAACTTGAGAAACATCAACATTAGATACTGTGGCTGTGTATTTATGAAACGCTCATATTTGATTACAGCTAAATGGTAAAAAAATAGACATCCTAAACAAATAGGCTGAGTTTATCGACAACCATCAAGACATGAACTCAACAAGTTACTTTACTTTACAATAATTTGTATCATAGCTTAACTTCTACATAAACACATCTACTAGCATAGGAAGCGAAACTCTACTCACCTTTTCTTTCATTTCATTAAATTCCTCTTCGCACTCTTTAACAGAGAAATTAGTCAATTTAACGAAACTTGTCATGACTTCCACAAAACGATCGTTTGGTAGTCGTTCTTTTTTCCTTTGCTGAAGCTCAAGTTCCTAAAAAAGACATTTAGATTACTAGTGAAGATAAAACAAAATTTGAAGTTAAAAAACACGCCACGCGATATCCAAGACTGAATTAGCAAGATCACAAAGAAAATAAGGTGTTCTCAATAAAAAACACAAACCTTTTCTACGTCTCTCAAGCCAGACTTTAAATGATTTACTTCTTTCTGAATGTCCGCTATACTGTAGGCAAATAAAACCAAGATGGTAATTACAGAACTTAAAAAAATGAACTAGTTCATATAAGAGTGTACCGTGGAAACAATTGTCAAACTAAGAAGAATTGCAGCATTAAACACCGCGAAACTACGATTCGTAAAACCATGATGATAGTAAACATTTGAGATCAATCCTTATTTGCATAAAAAATGAGAGCACGTTCTTGGTCACCACGGTAATTTACAGACACATAATATGGCCCGCAATCGAGCATTCGACATAAAATTGAGCACTTTTTCGGGGAAAAACGTAAAGGTCATTATTTTTAAACAATGAATCTAAAACCTTAGCGACTGATGATGCAAACCGCGAGCTTTGGGAAAAACTTTACAAGTTTCCTGTGAAGATTTAAAATTTTGTTAATATTTTTAGATGAAGAATCCCAATACAACTTGCTAAAAGTGTCACAGATAAAGACAAAGCAGCTTTCTTTAACATCAAGGAAAACAGCTTAAAGGAAAATTTACCTGACTTTAGCTGCCATGCGTACGTCAGGAAGGTCGTTTTCTAACTTGAACACGTCACTGAACTAAAAAAAGGATAAAAATTCTTTGATTATCATCATATCCTGATGTGCTTCTAAGTGTATCAAGTGTTTTGTTACTCTGCCGTAGGCAACAAAAAAATTTAATTTGATTTCTTCTTACATTTACAAATAAACAAATGTATTCAATGACATCGATGATGATGGACGAAAGTCTGTTTTAAAAGCAAAGTTTGAATTCGGTAAGTACCTTAAGCCGTATCTTTGTGGAATGCTTGTTCATGGCAAACTTTGATTTTAAATTACCTTATACTCTAACAAAGTTTTTCTCAAATATTGAAAATAAAAATATTGCTTTTAAAATATAAAACCAAATTCCATAAACATGCCTTTCGTTCCAATAAGTCCAAGAGATAATGAAATAAAGTTATTTTTCTATCGACGCTTGATTTTGTATCAATTATTTTGTTGAGACTTGTCAGCCTGAAACCTGCGTGAAAAAGAAAGAAAATGCTTCAATAAATTTGCGAAGTTCAAAAGAACTTAAACATTTGATAAATCTCCATACCTCTGACAGATAACTATGCATCTACTTCCTTATTTTGCTGAAGTCTTGATAAACAAACGACAGTAGATGTGAACTTGGATTATGCAATCCCATTATAAAGTTGGATTTAGAAAAATTGACAGAACAATCATTGTAGAAAATAATTCACGGGGAACTAAACATATCTTAAAGAATCCTACATCTTTAAATGCATCGTAGTCTAGGACTCGTTGTATTATCACAATATTCAAATACGTTTTTGGTACCACAAAATTTGAAGATGGCATGAATTCGGTCTTCAGAAAACCTGAAATTTCGAACCGTTCCAACGAAACTCTAGCGCAAGTACAAAATAAACATCTTTGGTCTTGACAAAACAGCTTACGAATTATCTACAAGTTCTTGGTTTAAATACTAGCTTTACCCTAGACCTTGCGTTAATAAAATCAAGCATTGCAGTTGATAAACAAGCAAGCCAACAGCTTCTTACCTGCAGCGTTACCCCTCTGACCCCTGTTCATATAGTTTCCAAGAACTAAGACAATCTGAAAAAGGCTTCGCAGCTTTTTACTTCTCGAGAGTTCTTTACATGCTTTCACCACAGCTGTTCAGTAAAGGAAATAAATTGAAATATAACTATTTACAGAAGATAATTGTTGACTAAGGTCAAAATGCCATACAAATCTCGATTTTCGAAATTCTGTAGATAAAGTCAATTATAAACAAATGGAAAGCATCGAAATTGTTCCTTAAAAGCTGTATTTTGTATTTGTAACCCTTGGAAAAGCCATGCAAAAATCATGAGATATTTCAAATGCCACAATTAGATCACAGATCATCATTTTCTGAAGCAAATATTACAAATATCTCTAGGAAAAATGTATTAATTTTTCCAGTATTTGACGATTTTGACTGGCTAATACCTTTCATAGACAGAAGACATATTTTAACAGAAGGCTGTAGGAATACACATTAAAAACTGCTTGATAAAGATCAAGGGAAAATAGGCAGACGATTGCGTACCTTGAATTTGTGGTCTCAGTTCAGCCATTCGATCAGTGAATGACTTTTTATAAAGCAATGCCTTGAGTCTTTGTTCATAGTGCGGGATCCTTGAAAGAAAATAAACCATTCAAATACAATAAGAACTAAATACAAAATAGAGCGAAATTATGTATCACAAACGAAAGCAACAATTAGTCGAATGTGACAAAGAAACTTTCTTGAAATTCAAGTCCCAATTATTTTTTCCGTTTAAAAAATATTTTCCTTTTATCCCCAAATCATATATAAATCGGACAAAGCAAAGCAAGCTCGATAAAGATGCAACTTGAGCACAAACGGAGAACAAGAAAGTAGAATGGAAAAGAATTGAAAGTGGAATTTCAAAAACACTTTGACTGAAATTCTATATGTTGAACCCATTAGACGAAACTTCAAATTATGACACCATTGCGATTTGGATGGTTATAAGTAGATTGGTAACTTGTGGAAAGAGCAGTAATGATACGGTAACTAGAAAAGATTAATGATTCAACTGAAGGGGAAACAAACGATGCAATTTGTTGAATGACAACTACAATTTTTGAAGAATTACAGTATTACAATCAAATACAATCTTATTCAACGTAGAGATAGATTAATAAGTATATACACAGTAACCAGGTCCGATCTCAGTCCGAAAAGTAACAAAGCACTGTTCAGAGAATATAAACTATTTCAGACATTTAAATTGTAAATGTTTATGATTTCAGACCTTTAAATGCAAATTTTATTCAAATATTATGCCAGGTAAAAAAAGGCTTCTTGGTGTAAACACGAAACAAGTGACGAAATTACAAATTACCTGCTCATTTCATATAAAAATCGATCCGACCTCGCGAACAGGTCCAGTTGGTCACCGTGTCCATTCAGCAAATTTTGCTCATCTGGGGAAGGCACAAACTTAAGCATTTGCTCCAGCATGTCTTTTGACAGCTTTTCATCAGAATCCATCGAAAGAATAGCATCGACAATTTCTTCATTTGGAAGTCTAATTTTTGACAACAGAATCTGACAGTTCTACAAAGAGAAAGTGAACATTTTTCAAATAGGTGGAAAGGTGAATTCTTCTTAAACTATCCGCGACCAACGATGAACAAACAAACACGGAATAGCCTATTTCCCCAGGAAATCAAACGTTCTCTCTCATATTTATCTCACAAATTCAAGTAAAATACTTTATTCTTTTCTTGTTAACTTGCAAAGCAGTTGATCTTTGTAGAAAAAAGAAAACACATTGTATGACATTTGTCCTGGAAACGCTGCTGTTGCTATAAAACCAGCCAGATGTCATGACACACACAGATTAATAAGGTGTTTCTGGGACCAAATCAAACTCACAACGAATCAACCCCGGGTGGTTTATGGACTTGCACCTTAAACTGTTTAAGATTTACTATTTCAGTTAACTCTCCTCTTATAACATTCAATCGATCCGTTCTTTTACATCAATTTTACCTGTGCCCGCCGATTGTCGAGAAAGGAGAGCTCCTTTGGTTGCACGACAACAACCTTTTTCGTGAAATCCTCTTCGTCTTCTTGCTCCTTCTAAAATAAGGAACGAAAATTATTGATCACATAATGACAATATATGATAAAATAGAGACAACATTTTCAAAAAAGGCACTGAAAATCTTATAAACCAAACCTGCTCTTTTGACCTAGCTACGAGATAAAATCAAACGAAATGCAGGAGCAAAATCTATTTTTAAATCAAATAGATTCATGCCAAAAATACGAAAGTGAATGAACTCGTCTCAATAAAGGTTCAAGAAGTGAAAATATTAAAATTTCGAGTCAGGTTTGTCTTAAAATATGTCACATAAATCTGTATTTAATACATTAAAGATTAGATACCTCCTTCTTTTGGAATGCTGAAAACGTTACATCGATCTCTCCGAAATCCAGTTGTCGAATTATCTAAATCAAAAAGCAAAAGTTTTGAAAACAAATTCATGACGATCAGTATTATTTATTGCATACACGAGGAAACAATTTACAAATGGACTGAACATCTTAGTAGCGAAGTAGCATCTGGTTAGTTACATTAGAAGTTGCAAAGAAAAACACAATTCAATCAAATCACAATACATATTTACTACATTTATTTATTACATTTAATAGTCAAACGATCCTTATTCGTGTATTTTCTAGTATAAAAAGGAGAGAAAATAAAAATTTAATATGCAGAAATGCTGATCAACGGGTTGATTGTAAAACACACCTCTGAATCATCAATTTCCGTCCACAGAGTGCCTTTAATTTTTTGCTGGAGAATAAAACATTAAAATCTTAAACATCAACTAAGTTAGGTATCAACAAAAGGTCATTTTCATAAAAGTCTGAAAGCATCAGACAAGTCACAGTCGTAAACTGGAACCACAGCCAGAGCTATCTTTTAGAGTTATCAAGAAGACTTTCAAGTATGTGAAAATAGACCATAGTACTATAATTCAAAGCATGGTGCCTATGTGCCAAGTACCAATGAATATTTTGGGAGGATAAAAGTACCAGATTTGATAAAATATTACTTTAGATCTAGCTTTTTGGGTGAATTAAGGCAACAGAAGATCATTCATGGCATGATTTTATGACTTACATTGTGGATAAAGTACAAAGAAGTTACATAGCACAGATAAAGCTGGAAATCAAAGCATTACAGAGAACTGTTTTCTACTGATGACGGTACTTACATCGGGTATTTTAGCCCAATTGAAAGATTTCAATGGATTCGCCGGTTTTGGGAGCTTATTCTTTCGCCTTCCGAAAAATCCATCCCCTCCACCACCTTGACGACGAAAAAAGAATACGTCATGAAGTGCTCGATGCCGTAAAGGCAGAACGGTTAAGAATGTGAAACAGGATGATCCTAGTACCAGCGGATCTAAATATTATCTAGTTTCTTTCAGCCGATTATTTCTAAGCTTGTAAACATGCTACATGCTACGATGACTGTATCTTGCAGTTGTAAGGACCATTACTTCTGTGCATAAATTTGTATAATTATTAAAATATGCCTTAGAGCTGATTCAAGGCTCCATTAATGCCCTAAATTGTAAATACAAGAAAAATGTCAAGAAGCAAACAGGTGTCAGCATTAACAGTGATAAGCAACAAACCAAGAGAAATCAATAAAAACTCCACTTCAAGCTGTTATAAAAGATACCTAAAATGTCGATTTTGGTTACATGTTTCAATGAATAAGATATATTATAACAATCGTACCAACTGGAGGTGGAGGCGGTGGAGCACCAGGTCCTCCAAAAAGTGGCGGAGGAGGAGCAGGCGCTGGCGGCGGTATACTGTTAGGAATGTTTTGAGTTGTCGAAACTGGAGCAGGGGGCGGTGACGGCGGTAATGGTTGCACGATCATTGCCCCCATGCTTTGTAGATTTGATATTTTTGCGTCATCGGGTATCGATGATCCAACTTGTTTCACGATTTCTTCAAGTCTCAGACGGTTCACTGACTCAAGATTCAACTGAAAGGGAAAGGGAAGTGTATTACCTAAAGCATGGGCATTTAACACCACAACACAGATCTTAAATGTCATGTATTGAGGAAATCAGAGAATGAAGTCCTTCAAATTAGCTTCGAAAAAACTTTATCCACCCTGGCACTTTTTGTCTCAATGGTTCCTTCTTAAATTGGCGGTGGCTGCCCTATCGCAACACTGGCCATGACAAAAAAGGTTATTAAAGCAGGAAGACATGAATGATTGGTAAAAATAAACAAAATTAAATGAAGAATTTCAAGCATAATATTTAACCTGCTAATAAAATAGATTTCTATAAAGGAAATATTAAAAAGAAAATTAAACTGGTTTTTGCTATGAGTACCTTGTTGTTTAGGTCATTCACTTGAGCGTTGAGCTCTTCGATTCTCCTGTTTAATTCTTCGTTAGTTTTTGATTCCTTCTCCAGTTTGTCTGCCATTTTGTCCACTGTTTGCCTAAGCTCATTCTGCAAAACAAAAGTTTGCAGTTTAATGTAGTGCAGAATTTCGTAGCTCGGTTTTTTGTACTACAACAAGCCAATATGGCACATGGAGTTGATACAACGTTTCGCCCATCTTTTTAGAATTATGATATAAGCTTTCGTCTCTGATTGACTGGCATATCACGACGATTACATTCAAAATCAAATGAGTATTTAGAGACTTCTGTAAGCAATCTAATCGACAACGTAAGTCTACATTTTTCTCTCACACTTTCGCTCAGAATTTTTAAAAAGAAGGTTTTCTAAATACTGGCTATCTCAGTTTTAATAAACGAATGTTATTTATTCGAAAACGAAGAAATGATTCAATCGTATGCATTTTAGACACTTTTTGGACACTGTTTCTGTTTATTACTGTCAAAGCTACCATATCAGCAAACTGGAGGCAATTACTAGGCAACTAGGCATCTGACATCCTTTCCCAATATCAGGCTGGCAAAATATAAAGTCAGTTTGAATTCGCTTACCGCTTCTTGCTCTCGTTTCGCTAACTTTGCACCACCTTGAAATTACAAAAATTTGAATCAGAAACAAAATATTTTCCATCTTCACACGCAGTCCAAAAAAGTCTCGTTTAGAAATAACAAAATGATAATTATAATGACATGTAATCTACAAAGTGGTCATTACAGTATGCAAACACAGAACTGTACTGGCTGGGCCTAAATTTGTAATAGTTTCACATCTGTCTCACCTGCCCAATAAAATTCCAAGGCCAGATTAATGAAAAGTAAATGGATAATAAAATAAAGGTGTTGCTTCTCCAATCAAGTGGAAAGTAATACAAAAAAATGCAACTTCAGCTTAGTATATTCAATACAATAGAATTTGGCGCCAGTTCGAGTAACTTGTGAATTTTACAATATGAGTCTGGTGTTTCACTCCCTACGAAAATAATCATGATATCCTACGGTTCAGGCATCACTGAAAAAAATAAGTACGTACTGTCATCTTTGAAGTCGTCCATAGTCATTCTAAAAAAAAAAATCAAAAACATGTTCAATAGGTGAGAAAGTAGCGATTATTTATATAATACCTTTATTAAATCGCAAATAGAAGATCAGATCAATTTTATGAAAACATATGTGAAACAAGTTGAATGAACATATTAAAAAACCATATCATTTTCCTGTCTTGAAAAATCTTTAAATATAAGGCTCGTGTATCAACTAAGGGAAATCAGTGAACATTTGCGCCATATAGAAATGCTTTAACATTGTTGCATGTAAGAAAAACCTAAAGCTAATTTGGCAGATAATTTTGAATCTAGATCCTGCATCAAAAGTATTCAACAATACGAACTGAATGCAACATTGTACTAAATATATTTATGCAAGCAAAAACCTAACAGACTAAGAAAAGAAACTATTCAAAAAGACTTTAGTCATGTACGCAAAAAGGTTACGCGTGCAAGTTTTTGCTAATTAAGCGATGCACAGATAGAGTAAGAGAGCAGTTTTAGTTCAGGACTTAATAGATAGATCCGCTGCATAATATTTGCAAAGGTCGATATCAAGGATGGCTTGCTGATAAAAAAATCTTCCATTCGTTAAAAGAAGTTTCCGTGCAGTAGGATCATTGTTCAAGATGCGAATGAGTCATAGTGGCTGATGGCTTTCCATAGTAAACATAACAAAAACAACATACCGCTCCACGATGTACTTGACGTGCAAATCGACTGGCTTCACGTCAGGGTTTGTAGCGCCGTCTTGCTGTAAAACTATTTCTTGAATTATTCTGTCGAGGATTCTCCAATACTCCATAGCACCTTTCTTTTTGTCAGCTAGAGGATGGAAGCGAAAGACATTCATAAGTGAACAACTGGTATGAAAATACGAGATACTAGGTTGGTATGTGCAGTCCTTTTTCAATATATGCGTACTATAGATATTGTTAAAGCGATATTCTATTGCCTAATTCAAAGTGGGAGCCCATACCCTTTCATGAATCTTACTGAAGACTAGGGTGAAAAGCGTATGGTGGAAAGTCTATGAATTTAAAACCATACGGTCCACATGGTTTTGCTAAAACCTTAAGCAAAAACGGGATTTCGTTTATATTTCGCGCGAAAAAAAAACAGAAAATCGCAGGGACCTTTACAATGTTTGGAGAATTGTGAACTGCATATTATAAAGGAATTTTGATTCCTGTCTTGAATGAAATAGAGACCCAGATTTTTTAGGGCGCAAATCGAAATCATACAAAGGATGGGTGAGGGTAGCTGGAACTAGAAATTATGATGTGCACAAATGACGTAAGCGTAAACAAGAATAGGAACGGTAAAAGATTATTATCATTATTACAGATCCATCGTCATTGTTTCATAAATAGTGCAGGAACCTTGTTTACATGACTTGAAATGTGCACAATATTCAAGACCCTCCTACGTTAAAGTAATGAAATCCATGGCAAGACAATTTGAATCGATCAGATATTGGCCTTCGTCACAATGAAAATGATTCTTTGGAGCAGATTTATTACTGAAGATTATATGGGCAATTCAAGCTATTCATCTATCCTATTCCATTTGATGTTTTATCGGCTAATTAATAAATTTTGTTGGGATTGCTGGAGCCTGCGGTCGATGGAGGAATGCAAGACGGGATATTGTTTTGGCATATGTTACCAAACATGTCGGTATTTCATATTATTCTAGATATGCAAGCACTCAAGCGAAATCCACAAAAACAACTCCCTAAGAATTTCAAATGATTGATGTATTCAAAATTACAACTGGGTTATCATTATCTCCTGATGCCTCAAATATTATAGGCTTTTTCACAATTGGAATTGATATAAGCAATCTGTACTTGAAAAGAATTGGAAATATCAGATGTTGAACAACTCTTTTTAACTCCATAAATACAAATTAGAAGTGATATATATAAAGGAAAACTTAAAGCCAAAAAGTACATTAAACCTATTTTCAGATTCCTGAAAACAATTCATACTCATTTTGAGCTGAAATATATGCGGTAAATTTTAGCATACTAAGAAAATAATGAAACAGGGTTTGACGGATTACACCAACCTTGGTTACGAAAGGTTTAGGAAGCAGGGCACATCACACTTAATAAATATGATCCATGATTTTCATACTGGAAAAACTTCGAATTTTTTGGGCTCCAGAGAAATTAGGTTGTATCAGGTTTAATCAGTTTATATGTTGAAAGGCACATGTAGGTAATAATAATTTTAGTTCGAATAGAAACATCAATGTATAACGAAAACAAGAGCAGAATTCTGAAAACGTAATCAGAGATATCATTAAAAACCTGACTGGAAGTGTCACAGAAGCAATTGAATAAAAGTATATCAAAAATCAAACATATAGCCTTAAATGTGCTATGATTTAACATATAGCGTAACCCCAAAAAGCGGAGATGCGCGGGAGCTACACTCCAAAGGAGGTTGTCCTTCATCTGCAGCAACGAAAGTGTGGGTCCTGATAATAAAAGCGTTGTTAGGAAATGTTTTCACTGCATTAACATAAAGCAATATTCTAAAATGGGATTCAAGAAGATACATACACGGCAAAAGCAATAAATGCTGCAGAATTGAAAGCAGGTGTGCATAGCAAGTCGTGTGACCAATCTTCTGTTTCAGGACATCAAGCATGCTGCTTGCACTTTTAGCGTCGATTTGTGGCTGAAAGCGATTGATATCCACATTATTTTATATAAACTTGAAAGTGAGATAAATGTTTAAAGATGGTAGAGAATTTCTACACATCATACAAACTCCTATCCAAAGTAGGCATACCTTTTAATTTCAAAATATTTTAGAATTGACTGAGGCACTAGAAACCTATAAGTCCTTCATTTAAATTTCTTTGCATGGGTATATGTTGCTTCAATTAACGTATATTCACGATTTTTCATCGCATTTCATATATCATGGCTGAGTTGTTCAAAGGTTAAAATAAACAAAGCTTTATAACGTACCACTCCATATCTTTTAGCGAGCTCGTTTTCATCCTCTGATCTGATCATGTCAAAGAAATCTAAATGCCTGAAACGAAAAAGATGCGAAGGATTATTCATCGATTTATTTTTTAAGCATTGTTTAAGGATCTCAACTACGAAGAAAATGATACGTGAATACACTAACGCTGTCAGGATTGACGTAAAACACCCTTAATATGTTTACTGTTTTTACTACCTAAAGCAAGGTCATTTTGCCTTGATGAAGAATTTCAGAACCGAATTTCTTTTTACTCTCAACATCTCCGCGGGAAGTAAACAACCATTGCTAATACGAGTGCCTAGCAAGACATTAATTCGCTGTCTTTAGACGTCAAATTAAGATTAAGAAATTATTCAAAAGCAGTAATATTAGATGACAGATCAGCTTCTCAAGAAACCGGTATCAAGGTTACACTTTGCTTACACCAATGTGCTAGCCTTGCAGCCTTTGCAATGCAGCAATACACTAATTACGCATCAGTCATTTCTAGAATAATGTCATGTAACAGCTGTAATTTACCTGTCCAATGTGACGTTTTCAAGTTTACGTAGTTTTTCCATGACAGACTGTAGACCCAGCATCAGAAATTCGAACCTCAAATGGATTCGAAACTCTATATGATCCTGAAAGCAAATTCATAAAATCCAAATAATTGGAAGTCATAAGAAACTAAAAAAGAGAATTCTTTCTCGCATGTGTTGTCAATCATAGCATCCTTGTGGCTTGAGCTAGAAGACATCAATCTTTTCATTGATTTTCTACACGAAAAAGGGACATTATCCACTGGAACTTCTGTCTTATATGGCATCTTGACTGATTGGAAAGAGCAAGAAATTTATTCATTGCTCTTGATAAACTGTCTGTTAACTTGTTCCGTGCAACGATAATGCAAACTAATATTAATTTTTGAACACACGATGTTAGGTTGACAGCAACATTCTAGCAACACGAAAGTCTTTAATTTGTGCAGCTATAATCCGCGAAGTATTATAGCTTGATCTGATTTAAATGCGCACAAATCTGCAACAGAGCGTGCGCTTAGGAATTTTTTACATATAATAAGCCAGAATCGAGAAGAGCTGCTGGGCAATATTGTCTATGTGACAAGACACAATATGAAATATGAAACATGAACTTTAGCTTGTGAAAAAACTTTGCAACGAAGATAAATGTGCAAGAAATGGCTCTTATAATAGCAGCATCAACTATACATGTTTCCATGGAGAAAAAAGAAGCAGAACTCTGGCCAAGAAATATCTTTAAAAAAGTTGGTTCGTTAATGCTCTAGGTTCGATTGTAACTAACTGCAAAAACGTCATGCTAGGCTGTTTTTGGCTATTGCTCTGCTGGGACAGACCACAACTGGGCTCAGTTTATCCTTAAGTAATTGCCTGGATAATAAGTGGTAAATCTGCTTAAATCTAGAATACAACTAATTACAGGCTAACTTGAATCAATTTACGATATCCCTGCAGATAGTGTGCAGAAGTGTTCTTCGCTGCACAAATCAACTTGTTTACTTTCTAGGAGTAAACGGAATATTAAACGAATAAGTAATAAGTCAGCAACTTACAGCCCCAGCTCCGTATCTTAGTGCAGCATTTATAAATGACATGATTGCGATTTTTAAATTGAATTCATCCTTGTATATACCAGTGCTTCTATCCAGGTCATTGACAAGGGTCTAAAAGATGCAATGCAATTTATTAAGTAAGTCTTTCACAGACAAAAATACATCATACATATAAAGTACGACTGATATTGCCACAAATCCCTGATATATACATCATACGCGATATACGGCATACGATATAAGATATACGGTATGTAGATGAGATAATCATAAGCAGTTAGAAACAAGACTTCCTTCTAGGACATTTTTCGAGAGGCTCGCTTTTATATTTTAACAAGAATATCCATACAAAGGCAGATTTACTACAGTAGCGGACACTTGGTCAAATATTGGGGGGGGAGCAAGCTTATTGTTTTGATAAGCTGACGTCACATTTGTCCATTGTTTTAGAAAAAAAGACCATTACTCTGAAACCATTGATTTACTACCATTATACCCTCCCAGCCAAGCAAAGTTCCTCCCCTGATATTGACAACGTTTTCTGGCACTGCAATAATCTCTTCAGGCTTCCCAAATCTTTCTTTCAAACAAATATTATTCAGGGAAAGATACGAAAAGAGCAAAAACGAGGCACAATTCTTTGATGTTTAAAGCAACTTTGACACCCATTGTACATATATCTAAAATTTCATCAAAATCCCCGAAAGTAGTACCTGGAACCTTGTTCGCTCTTCTGCAAACTGCTGAAAATGAGCCATTGCATCCATTACTTTTTTGTGCCCACCAGGAACCAGGCAGCATGCTCCAAGAATCTCAAGAACTGATTGAAGATTGAAATATATTCTTAAAGAATTTTCTTCAATGGTTTTATTATGATCCTAGTAGTGACATTTCAACGATCAACTCAGATCAAATCTAACATACTTCATCTCCCTCCGAATCCTCTCATTTCTGTAATCAATATCATTTATGTAAAATTCGAAAAAGCAAGGCAAGTTTAAAAAACACCACTAAGAAACTGAAATAACAACAGAATTTCTCAATTGGTAACTGAGCATTAAAAAATGGAATATGTGAGCATCAAATTCGTAACGAATTTTGATGGCATGAACGACAAGGATGCTTGTTAAAAAAATAGCAGTTTCTAGTTTTAACTGTGTTGGTGAATGTACGGCATCTCAAATACTCAGTCTACGCAGCCATATACCTGAATAAGAATACACAAAAGCAAATAAAAATTTTACAATTTTTTATAAGAATCAGGTAAATTTACCGAGCCTAGATGGTTTTACTTTTTGAATAATTGGACGGTTGGATGTCTTTAATATTGTTCTTACTGCAGCAATAATTTTTATCTATATTTACAGACCATTAATTTTTTTAGGTCACTAACCAACAGTTTTGCACGACATTTCTAATAGTGCAGTTGATTAGCTTTTCATTTAAAATTGGCGTTCTATGTTGGTAAAAAGGTGTTCCCTGGTGTAAAAAAGGCGTGCCTTAAATTTTTTTTGTTTTGTCCCCCTAGAGGCTAGTAGCTGGGGCCGCCATAGTTGAGACTCAGCAAAAAATTAGGTATTCTTATAAGAAGTGTGTATGATGACGAAAATGACTGAACTTCACCATTATCTAAGATTCGTGTCTTAGTAACATAGGGACATGAAATAGCACCATTTATTACCTGCAACTTTGGTTTTTATATTTTCTGTGATCAGGCTCTGGGCAATGATATTTATACATGTTGTATGTGCCAATACCTGAGATCGACCATGCTAGAAAAACAAACTAAGACATTTAATGCATCTGAAAAGGCAAATACTCAAAATGCTTAGATAAAACGTAACACAAGGGTATTATTTGACATAAAATAGTAGCAACGAAACAAAATGGAAGGCCAAAGGTTTAATGGCCTTCGATTAGGTGCATCGTTTTGTTACAATAAACTTTGACGGTTCCTTTACAGTACAACTTGCAGATACGGCTCCTTTACAGTAATATATATGCATTGCAAAATGTGCATTGGCTGGGAAAGCAGCATGCGACCATAGGCTAGCTTTACAATGGGTCAAAGGCCTAGAAGTAAAGACATCTCTAGCCGGGAAAAGAGGCCCTTGATCAAATACATTAGGATATAACTATCGAACTGTGGAAGCTGCTTTATACGAGCCTATACATGCTGCAGGTAAATGCTACAGTAGAGCACGAGAAAAGTTTTGGCGACACTGACTCCGTGGTTTAACTTTAATTCCACGTGTAAACGAAAAACTATTTTTGAATGCAAATAATCTCTTTGATTCCAATATGTGTTTCGATATTCTTTGTGTCTCTGTTGACAGAGCCATCAGAAACCTGATCATGACGAGAACTTCGATTTGGTAAGACTGGTTCAAGGAGAAAACTTGACCTTTTCGGTAAACAAAGAAACGTTTGTCCACAAAACCTGTGCAATGTGCGTGCTATGGATCATAGAGGCGATTTCTCAAAGATTAAAACTATCTTCCAAGTACGTTTGCTGCTAAAATGGCCGGCATGCGATAAACCCTTTTCCGGTTTTTAACTTTCTACGTTTACTTTGTGGTCGAGGTAATGGCCTACATATTGGCAAAAATGTTCATAAATTTCTCGAAACAATCAAGCCTAGTTTTATAATTTAAAGGTTTCTAAAACACGATAGTATTTCGATAGCTTCTTATCTTGACTATTTGAATTCAAAAACCTTCTTGTTGGTGAGATCTCATCAAATGAAGAATGCCTAGTATAAAAATGCTCTATATATACACTATTGGATTGGACCCATTTCCTCTGAAAAGAGTCATAACGATTTCCCTAACATCTAGTTTCAGCCCTATTTTTCTTCATTTCTAGACCCTTAGGACACAAGAAATTCTAGACTGATATTATGAAACCTTAAGAAATTTCGGTATAAGATCTAGTCTTGGTCAAAAAAATCAGAAATTTATGCCTAGATGTTTTGCTAAGCTTTTTTATCTTAAACTCCTTCTGTACCTTATGTGTACTCTATCTATACTCTATAACTTCTTCTAAACTGTAACTGTTGGAATAACGACAGTAAATATATATAAGTGACTTTATTTTTCAGTAGAAATGTTATTTTGAAAAGTTGCAACATAAAATTTTACTGTCAACTGTTGGAATAACGAGTTCCTGCAACAAATGTTGGCTACGGTTTTCTTAACCTGTTTGCTAAAAAAAATTTAATAAAGTTTGAGGGTTCGAAATTAAAGAAACGATATGCACCAAAAGTTTAAAAAAAATAAAGAAACTCATCTGAAAGGCTTTTTCAAAGTTTTTTTAAAAAGTAAGTTACAAAAAATGGGTGAATTCCAATGAAGAATCTTGCTATAATAGTATCTTGTGATGTTATTAGATTTTAAATTTTCCAATAACTCGTACCTGGTTCTTTGATTTTGCAAAAAAATAAACATTGAGAATATGTGGGAATGATGTGATGATATGCTAAATTTGACCTTGGCTTGGGTCAAATCTTCGGCATGCAGATTGTGTCAAGGATCATCCGCTATATCAAAGCGGCAGAATCCTCCCACGATATTTGATTAAAATATATATCCATGGATGACAACTTTTGTACACAGCCTTGTTTCATTGGAGAGAGGTCCGAATTAAGCATCATTTCAAGAGATTACTACACGATTTATCGAATAAAAGCGCCATCTTTATACAAATATCCTTCTCTTGATGAGAAAAGCATCTGTCCCTCCTCAAAAGGTAATCAATGGGTATTAGGAGAAGTTATTTTCAGAAAAACATGGTCAGACCCTTGGAAACAGGTTGTAAATATCGGTCAGTAAATCCTAAAGCAAATTCCCAGGCGAAGCTTGTTGAATGATGATAAATCTTTGTTCACCATGAGTAGTCACTCAAAACTCTAGCTTTGTGGGTCGTGAGAAATAGCATATGGAAATAGATATGGTTTTCTTTCATTGCTGAATTGGAAATTCTGTAATCATAAAATTATCTGTATAATATACCATTTTTATTTGTGGATTTTGCACAATGAATTCACCTGGTTTTAGAGAGACCTTCTATCTCCTATAGAAAAGACATCCGACTCTTGAGATAAATTGACATGGAGACGCCACTGGCGGGGGGGGGGACAGGAAGGACGCCCCCTTTCCTAAGTATCTCATCTACATAAGATAAGAGGTAATACTTTGGCCAAGTACCTAAAAGTTAGTCATAGCGTTCCTAATTGTTAAAATTGGCGCTCCTTTGTTGGTTAACGGGAGTTTCCATACAATAAAAATTTAATGGCCTTATTTTTGTCCCGCCCCTACCCCACAGACACGCACACACACAGCCATGTGGCAGGCACCGCAATAGCTTAAATTTCTGAGTCAATAATATTTCACTATAAACACTGCACTGGAACATTTTGGGTATTGTTTTGCAGCTGTTTAATGTACAGGTCATAAAATTTCACTGCTAAAGAGTACTAATTTGGGTATAAAGTCGATCGATTAATACCCAGTGGATGAATTATGGGATTAGTTAACGATCAGTATAACAGTGATCAAAAACAGCCTGGGCTAAACAACAGTGCCTCAGGAAAAACATCCAGAGCGTTGTATTTTTAGCTTTCCATTTGACAACATAATTATGTATAAATCTCTTTAAGACATGGACTTCAAGGAGAGGAAGTCATCTCTCCGTACAGCAAATATAATTTTGCCGGTCAGAATTATTCTAAGTAGATACATGATTATTTCAATCTTTATTTGCTGCTCTAGATTACATTCAGATGCCTGGTATTTGACCAGCAACGACGGATATCAGGTCAATGACTTTTATGAGACATGAAGCTGCTATGGACAAAGACGACGGTTGTTTTCTATTAAAAGCAGACAACATTAGCAAACCATGCCGCAAGCCACAAAGTATAACGACGATCATAGCAAGGTTTTGGGCAGGAATGATCCTGTTTTTTACTTGACAAAAGAGAAAATAAAAGCAAATAGGGATAATAGTCATTGATAATAAGTGGTTTAAAGACACTCAATCAACAGTGGAATATCAAGAATTCCAAAGATGTATATTGTTCCAATGTCTATGTATCTATTTTGACAGATCAAGTATGTTTTATAGCAATGAGTTTGGAGAGCTTGTGTTTTGATTAAGTCTTTTTCTTAGAGCCAATTTTTCTTAATAAAATAAAATAAAATAAAATAAAAACTCTGCACTTGGGAAATATGTGGGGAACATTTTCACAGCTTCAACCATGTAAGCGATCACTTGGATAAGAAAGGGCCCTTGACAAAGACGAAAATTTGAAAAACCAAGGTTTGAGGAGAAATCTATAGACTGTTTTTCTTATATAATCAAGGAAGCTAAGCTTTAGTCAAAATCAAAGGAACTTAATCTTGGTATATATTGGTAATCTTGGTAAAATTAGCAGCAAAGAAACCCTGATTGGTCTGTGTGGAAAAGGCCGAAAATGTATCCAAGATATATGTTGTATTTCAACTGCTAACTTAAAACCCTATCGATTGTAGCAAGAGTGAAACAGCTACACTTAAAGATAATGAGATAGAGGTGTCCCAACATAAAGTTGAATAACTTAGAATGATTAACGATAGGCGTGAAAACACTATAATGAAGTTGTAGTAGAGTAGTAAATTAGTCTTACGGGTTGCGTGTGAAATTTTACTTACTGAATTATTCATGAGGGCCTTGAGACACCCAATACAGGCGGTGTGAATGGCACTTTGGCTAAAAACAAGCAGATACATAAAATATTAATTCCAAGTGATCAACAGGTGAATGGGGCAAGGACTAAATCCGTACGACATTGACAACGGTAACGAGTCATTAAATAAAAGGAATTCACCAGACTTGAATTTATACGTCATTAACAATTAATATCAATTTCACATGGAGTTAAATTATTCAAGAATCTGCACTCGAAACGCCAAGATTATCTTGATAATACGTATTCGCTCCTAAACATTTTGCGCCACGAAATATAATGACTTGGGGGGTAGGGCTGCTTAAGTCATTAGGAGAATTTTTGCTGCTTAATATTGAGATTTAAGGTTAATAAGAACAAAACACCACGATCCTTCGCTTAAAGGTGCAAAAATTTGCCTGAAGAAGGTGTTGGCCAGAAACAAAACCTCAGGCTTAACAAGTTTCAAAAAAATGGGTGGTCTTGGATTTAATTTTATACTTTGACTTCTTTTAACTCCTGTTTCATATATCGTCTGAAACCCATTCTGCTTTAGTGCTGCGTCAATATATGCACCAACAAGCTGCCATTCACTTAAATTAGGCGCTCCAGCGTTCCGTAGACCTGTGGTCCGGCTTTTATGCCAAAAACACCCGTGGTCGCATATTCCGCATTTTGCTGGACTGCCTCGAGTTTTTGGTGATCGATCATCAGCTGATAAATCAAAGTGGGACGGGAGTATAACAACTGCGGGTGTGAAGTGTAATTTCTCACGCCATCAAACTGTTCTTTATCTCCACAGCTGTGGCACAAGTACAAGACCTCCTCAATTTGATAAAATTATTACGTCAAGAACAAAGCGGACATCCTCATCTCAAACGATAGGGGCCTAGAATAATGTGAAGTCGAGGAAATATGGTTAACTGTAGCACCCCAGGCCCAAGTCCAACGTGCCATTTAGAAATAGGGCAGCGACCTTTTTGTTTTGTTTGTGAAAAACTGAACGGAATGCGAACAAGACTGCTCGGAAGCTAAGACTCCTCTATTAGTTTTTACTCACAGCCATCTACCTTATCTGGTATTTATGGAAAACATGCTTGGGTATGAACAGCCTTCCGTGCATCAAAGACCACTAAGTATGATCAACAGACCACAAAATGAATTGAAGGCTACTACATCCGCAACACGAAAATTTCTGGTGAAAGACTTCACTACAGAAGAGAACACAAACAATTAGCAAGAGCTTTTAGCAATATGTTGTGTTTATATCAAAAATAATGTCTAGCTTTCAATTTCTATAATCATCTTAGATTAAGCATCGATTAAACAGCATTTAAAACCTATTTAAAAGGATCGCGCGCAATGACAACGCTAAATATTTGCTCCAGTACAATGAGCTGGATTGTATGCTGATCTATGCTAGCGTGCACCAAAACAACAATCATTGCCAATATTTTACGAACATTTCCAAACATTTTTCAGGAAACGATGCTTCATAACAAATTTTGATTTAAATAATATAAGAGAAAATAACTTTGGCCGGGTTACTGTTGTTGTTGCTGTTACTGTTACTGTGTCCTTTGAAATGATTCATGCGCTCCTTTCAAAGAAGGTCATCAAAAAACAAGAGGATTTGATATGCCACGCCCAAAACAAGCCTTTACTGTAATAGCGATCGAATTATAGAACTAGGCCAACCTTAGGGCAATATTGGCAGCCTCCATGTGTTGGCGGAAAGATTGACCTAAGAGCTCTTAAAATTGGATATATTCTAGTGTGTATTAAAAGAAAGGTGGTGATAAGAATTGTAGATTATCGCTCATACGCGATACGATAAGCACGCGCTATTGCAAACATTTTCAACGGATCTAGCCACACATTATGCAAAATCTGCTGTTTCTCTTTCGATACTGGATTTAGCAGTGAAAGGATAATCTAGGCTTTATCTCTGCGCTGACATCAGTATACAACGAATTTCACATAGATGACTGAGAAACTCAGCTGAAAACACTAGCCTGTGATTTCTTGTAACACAGGCCAGACTGCTCACGTACAATTTGCATAAAATCCGTTTACTACTTAATGACAACAGCCAATATACTTCGAGTAGTCTAATAACTACAACAGTGCAACTTTTTTGCTTCACTCATATTAGAAAGGGCAAAGCAATGGCAAGTACTCCTGAATTGCAACTAACAATACTCGCGACAGGCCTACTCCTTCGCACGCTCCCTTTTTCAAGAGATCTTCAAGACAAAACATCGCCAGGAATACAAAACCGCCTCGTGCACTCCGCATTTTGTTTTCATTGAAAACAGAATTAATTTACATAAAATGACGACGACGAGTGAATAAAATCTTGCAGTGGACTAAGATTAATTTGAATTTAACGACGGCATATTGAGAATTTTGGTCATTCTCTGCTGAATTTACCTAATCATTTATAATAAGCGGTGCAATATGTAACTTTTAGGAGGGAAGACAGCGGGCGCCTAGAGTCTCATAAACATCATTGAATGAGTAGTTTCATTAAAAAAGCAGTCTGTTATTAATCTGAACACCTGCACCAAAACCAGAAAAGTTATTAAGGCTTCCCGAGAACAGATTCCAGGAAAGGAATAACCAGAGCGTACAAGAGTCACTTTGGCTATGTAAAGTACAAGGAAATCTAGCGTTTCCCACAAAGGAAAGGACACAGGAAATTTCATTGAACTAAAAAGCCACCTGCATCCTATTCTACTCTAAACTTAAAAAAGGGGGGAACGGGGAGGTTTTTCAATCACTGCCATAAAGATAAAAGAAAGGATGAAAGACATTGTCAAAGAAAAATGTTTGAGAAGTAAAGATGTACTTCTGCACAACAATGTCAGGATTATACGACTGTAAAATGATTGTGAACAATTAAATGTATTCAAATCAAGACTGCAATATAAACTTAAATAAAAAATAATAATTAGAATAGTTTCTGCACAAAATAAAAGAATGACTAAGCATATAAGTGTATTAGAAAAAGAGCCAGTTAACAAATGTTTTTACTGACATGAATAAGAGAGCAAACTTAAACTGACCCAAACTCAATCGAGCTTGCAATTCAATGTATGAAACACAAAGAGACAGACTACACTATTCAATCCATTTGCAAACACAGACGAGTTTGAGCTCAGTATCAGAATTCAGTTTACAAAAGCGAATAACTAAGATTTCATGTGAACAGCTGCACTTAGTAATACAATGTAGCAGATGGTAACGTCTGCAATAAAATATCCCTTTCATGTTAAAGCAGTTTTGTTTTCTACAGTAAATTGGGCGACTAGCAAACTTTTGGGAGCCAGAATGTTTTTCTGTTTAATTTTGATAACGGGAAACCAAAATTTTCTTAATTCAGGAGAAAAATTGAATATCAAAGAAAGGAAAAGCAGAGCAGCTTCTATTGCAATTAAAGAGTGCCAGCACCAGTGTCCCATGAATCAGAACCTTCCCACGAATTGTGACATCAAATTGTACTTAATCTAAGTGATATTAACTTTAAAGTCCAAGAAAATCTTTTACTTTTCTAACCTTGAAGTGAACATTAAAGTTTTACTGCATTCGAAAAAATTCATCCTATCTTTTCATTCTGACCGATGAACCAAATAAACTAAGCCTTAATCTTCTCATTATGACCAACGACCCAAAAAAATCTAGTCATATAGGCAACCCCAATTACGTCATCTCGGCTGATAAATATCTGGATTAACGACAGAAAACAGGATTACCATGAAAATATTTGATGTGATGTCAATATTTTGGAAGGGCAGGGTAGCATGAGGTCACGATTCTCTGGAATCAACAAGCCTTCTTGGGAATCAATCACAGAGTTCCGTAATGAAAGCGAAGCAACTGCATAAAAGGGTCAAGTAGGGAATGGATGGTTCTGCTGCACGTCTTAGACTCGCCGGCTCCTAGGCTATTGTCTGTTTTCGTGGTGAAAACTTTGCTAGAAACTTTTACATAGCAGGCATCGGTTCAAAGTAGAATCTCATTTTAGGGACATCTTCGTTGACGAGAGCCCCCTAGTTCTAATAATACTTCCATTTCAACAGCAAGAGCATTGAATTTGAAACGAACTCACCATGTTTCCCAGTCCATGCCTGCAAGGATGTCTATCAAACACTGTAGGCCATCGAGCTCAAGAAACCCAAGAACAAAACTGAAAAAGAAATGGCGATTAGCTATCTAAAAACATAAAAATTTGTAGGAAAATAAGGTGATGTATCTAAAGGGAAGAGTAAAAATTAGGATTCACAGCGAATAAAAAAACAGGGTTTTTCCATCAAGAGCAATGTTTTTGTACAAAATATCTTTTCAGTATGCAATAAGCCACGATAATGAAAAGAAAAATGGCGCCAAATCTTTCAATAGATAACTTCACGATGCTCAAGCGAAAAAATAACCCTGAGTCTCACGTTCGGAACAAAAATTGACGATTAAGTCCCAATATTTGCCATCAAATATTCATTATCTTATTGAAAACTCTTAGAAAGAGGAGGTTTTGACTCTAAATCTAGGCAAATCAATTAATTCAACTTTGCTGCAAACAGCTGCAAACTGGGCAGGACAAAACTCGAGACAAAACTCGAGACAAAATTGAAGACAAATATTTGTTAATACAAAATTTACAAAATTTGCACAGTTAGTTCATACTATATCATCGTCGTCTGCTAATAAACCGAGAGTCAATTACAATTACACCATGTCATGTGTATACATCTCATGTAATGCTCGTTCTTCCGAAATAAACCACGGTAATTTATCTCACAGAAATAACAATTTTAACTGAAACTACATTCAAAGTTTTTATCAAAACTATAACTACTTGAACATCTACAAATAGGCCACCAATCATGGTGAGCCCTTTTTGTAACATGCCATGCCATACAATTGTGTCCCGAAATACTGCTCACTTTTTAAGCAAATTAAATGGAATTATCAACTCTTTTAGAATAAGATTTATGTTCATCAACTCATTTTAGACGAAAGTATGAACAGGCGTGTTGGGAGTATACCTCATGGGCTGTGTTCTGAGTGCTGTTTTGACTTCTTCCAAGAACTTAGCACGACTTTCTTGTTCCTCATCGTCAACTGTGAAAAGTACCTGAACAAAGAAATATTAAACATGAAGCGTTTACTGAAATGCAACCAAATATATGGGCAGAAAGATTGCGAGGACGCAGAATATTTGTCAACGGAAGGTACAAGGGCTCAAATAAGCAAGTATTCAAATGCTGGAGACGACTTTCTAGAAAATATAAGTAAAGGATTTTCGGATAGTGTGGACAAATTTTGCTGACGAAGCATTATGACTTATCAAACAAATTTTTTAAAATTTGCATATATGGTTGTCAGAATTGAGCGCGTGTTCTTTAGAGGCAGCCCGATTGAAAAACATATAAATTAATATGTACATACGTTACTCATATTCTTTAGCTGATCAACATAATAATCAGGCCAAGCAGTTGTGCTTTCTTGTTGACCCTAAGAACAAAAACGTTGGAAAAAATTGTTAGCAATACCCGTGGGTGTCTATCAAAGATTTTTTTACAAAAATTAAAAACAACAATCAAGTGTCAATCGTGTAAAAATTATTAGGATATAACTTCTACAAACCAACTATGTGGTACTAAAGATATAGCACCAGCGGCTGAAAGGTGAAACAACGAAAACAGGGTTATCTGACGTCAATAAGGGTTCTGTCTTAAAATCTAATCTTTAGCCTCTTACTGCTAAATTTTAAGATAATTAACAATTTTATAGGAAAAGGAAATTCGCGAAAATGCCTTGTTTCATTGTCATTTATGTAGGAAAAGAGAAAAGGTCTCGCGTTTGAGAATATTGATTAGATATCTTAAAGAAGGAAATCATAGTTTGATAGGGAAATGAAAGTGTTAAGTGAAAGACCACAATCAATCTTATTACTAGTCCCAATCATTCACAATAATACGAATAGAATTTGAACCAGTTTACTTAATATCGGCTAGCTAGAGGAAATGTGTGCGATCAGAATAAAACTGCAAAGGATAATCGAAAGTGGTCTAGCTTAAACTGCCTTCAAAAAGTGTCGGAATCCGATTGAGCCATTTTCGCTGATTCAGTGACACTGCCATTTTCAATAACCAGATTTCGCCTACTTATTAGATTCTGCCTGCCATTGGATAAACACTAAGCCTATTCTTAGTCAACTGAAAAATAGAAGGATTCTGATGGACGATGGAGTCTGTTTGGCTCTAAGTCACCTTCACAATGCTACGTTAATATTTTAAGGCAAAGGCAGTTATCTCGTCTGTCTTTCAAAAGTGAACGCAATTTCCATTGAAATGTCCATAGGCGCCTTCCAGTTTTAAACTAGTGTCTTCCAAAATCGGAAGCAGAGCTAATGCAGCAATGAGCATTAGTGTAGAAACGAAGAGGGAGAAAACTTTGACGCCTGATCTTGTTTTGATCATCCTTATTCTATAAACCTTTAAAGAAAAAAACTGAGAGTATATTTAGAGTCTGAGTTGCTCAATTTGATCTTATGTGCATCTTATGTTGATCTCAAGACCCCCTCTCTTCTCTCTACTCGACCAGAGAAATGAGATTATCAAAAAAACTATAGAAAATGTGCTTTTGTTGTAAACATCCTTCTTGGTGATGATGTCCTTTTAGCTTTTAAAAACTAAAGGGTTTTGGTTTAAATCTGAATTCTTTAATTAAAACTTAGGGCAAACTCGCTGTGTAAAGAGTAACTCGGCAGTACATAAAAGGACGTAAGTCACTACATGAACTACATGATACTTGTTAAGATTAAAAAAATAAACAAGATTGTTCAAATTCCGAAATCAGCGAGAATATTGAGGTGCTTACAGTGATATATAAACCAGTTGCTGCTCATAAAAGTTTCATGCGTGTCAATGGAAAAAAGACACAGTTGGAATGGATTGTACTTTAAAATAGCAGTAATTAACAACAGAATTATTATTATACCTTCCTCCGTGAACAATAGATCTGCCATTTTTTCTCTGCTGATAATTCAAACATTGCCTTCCTGTGAACGGCAGTCAAATCCAATTCATCCTATAGAACAAGTGAAAAAATTAAATCTAAGCTTAGGAAATCCGTGGAAATAAAAATCAACAATTGGTTTCTCTTGCAGGTACAATCAGGTATTGTGTTCGCAACGAGTAGAATGAAACGGAACCAACACAAAGCGTAGGTGACTGGGATTAAGTAGGATTTCAAGGAAGGGTGGATAAACTTCCACTGCAAAAGGATTAACTTAGGATTAACAACAGGAATAACTGCAGATGATTAATTTTAGGCAGGGTAACTAGAACTGGCTGTTCTGAAAATGCCAGGCGCCATTTGAATGCAAAGAAGAAGGTTTCTTGTGAAAAAGCTTGATAAAACAGGATAAATCGATTGGAATATAGACAGAATATTTGAGTGGAAATAACAGGACGATCCGTAGTCCTTTTTTATCACAGAGCTGCGAAATCCATCCAATTAAGACGGATATTTTCACCGTTTTAGAGAACGCCGACAGTATTTTCACTTCCGTCATAATTCTAGTACCTTTGGGTTAACAATTAGAGACAACAGGATAAACATACGACGAGGTGTTTGAACTCAGCCAACTTTGTGATTCGTAATTAGGGCCCTTTTCTACATAAGATTATCGTCAAACAATATAACAGGAACAATACAACAGGAACAGGGAGACGTTATCAGGGACGCCGGGGAGGGGGACACGGGCGGTCAACAGCCCCTGTTGCCTTATGATAGGAGGAGCAAAGTACCCTTGAAACCGCCCAATTATAATAATCAGAGAGATTAATACGAAATTCTGATTGTAGTGCTTAATTCATGACGACATTTCGCAAAACTTGTAAAATAAATCCTTATTCAAAAAGTTAGCCACTTTTCAATATACCTACAGAAGATCGAAATAAATTGGCAGTTAGTAGAAGGAATTAGTAGAAGCTGAGAGTTTCTTTCAAATGCCCTTTTACTCAAACCTGCCCCCTTGCCACTTGGTCGTTCCGGCGTCCTTGGGTCTGTTATGAAAGGGGGGCTCTCGCAGAATACCTCTCAAATCAGAACGATAAAATTAATTATAATAAAAATGAGAAACTTTCAAGAAACTGAAATTGCTGCAGTCTTGAGAAACCATCGACCCATGTTTCTAATAAAAAAATGATTGTTATTTGATCAGCTTAGGGAAGATTTGTCCTAGGGAACACCGCAATGAATGGCTAATACAATCGGGACAGGGCCTTTTCATTTTCTAACATACTAGCTGGGGGAATTGCCCCTCCAGTCTTAAGAGACTTTTCATTGACCCACCTTTAGTGACTTTATAGAAATAAAGACTTGCCCCCTCCCCAGCCAAATTCCCTTCGAAAAGGCGATGAGTCGAGACGAACATTCTGATCATAAAAGTTCCTGACGTAGTCTTTATAAACCACTGTCTACAAACAGTATGTTTGGTGGAAATAAGCTGTTGAATATTTCTTTATATTTCTTCATTTGCTGGTGTCATATGTTGATCATATGACTTCCATTATCCAATGTAATATGATACCAATTAGGAGAGCTATTATCAGCTTCAGTTTCACACCAAGAACTCAGCAGGGTATGGGGTGATCTCCCACCACTCAATAATGCAGTGCACCAATGAATGGAGTTTTTGATACTGAACAGCTACTGCAATATCTCAGAATGGAAACAAGGAAATGTGTTCCTTTTCTTAATTCTGTGATAATTTGTGCAATTTTCTCGATCAGGACAACATAATTCCTTGCTCAAGTACCTTGCTAGGACTCTAATTACCAGAAAAAAGCAAAACTAATGCCAAATATGATTTCAGATCAGAGAAGAGCATCCCTAAACACAGTATTGGAATACCACTAAAGGCAGGTCCTGTGAGCGTATTGATTTCCTTATATCTATATACACAAATATGCCTCTAAGTATAAAACGTATATTACAGGTACCAAGGAAAAAGGTATGCTTGATGCCCATTAATGTACCAAGAAGGCCCTCAATTTAAGTCGATTTTCAGATTCCCTTCTGCTACATAAACTGCCAATCAAGCCTAGCTTTTGGAGTGATCTGTCAAGGAACACATCTATTCATGCAGGGTCTCACTATCATATCTCTGCCTATAAGTGATTTTTTTTTCAATCTTGATAATACTGAAAAATTTCCAACATACTATTTCTTCCATTTTTAGAAAACAGAATTACAAATGGCAATTACTGTGAATTTTGCTATGACAATAAAAACTAACTGCCTTTATATTTTTATGTTAACAATTGTGTTATTTTCAATAAACGCATTTTATATATAAAAAACTAATGATAACAATCTCATTTTTGGATTGCTACTTTCTGTTACAAATGTTCCAAATATCATGTTTTTGAACAACAGATCTGTTTTACTTTTACTTGGATAGCTGCCAAGTTTGCAATTAGATTGGCAGACCTCTATCTTTACTTTTTCCTTAATAACAACATTGAAACATCATTTCTTAGCCAATGAGAAAGCATTCAATATTAATTCAACTAGGCTCAGTACAGAAAAATTGGTCCTAACTTTTTATAATTTACCACTCTGAAGTAAAAAAAGGGCCTCAATCAAACTGATAAAAGACGTTTTGCTTGAAAATCATTGACCAGTAAACATACAGCTATAAAAAGAATGATGACAATGGAATTATCTTATGACTTGTGGTTTCAGACACACCACAGCAATGATTCGATTGGACTAGACAAATGAAAAACTTCTTTTGTATCTTAGTTTCAGAAACTATAAATAACAAAGCAATTCCTGCTACCTGTCTCGAAAACTCCTTCCTCATACTCTAGACATGATGAAATGCTGGGGAGGAGGCAATTTTATTTATCAAAGGTGTTTTTTTAATGGCTTGCTTTTGGATTTGGCATACAATTTGTGTGCCATAATTTCCTTTTGAGCATGATTCTAGTCAAAGATATTGAGACAAGAAACAACTGGCATTATTATAAAGGACATCTTTTATTTTCTATATACAAGAAAATCTTGATTATGTTTTGGATTAAGCAATGCATGTATGAAGTTGCATTTACAAACTTCTTATGGTATCAAACCCTCTATGGTTTGCTTATTATAAAGAAAGATGCACAAGGCAGTAAAGCAAACTATGTATCTTTCAGCACAAGCTGACAAGATGGTTTCAAAGCCAGTATATATATCTCTGTCAGAGCTGATATGAAAAGGTACTGAAATATTGCCACAGAGCTTAATTGTTATTGAGTACTGTCATTAATTCTGATCTTAGAGGTATTGCTCAAATAGGAGACTATGAGAAAATCACACCTCAACGCATACCTAATAAAAGATTTAATTTGCATAAAAGCACTTAGAAAAAATTAATGAAGAGATACATATTGTCAAACACATCAACTGGGCACATGGTTTTGATAACTCTGTCTTGAGCCTTTTCTATGTGCCAATCAGCTGATTCATATAGTACAAATTTATGTTGTTTATCTAACATGTCCTTTCTCACAATTTATATTAATGATTGTAACTGAACAACTATACAGTGAAATAACTTTGTTATTAGCTTGATAGGATGAAAAAATGTTTGAGTTTGAGTTATTTTTAGCTAAAAATGGTTCAACAGGACTAGTTTGAAATTCATAGACGAATGTATCCGGACGAATGTATCCGGACGATTGTAGAAGTTTCTTTGATAGTTTCTTTGAAGTCTCTTACTTAAGAAGCAAGCAAGGCTACACTAAAAAAGAGGTAGCTTGGAACAAAGTTGCCCTGCCGTTTTAGTATTTGACTCATTCATCATACCCAAAAAATTGCCTGTTTCCTTTTTTTATCTAAATTGCCCGAAGAAAACCCGACATCCTCAGTCCCTGTAGAAAGAGGAAGCCAGTCGCCATTTAAATGTCACCCTAGCAAAATTAAGGGTTCTTCGAAAAATGCCTACATATTTACGTATGTACTAAAAAAGTCTCAATAGGAGAAAAGTTCGAAGTAAAAAATATTGGTACAAATATGGCCATTGTCTAGCACTTAGGAACGTGACGTTCTCTGTCAATTTCTTAATGTTTATTTTTCCCAACTTGTTTTCCTATCGTTTTCGAATCGTTAACCACAATTAACATTCACTCGGGTCTTTACAGATTTATTGAAATAAACACAAGCAGTCCAGTATCGAGAGCTTTTCTATAATCCTTGTGTTGTACAGTGCATATAATTTGGGAGCAGCGGGTACCACATCAAAAACTTTTCAACAGCACACGATAAACAAGATGATGGGAAGACTAAAGCTCTTACAAAGTATGTCGGAAAAAAAGAGGACCCATATATTACATGTTGGTGGCTTTATTTACTGTCTAGCAAGATTATTGGCTAAGAGGCACCTTAAACACCAGACATATTACAGTCATAAAAAATTTATGTAGCAAACATTGAAAGCAGAGCAGATTTAATTTCACACACACCCATATATATTCTAACTCACCACAATCTCTGAGAACTTCAGATTCAGCTCATTTTCATCGGGCATAGGGAGAGGAAGTTCCACTGGCTGTAGACCATCTTTTTCTGGTTCATACTGTATCTCGGGTTGCCCCGCTCCACATCCAAAACATGCGAATACACTCGCTCGCCTTGGCATGATTTTCGTTTGTTTTAAGCAAGGGCCTAATATTCTCCACACTGGTCTGGCTTCACGCTGTTGCTTCTATTTGCTTTGAAAGATCTTTGATTATTAGCACAGCATTTGAATAAACAAATATTTCTACCTCGAATCACCGATAATTATTTGGTTGATTCCGATTATATTAATAAACTTGACCGGTCCATTTCATTCGTCCACTCCAACACTACCGCGATTTGAATTCAGAAGCAGCATTGACACCCTCATTCATATATCAGACAAAGTCATATGATAAAAAGCGGACCGGAATCTGTTTGTCAGTCCATAATTTAGCGAGCAATACAAGGGGATCCAAAAATTTTTGGATGGGTGGGGTCTTCTGCCAGTCTACTTGCCAGGAACGAACAAATCCCTTCCTACATTACCAATATCCCTCTCCCTTAAATTACCTTAATAGATTTTTGCACAAGAAGCGGAAAGCTCTTTTGAGAATTCTGTTGTTATTATAAGATGTCTCGAGTCCCTGCGATAATTAATATAGTTTTCTGCTGACTCAAAGAATGCTAAAAGAAGCTAAAAAGAGTGCTAAACTGATCTAGAGTCAGGTTTTTTGCTTATAAACTCACTAAGAAACATTCTTAACCAAAGTTAGGTAAACTCATTTACCTGGAAGTTTGTTCCGGAGGATACAACTCTTTCCCCAAGAAATATCATTTAAATGTGACTATCTAGATAACGTACATACCCCCCCCCCCCGAAGTTTTATCATCAGGTTTGCAAGAAGCTAAAGGACCAACTTTCTGAAAAAGTGTGGGGGGGGGACTGGTGGAAAAATGCTTTGGTGGTTAATCAGCCTGAAAATCTAAAACAATAATTTGTACTTATATTCTTAATTTTTTGTTGATTTTGGTGCTCAAGAATTTAAAATGCCTCTTGAATACAGAATGCTGAAGAGCAACTTTAGCACATAACATAACATTTGGAACATAACAACGTCACATAAGAACAACAGGTCGAAAAGGTTTTCTACCCAATCTTTAAAAAATAGATATTCCAGCAATTCCTCTAGAGTAGAAGGTGATCATTATTTCTGTATAAAATGCATGTTGATACAGTTTTTCTGAAGTAAAAGTTCTGATATCAGGGAATCATCGAGATTCTTTAGCAAAGGATAAACAAGTAGGGGAAGTTTTATGTACATTGACAGAGCAATCGAATCACACTCTTTTTAATAATATATTTTATAAAAGCCCAAAAAATAAGAAAGAAAGAATAAATATTGAAATAAGAACAACAGTAAGAACAATGTTGCCTCAAATTAAAAGAATAAACAAGATGACTGAGCCTCGGCAAAAATCATCTCGTTCTTATAAATAAAAAGGGTGTAAAAACATGATAATGGTAGATCAATTGCACCTATTGGTATCTGTTGCTTAAACACTACAATTTCGTCTTGTTTTGCTATCTTACTAATCAAATTTTGTATGAACTTTATCCTAATAACCTGCAGAAATGTTAAAGAGAACTGTACCAAATTCAAATAAAGTTCATTTGGGCAATTTTGCTGTGTTTTGTATAGAGTAATCGAGCTATATAACTAAGACGATGACGTCACGCATGGATACATTCGAAAATGACACATCCTCCAACGCAAACCAAAATTAAGAATAATTTGTAAGTTAGGATGTAAGACAAAGAAAAGTTGAATAATGAACCACAAAGTCTAATGGCGTCATGTATATTCTGACTAGGCTTAATGACACTTAGGGAAAAGGCTACACGAATGCGGTACCTAGCTTTTGCGCTCAATGACAACACCACCAGGTATTCTTTTATCTCTAGCTGATATCGGATTTTTAGTTGGTTACAGTGAGAGAAAAATCATTGGAGGCCTAAAACGGGCGATCTAGGGGCAAATTTATCTGAATATTCCCTATCTCACAATACTATCTCACAAAATACACAGAATGTTTTGAAAATATACCCCGCGTCTATTTATTCAGGCCCGTCGGAACCGGGGGGTGGGCTGGGGGGGTCAGACTGTAGTATATTTCCTTTATAACAGTGTACTAAATGTGAAGGAATACAATGGGCAGCCCCCCCAATATGAACTTCGTTCCGACGGCACTGTTATTATAAGAAGTTGCAGCCCCCTGCCCCCATAGATGGTTTGGCCCGCCAGAAGCAAGGTTTTAGTTTAATTTAAGATAACGGGTACATCCTGATACTGTAGTGAAATAAAAATTATGTTGTATTCCTGACACGGCTGTTTTCAAATATCCAGTTGTACCCGTCAAATCTTGTCGCGCTCCCTCTTGTTTAAAGGACAAACGAGAATTCAAATATTTACTTCTCCGGGTTTGTTGAATTTACGTCCAACGTTTCTGTGTGCACAATGTCGCCATGCATGTTTGCAGGTCCCTTCGTGATGTCAAAATTTATTATGATATTTCGAGCAGAAAAGAAAAGAACGATGGTCTATAAGCAAGATAAAATAATGAATGAACAAAATAATGATTCTTTCTTGCCATAAGGAAACTGGAAATTTGAAGGAAATAAAAGCAGGTTAGTGTGATGGCGTAAAGTATTGTGGACTGGAACCTAGAGAGGACTGGAACCTATTGTTTTGTTTAAGGGGGCGTATTTAGTTTCGGTTGTAAGCTCGTGTAAGAGAGTTGATGTTTTTCCTGTGGTGTAGAGATTTTTTAGAGATTTGTTTGTAAAAGGAAAGATTTAGAAAACGGCAAGTTTGTTGTGTTTATCTATCACTTCATGACAATAGGCTTTCATTCATAAAGCAAGTAGTTAAGTGTCAGTAAAGAGGCAAGTCCTTGGATCTTTTTGCTCCCTTTGTCATGATTTTATATTTTCATTCGATGTCCTAAAAAATACTCACGTAAAATGGTAAGGGCTGTCCACTTTTACGGAAACCGTAAAAGATTCTCACCAAAGGAATTCTGGGGAGTTCAAATAAAAAAATGGATTACCGACATGGATGTACGTTTTTTCGATGAAATGATTTGCCACTCGAACTAATCGTACGTTTAATTTTCAGCTTGACATTATTTTACAAGGTATGTCTACTAAGTGTTTTCTTGTTTTCTTTTTTGATTGCTACAATGGTGCATTTCATAATCCCCCTTGTTTTTAATAAGAAAATCTCAAAAATTTTCCAGCCTAAGGACATTTACGATATTCTTAAGACATTTTCGCTTTGAGCCTGAATGTATTCTCAAAGTGTTCGTTTTCTCAAATCTGATATGGTTTGAAGGGAACATCGCGCGCTCTTAAAAGCCACGCTTTCTTGTATTCTTATAAATATTGTATTCTTATTAGTACTAAAATGCCCTAGAATTTAAGAAACTTTGATACTAGGCTCAACAATAGTAACGAAACTGTAAAATTCCTTTTTTAAAAGAAGAGTCAGAAAGCTTTTATTTTCTTGAAAGGACAGATTAATTTTTTTTGGAAAGATAGAATTTTTGGATCTACATGAGTTTTTCCAAATTCTTACAGTTTGGAATGTTTATTCTTCCAAAGAGGCTCAACTTCAAAGCACAAAGTCAATTTTAGGCCCCGATAAAATAAATCAACTAAGAAGCCTTTTGTGCTAAAAAGCCAGATTTTGGACACTGAATTTAGAAAGTGTTAGTTCATAATGCTGATCCAAGTTTCTTATATACTAAAGAACGTAAGCCATGGCAGAGCAAAACAACTTTTTTGAGGCAACAGTGGACAGAAATCTAATCTAGGACAGAAATCTAATCTAGAATATGCCCTTAGGTTTAGCCTGGTTGCGCTGTCTTTACCATAGAAGACACATATAAAATTGAATATTGGAATTTGATCGAAGAAATCAGTCATTGTCCAAGCTGTACAACGAGCAACAGCTTGGTTTAGGAAATAGATTAAGAGACCTGATCCAGAATAGCTTGGTGCCAGCACAAATTGACGGAGTTTCGCTTTTTGAAGGGGTCTGTTTGTTAACGAAAACTTTCTCAGAAGCATTACAAAAAGAGAGAAATCAGCTGTTGAAGGAAAGAAAAGAGCTGCAAAGAAAATTTTTGAAGATATGAGAAATAAAGAACTTGCAAATTTGTTCTTAATAAGTATCATGAAGAAAACTTCAAAGTTTGATCGCTTGGATAATCCATTCCTACTAAGAAAGAGAAAATATAGATGCAATTTTAAAATCTATTAAAACTCGTTTTTATCAGCCCGGTTTTTTTCAAATCTAGAGTGTTTTTGTTAAGAACCCTCTGTTTCCATTAAGTTTAAGAAATATCCAAACTGTACAAAAATTCTTAATTTTTATATTTAGCTGATACCTGGTTCTTCTGTTGATATTTCAATGGTAATGTTTTTATTGAACCGTGTTGTATCTATTTTTCTCCCTCTTCTTATTTTATTTGAGTACTTTCAGAATCTAAAAAAATTTCATTACGAGCTATATTACAAAGGTTATTCGAACTTTGCTAAACCTTTCCTTTTTCACCTTTACTGTTTCAAGTCAACATTGCAATATACTAGACTATGGGACATGTTGATAAAACAAAGCTAAGATATATTGCCTCGGATTTCCTGCAGTCAAAATCCATTTGAGATAGTGTTTCTGGCCATCCCTAAGACACCATAACTCTAATTCTAATTCTAAAATTGGTCTTTCTTAATCCCTTTCAAGAATTTGATATTTTGACCCCTCCACTTTCAAATACGTTTCGCCGGCCCTGCGATGTGAGAGATATTGTCCCGGTCTGAAGAAAACCCATCCAATTATTTGTGAAGGAAAAAAATGCTTCAATGAGAGCATTTTTCGAGAATTGGAATCACTCTTGTTGGAACATCTTCTTACCCTTCTGCGGCAACAATGGGCCTGGGGGGCCATGGCCCCCTCACTTTTTGCAAACAACAAAAACAATAGAGCTTTTCTTAAAATATGTTGTTATGATTGTTATATTTTCTCTTGGCCCCTCCACTTTCCAACCTGCATCGGAGCCCATGTGATTAAAATCGAGACGTTTTGTTATGATTAAAGACACATACTTATAAAATAAAAAACTGTGCAACAAATTCGAATTTCCATAAAAATAGTAAAAAATGATCGATTCTCTTTTTGTAGCTACAGAAGAAAAGTTTTAAACTTTCAATCAATGTTTCAATAGCTCATTTTATTTGTTTCTGTTTCTACACATAGAATGCTCGGACTTTCACATTGGTTGAAAGGGAGATTCCTTTTCACATTTATGCTGAAAGGTACAAACATCATATCATCTGACTGCTGATATGCAGGTGTGAAACTGAAACTGGGTCTAAATCATTTTGTCTAGGAGCTGCTACCGACAAAGAAAATCATGTGTTCTTTTTAATAAAACCACCATAACAAGTAGCCTTTAGAAAGTTTCATTAGCTGAGTGCTCCCCCCTCTCCCCTATATTTTTCCAAATCGCTACCCTTCCCTCGATAAACAACTCTTTGTCCAGAGATCTTAAAGAGTTTTGGCTATGTTAATCTTTATCACAGAAATTCTGAGTTATTATTGAATTTCAAATCTATTTGGTGCAGTTTTGAATTACGGAAAAGTTCTTCTTGAAAGCTCTGTCATGTGATGGTTGTATGGCATAAAGGTTTAATTTCTTTCACAGATTAATTTGTGCTTGAGAAGTTCATTGAATTTATGCTAAGGGGATTGTCAACCCACGTTGTCATTAGAGGACTCATAAAGATACGAGTATTAAATTGGTTAGCACTTAAGGCAGAAAGTAAACAACAAACGCCTGCATAGCTTCTCGGCGGAGGGATTTCTATAGAAAAATAGTTTTGTGTGAAAAGTGGAAAGAAGGCAACTGTTTTCTGATATTTCTGATATTCTATTCTACCTTTAAATAACCCTGGATTGGATAGAAAAGCAACGGGTTACGATTTAGGGCGCAGACAGTTTTGTTGACGGGTATGGCGGAGGACGATATCTTATTACGTGACACAGCCAAAACTAAAGGTACAATTTGACAAAAAGGATTTTGGGATATTTAAATATAGCTTTAATTAAAGGAAATATTTTCTCCACTTAGTTGTGATATCAGTTTTAGAAAGTTTCGCTTTGTCTTTTTGTCTTTCTCTTTTTCGGGGTGCAGGGAAAGTCGCACACCGTGAAAGAAAGAAAAAGAGGCAACTTGCTAAAGAAAGTAGATAAATTTCCCTTTTTATTGAGCAGCAAGAGAACTTATATCCGTTTTTCAAAAAGCTGCTTTTACATGGCTTTTTAGTTTTTCCGCATCCCGTTCCTCTTTAGAGACAGGTCTGAAAACTGTGTTGGGAAGAATACAGGTATTTATCGAAAATGGCATATGAAAACCTTATTTTCATTTCCTTTGCCGAAAAGTTTTTGATGTTACAGTGTTAAACTATCATAAAATGTAAAACACAGATCAATAGAACGTGAAAATCAGCGCAATCTTTTTTATACAACTTGTTTTCGCCGCAAGATCGACAATCAATGTATTAGTCCGTTGGTGCACCCATTGCCTGACGCTCGCTCGCCACCATTCCCTGTCTGCAATGAGGCGGTAGCATGCTTGTCCGCCGAGTCCGGTCCATTCCCTGATGTTGTCCTGCTAGACGCGCATTGGTCTTTCTTGGTACCTGCTACCGCCACACTTTCCCAGGTAGCAAGATAAGGGTAACTTGTAAAAACTTTTTATCATTCAAACGCATCTTCTTATATTTATAAAATAAGAAAAAATTGCTTAAGTTATCAATTAAAAGAGATCTATAATTTTTCTGAAGAGAAAAATTATAAGATTTATTCTTGTTATTTGGTGTTAATTCTTTTTAAAACAATAGTTGGCTTTATACGAAACATTATTCACCATTCCTGAAATGCTACATTTACTACAACAAAAATAAAAACTTTATCACCTGTCATTATATCTGGTGAATTTAATACATAAAACCTGATGCTTATTCTTCTTTCCTTAAAGTTTCGTTCTCACAATAAATTCCATCAACTGCCCCTTTCAATATTGCGAGCCATTATTTCAGTCCATTTTCTTTCAATTAGTGTGTGGTGTAATGTTTTTTTTCTTGTGCAGAAAATTTGTTGCGTTGCTTTTGCTTGACTTCTGAAAAAAGTTTGTCAAGGATCCATTTTCCAGTAACATATCAATCTCCACATCGATCTTCTCTCTTTACAATATCAGTCTAATCATTCTACTTCTTTGACAAATTTAGAAACATAACCTCGCCATTATCATGCAGTTTGCATCATTTTCAACCAAGGGTCCAAAGTGGTTTGATTCAATTTATTTTTCGCACTTGAAAAATCAAAAGCAATAGAGCGGTGCTTGCAAGATTCAAGCTTAAGAAGATCAAATATAGCAATAATAAAACGTTTAACGTTTCTTCAAGATGCTAAGAAAGCTTCCTTTAAATACTATACGAATGATTTTGATAAGTCCTATGACAGCATGACTAGTACTTCCCGATATTTCATTGAAAAACATGCGCCGTTAAAATCAAGAGTTCAGTGTGAGCGAACCATGAAAACGAGGCTACGATATTGATAGGTGTGGCAAATTGGAACTTATTATTATTATCTAAACGCTAGCGCACAGACGTATCTACACACTATTGAAAACATTCATTCGAAAAAACTCTTGCGAAACGTCGTTGTATTGACATTCTCACGAAGATTAAATCTTATTCGAATCATTCTTGCTGTACTGTTTCTCTGATGATTTTATGGTATTTCTAAAGACAACCAGGTGATTTCTTTCCATATTTCTCTCGTTCGTCAAACTATCAAACTATTTATCTTACATTTATTCTGAATATATACAGTCCTCTAGAACTTAACTCTTGCGAACCACTCTGTGGTACTTTTTACCCTACAGCGTTTACGCTCTTTATGTTTATGTTTACGCTTGAATCTGATTCTAAGTGGGGTTTCTTAAATTCAGAGAGGAAATTCAACACCCGAAATATAAATATGGTCATTTACACTAGAAATGCAAAAAGTGCAACAAACTAGAAATGCCATTCACACTAGAAATGCGAAATGCGAAAAGTGCAGCAAAGAGCCTGCAGATGAAAATAGGACTAAGTTAAAAAAGCAACGCAAGAAATGAGTTACAATGCAGAAAAACAGGCAAAGCAAAAAATCATTTCAAACAAGCTTCTAAAATGGCCTGATGTCTAATAAAACTTTTTTGGATCTTGTCAAGCCATTGTAATCCAATAAAGGTGCGCTAATTTGCTCAGATATCTCTGTCGTAAAAGATAATAAAATAGCAACCGATGATCTTTAGGAAACACTAGAGTTTGGAAATTTCCAGAAATTTCGATCTTTCCAGAGCCATTGTCTACATTCCACACATGATCTAATTATAGAAAAATTACATACATATGGATTTGATAAAAATATTTTAGTGTGTGTCCAGATAATAATTTAAAAAGTTCCTAAAAAGTGTTTCTCAGGAGTTCCACAGGGTTCTGCACTTTGATCAATTTTATTTAATTTTTCGATAAATGATTTCTTTCTCTTTATAAAGCAGGCAAAACTTCATAATTTCGCTGATAATAATACACTTTCAAATTTTTTCAAAGTATTGCCCGAGCTATTCAGGGTTTTGGAGAACGAAGCCAATGTCACTTAAACGTGGCTCGAGCAAAATTAATAACTACAAACCCTGATAATATTAGAGCTTTGTTAGTAAGAATGAATTGAAAAAGTACTAGCGGGCAATTTAAAAGCTTTAAAGGGTATAACGACATATATTTTATATGCTGTATATTTGCAATAAAAATAAAGAAAACAATCATTTTGCTCACAATCAAGAAAACGCTAGAGATTCCATGTGAGACAGCTTGGAACAATACTGTTTCAATATCCAGGGCAAAACTGTCACACATTATTTGAGTTTTATACTCATGAATCTTTGTAATTTTCATTACTTAGTCAGTGAGATATAAAAATGTAGCAATTTAGTAATATGATGACATACTACTTTTTTATAAGAAACAGCAAAATTGAAGTTCAAGCCGGCTGTTCGCAATGTTTTCAAAAAATTTGAGCAGCGCAATTGCTAGATGCTGTGCTTGAGGGGGTGATCAGGCCTAATTTACCAAGACAGTGAGTGAGATATCCTTTATTTGCCAATAAATTTGAAAATTATCTGAAAAGCACCCCTTTAATGGCAAAAAGCTCCTCGTTTTCTTGAATTTTACAGTAGCTCAGCCTCAGATTGTTCATAAGTGTATGCTTAGGGACCCTGGCTCACGTGACCTATAGAGACGAACATAGAGAGTTTCATACTTCGTTGGAGTTAAGAATATTCTCCATCTTTCTGTTTTGTTTCGAACAAATGGGTTTTTTTATTCACTTTATGTTGGCTTACAAAATAATAGCTAATAAGCAGCTAATCAACAGTAACTTGTAACAATAACAAATATAAGAAAAATCATGATGTCTACAAGTATCCAATATTAGAAATATATGGTGTGCATAGTTTACACGAGTAAGTAAGATCCGTTTGTTTAATTTTAGTTTTGAATACTTTACAATTTTCTGTCGATCGAATATCTATCGGTATAGAGTTCCACCTTTCATTACATCTATAGGACAGTGTATCTAGCCCATAAGTAACAGTGTTCGGCTTTTTTTGCATAAAAGATTGATTTCGAAAATTATATGCAAGTTCATTCAACTGAAATATCTCTTTCATAAATACTGGATTCAAGTTATTTACTTCATTCGACCAACTTCTTAAAAAAATTCTAACCCTTTGTCCACCTTTCTTTACCAGCATTTCCTCGACGTTTTTCTTTTCTTTAAACTGTTTATGCAAATAATCCAAAGTGGCTTGCATAGAAGATTGTCCCAGCATGAGTGCCTATGTCTATCACTTTCGATGAAACTCGTATCAGCTAGCAGGATGATAAATATTCCCAACAAAACAGCTCAGTTTCACTTTTCTACGTTGAGTGTGAACGAGGTCTCTATACTAACCCTCGTAGCGCAGTTTTAGTGACATGCAGTCACTAGCAGGCAAAAGAAAAATAATAAAAGGGCTTCAGTCCTTTGAAAATCAACTAGTGGCCTATCAGTGACATGATACAACTCCCACTCTTGTTGATTGGCTAATAATTATTGACAGATCGCTTAAGCAAATAAAGACACAACATTTGAAGCAGAATCATTCAAAATAAATAAAATAAATCTTATTGTAAATATATGTGATAAATGGAAACAAATTTATAAATAAATAATGTTCATAGTGCTGAATATTATAAGAAGAAAATTTCGATAAGTATTCAATGCAAAAGTATGCATAAGTAAAGAATTGTAAATATTCTACTTTATTCTACGAAGGAAAGAGTCAATATCTCATCTCCAAATAAATTGGCTATTTCATCAAACCCACCCAGACCTCCATCTAAATCATTGGGTTCTACATTGCGCAGTGTATGTTCTGGCATTTGTCCCATATGAAAGAAATTAATAGATGAACCACTGAGGCCTTCATTTTTCTGTTGCATACTAGCAGGGATAAAAAGTTCATCTAAAATTTCAAAATCCGGTAGATGATTCGATAGAACATCATTCTGATTTTCATTAGCGGCACGCAATGGGTCACTTCCCTCACTTGCTCTTGGCACCTCTGTGATCAACGAAGAGGTAACACTTTGCTGCGGAGGAGATAAAGATGTCTGCATACTTTTTTTTGCTAGGTCGTCTATCTCTCTTTCAACGAAACCATATTGGATGGGTCTTCTCAAGGTTTCAGAGCCTGATAAATGACCGTTTTTGGGTAGACTGCGCTTTTGTCCAGGAGCATAGGCCATATTAGACAATGAAGCGGCGACATCAAATCTACCTTCTTCGTTCATCATGCCTACGCTCGTAAACTTGCCATCTGAATGTGAAGGGCTGCCTGTTACAAGTTGGTACTTTCCAGAGACAATTTCAATGTCAATGTCCGGATATTTCGTCGGTATCTTCTTTCCATGTTTAAAAACTGGTGCATTACCGCTAGCTGTTGTCGCATCCTTTGGAGGCACTTTCACAGTTAACCTCCTAGCTCCTGCAGAGTTTGTTTCTGGAAATATCCGACGCCTTTTCTGCGGTAATGGGTATGCTTGTGGCAGTTCGATGGCATCTGTAACAAGACTCGCCATACGAATGCCATCTGGTAGTAATTGATGATTATGAAGATGAAGTTCCGTTCTAGGCTTTGCTTGTTTAATAACATTTTCAAACATCTTGTCTTTTCTTTTGCGTTCCTGCAAGTTCATCGAATTTCCTTTGGTGTTCACTACCATTGTTGGAGCTATCATGTCGTCTTGCTTTTTTGAACACGATCCGTTTCCAAATATTTCCAGGTGCTTATGCGAATATAGATCTGGGAATTCAAAGCTTTCGAAGTCACTCTTTCTTTTGCTTTTAGATTGGTCTGATTGGTCCTGTATTGATAAAAGCATAGTTAATTGTAGAAAGCAACTTTGAAATAAACACTAAGATACATTTTTATGCCTGAAAATGGAGCAATTTTCAAGCATTGCTAAAAATAACAGATATATTACATTTACTGTATTGGTTTATAACCATCCATGGCATGCTACTTTCACTTGGCCAAAACACAGTGACCAGGCCAAGCAAACTGGCAGTTTCTTTAATCGCGTGATTTCCAATTTGAACCTTATAGAAGTATATTGCTGTTAACGTTTGCTCACTTTCATTCTTTTAGATTGTTTTTGTGTTCAATGCGGGAAAGGACCGCATTCCTTGCATCTTCTCTAAATAGAGGAAACAGACATTGAAAATTAACTAGTAAGTCACGTGCATTTCATTCGAATGATACTTTAGTCGGCTATAGTCAGGTGATAAGACAGTAGGGGTTAGGTATACGCAAAAGTTTAAAAGTGAGAGCATTGTAGCTATCATAGCTACAATAAGACGAGGCTCACAAATTCCATTCTTGGTCATTTAACCCATTCAACATGGTGGAACGTTGAATCGCAGGCACAATAAGGTGGTAGAAGGGGATTTTATTGAAAAAGCTTTGAAAGATCTTTATGCCAATATTTGAAAGATCTTCACATCACAATGAGAGATTATGCTCAGAATGAAAGGGTCCAGTGCTTTCACAATATCAATACCTTAAAAACTCGAAAACGAAACGAACAATACAATCAACCAAAACCACCCGATAGTGAAATCATCTGCGAAAACACGATAACAGGTCACTGACAAGAGCTCTTCGGGGCGGGGAGGGGGGGGGGGGTTAGGATTACGAATTGCAAAAAATCCCAAAAGATTTGGTATCTAAGTTCCTTTATATTGGAAAAAGGGGTGACCAACAGACCACTTCCAGGACTTCTTATATCTCATTCTCATTATCCCTCACCTCCTGCTCATCATCCACTTTTTTAGATCTATTCATTATAAAACAGGTAGCATGAAGGTAGGTAGGGATAAAATGAATATTGAATAATCGTTGGAGGGTTCATTATAGATGAAAATTGACATTGCCGTTCGTAATGAAAAATTGACAGGATCAACAAACGAAATACCAGGACAAACATTTCTTAAATTAGGAAAATAGGGTAGGGGAAATTAAAACAGGACCAATTTTGTAAAATCAACCAATTTGCAGGGGGAACGACTCGAAACTCTGCACTGAGTAAATTTTGAGACTTCAATAAAGAACATTAACCTTGCAAAAATTTTAGAATTGAAATAACGCTAACTTTCTCGTGCTTTGTTATGCGTAGCGCCACGGCCAACTTTTGTTCGTAGAAGCCTTTGGAATTTGCAGGCAGTTACTTTGCATATATTACGTACAGTATTGTCAGCGGGAATCCCCTATGCTCTGTAATTTTTGTTTACGTACCACGAAAGGATTACCCGAGTTACTTTTAAGAATATTCCATTGCGTGCTATCATAACATCATCGTTTATTTTTGGTATTATTTTTGGCTGCTGTTGGTACTTGAAAAATCTCAGTAGTGAGTAAGATATGTTGTGTTGAAAATACATTTGAAAAAGACAGTTGATCGTCACTTCTACGCAGTGGTGTAGTGTTATCAAATAACTTAGGAGACGTTTGCACAAAATGTTGCGAAAACAATAGCAAAAGTAGAAATTTGCAAATTTTCAGCACTACACCTGTTTCTATCTACGTCTATCGTGCGGATCGTCATACAAAACAATAAAGGTCGGTTTAAAAAGAGGCAATTTATCATAAATTATTAAAAAAAATATTGATGGATTTACAGTCCTAGTATCACACTATTGGTCTTAAGACTCCGTGGAAAATGTTTAATAGATAAGAAAGGTGTGAACTTCACGGTTGACATGGCAATCTAAACACAAATCTATCTATCTACACAAATCTCAAAACTACACAAAGACAAATTTAACCCTGGTATGATATGAGGCTTAGATGAGGCTCCCATCTGTTACATGCATCTACCCTCCCGCTTCTTCCACCGTGTTTAACAGTACCTCAGCTTAACAACACGTTCCCCCGCGCAATACTTTTTTGCTTGAATCCCGTCCTCGCATTTTTGCAAATTTAGATTAATCCGGGCATTCGGAACATGGACTTTCGTGTGAATTTTGCAGCTTTAACCTGCCATTTTGAAACACAATTTTTTTTCCTGCGCAAGCGTAAGCGGCAGAAAATAATTCCCCGCGCGCAAGGAATACTTTGCACTCTGGAATACAGCATCAGAACGTAGTAGGAAATTGTGAGCGTTCCTTTCCTCTATCTCTCTTTCTCTCAATCTCTGTATATAGTTGTTGTTGTTGTTACGATTGCACTCTTGATTAGAAGAACACTCTTGATTACGAATTCGAAAGAAACGACGTGAACTATATCTCAAAGAACTCTCGATAGATGTGAACGCTATTCAAAAAGAAAGAAGATCGATAGAACGATTCACATAAAGAACAGTGTTTAGATAAAGTAATAAATCAAGATTTTATTGGACCGAGGTGACTTCGTTAAAATTCTTACGTCATTTTATCTCTCTGGGCGTTAATTCTTCTCTCTGGTTGATAATTTATGTTTGTTTATGTCGTTATATTCGCTGATGTTAATACTTTATCGTACATTTTAATTCGAATAAGAAATTATACAGTCCTTTTATTGACTTTGATATAGAATTTGATCTTCAAGACGAATGAACCTATAACTATAAGGTAATTCTAACCTGCCAAGTAAATATATTTCAACTATTTACATCCAAGTAGTGATTCCTGCAAGGTAGATTCTATAAACGAAAGCGAATCTCTTGACGTGATAAAAAAGGTCACGAACATTTCGTAACAAAATTCCAGAACATTAAGAAACTGGAGTTCTCAACATTTCTGGAGAAACTGGAGTTCTCAATTGTTCTTATAAAAAAGCAGTGTATATCATGATATGTCCCTGATATAAGGCTAACTCTTGAGTACCGCAATCTAGTAATTAATAAAATTTACCTTCTAATTCCAGTGCATAGACAAAGCTAGATCGTAGATGCTGTAGCTATCGTAAAACTGTTTTGAACTGCTTCGGAGAGTTCTGTCCAAACTTATATATATCGAAACCACGAATTAACATCAACTAAACACGTGCGAGACCAGTGAAATTTTATAGAAGATGTGCAACCAACGATGAGTAATCAAATTTGATCGCAACCAACATGAACGAATCACAACAACAGACGATTACATAATGGGAATGTAACTCCGCTTTCTAAGAAAATAATCAAAGTCACGCATGATTGCTCTTAATGAACAAAGCTGCTAGTAAGCAGGGCGTGCTGCTCCAGCATGCTGGAAACGAAACTAAAAATAAATCTAGATCATACTATTTGAACGGAGTAAAGGTCTATTTATTTTGTAGAAAGCTAGCTTTGAAGAGAATACTTTGGAGATATTTCTGCTTTGGCCTTAAGAGAGATTCTTGCTTTGATTTCCCTTCCTCCCCCGCGTTAAAATATAGGAAATTGAGGTTTTGCGGCATAAGCCTGACTAGATATAGATACGCCACGTTTCTGCTACTCCACAAGTTTTTAGGATAATTAAATTTTGTAGAAACAAATATGCCTTTGTAGAGTTTTACATCAAAAAGTGGATCTAGAACAAAAAACATGCTGTATATGAGAAATTTTTTCAAGCGTCCTACAAATATACCATATTCCAGTTCATCCTGCTGTTCCTAGAGTGTTTCATGATTTCTGTCTGTTTTTTTTGAAATATTGAAACTGTTTTGTGGCTCAATCTTGCTACAGCTACTAGATAACGATTTCTTCTTGTAATAATTAAGTAAGTTATTAAATCTAAATTCAAGAGGGTTTGCCCAATTTTTCAAATATTAACTTAATCTGCTTAGTTTTTTGTTTTTTTACAAAGAAAATAAAGGTTTATTTTGAAAAGTTGGTTTCTCACCAATTTTGCAAGTGATGAAGGCACGTGATGAAGGCTATTCTCAGCTATTTTGCACGTGATTGGTAAAAACGATAGTAACATTTTTCCCGAAATGGAAGTGGGCGTGAATGTGAAAATAATATTCCACCCCGGCAAACAGGGCTTCATCAGTGTGAGAAATATTAGTATTCGTTTAATTTAATTTATTTTGAAAATTCATCTCATAACATTGGATTCTCGTCGCCGTTTTGCTTATTTTCTGAATTTTATCCCCAAATTACAAAGGTTTGATGGGGCCAGAGCTTGTGCTCATCTGGTCATATCTCAGCTAATTCGTAATACCTTTAACTGATTTTGCAAATTTCGAGGTATTTCATGATGCTCTTTTACATTATGAGAAAAAATTTCGAAAATTCTAAAAAGATTTTTGTGACGTCATCACTTGTAAACTCTTTTATTTTTTAATGGGACCTGGTTACCATGGTATTGGGATTTCATTTTCATTTAAAAAGAAAAATGCAGCAATTTCACGTGAAATATGTTATCCACGGTCAAATCAAATACTTTTTTTCGTCAATGAGGACTTTTTCTTGAATCGAGAACCTTTTGCTACTCCACAATGTACAAGTTGACGATGTAATTCCGCATTCCTCCGGCCACCCTGTGATGCAAGGTGGACGTTCTTGGTAGTTGAAAAGTGTGCAAACGTTATGGGTCTTGTATATTCATGTTAAAATTGAAAATAGCCGGCGATCTACTGATTAATGATTCTACGAATACTCGAATACACATTTCTGTGGATTACGTGTACAACGGCAAAGTACACTAAGCATGTTTTGCATCTAAATTCAAACAAATATTGAGGTATAAAACACGCTATAGCAATCGAACACAAACCAGTTTTTTGTTTGATTCCATGTCTTGGCACCTATCAAAGTTATTTTGTATAGGGTTTGGGCCACGCTTTTCGTACCTTTAAAATGTAAGACAAAAGGTCACTTTGATGTGACCATAGAAATTTTTAACATACAAGACGTCTGTCTATGTGACATATAAGAAGCTTTGAATATCGACTTTGCAATATCCAAAACCAACGGTTAATTCAGTACACCGAGGCAAAACCTTATAGCGTAGCGTCCCGTTGAAACTGATAGTGACTCTCGACATTATCGATCAGAATTTCAAACACGAATTCAAAACTGATGAACAGATCAAATAACTCATCAGTAAAATAAAACATCATCAATATTTACCAGAAAACTCCATACCTTATTTTTCAAGGAGCATCGATTATTTAAAAATTCTTCAGCCATATCCGTTACTTTGCACTCAAATTGATTCAGAGAATCAGCCTAAAATTTGAATTAGATATCAATTGAAACAGTGCTGCTTCAAAAAACTGGAAAGAACCATCATTTTCCACATGTTCATCACTCATACGTAGATTGCCAATGCCAGGATTACATCTATGGCTTAACGAAAGTTAAAAATTGCCAACCTATGAACGGGAGCAGTGCTACGGGCGTCAAATGTACGATACCCTGCTAGAGTCCTGAATCGGCAAACTTGGTGGTTGGATGAACAAAGAACTCAACCTGCGCCCTCCGCAATAAAAGTTTCTTAGCAGACATCAGTGCCGTATGAACAAAATTCTTATTGGGGGGAGGGGGGCTGCCTACTGTATTCCTTCCCATTTAGTACCTTTTTATAAAGGAATTAAAGTACATTTTAACAAATATCGTGGGGCTCTAGCGCCCAAAGGCCCCTACCCCACTTCTGACAGCCTTCCATGGCTTCAAAGTGATGAATACCAGTTTGAAGGATGCAGCAGCTACCCTGGGCCTGGGTGCCAGTGCCTTAGAGAGCCAAAGGATTAAAAACGAGGAAAAGGAACTGCGAATAAGAATTGGAGAAGAAATGAGACCTCTGCAATTCTCCTTCACGATTCTTTTCCCTCGTTCTTAATCCTTTGACTCACTGAGGCTCTGGCACCCAGGGTATGCAGCGGCCTGCCGTCTCTTTAGTGACCTAAACAGAACCTTGCAGCTATGGCAAGATATTCTTAAAAGAAGAGATCTTCATAAGGTTTCATCTTCGAGATGTATCAACTTTTTGTCAGAAACAGATTCTTTAACACAAGAACTTACTAAAACAATGATACATCAGAAGTAAATAGATGTCTTCTTACATAGGCATGTGTGGAAGATAGAAGTGGATTGGCAGGCGTGTCTAAATAAGGTTGTGAATTGAATAGTCAACAATGGTGAAGTACTGGGTTTTGGGGTACAGACTAAGATTTTTTATACATCATCTGCTTTACAATCTAATGCAGGAGCAGGTAGTTTTAGGAATGTGATGAAATTCTATTGGGTGGCTTTAGGAGAAACACAGTCAAGGGATAAAGATTAAAAATGAAAGAAGAGTAAGGGAAACTGATGCCAAATGCCAAACATAGTATCAAAGAAGGCAGCAGATGTTGAATAAATTCCGAAAACGAAATAAAAAGTAGAAGACAGAGATATGCACAAAGACTGAGTTTGTGAATCAAATAGAGAGTGACAAGAAATAATTTGCTGTAACATTATTGATAAAAAGCTATTATTTGGTTGATATTTAGTAACTATAAATACAACTCATAGGTAACCTAACCTCACTTACAGCAGCTTTGAAAAATGCTTTATTACCAAGTTATTTTAAGAAATAATCTTAAGCAGATTATTCAGGGGCCAAAAAGGGCTTAATTGAACCTTTTTTGATTGACAATTTCGAAGCAATGAAGGCGCGTTCGTAATTACGCACAAAAAACCTCAATACATTGAGAGAGGATAAAAACAGAAACTTGATATATTTTCAATCAAATTTTGTATACTTGTTTTGTCTTTGATATGAGTTGACAAAATTTGAATGGCGTCTACTCTGTTGCCTAATATCCAGAAAACTTATTTCCCAGTTTCCATAATAAATGTTGCTTGGACAATGATTTTCAAACTCATTATCATGTACTTTTTTGTCTAGTAATTTGAAAAAAGTATTGTCCAAATGTAAGCTAACAATTTTCAAAAACATTTTTAAAAAATTTAGCATGGTCCGGCATTTGTGGTCTGTAAAATACACTATAACCGTGTGATCATCTTATAATTATTAAAAAATTTGCAGCAATTTTTATTGTTGTTTGTGTCAACATTTCGTGTGTCTTGAGCAATGGACAATGAAGAATAGGTCTGATATTTACAAAAAGTCTTGGTATTTGTGAATAAAATCCATTACCTGCAAAATGCCAAGACACTCTCTCTTGAACGCCTTCTTTCTAGTGTTGGCTAAGATCTCTGTGAAGCTTTTTGATACCTCTCGAGCGATGTTTGTTACCTCTGGTTGGTTTCGTATGCAACTCTGTAAGTAAAAGAAAGATAAGGTAAATTCCCTTGTACTAACAAGTCGTTATCAATGTATCTTTTATAAGCAATAGCCCAAGCATTGTTCAATTGTGTAATTCTCAATTCAAACAACTTATTTGAGACAAATTTCGTAGCCTTACCAGCGTTACTCATCAGATCCCCTTATAAAACAGAAAGTGATTCTCACAAAAAAAGCTTTAGAATCCCAACGACCTCAAATACACCCACGAATTATTTCAATTTAAAGGATCCTTGAAGTGAAAGGGCTTGTTGCAATAACATGTTATTTCATTGGGCACCTTTACATGCCGTTTATGACAAGTTTTATGAATCGGTTAAGCAACATCCAAAGATTTATGAAACTGTAAGACGCCGTGAAATTCCACAGAAATTGGACAACAGGAAAAACATGCGTAATCATTAGCAATACTGAAGCTATGGGTTATGAATTTGAGTCTGAAGTTCGGCAATTAGAGCATCAAAAGAGATGACCCAATATCAACATACATTAAGAAAAAAATGAATTTTGACTAAATAACCTGCTGAAAAACAGTGTGTACTGAAAAACAGCCCTCTGCAAAATCACCCAACTCTCTTGCAAATTGAGATATGGCTCCGGTGCGCTGATTCGATCTCGCAAGGTTTGATCTTTGTTTCAATTTACAATCACTGCCAAAAGTCTTGGAACACTAACGTAGGTTTTCAAAGGCAAATTCAGCCATCCCCCTCCCCCCTAGGAACAATGTTGATTTACTATAGAAAAAAGAAAAGGGTTATGGAGTACGCTTTTTCTTGTGGATTGTTTGATATTTTTCTATACTTTCAACATTGTGTTGGGGGGAAAGGGGGGCGGAAGTGGTAGTATTCAAGAAAAAAAATGAAAAATAGAAAAGCACAGCGCAAAGTGTTAGGTGTTCCAAGTAATTTTGGCAGTGATTGTACGCGAAATCTCATCTCAAAAAGATACTTTGAAAATGATTGGGATATAGAAAACAGTACTTGATGTAAATAATTTAGGAAAATGCATTTTAAACCAAAAAGACCATGTCCACTATCTGAAAAGGCGCTTTTTCGAGGGGGCGCTTTTTACCCTTGTGTTCCAAAACTAGACCATTATTGAAGGAGGCGTTTAGTTTAAGGTTTAGTGTACAAATGTTACATGATTCTTTGGGATCATATTGTCAAAATTCTTCCTGTTACAAAACAGAGCATATGTAACAGCTAATCAATAGTGCTAATAGAAATGTCATACAAAACTATTTAGTGGTCATATAACAAAGATACGGAATCTAATTATAGCAATGTCATAGTTGAAATACGAGCAACACTAAAGGGTCTTCCGTGCAACCGCCATGCTTTGCGGTAGCTGTTTTTACGCGATGGGAAATGGCCAGTGTTCGTATTTTCATGCAGTAGGATATTAGGCTGGTTTTGAAAATCGAGTCACAAGTTTGATAGAAATTAATCAAAGTTTTGTCATAGTTTCAGATACGACTGCTCTCGAGAGTTACGATCAAAGGTTCTGTTATGACCACACCTATCGAGTAGAAAAAGTTCTTATAAAAAGGGAGTGAACATGACTAATGTGCCAATGTACAAAGTGTCAAAGGTTTTTTTCTCTCAAAATTGAAGAAAATGGTTTCCTTTTAGAGAACCTTTGTTCATAAAGCCAATCCCCAATGTTCCAAGAGTATTTCATTTTTCATTTCAAAATATTTATGCACAATACCTTACCAGGTAATGTTATAGTGATATACTGATATTGTCAGGATTTATTAACTAAAAAAATGTCAAATTATGTGTTTACAGTATTGAATTTAAAAAAATAACAGAGCTGTTCTCCCTAGGTATCGTGCTTTAGAGCTTATTGTCGACTTAACAACTAGTTTCTCAACTTTTATCGATAATGGTAGGGCCGTTCCAAATTTGCATTGGAATAGAGTACCGGAGTATGACGTCATCAAAAATATTTATATAGAACTTCTTAACTTTGACCACATAAACTGAAATAACAGCATAAAATGACTCTTAATATGAAATTTCATCTTAACATGTTTAAAATTTGGCGAGATATCACAAAATTTTGCCTCAGTTCATGAACTTCTAATGCGTTCCTTCATATGCAACTGGATAACAGAGAATTTTCCCTTGATGCTATTTGGGAACATGCCATTGGTTAATTTGTAGATCATATTTGTCCTGTCTTATTTCATTAAGCTGGAAACAGATAATCAGATGGAGATTCAACCACCCCTTGCAATAGCGAGATCAATTAGATTTAATGTACACCGTTAAAGACATTTTTTCATTATGGTGTTAGAAATTCAATATGTGTTAAAAGCGACTTTTAAAAAAATTGGTTTCAAATTCGTTGAGGAGATTTTCGAGACAAAATAAAGGCGTATCTTTAAAGGATAAAGAAACATGTGCTTGAACCAAAGCGAAAGGGAAACTTTATTTCATGTTTTTTTCATAGATGGAAGGGGATAACATCTCTTGCTTTCTCGCTTCGGTGCTTTTCAGAAAATGCACTGAATTGTGGTCGATCAGATTTTAAAGCAGTAACGACCTCTTTGCTAGTTCTAATGGGGCGTCTGCGAGAATTCAAAAGCATTTCCTGCAAAGTCATTTACCAAAGATCATTTTTCTCCAACGACTAAAGAAAAGCTTCTTACAGAAGCAGAACGGTTTCTTTTCGAGAGCGGCTCTATTTGCTTTCGAAACGAAACGTACATGTCTGAAAATAATTAGACATCATAACCTATGAACAACTGTGCTTGTGACAATAAAAATAGTCAATATTTCTCTATTTTATACAGGCGTTTCTTTTGGTACATTGTTTTTCAATTTTGCTGATGTAGCATTTTTGTTGATGACATCATCATTTCTTTCATTTCCTGGTTTGATTTGCAAAAGAGGTAAAGATAAAGGTTTATAATTATTCCACGCTTTGAGTTGAAAAACTGTGTAATTTTGTTGCATAATTTGCTTGATTTAGTCTCATGAACTTTTTTTTCTTCAATTCGTCCCTTTCCCGTTACATACTCAGCGATAAACAAAGGATCTACTCGTATAAGTTTAAAAGTTAAAAAATGATAATAATGAGAGTTTTTTTTGAAACGATACAAAAAAATAAGTTTCTCAAAACCAAGAAAATACGGTATAATACCATTCTCAGCCTGTTGCACTTGGCGCTGTCACAAATGGAGGGTAGAAGATCTGGGATCCAGTTTCTTGTTGACATAATGTGCGGGCGTCTGGATAGATATATTTTTTTGTTCAATATACCTAGATATAATTTTTTCTATAGAATTATATTTCTTTCTTTATAAGAGGGCAGCCCTTGAGCATCAACTGTTTTTTAGGGGCCCTTCGATAAAACATGATTACATCATAAATTTAAACATCATTAGTATTTAAAAGAGCCTGGTATGGTATGGTATGGTATGGTATGGTATGGTATGGTATGGTATGGTATGGTATGGTATGGTATGGTATGGTATGGTATGGTATGGTATGTAAGGTGTGGTATGCATTGTAAAGTATGGTAGGTATGGTATATATCATACAGGACGGTATGGTATGTATCTTTTGTCGGAAAGTTTTTTTTGCTCAAAACAACTTTAAGGGCAATCAAGCAAGCAAACAAAGAACGAAAAAAGTTCATATTTTTATAGATGTATATATATATTTATAATATATATACCTAAGCAGCATAGGATATCAGTACAGACACACGACAAACAACTCTAGCAAAAAGCTGGAACCCAGATCTCCTAACGGCATAAGATTGCGTAACAGCGCTCAATGCCATCCGGCTGATGATTACACAATTTTTTCAGCTTTCTGACAAACTGTATTTCAACAGACATGTATTTCAGACTGAAATTTTACTTCTCATTTGGAAGTGTCGTGTGTCGGTAAAGGATTGTATCAAATGGGGTATTGACAAAAGAAGATAACATTTTAAAGGTACTATAATAATGCTTAATAAGCAAAATTGAAATAGCAATAAACGGGAAATCTCACGATTGCCTTATCTAACCTACCGAAACTTTTAAGCGGAATGTGCGGAACTCTGCAAATCGAAAAAAACTAATGCATACAATGATGACGTCATTAACAGAAATTCAGACATCAACAAAAGTAAAGCATTTTTATACCATATGAAAGGCCTGTATTAGTTGAAGATATATTGGCTATTTTTATTGTCATAAGCACAGTATTTCAAAAGTTATGGTCGTTAATGTGATCATTCCAAGGCAAATATTGACGTCATCGATCACGTGACTTCCAGAAAATATTTCTGGCCCATTTTGGAATATCAATCAGTTACCAATATTTAACCATATTCTGAAGTCAGATTTGGTATCAGGCACTTGCTTAGTTTGTCACAACAATATCCCTTTCTATAAATATAGGTGTCAAGATCGAGACAGCTGGTAAATAAGCCTCTAATTCAAACGCGGCTACTATTTACATTTTTCATCAAGACTGCGGCTTTTATTGGATTGCAGCTTCTAATTGAGAAAAATCGATATGTTCTAAGCTTTGATACCATGAAATACGAATTTGTAAAAGTGTTTCGGTTTCTTTGCTAAGTATTTATTACGATCCACAGGATCAAAAAGTCTCAAGGCTATTCTCGTAACTTTAATTTTAACTGCTGTAAAAGTAACGAGAAAAGATACTATCATTGGTATCAAGCGAAAATGACTTAAGCTACAAATCTGAAAATGTTTAGTGTTTATAAAGAAGCCATTGGGAATGATGCATGATAATGTTAAGAGACATGAGATCGACTACTCTAAAAAGTATCAGATAGAATATTTCAACACCGTAAAAAAATATATATTATCTATTTATATATCATTTTTATATCATTTTTATAGAACTCACAAGCAACTTTCTGCACTGTAAGCCTGATTAATGCTTAAACCTCGCGCATTGATTGGTATCCTTTCTTCTGCTAACTCGATCTATGCCACAGCCAGAAGGTAGAATATGATCCAAACGATGCGCAGAAGACGCTTTTATATTGCTTGTATGACGTACAAGATTCCAGTGCAATTATGTAAACCAGTGACTCACGATTGCGCAATTTTCCGCAACGAAGGAAAGTTCGAACAGTTGCTTCAGGTTGAAGGCAATCAGTGATATGATTTCTTATAGTGCTAGTAGTACTTAAAGATTTGCAAGCAGTGGCACAGGTAACCAGTTTTCACTTCCTTCTATTGTTTTTTATGAAATCCCCTCCCCTCTCTTGATCTTTCCACGGCCCTACTCGAATAACAAGAAGGAATTGCAAGCAAAATAATATTTTGAATACAAGCTCTCTTTCTCTATCTCTGAACTTCTCCACGCTGTCCACATTAACAGGTTTCATATTGCAACAAACATTGTAACTATTTTTGTTGAGCCACCTAGTGCCCTAGTACAAAGACATTGCCTAGTATCTCGGTGGCACTGCCGTTCGAGACAGCAGTCAGCATATTATAAGATATCAATGTAGTCCCCATTCGCGGAACTGATGATGCTAAGAGGTAAAAGTAGTTGAACCAGAGAGAGAACAAAAGTATGGTAGCACTTGTCGAGAATCAAAACTCAATTGGAAACGCCCCGTTTTCAACTATGCAGCGAACGAAATTCGAGGATTTCAAAATTGATTATGAAGCTAATTTTGTTTCAAAAAACAAAATATTTTAATTCGTAAACTCTACATTATTTGCTACCTATTTTATTGCTGTCTTTTGCAAGCAATATCAAGAAATATCATAGCTTTTAAATGAATGTGTAAAAGGAAAAGGTAGTCTTTTGTTTGAGTGTGTTTAATCCTAATACTCTCGTTATAATTCCTATTAGATTCATAGTAATTGACGCGATTCTATCAAAGACACTTCTTAGGAAGGATTTTCTCTTGTCCTTTTTCATCTGATGGAAACAAATTGCTTACTTTGTTTGTAAATTTATGCTTTAAACAAACAGATTTTAGCAACAGGCTTTATATATATTCATTGACTCCACTGCCCCCTGCATACACTCATCTGTTTTAGCTAGCAATGGTGGAAACAAATTTTTGCAAATCAAAAGTGAATGCTTCTAGAATAATATCCTTCTGAATTTCTGGGCAAAGGACTGACTGCAATTTTTCAAAATTCCCGATTCATCTCTTATGTTTCATTATGATTCATAAATTCTAGAGCCAGAACAAAATTAAAATAACCTTGTGGGGAAAGAGCCAGTACTTATTTGGCCATATGGCCATACCACAGCCAGTTTGTAGCAGGACATTTTACGCTGTTTCTCATTTCAGAATTTCTATGAAGGAGCAATCCTTTAATTAAAATCCCTGAAGTGTCAAAACTACTGAACATATATTCTAGGAAGGGATTTCCCCCTTTTTCATGTCATGCTCAACAATCTGGAGAACAGCCTCTTTTTGTGGCATCCTCGACCTGACATGTGGGTGTTTTCCTAACAAAGAAAGTTATTGACCACAAGATTTGACCACATTATTACGTCACATATTTCATAATCCGGGCTTTCCATAATTCAAACAGTTCGCTGTAAATTTCTCTCGATCGAAAACTAGGACATACCTTTCTGATTTCAAAGTTGCTTTTGATCAACCTCTTCAACAACCATTTGATTAAATTTTCATTCCAAGAGCCATCAATATCAAGATTTGGGAAATCAGCTAAAAAAATCAGAACAAAAAAATTTGAAAACACATACAAAAGTTACTTCTGAAACTTTCTTATTAGGATATGGCTGTTTATAGTACCTTGAGATGTTAATAGCAGTAATACTGTCAAAAAGAAGGCAAAAATGTGCAATCTGTGGAAAGATTTCTCAAAGGCAATTTAAACTAGCCATCAGGGGCGTCGCGACCGGGTGTGTGTGGGGGTGTTACACCCCCCCCCTCAAAGTATCTCAATAGGAAATTTCAGGTAAAATCCGCTGGGTGGAAGAAACGCTTTAGGTATTTTAGAGACCTTCATGTCATAAAATCAATAAAGGATCAAGCAAAGGTAGTTGCTCCGTTGGTTAATATGATATTCCTTGATATGAATGAAGATAAAAAACTAATGATTTGAAGATTTGAAGATTCCTTGTTGGCACTAAATAAAGAAATTCAGGCCCTCTTTAGGTAAAATTGTGTCTTGTGTCCATTTCCCCTAAAGTTTCTTGGTAAAAGCGTCAGCTGCAATTCACTAAGCGCTCCAGATAAGAACATTCAAAAGGCATGCTAAGATGGAAAGAGGGACCTAAATTGACAACCAGTGCTGCTTGTTACCTAGCTTCAGAAGTAACTGACAACATGGTATTTCTCAAGACCACGGCGAAATTGTACCAGTTGTTTTTATCTGCTGTTCAATTTGTTTGCAAAAAAAATAATTTTCAATAGAATTAGGAGGATTGCTTTAGTGAAATGTGCTTGAAAGAGTGCATTTTCCAGGAAACTAGAAGCATCAAAATTCGAAAATTTCCTGCTCCTTCGGCGGCAACCATGGTGCAGCCTCGGGTAGTAACTATATACTTTGCCCGTTCCGATATAGAGATTTGACAAAATTATTAGGAAAATCCCTATTATTAGGAGATTTTTAGCTAAAATTATCCTCTGGTAATGAGAGAGTTTTTGGTAAACGGCGAATACCTGCTGCGTTTACCAAATATGGGCATTTTCCCCAACCGGGGGGTTATTACGGTTAGGAAATAGCTAAGAAAACACCGTGTATACTGGCAGCTATGATTTAAAAAGGTGTCTTTGTGAAACCTAATTAGGTGGTGTTTCTGTTTGCATCAACTTACCATTAACAGCTTTCTTGTTAATTCGCTGAATTGATAATATTACCAGAATATCTGCATATTTGTTGCTAGTCGAAATGGCATATTGGGACTTCGGTTTGATTGCAAAAACAAGTTCTGGATATGCTTTAAAAGGAAAAAGGACAATGTCTCACATAAAATGTCCTACAAGTGCATAAAACGGTTAACATAAACGACACAATGAAAGAAGAAAACGTTAGAAGTTTTTTCCAATCAAATACTATCTTTCTTCGTGAAGCGACGGAGAAACGAGACTCATAAAATAAAAGAAAGATTCCAATTCAGAATTCATTATCTGCTTTGGCCCAAAGTGATGAGGTAACCTAAGAAGGTATTAAGCCAGTTACGAAAAATTTTTGGATTTCCAGCTTAGTAATAATCCAGTTAGGTCATTGATCATACACAAGACCTAGCAGGATTTGCTGAAGATTTTTTGACTCATTTAGTCTGTTTTGCATATACTTTATAAATGAATCTGATTTACTCTGACAAATCGTATAAAAAATTGCCATGTTTATATTCCGTCTTAAGGTACGGCCAAAATATGAAACACTGTCATATGACTTTCGTGTTTCACAAATGTTGGTTAAAATGTCATACAACTAAATCGATCTACCGGTGGCCCCAAAATGTTTGACGATCGTCAGTGGTAATTAGTAGTTTGCAAGGTGTCGTCGGACAATTCGATTCAATGCAAGTTAAATTCACTAGGAGAACAGTCACTAAGCAGCGTAAACAGTATGATACAGAAACATAGAAAACAACCAAATGCTAAAAGGAAAATTTTCCGACAGGCTTTCTTGCCAATTATATCTCACAGAAACTCATGAAGAAATATTTCCCGTTCGTTAGTTTGGGCGGAAATGATGTCACTGGCAAGCAAGAATAAACTCTTAAAACATCTGCTTGTAGACTTTGACTCCCTTAAAGGAGAACTGACACGCAAAAATAACTTTGGCTTATTCGATGCAAAATTTGTCGCTGATTTCAAATCTGGAAAAAGTTTTCTTCTTAGATTCGCCGTTTTTCTGATATTTGCACTTTTATCCGTCAAATACGTCACAGCCAGGACTCGGGAATTTCCCGAAGCGGAAACAAGATTATCGCCAGGAGTTGTTAAAATTCTCGGTTGACGTCACAAGTGACATGTTAACAATGCCGTTGTAAAGGCTTTCACCGCAACGGTGAAAATACAAGTGAAGTTTCGTGTTTTATTGAAAAAAGTCCGCGGTGAAAAGACAAAAAATTGTCAGGCATTTCATTTATAAGTATATAGAGGCTAGAAAATCCTAGCTACATGTCTGCTAAGACGCTTATATCCACATAAAATTTATTTTCATGCCATGATATCTTCGAACCAGCATGCTTTGAAACATTGAAAGAACCTCTAAGCTTGTGAAAAAAGGAGTCGACTTTGTTTGAAAACTGATACCGTTTCTTCAAAGTTTTTATTTTTACAATTACAAAAAAATCGCAACATGGGGGGTGGGGGGGGGTTGAAGCAGTAGCCAAAAGACAAACGAAATCTAGTGGAGACAGCGGTAAAAGCGATCCTGCAACCTGCTTTGGGTGCAGAAATATGAATTCAAGAAAAAACCTTGGTTGATGGGAGCTGCGAGTGTGACTAAATAATAATTTCACTGAACTTGATTATTGTATTTTAACAGAGGTTGAGATACTAGGGAATAACCTAGTCTTGCAAAAAGCCCATCCCCCACCCAAGTCAAAATTGCTTGCAAAAGAATATAATGCGCCAGTTGATATTACTATGACAGCTAAACAGCATTTTCTTCGACTAAGAAATCAAGTTTTTGACTAAGAGCTAAGAGCCTATTTCGTAAATCCAGATCTTTCGACTGCCAGGTAACTTATCAGTTCCCGAAACCCTTCACGCCGGGTGAAAATGGCATAAAATCCGCACAAGTCGACTTTTAACCCGCCTTTACTATTCAATATCACTATACAGTTAACGCGTTCAAAACATTGAAAAACAATCATAGAATGTTATATTAACAATTAATAACTTGCAGTTCCGTTTAGGGCATCATGGGCATTTTAGCCAATTTAGGCCATACAGACAAAGCAGTCTGGCCAAAGACGCCTCAATCTGAAATAAAATTCTAGTTTTACGATACCTGATCTCATTTAGATTGTAGCAATAGCATTATTTTTAATAGAAATTCCATATCAGTTTGTACTTCCAGTCTGTTCTTTATTTACAATATCGTCACTGTTGAGCCATGGGACGACTGTCTGCCCAAGCGGCAGCGCTGGTTGGTAGCAAAAACTCAGACGGCTGAAACTCTCCATTTGTTTCGAAATCAGTGTAATAAAACTCCGATTCAGAGTCCCAAACTATTGAAAAAGTCAATTATGTGTCAAAAATGCAAAATTAGCTCCTTTCACATGCACAAAATAAACATTTGTCCGCAGCATTTTGTTAAAGGTTTCTATAGAGAAACACAATACGTGCTGAGAACATGTCACTTGTGACGTCAAAGATGATCGTCCACTCGTGACGATTTTCGCCTCGAGTCTCAAGTTGTCGGAACAATTGTCGTTTTTCAACTTAAAACGCCTGTATTTCAAAAACGGTAACTGTGATTTAAAAAATTTTTTCGATCCTGGAATTTGCTTGTCACAAACTACCGTTTTAGCCAAACTTATTTTTGCGTGTCAGTTCTCCTTTAAGTTCAACCATGGTTTGTACTTAAATGTATCCAAATCATATATACATATTAACCGGGTTCACCAAGAGCCACGCCGGTCCAAGGGACACGCCCAGTGCTTGAACCCCTTCTTGCCCAAAGCATTTAACCTAAAATAAGCTCAATATGGATTTAAAATACATATATTTTTCCTTATTAAATTCATGTTTAAAAAGCATTGTTAAGTTTTTCCAGCACAGATATGATCTGTTTTCTTAAAATAACCATATTATAAGGGTCATATTTTAAACAGACAGTTTAATCACCAGGAGGCCCCTCTTTGATTACGGGCCGAGGGGGAATTGCCCCCTCCTTGTCCTCATCTCTCGCTGAGCCTGCATTTATATGTCTTATGTTCACATTTAATCTAGGTTCAAATAAATTATCTGAAGCATCAACATTGTAGAGTAACGGGGACCACGGAGCATGTTACAGATTTTTTTGGGAGGGGGAGATACTAAAGTAAAAGTGTCCCATTCCATAATGAATCGAAACCTTTTGCCTACCTCCTGCTACAGGTGCAACAACTACACCATTTTCTTCTGCAAATGTTTTGAACTTCTCCAAAATTTTTAAACAGAAATCACGTTCAGCACTTTGCAACATACACAGTGGTATTTTGTTGGCAGAAAATGGCTGGAACTTTAAAACATTAAGGATGATAATTTAGGTTTTACAAATCTTAGAATGCTGCGATGAATTAACAACAAGTTAAGGATGGATTGAAAGAATTTCAAAGGTCTTTTCAGGCGTCTGTAAACGAATTTAAGCTATGAAACGTTACCCTAGCTAACAGGGCCGTAAATCTGTCATGTGAATTGGGGGGGTCAGCAGAGCGAATGAATATAAAGTATGCAGTGGGTCATGGCACCACAAGGGATTTATGGTATGTGTTATGGAAACAGTTGAGGGGCAAATTACTTTAAAAACAAAAGTCAATATTTTTGGATTTCTCAAGACCTTCTGCTCTATAGAAGGTATTTACAGATATTCCTTAGTACATTGACTTGTGTGTATGATTGGATTGATAACATTTTTCAGAGACGGCCCCAAGAAATTGAACCTTGGGAGCTAAGAATCAAGTTTACTCTCGTAGGAGGACCCACCATGGTTGGGTCCGACGCGGAAGAAAATTTTTGAAATTTTACCTTCTAGAAAGGCTAAAAAAGCATCCCCCAGACTAAATTTAATAAAATACTAGAATTGCTCAGGATAGAAAGTTTGGCGTTTCTCAATAGAACACAAATTATTGTTTATTGGGTGAAATTTTGGAGGGGAAGAGTCATGCTTAAACCTTAGTGACAGACTTTGGGGAAATATAGGACACTGTTGTATTGATTGGTAGAAATTTACTTTCTGAACAGAAATGTGCGTCTTTCTTATTTTGACTGATTTCAGTAGGCCTTGTTTACACATCAAAAATGACTATATTTTAATGATACAAAAAGTGATTTACTAAATAAAAGTAAATAATAGACAAATAATAGAAATGTACGTAAATAAGTTAGTAAATAGGTCAAATAAAATGACAGATTGCTCTCTTTTTATTTCATACTCTGTTTTCAAAAATAAAACGGTATAAAACAGTAGAAAACGGTAAAAAACGGTAGAAAACGGTAAGTTTTTATATTGTAAAAATTATAAAAACCACTCTGCTTACAAAAATAAACCTTAGTGGCTGAGGTTTGTTGCAATAACACAGAAAACGTAGTTTGGTTCTAACCCGGCTACCAGGGATTTCTTTCTTCCAAGAAAAATGATGGTAATTTCTCCAAAATATCGTTTTGCTCCAGATTTTTGGGGGGGGTCCAGTCCCCCCCGTCCCCCCGGGATTTACGGCCCTGCTAGCTAATCAGATTAAAACCTTGAAAATAGAAAAATTATGCATTCATGCAATTGAACTCGAGTTCACATTAGCGCCAAGCTGTGCCCTTGAAATTTTCTTTATTTCTCTTATCATTTAAAAAGAAAAACTTTATGTAGCAGCATTTTATCTGTATAATGCTTTCTTCGTGTTTTTGATATAATAGAATATATAAAGTTGAAAAGATACGACAACAATGATTTGGCGATTCTTTCCTTGGATGTCGGACAGAAATGTTGCACAAGCAAGGGTTAGTGTGTAATCTGTATCTGGGATTCTTGTGGATCTTGATCGTGCAAATTGTAGCTTTTTGGCTTTGATCAACTCCAAAGAGCAGCTGCCAAAGAAAGTTTACAAATAAAACATACACAATTGCTAAAGAAAACTTCATGAGCATTATTGAAGCAATCAAAATAGATAAAAATTTTATGATTAAAAATTAAAATAAAGTAAACTATGTATGATCAAACTTCCTTTTTCTGTACTTATCCTGCTGAAAACAAAGAAGAGTGAAAATAACCCCCACCCCATTCCTGAAATACTCAGCAAAATAGGAGAATGCTTATGGACTTCAAAGCTGCAGTTAAACTTTAATATAAAACTTTAACGGGTTCCTTGCCATAACGAAATATAGTATTTTATAACAAATCGAAATTCACGAATATCCTTGAAATTCAGAGGCTGAGTTCTTCTAAGAGAGATAGGCAAAACTCTAAGAAACCCCGTTTACTCTATCAAAAGTTGCATCTGCTAAAGATTTGCTAAAGCATTTACTTCTAATATAAAACTTATCCCGCTGAAAACAAAGAATGATGAAAATAAGTAATAATGATCACACTGTTACTCAAAGATACAACTGTTACTCAAAAGAAATTACAACTGTTAGGCCGTTAGCGATAAAGATTGAAAACCTGCCTTCTGATGACCTCCATAGGTACTTTAGAGATAAATCCAAATTGCACCAAATTTAAAATACAGCCAGAAAGAGTAGGGTAGGTAAAAGAACTCAAAATTGCTCAAGGTCTCCTCGTTCAGATATTATCGTGTCATAATATTGAAATATGCGGTAAACATAGTGTCTAAACCATACACACTGATATACACTGCATCCATAAAACAGGGTATTTTTCAACCGACCTGGAAATTAGCCTCAGTAGCACCAATTTTAAAGCGGGCGGTAAAGCGGAGATACACAATTACCGGCCAATCTCAGTGCTATCAACTGTTTCGATGAGTTTAGAAAAGATTATACAAGATCAATTTATGGGGAATCTAAAATGATTAAATGAACTTTTCGTCAACCAGTTTGCATGCCAAAAACTGTACAGTGCAATGAAATATTATTTGAATGGTAATGACTAAAGATTTCTGATGATTAATGATCTCAACATTTCTGACGACGAGAAGACAAACTTGCGCATATTTCCCGACCTAAATATAACCATTTAGTACTCTAGATCATTAAATTTTATTGTTCCAACAGCGGGAATATGGTGCCAAGGATACTTCCCAGTTCTCTTATTTTGATGGATCTGGTTCTAGCAAAAGCAGCATCGAGTGTGGTACTCCGCAAGGTTCGTGTTTGAAAAGTTAGCAGGCTACGAACACAATGGTTCATGTATATAGAAGCAAAAACATCAGCAATTACATTAGTTAAAACACAGGTATCCATCAATAGAGACGATAAGTGTTCAGTGGTTTACAGAAATCAATCAGTATTTATTTGCTTTAACATCAACTTCAAGGGCTTTTATCCTATTTATCTTTTTTTTGCCTGAATATGAGATATCATGGTATTGGCAATCGTTAGCTCCTTTTGCCATGGCACGTATCAGATATAATGAACCGCCCTGAACAAGGGGCAAATCACTCCAAGAAGATCTCGTACACCTTTTATGAAAATCCTATTGTTTTATCTGAAAATCCCTAGAAATCCTTTTGTTTTGGGTAAAATCTCGTATGCTATTTGCAAGAGTGAATTGCCCCTCGGCCCTGATTTCATTGCTCCAAACGGTAATAAAGTCATTGAAGTCAATAACCAAGTCAGTGCACACTTATTACTTTGTTCGTGTGCCAGATGAACTGACAGACATTTAGCTCTGGGTTCTTAGTCAATTGCACTCTCTCGACCTACCACCGACACCGGGTCTTGGTGCATCAACCATGAGTCTTGGTGCACCAATCAAATAACTTGTTCAATGTTCTTTAAGTTGTCCAGCTATTGTCAGAGTTGCATCATCAATGCCTGCTATAGTTCTCTTAGAAAAAAACTTAAGATTTAGTGTTTTCAGTAACATCACAATCTCTAGCTGAACTCAAATACAGCCTCCATGGCCTAAAAGTTGCCCAGTTTAGTTTCAAATCGAATAATTGTGATAATAGAGCCCCTTGTTGCGGAGAAACCAGGCACTGTTGGTGTAACAAACTCTCTGAAATAGCGAGGAGTACTTTTTAACTTTCCCGAAGCCGAAAATCAATTATTATATACTTTGAACATTTAAGAACAACGAAAATGTCACTCGGCTGTTCCTAGAGAAATGACGAAATAATTACGTCATTATGAAACAATGATCTGACGTTCTACTTTGAAAGTGAAAGAGTTATTAAATTTGGACCCCTATCAAAAATCTTGTTGGAAACACTCCAAGCTCAGTTTAACAATTAAAATTACCGTAAAATAATTAATTGGTAGCAAGTTATGACTATGACTGTGACGATACATGAAATATTTCAACAATCTGATTTCACTGAAGGGAAATAGTTTTCATTTGGTTATACTGAAAGATGAATCATTAGTTTACCGTCTCTGGGGCCTTTATTGTTTCTACTATCTATCACAAGTCAAAATAGCAAAATTATCTGTTTCTCTCTTAGCATTAATCTTATACCATAGATTTGCTTCTTTAACGGTTACACAACCCCATGAATATATCATATCTGCTCTCTTGCGTTGGGCAATGTAGCTTATTAGCATAATGTTTCGCTATTTTCCATTTGCTGTGATATCTTTTGTAGCCAGTGGAACTGTCAAGGAAGTTTATTTATTGAAAGAAAAATTTGATTTGTTCTACTTGCTCATACCCAGCGATAATTCCATTCGTTTTCCGCACACGAGAAGCAAAATGACGAAAATGAGTAGAGTTAGAAAACATTTTTTAATTAGAATCTTCCTGTGACAAAGAACATTTGTACGATATTGTCCCCGCAAACAAAACAAAACGGAATAGAAACACACAACCGTAGAAACATAACTAAAACTTAGATTCTTATTGAATGCTCCACTATGAACTCTGCCAAGAATACCCCCTGAAACGGGGAAGTATGGTGAGATTACCAAGAGACAGCAAAAAAGAAGCATTGAGTTTGGTAAGTTTAAGAAAAGAGAAAGCGGGCGAAGAAACTTATTTTTATTGTCGTAAGAAAGGTAACCACAACTATATAGCTTAAACATAACAGCGCATGGCGGATAATGTAAGGAGAAAGCTTTTAGAACTGGCATTGTGTAGCACTTACAGAAACATCTGGTCATGACTAGTCATGATGATCTTTGTTCTACCATTGATTTCAATTTAGATATAACCAGTGGCGTAGCGTGACTTTTTCAACTGGGTATTCTCTATTAATCAAAAGGGTGGGGCAGGGTGTGGCTCGATGCGGCTTGATGAAAATAGGGGGATAATAGAAAGATTAAGAGGACTAGCTATTGACATTTTATCTAATTTTCTTTTTGGTTCGGTTGGCAAGTACTGCACTGTCAGGGCATTGCTATGATAAAAACGATACTTTGCTAAAGGACCCTTCAAATATACTCTTCGAACTCATTCATTGCATCATATTACTATTAACCATTTCATCAAAAGTAATTCAAATCAAAACATATCATTGAAAGCCAGTAAAATTTTACTGGTCAAAATATGTCCCAATAGTTGTTGTTAAATCGTCTAACATTTGCACTGATGTAAAGAGGAAGTAACTGTAAACACCTACTCTTAATACCTTTTAATACAAAAGGGCTTTCGAAAGTTTCAAAATTATTCACATAGGGCATTACATGAGTTATAAATGATTTTGTGGTATGCAGTATAGACTTTTTCTTCATGGTCTAATCGTGATACTTTCAATACAAGTTAATATTTGAAAGAATCGAAGGTAATGAGATGAGACTGCACAATAATGCAAATAATTGCGCTCGAATAATGCAAACAAAATAGGCCAACAAGATAACTGAATACACCAGGCAACTATAAGGATATTATCCAGGCCTATCTGCATTTACTTTAATTCTATCACATAATACAAACAGAAACATCCCTGATTGGTAAGCAATAACAAATTGGCATTTCAAGAGGGAACAGATCTGAATCAGTGTAGTATTATGTAGCAGCCTACCTTACCTTTCCACTTTGCTGTTGGTAGATTAAGATTAGGGGTCAAATGAGAGAATGATTATGAAACAGTAATACAGACATTGCAATAGTTTTTTAATTAAGTCATGTTTACTGTTTTCGATGCAGCTCCATCACTCCAACCGCTCCGACGTCCATTAACTGTTTATATCGATCTCATAACGAGACTATTTTGAACCAACTTTGAGGCTGTACGCTGCATATTTCTCAGCGTACAGAACCATTGTTTTTGCTGATTAACGGCAAATATTATTCATGGAAAGGAGCATTTTGATTGGTTAAAGTACCGTCTAGGGTATTCACTGCGTATTCATGACCAATCTCCATACAACATGAAGTAGCTCAATCTTCAAAATTAGCTTCAAAGATCTCCCAGCTTCTCTATGCTTCGCAGCGTTATTGTTTCCATGAATTTCGTGATATTTTGTACTTGTACAAAATGTAGAATATTGAAGGTAACGAATTCAACCAGAATCAATAGCCCCAAAACATTTTTTACTTATTACAATTATACGTCGTATTAATATTTTTTCTGAGAAATCTCAGGGTATTCACTGAATACCTTGAATACCCGGACGCTACGCCACTGGATATAACCTGAACTTACCACCGATTTTCTGAATACTCTAGCAGCTACAGATATCATTTCGAGATACTTCATGCTTGAATCAGAATCAATCATTATGACCTACGCTTTTACGATAAAAATTTTGTTTTGAAGCAAGTCAGATTCACTATGTGCCTTGATAATAACTTTCTCAATGTGGTATCTTGAGTAAAGATAAGATCTGCTGCCGATCGGAATGCAGGAAGTCTTTGACGTATCAAGAAGGAGCGATTTCGATACGACACCAAAGATATAGGAATGGTACCAATCATGGTCGGAATGAGAATTCAAGGCAACTTGCTTGCACAGAAACGATTAAGGCAAGATTGATGGATTTGTGATAGGACATTTTCTTTATTACAAGACGTTATTGACAATACATGCTGCATTAATCAAGAGGCACACATTTGTGGCTTTAAAAGTTTATCAGTTTACTTTGAATACATTGACTTGCCCTTCAAATTTGACAAAAGCGTTTGCAAAAATAGGAAAGTATTATAGGGAGAATATAGTATGGCTGATCCTTTGTTTTATCATCAACAACAAATCAATGCTGAGCCAAAATGGATATCCCTGACCAGAACGACCTCTATTTGGGTCGTGCAAATTCCAGCCAAAATACTGAAATGTGACCAAAACACTGCACCAAAGCAAAAAACTCAGTTGCAATTGACCCCAATCTCGGCAAAGAACAGGAGAAAAGCATCTGGACTTGGAAGCTCGAACTCTTCAGGGTGGTTATACTGGGAGACAACTAACTCTTGAAATTGAATTTCTACCAAAAAAAATAGGATTTCTAGGGACTTACCGATAAAACAATAGGTTTTCTAGGGATTTACTAATAAAACAATAGGATTTCTATCAAAGTGTACGAGATATCCATGTAGTAATTTGCCCCATGGCATATACAGCTTGGCACTGCGTCAATGACTGTTTGGCAGCAACTTGGGAAACTTCGAGTGAGCAGAGCACATTGAAGAAGAAGGTACAAAACCACCAAGTTTTAATTTACGTTGTACTTGCCTATTTGAATATGACTTCGCACTACCAACCATTTTCAGCTTGCCAATAGAGACAAATCCCTCAGAAATGTCATTCCTTAAAATACAATGAATCATTAGATACAATAAATATTTAGAATATATCAAGGAGGTACTATTTGCTACAACGCTTACGTATATTCTCACAAACTGGATGAAGATACCGATTTAGTTTGAGTTTTATCTTGAAATGAATGAGAAAGGTAAAATGGTTGAGCCAAGAAAAAGGAGGCTTACGTGTCAGAAAATCAGGAGCATTTTTTTAAAAGAAAAACCTCAAATAATTGCCTGGTTAATCCAGACTTTTTAATAAATGATATATGTCAATGGAGTATCATTTGTGTATGTACTTAGCAACCAGATCGAAAAAACTTCCTGCTGAATCAGTCTTGAAAAACCTCAAAGTTTAAATCATTTAGTTGTTGCAGGGATTACGAAGTAATCTAATTAATTACAGTAACGGGAGTGATTACTTTTCCGGAAACAGTTAGACACTTGATCAGCAAACCATGCACACAGAATTGTCGCAACAAAAAATTGTTTGGGAAGTGAGAGATAACCATTTTTCAATGATTTCCAGAATTTTTTTATATGATAGACTACTAATTCACATAAGGAACTTATAGAAAGGGATTGTACAAGCAATTCATGTTCCTATTACTATTCTCCGAACTGATCTTATTAAAAGTTTGACTTTATCCCTAGAAAGTGTCTCTCAAAATCATTCTGAACAAATGTAATGGAATTGAAATTGAAGACACAAAGGGTTCAAATGATGGCATATCTGCTTTCACTAAAAAGAGAGTGAAAAAATGATTTGCAATTCTCGGAAACGATGTACTATCACAGAATAGGTAGAGGCTTTTTTACCTGTGATACTATAGAAAGGTAGCAGAGTATGGAGGCAGAACACCTGATGCAGGACAAAGGCAAAAACTAGAATAGTTATATAGAAACGGGTTATTAGATAGACACTTCCAAAGTGAGATGAATCTGCTTTCTCACTAGCTTTAAATATTGGCTAGAAGGTCAGATTGATATGTGGAGTATGGTTTCACATTCTATTCACAACTGGGCAAACAATTTACACAAAATACATCTCTTCTGAATTGCCTCGCGCAAAACTTTCTTCGGAAGTATGCTCTGCAATTTTGTGACTTAAATTCACTAAATGCAAAAGATAACTTCAACCACAGATTGAATCGCTTTTGATTAGAGCAAACAAATGCTTATTTGAAAACCTAAATGTGCTTGCCAATAAATGGTTTTAAATGTGTGACAAAAAAGGAAACCATTTCAATCGCATATAATCTTTGCAGATGGGGATTAAGCGGTTTATATCATAAAATCAAACAGATTAAACGAGAATAAATGAGCTACAGACATAATATTTTGCTCTTACTGTGACGATTGATGTATCTTAATTAATGATTCGATTGAATGGGTGATTGCGTTAACCACATATCAAGAATGATAGCAGTACAAGTATAAGCAGCTGCACCATTACGATGCATGCGCTAGGAACAGGGCAGTCGCGAGGTTTCGATAACCCCAGGGCAATACTGAAGGATGACGCCCCCTGCGGGCTAAGCGAACAAAAAGCTTTGCGACAAACTTTTTTAAATTAGCTTAAAATACATTTCAGAATATTTCTTGCAGTTATTTTCTTGCAATCGTTTGAAATGTTTTGCCATATTTTAGGCATACTTTTGTTATGCAGATTAACTGCAATCTTATAATGTAGTTCATTAGATTATCAAACCCCCTAGACTTCGAGTCCCTGGACAATATTCTACTTGTCTCCTCTCGGCGGCCTTGGCTATGGGCCACCCCTGCCTGCGATATTGAATTAGAATGTTCTGCTTTTTGAGGGAATGGGAGGAAAAGGAGCAGACAGTAAAGAAGAGGAAATAATGTTCCAGCTGATCTTCCATTTGATTTTACCCAGTATTTAGTTTTAGATAAAGTGTATATGAAGTATTTTAAAATCATATATTCCAGTGAAATCTTTATCTAAATGTAATAGCATTTACTCAGAATAACAAAACAGCATTTACTTAGTAGCATCAAGTTAAGTAAAGACTGTGTGTTTGTACTGATTTGTTCCATTTTCTGGAGCGCAGTTTCAAAAAGCTTGCTCAAAGTTGGTCAGAGGTTTCCGTTCATGGTTGAACCTAAAAATAGTATGCTTTATTTTGTCCGTCTAAAAATTATAATCAATCTTCTTGACAAGGGAAAATGTAAAAAAATAGCTTAGCAGATCTAAAAAATGCCATGAAAAAAAATAAAAAGCAAATTGCTGTGCCTACGTTTTTCACAAAAATACTACGAAAACTTTCTACAATGTTTATCTAAAATTGATTGAGATGGCTATCTGACTAACTTAAATATTTCTAATTTACATGACTAACCTAAATATTTCTGAGCCTCGAACATCGCCAACATCGTATTCTACCATTGTAAAGTCCTAGGTATGAAATGATAAATTAAATTAAATCATATAAAATTGAATCAACTGCTAAACGAAAAAACCGGCATATTTTCAACTGCTGCAGATGATCCCTTTAAATGTTTAACAGGTAGAGCAAACGAAAATTACATAAAGAATCTTAAGTTTTTTTACAGTAGCCAGATTGCACCAAATCTATATTGCCTGAACTCTACTCTAATATATAGAGTTCTTAAGTGGCCATTTTTCACTTAGAGTTTCCATGGAACTATTGTTGGTCTTATCCCTATAGTCAGGATGGGTAATAGATACATTGCAAAACACTAAGTTGTATGACAAATGAAATGTTATTATGTTTCGAGAATTGGAATTTTACCTCCCTATCACCTTATTCAATGTTGAATTCCTATACTCTGATTCTAGATGACGTCATAATATAGCCGACTTTGATTTTGAGAAAAAGGGACCAGTATTCTGATTTGGGGTCAAGTTATTTTTAATCTTGAAAATTTTGTTTTATTTATTTAATTACGAGTAAGGCCACAGTTACCTATCACCTACACAAGAACTAACAAGTAATAAGGCCTTTCAGAGTGATGAAGGAGACCGGTTGGGCAATTCTCATTGGATCTACAAACAACAAAAGGAACTTGAAAGAGATAACTTTGTTTATGGAGCAAAAAACTAAGAATAAACTAGAGAAAGTCGGGAAAGTTTCAATTTCAAACTTCCAGATGCGATTTTACTAGCTGTCAGTATTTTCCAGCTAGTTCTTTTAATACATTTTGTGACAAAACATGTATGACGAAATGCTAAATACATTTCTTTGCCATTCTTAATTTTTTGTTGTTTTAGAAGTTTAGGCCTGGTAAAAAGTACTATGCATCCAAAATGTAAAAATGTTTGAAATTTTACCAATATGGTCAAATGCAAATACTCAATATCCATTCTAAAATTCTGGAAGTCTTTCAAAAATTCATGTAGTGACAGGTGTGTAAGTATGTGAAAATACCTCTCGGTGAATGAGGTAATATTTCTTCAGGAAAGATTTAAACCCACCAATCAACCAATGTGATGCATTTTCTAGCAGACTAACCTGGAATTCAAAAAGCGTTTTAGAGACACATATATTGCAAATAGCTCTTATCCTACAAAATCCAGGGGACAATAGCTGAAGAAAAGTAACTGTTGCAAGCATTCCAGAGGTCCATTTTTGGATAAAACATAATATATCACGCTGTGACTGTGGTAGGTGCTCAAATTGAACAAAATTACAATTCAGATCATGCTGTAAAAATTTTACTGATTTAAAACAGTGGTATCAATGCATAATGTTGGTTTCGTATTTTAACATAGGGACATTGACAATGAAGATGTAATCAAGATATAAACTGTAACGAGTTGTTGGAAAAAAACACCAGAGTTAGTTCTGAAAAGAAAGATTCAATTTGCTGAAAAGGACCTGTATGGTTTGGACTAGGTATTTTATGTGTATGTTGTAGTGCTCTGTCATATTTTGTTCATTCTGAAAAAAGTGCCTATAGATTATATTGGAGTTGACATAAAACAATGCAAGTAAATTTTTATCAGAAACAAGCTAAAAGCATATCAAGAACATAAATCGGCACATAGGTATTACGTAAATGGCAAACTCCAAACAAGCTTTTCAGTAACTTAGCTAAATTTCTTTTTTATACCTCATATGAATGTATAAAAATAGTAAATATGGGTAGAAGAAGCCTTCTATCAAAATTGTGACCATAGTTTTAATAGAAAAAAAGATCTACAATAGTTTGATAGGGTAGAGATATTTTTTGTTCAACCATCCTGATCTATACAATGATATACTTTTAAATTTTACATTGTATATAACTAAAGACATTTACAGTAGTAGCAGATCTATAACAGCTTTGCTAAATATATATCAAATATTTATCAAATACATGTAAATGAAATAACCTTCAAACACAAATACAGCTCTGCCTGTATAAAATTGAACACTCTATGATAGACTGGTATACAGTAATTTTTACTATATACCAGGTTATGGAGAAAGGAAATGTACAAATTAGCATACCTTGAAGAAAATAACAAAATTGTCACAAAAGCCATAAATGAATTCACTTGCATCCAATTTCTTATTCTTTATTGATATGACTGAACAAGGCTCAGACAGCTCATTGAAAAACACAAAGGATACTTCCCAGCAAGTGTCACTGTTTTCATCCTTGCATAAACTGGATTCACTGGAGATAAATTCTAGAGAAAACAAATTTCAGTAAATAATACCATATTTCTGACTTGAGAGCCTTATCTAAAGATTAGAAGTGTAGAGGTCGTTTGTACATTTTCGTGCAAAGTTTTTTCAACTCTGATGAAAGATATGATAACATGATTTTACAGTGGTAGGCTTCTGTGTTTTAGATCTACTGATTTAAGTAATGAATGAATATAAATGACACAAGTAAACTTTTAGGACTTTCAAAAGCATTGAAATCTACTTTTAAATGTTCATACAATAAAAATGTATTGAGATGACATTTGAAAATTATAAAACTTACCATTTTCAAAAAACTGTTTCACAATTGCCAAATTACATCTTCTTTGTGCTACAACTGGGAGTAGAGCAACAAGTTTTTTAACAGAATTGCATGGCATATGTCAAGGCAATTTAAAAGATATAATTTTATGCACAGTTGATGAAAAGTTGAACTATAAATCTAAGCAATTATTTTTCACTTTCCCTAACAAAAAATGAATAATTACTACTTCATAGGAAACCAATTTGAAAATGAATGCACAATACACCATGGCAGTATCATTTGAAGGATGGAATTATTAAAGACACTGTTGTTTAGGAAAAGTAGGAACAAGCAGGCATGCAAGAGCTGGGGGCTGGGTGGACAGACACCTTCCCCCACCTTTTTGCTAAAGTATAATATCAAGGTTGTGGCATCAAAGATGATGGTGGCAAACTACAAAAGGAGCCCACTCATATTTATAGAGCCCACCCAACTCTAAAATGTGATCTGGCATCCCTGACAAAAATTAGTTGTTCATTGGAAAAAATGATTTTACAGACCAACAAGCAATTTGCAAGATTCATTAATTTCCAAATAGTTCCTTGCTGTGATAAAGCAGCTAAAACTGGAAATTTTCCAAAATTACTTGTTTGAATGATCTTTACATTGGGTTTCTTAACAAATGCATTGGGTTTCTCAACAAATGTTTGTGCTTGAGTACAAAACTTGTAATACATATTGGTTGATAATGCTTTGTTAAAAATGCCTCCCAGTTTGGTTTCAATTTCAGCTCATTTCATCCTCTAGAACTGTATCTTGAGAAGTGTATCATATTGTGGTTACATCACATGGAATAAACCTCAAACTATAGAAGTCCAAATTAGGTGGCAAATAAACTATTTTACTCTACAAAAATGTTATTACAGTTTTTGGTAATAAGCCTTGACTGACTCATTTATTAATCACATATTCTGCATCCTTTGAAAAGAAAAGCATATTTTTCAAAATACACTTTTTTTGAAGACTGTCAACACCAAGAGACATAGCCAATATTATTGAAAGTATTTATACTTGCATCTGATTTCAGTGCTGTATTTCTTTGCTTGATCATAGTAAAATTTGACATTTACATGTCTTTTGTTTTCTGTGGTGTCAGACTTTGAATTTAGCTGGGATTGTTCTTGCTGACTTTGAGCAAAGCAGAAAATCTAATGAAAAAGTAAGTTTTAAATGAAAGCCGGCAATATGAATATTTTCATTGCAAAGTATGTATCAATGTCATGGTCTCTTAGTTTTCACTCAAATTTCAATTGATAAAAGCTTTGTTGTGTGCTGAACTTTAAACACAAATTGAACTAATTTGTAAAAGATGTTAAATTTAGGATAATATTTTCTTTCAGAAAATTGGAAGCAGTCAGAAATGGTTTTATTAATGAAATTTAAAGTTTAGAAAGGACAGTTGTATATAGTTGATTGTTTCTATTAGCATGTAGCTTTCCTATATATTTCGATGGAACATGTTTCTGTAGTGAAGTTTTCTTACTACAGCACCAAATTCCCCTCAAATCTAAAGAAAAGTCTCAAAAAAGTAACTCGAAACCGAACGGTCCAAACAGCATGAAGTTCTCAATATAAACTAATTGCAAGACGATGATTTCAAATCTGAAGAATATTTTTGAGAAAGGTCTGTAGATAGCGAGATATAGAATCGATGATATCAACCCGGAACGGCGAACTGCATTTCCAACGGAGAATTCGTTAGCTTATCTTGCAAAATAATTCACACAAAAAAGAAACAGCATCTAACTTAGAGTCTAAGTTTAGTGCAACCTGTAAAATTTTCGACAGCAAAAATTCATTACTGCCAAGTATCGATGGGTGATGTTGCTCCATAAAACGTTCTTCTTGAACTTCTATGATCAAAGTAATCAATTTATAACACAATTTGTTTTACAATTTATGAACAGCTTTTTGTGTAAAACATTATCTGACGCAAGGCCATTTTTTCCCGCGCGAATGATATCGAGGCTTTTTCCACCGCAGCAAGATAACAAAATTGCATTGATAAATTAATCCACAAAATAGAGAATATTTCTATTCTGTGGGGTCTTCAAACATTTCATTTCAAACTTTTTTATCGTTTCGCTGCCACCAAGCAAGAAGCAGTACCACAGGGGAGGGGTGGGGGACTGAGGAGACACGTTCTCCCACTTCTCGGAAGAAACAATCTTTTATAGAGGGGAGTATTTGAGCAAAGAATCTTTTGCGACTTTAGGCATCTTGGCAAGGATAGAATTGAAAGCTAGAAAAAACGAAATTAAAAATAGAATAAAAGTTAAAACTAGTAAAAAGATGTTCATGCCGATAGCCTAGCTAACTACACATGCTATCGAACTCGGCTTTCGTACGGTTTAGTAAAAATTTATGATTTTCAGCATCCTTTATTAACATTTGCATGGCTTTCATTGAAGTCTAATAAAATGTTGATTATTATCATATTTTTCTTCTATTTGTCACGGTATCCTGCCTATTTTGGTTATTTCTTATTATCTCTTATTTATTTCTTATAAGTGATCTCCTCCCAAGAACTTCACGGTACTTTTGTTTTAGATTTGTATAATTTTGGGAAATGGCTAGGCAACATCCTCACTTCATATGAATTTCTTTAAATGCAACGATTACATTACCTTTTAGTAAATTTCATGAACAAACAACTCATTAAATCATTTGAAATTTTGAAAACAAATTGAATTCCATTTGCCTAACTTGACACTCTATTTGTTTGAATAATCAATTCATAATATCCTATGAAAGACGATAAGTCTCCACAACCAAAAAAATTATTTTAGACACAGTATTGCTGTTTTTCAAAGAAAGCGGTCGCTAATCGGCGATCCCTATTTAGACTTGTTGTTATGACTACTGCCAGTATCCTTGGAGTCAGTTATGCTCTTAGACTGTCAAATTAGGAACTTAGAATAAGCACAAGATATGAAGTCAATGCTTTATATTTAACTTGAGTAAATACAGACCATACCGAGAAGCGCGTACTAACCAACGTTTTGGAAAAGAAGAGGATTAGAAATCTTAATGACTGACAAGGACATTACAGTATATCTTAAAGCTGCCGATGATTGACTTTAGGACGAAGGAATCTGAGCTTCTTTGCTAGGAGTTCTTCAATCTCGTCCAGTCAATTTGATGAAACCAATGCCTGGAAAAATTACTGGCAGTTATCTGTTATTCAATGATTAAATATTTGTAATATTTGTAAAATCAGTTCAATCTGATGTATGAAGGTTAATTCGGATCTTCGGTACGTTTTACGAAGTTCTCACAAAGAAAGTGTTATAGTTTTTGAAAGAGCTGCCACATATTCTGCTTTCTTTGTCACATAAAACATTTTACTTAAATGTTTGGTTGTTGTCTGTTGGCATGCTATTACCTTTCATGTTCGATAACTCCTTCACATTTCACAAAATTAAATTTGTTCCTTTATGTTCCATGGATTTTAGAAACCTTCGATCACATGTCATGTTAATACTCCTTTCTCTTCCTCGTACACGAGAGGGGATTTGAAAATACTGAAAAGTAGGTGACAGCGCCTATCATAAAGATTTACGAGTTTGGCTAGGAAAGTTGCAACAAGCTTGGTAATAAATAGGAAACAAAGATTAGAAATTAACGGTCGCTCTTACAGCTCAGACCATCAGCGGCAGAAAAGTCGATTTATAGCCAATTTCATTTTCACAATGCTTTAAAACTAGCCTCAAGACCCATACTTCCATGAATCTTTTTGTAAACAACTGCTGAAAATTAAAAAAGGTTTGAAAATGCGAACATGAAGGCCCATATTGTGAATAAAAGAATATTGTTTTAGAAAAGCTACAGGCTTTTAATCTTTCTTTTCTGGTGCAAAGTATGTAGATGACAATATAGTGAGCACAATTGCAGTTACTTTTGCAGTTGCTGATATAAGGAAAGATGTCAAATAGGCGACAGTTTCTTTTCAATTAAACTGAAACCTCTTAAATTTGCGTTGCTTTAAGGACGTTCATCTTTTACTGTCTATCTTCCTATACTTTCCTGATTCATTTCATCTTTGCGTGGTTTTATGCAACCAAGACACCAGCTTGAGATTACGCCACCGCATGATCCGGAAGACAATCGTCCCATTTTATGCAAGTTAGGAAATACAGTATAAATGTATCAATACTATTATAAACTTCTAGAAAGCTTTTTTTGTGCACAATTCATTCGAGAGTAACTCTTAGTTGAGATTCGGAGACGGAAGTCAAAATGTGATGAGAGTTTTGGGAACAGAATACACTCATCCGCTTACAAAGGCCAACAAAAGGCACATTCTCGTTGTTTGTATGATAGATTTCACTAGGTCATTTCCTTGAATGACAAGACTTTAACTTTTGAGAAAAATCATAGGTTAAATGTAAACAGACTCAAAAAAATTCTGCAAGTGGCTTGTGGTATATTAACTGGATTTAATCGCATCTATGTTTGACAATAGCTGCCATATACTTTATACGATTTGCATAGCAAAAGACTTATAGTTGCCCTGTTTTGGCAATCACTATCAAATCCATAATAGAACTTGAAATGAGTATGAAATAGAAATTTTAAAATGCAGGACATTCCTTAATGGATGGTGTCAAATGTTTTTGATAACAAGCATTTTTGCACAACTGGATTGAATTTATATGCAAGGATTTAATTTTCAATATTAATGCGATAAATATCTTGTTCTCTTATTGAAAAGATCTTCCATGAGCAAAACTTGAGATGTTCTGTTGCGATAAGCTTTAAGGTTTCATCAAAACATTTATCTGCCAAAGTTGTTCATATGACAGTCAAGCTATACCTTGTAATATTTGAGATTTCAGTTCAATAATAATATGATAATAATGATAATAATAATAATAAAGCCATATTCATACAGGTAAACTTGTTCACCAAAATTAATATGCTCCTATCAACCAAGGAACTGGTTATTAAAGTAGATTTTGGAGAGAGTCTATGTCAATGTTATGAATTGATTCCCTTTTCCAAGCAAATAAAGACCAAAAAGAGGTCATTTAAATTTTTCTTCTTAGGTTGATCAACACTACAACACTGAACTGTTCGCTGAATTGAGAACTGCCTCGGCTTGGCTAAATAACAACTGGAATCACAAATTAATGTCTAAGGCTTCATCGGAAACTAAGGCAAGATAGGCACGCTCGCTCCCAGCCTGCGTGCAGACTCTGACATGCGCGGAGGAGGTTCTTCGTAAGGGTCAGATGCAGTGCAGGTTACACGCAGGCTAGCTCCCTCCTTGTTGTATGAAACTTGCAAAATGTGGCTTCATTTCCCTGTGCCGACAGAACCAACACTGCTGTCAATGTACTATCAATTAAAGCAAACCTCAATCTTTGTAATTAGACAAAATCTCACCCAACACAGTGCGCTGATTTTGCGATTGGAAATTAAAATATTATAGAAATTTTTTATGACGTCACAATTTGGTATTCTCGTGGTTTTGAGGCTTGGCTTGGCCAAGACCATAATGCAGTGCAAACATTCAATATAAGTTAGTGTGCAAGTGTAGATTTTGTTTGGATTACGATCATTTTATTGGACACGGTCATGATATTCCGAGCATGCATTGTTTTGATTTCTATCTCTGTTTTAAAAACACTTAGTAGAAGCTGTAGAATCATATCACAATCTTAAAATGTAAAGCGGTGAAACCAGGAAATATTAATCCTGACTGGCTTCAGATGATAATCATTAAACCACTAGGAATAGTATAAGTCTGCGAGCAAATATAATCGGAAACCAAAAGATACCATTTAATCTGCCAAGTATACAGATGCATTAGAGAAGCTTACCATTTGAATAATAAGAGAGGATGTCTATGCCCTTGACTTGAGAGGACATTGCAAATGCTAGCTTCTTTGTTTCAGATTGAGAATGTTTACAACAAGAAAGAAGAAAATAAAGGACTTATTCCATTGATATTTATGGTATTGCTACTACCTGCGGGTCAGTTAATTTATTTGTATAGTTTGTTCTTGGAGGTCACTGAATCACAGCTTACCCTAAGACTCCCAGCTACAATATTATTAATGCAAAATATTCAATAGCGGCGCCACGGGGCCTAAATATACATGTCAAGTCCCCCCCCCCAATTTCCTGGCTAGATCAATTTTGTATTTCCCCTAAATTCGATGAAAAAATGTTGGGGGAGGGGTAATATTTTGGCAACGTACTTTTTGTGATGTAATTCTATGATTTTCAATGTGCGTTTACGTAACCAAACATTAACTATGGGCGTTTCTTTAAGTAAAATTGGCGTTCCTTGTTGGCAAAAGAGCGTTTTTTGCTGGTAAAAAGGACGGGGCCTAAAAATGTTTGCTTTGCCCCTCCCCCCAGATCCCAGTGCCTGGCGTTGCCATTGAAAATATATTTAGCAAATGTTTACTCGTTTTTTCTTTGTTTCCCCACGGTAGGTTCAATGCTATTCTCTGGACCCCACAGGCCCCTTTGTGGTCCTGTCATATTGCGTGTGGATAAGAGATCGATTGGGCCAGGATATTCAAAGTAAGAATCGCCTACTTCATACAAAATTAACCTTGTCAAGGTCCCCTTGAATTATTTTGCCCGCCATCCGCCATTTTTAAATGCTTTCTTCGTCTCTGATCCCAATTGCTGTTAACGGCACGTGGTTATAGTCTAGCGTATGGATGTTAATGTTGTAGCATTGAAAGGGAAAACTCCACAAAAACGTATTTCAAACCTATCTACATCGTGATGTCATCTTATGCCTAAATTCATGCTCCGTATCTTGACAAAACCCTCTGCAGTAGAATATAGGGTTCTGAAATCCTGGTTGAAGATTCATGCAAATGTGGTGGATAAGAATGTCGTTAAAAGTGATCAAAGTATCTAGCGATCAAAGTCAATCTCTTAGGGTTAGACTTCGGTTGCTCATATTCAGCTGCTATGATATCAGAAACTGCGAGGCAGATTCCTTTGATCCTTCTAATGTAAATATTAACATACTTGACCCCTTCAGGAAATTCTATAATCACCCACCAAAACTGGTTGCATAGCAGCACTATACAACAGGGCGCTATTCTGGTATGGGTTCTCTAATACCAAATTTGAAATGTCAGTTTATTAATTCGAGCAAATTTTATTCTATGTTTATTATGTGTAAGTTGGTGCCTCTACTGTAAAGGAAAATTGTATATCGGTGATTGTGGCTATGAATTTCAATCTCAGTGGAAGCAAGAAAAAGTTGTTGAAATCGAGGTTATAATGGCGCCCAACCTTTGCCAAAACATGGCAAATATAAATCCAGTTGTTATGGGTTACATATTTTCGTCAGGGTAGATTATAACGCATCTTACTTGTGGTTTGGCACTGACATCTGGCAAAATAGGCGTTTCTATCAAAATTATAAAGAGTGGTTTTTCCTTAAAGAACATTTATTTGTTTGAAAGGAAATATTTGTTTAAAGGATGATTTGTAGTAAAATTAAGCAAAAATGTTTGTAGGAATTCTGGTTTTTATGACAATCTTTGGATTTTATTTTCCAACTCAACGACGTTTGATGAATTGGTAGTTTCAGAAAATACGGGCAAAAAGACCCTATGTAAACAAATATCAAATTAAGGTCCTAGGGAGATACTCTTAATTGAGCTTCAGAGACGGATGGAATCATTATTTTATGTAACTTTGTACCTGATCTTTGAAGTCAATTTTGGGTGCATTATCCTAACTTGTTGTTTGCATAAGAGTAAATGCAACTTGAATTGACTTATTTCAAGAGATATCTGGAGAACTTTATACACGGTATTGTACTAGTAGTCATGTATATAGAAATGAAGACGATAAGATCTTTGAAATACTATTCACCAAGGGGGTTACTTGAAGCATTCATATAAAGGGTGGTCCATCCGATAATAATGGGTAAGAATTTTCCTTGTGATGGGTACCTGATTCAATACTATACCTTTTGATACTTATGGGTTCAACCACATAGCAATTTCAAAAGCAAAAATGAAAGAAGAGTTGTGTTTAATCTGGCTTTCTTTGAAAACAGTCTAAATTTCTTGACTAGTTGCTCTTATATGCTCAATAACAAAATTTTGTATTTTGATTTTGGTGGGTCTTTTCGACAGCTCTTAGCTGATAATTTTAGGTCTGTAAATTTTTTTTGATACTTTAATAAGTTAAATTTTGATGATTATGGATGGCCCTCCCTGCGGTCCTCCCCGTATATGAGAGTTTGAGTGACTACCTTATGGGTATTAATGACAAAAATTGGGAAATACATCCGTTTTTCATATCTGGGGGATCTCAACGGCTTGCATAACAGTTATAAAATCAAACAAAAAGAATTTGTAAGTAAATATCAAAAATCAAAATTGAAATGAATATGAGTAACTAGTGAAGCAAAATATTCCATTCCTAGTTCATGTTTTAATCCAAATTTACTTGGGAAATTTTCATATAAATTTGGAAGGGAGTCCAATATCTTTTTACTCTTTTGCCCCTACGAATCCAGCACGCCACTAATACACATAGTACAGTCAAAGTTCTCAAAAGTCTAATTCCGCACTCAATCCAACCAATTGCCCTCCTTCTAACTGAGCTTCAATATCTTATTCAACGTCAATGAAAACTGGAATGAAGGTTAACGCCGCAAACCACGATACTCGAGAATCCATTCTGAAATTAATTGCAACATGTGACCTGCAAACATCTAATCATCTGAGATCTCGGCTTGCCGCTGTTAACCAATCAGCACACGACACTGATTCACGTGTATTGTACGAGTTAAGCAGATGTAAATAAGAGAGGGCTGTATTATTGCATGACTGCCCGATAGAGGCTGGTGGCACTAATATGTTTATTGTTAAGGAATACATAACAATAAGCCGACTATTTTGCATACAAATAGACAATAGTCTATCTCGAGCCGGCTATAGAAGTCTTCTGACACAGTTATCATACAAATGAATCGTGAGCAGCTGTTACTGAAGACACATAAAGCTAAACAACAGAATAGATTTTTCTGGCTTTCGAAACAGCTCAGAATTTTGATATTCATTAAAAGAGGGCGTCGCAACCGTCGTTGGCTTCCAGTAGTGTTGGCGGCCGTAACTGGTCAAACAGTGTATGGTTTCCCGCTCGTTTCACTGTCTGGAACCTAAGGTTTCTCCAAATAGCGAATAATGGACACCCAGTCATGTGTAAGGCCTCAGCAGCAACAAGACGCATTCTCGGACCAGCCAAAAGCTCCTCGCTGTGCGAGATGTAGAAACCACGGAATCATTTCGCAGCTTAAGGGCCACAAGAGATATTGTCCCTGGCGGGATTGCTCCTGTACCAAATGCATACTGATTCTTGAGAGGCAGCGTCTCATGGCAGCTCAAGTTGCACTTCGAAGGGACGAGGAAGAGATCCCGAAAGAAAACGGTTTAATTAGGAATTCAGAGTCTTCACCTTCGAACTTAACAAGTATTGATGTTCTCAATCAAGATACCGTCTCGTCGTCTACTGAAAGAGGTAAGGTTCTTTTCGCCTAATTTCGTTTACAGCCACTTAAATTTACTTGCACTAAATATGTAACATGATAACAAGAATTTTCAACTAATAGTCGATCACTTCTATTATAAGCTTTGATTTCAATACAGTGCTATCAAAGAATTGAAAGCTTGTATATTATTTTTCTGGGAATTTCAAGCTATTCATTCGCAGGGTTTTTCAAGGAAAATTTTAGACTGCACATCACATCGAGGGGCCCAATTTATTGATTTGTTTTTTATTGTGCTGAAACAATCACAATTTCTCGACGAAATTAATTTTTATACAAAGAAACATCACTGGCTATAAGGGGTTTCTCTATGGTATAGATAAAAAGAGTTACAAAGTTTCATCCATCATTATACGCGTTTTTCCCTCAATGGAAAAGCAAACCACTTTGGGTTTGACAAATATCTGTTGTTTCTAGCAGCTTATAAACCTGTATCAGCTGAGCCTACTGATGAAATTGTTCTCCTTAGACGGCCCTTTTGCATTCAATTTTCACCCGGCCCTTCATTTTGTAATGATATCAGTACCAAGTAATTAGATTCTAAAAATCTGAAAAGTGATAAAGCTCAAAGCCAGTTGACTCTCATTTAATAGTCAAAATGGCTGACCATTTCAAACTGAACTACGAATGTTAGGTCACAGTTTAAACTCAAAAGTAGCAAAAAGAGTATATTTGATAAATATCATACAAGGAAGCATTTTCAGAAAAGAGAAGTGTAATTTTTTGGTGAAGATTAGCATAAGGCTGAAGAAGAGATTTTGAATGACAGATATAGACTTTTACTTATTCTCAATATACATTTAATAACACTTATTTGTTTGCTATTTTTTGCTTAATGATTTCCCTGTTTGCATGCTTTTATGCCAAAATATTCTTGATTTGACAGTTTTTTCCTAATAGTTGCACATATTCTTTAAAAAATTATGCATTTATGTAGACTAAGAAGCCAGGATTAATTGAAAGGCGTGAATATGGTTTCCATTTGCAGATATCGTATTGGCTATTCAATTCAATTTCAATGATGCCAGTCAGTAAAATGGTCGTTATATCTCTCATTGATATTATGACCGGTCCTTCTTAAGGGCACAGCTTTCAAAAATATAAATGACGCCATATCGTTTCTTTGTTCATAAGATTGCAGCTATATTCCAGTACGTCCCTTCAGTAAGGAAAATTAGTCAATGAAAATAATCCTATTCACTTCGATCGCTGGTTTTAAACAAGAATGCATTATTAAACTAGTCATTTTCGCGGAATCTCTGTCCATCGATAGCTTCTTGCAGCATTTGGCTCACTGCACCCAGTGGACTCCTCAGTTTTACTTGGTGCCACTTCAGAAGACTTTCCCCAATTAATCTCCCGATATCAGTTGATTTATATCCCTTTCTTCCCACTTACCCACAGGCCATAACATACGCCTTAAGATAATGAAAACGTAATAGTTAGTTGTTGTGCCTTTTATCGCTAAATGGCCTTATTTAGCCAAGGAAACGCACCATCATACAATAGGCCTTTCATCTTATCCTTTGTGGGAGGCCTAGGAAGCTAATTTTGCTCTTAATCACAAAATTACAACTAGAAGTATTAGTTAAGAAATAAGGCTCTACTTAAGTTTCAAAAAGGTCGAGGAGAAGATTATCTCTCAAGAAGACTTTCTTGTTTGCAAAATTTGAAAGAGCGCCTAAACAAAATGGTTTAAAATTAACACAAAAGTTTTCGCTTCAATCACAGCAAAGAACTAAAATTAGATTCCATGATTTATTGTTCCCTGTATGAATCTTTTGCCAATCTTACGTAGATTTCGGATTATGGTCTACCATAGACTGTCTAGCCAAAAGACTACTGTATAAATGTTATGTTTTAAACACCAAAGGGCAGTGTATGGGTAAACTGTTATATGCTGTTTAATACTTTGGGACCGGCAGCCAACATTTCTTTTGAGCGATTTTGCGAGTGGAACCATAGTGAAATGTTTTTGCGCGTGTGACCTCCAAAGTTAAAACAAATCTGATCTATAACTGAATCTCTTTGCTTAAAAATTAGTAAATAGTAACTTATATTGTGGCAGCTCTTGACATTCGTAAATAAGATTTTTAGCTGTTTGTAAATGTTTGGCTCCGATAGTCAAACCAAATAGGAATAATTGTCGCAAGAATAATAAGATATTCCTAACACCGCGCCAGTCGCTTTGGTTGATAAAGCGGACTTACATTACATTAATATAATGGTCTGACCCAACCCTTTCTTATGATCTAAAAACCTTTCAAGTTTTGCTGCGGATTTTACTTGTTTACTTTCTATCACCTTCTTCAAAAATTCGGTGTCATGCGTAAGTTTCTTAAGAGAGGCGTTCAGAAAGAACTTTAAATCTGCTTAGGTTATAGTTCTTGATAGAGCGCTTCTCTTTGCCAAGCCACCACCATGGGAAACTAGCAGATATCTTAAGGCTTGTAACAGAGAAAACGAATGGAAAATACCAACAAAAGAACAGATGCATTTTTTGTTTTTAGTCCTTATTTTAAACAATTTAGTATTTTGAATTACAATATGCTGCCTTAAAACAGTTCCCAACCTTCAAAATTCATCATTACATGCAAAACAGGTGGAGAAACCACAATTTAATGACGTTTTTTCGTCTCCATTCTTATCTCTCCTTTGGTCGCTCTGTTCTTCAAAATGAGGCTGTGGATATATAATAAGGATCGTGTTGATTATTTTTAACATAAGATACAAATTCACCAATGCAAGATGGGATTTTAAATAGATCATGAATACTATGATGTACTTCGCCAAATTACATACTCTATAATGCACATGTGTTCTTGTGTATTCCATTATGTACTCGTATTCCATCGCGTGTCTATGACCTAGAATTTATTCATAAATTATTTAATAGTGGAGTCGATTCATACCGTACAATAACTCGCTGTATGCAAAATACTAGTCAGACCTTACTGTTAACGGTAGATTAAGAAACTATTATTCAAAAATTAATTCTTATTCACTCAACTTCTGAAATTTTGGCTTTGCCAGGAATGGATTTTTCCAAAATATTAAACCAATAGTGTATTTCTGCATAATTTAGCGGGTGTAAATTTTTGTTGATATATGAATGTGATACACTGTGCAGCCTCTTGATTATTAGTAACATGGGATAAAATTCAACTCAAGCATATAAATTTTAAATCAGTTTCTGGATATATATGCATTTTTCATGAAAACCGTCGATAGGGAACTGAGTCCCTAGAAACCATAACGGTGATCACCCTCAACCTTATGAAACTGCCAAAAAATTCATCTTTTCAGGAAAGGGTGTTTCTTCTAAACAATAAGCCACCTATTTCCTGTTCAAGTATCATAGATAGTAGAACAAGAACTCTTTGCAAATGTTAAGGGGCTCTCTTTCTTGTAACCTATATAAAGTTTTCTGTTTCATAACATTAAAATTTGCCCTTCTATCGAAAAATCAAGAAACTGAGTACTAGTCACTTTTACTGTTCTATTATTTGCATTGATAAAAAGCATCAATATAACTTTCGAATGTTCTTGCAAACAGTTGCCTTTTTGCAGCTAGCTTAGGATTCCGAGAATCAATTCACATAAATTAACAGAGTAACAAAATATTTTCGTGAAAGTGGTTATCAGCAAATACTCTAATGTAGATAAAAAAATTTAATGTTTAAGTAAGGACTTGCTAGAAATAAAGAATAAGAGGAAAAGATTAATAATGACGGTCTATGGACTTTGATTTGATTTGGTTTGGTCGTATTGAGTATTCTCTTCCCGTTCATGCCACTATTCAAATTACCTGGTATATAACGCCATATAGGGTATTTGAGTCGTGCCGCATGACTCAATGTTAAGCGAAGCGTGACAGCACGTTCAACCTCTTCGACCTTTCCCATGATCTTCATGTACTCAATTAAGAATTGACCATTTTATTCTTTGTTTGGGTTGTTTTTTGTTATTGCTTCAAGGTCGGACTGCAAGGAAAATTCAATTGAAGCCCTGTTCGTGCGCCATTGCCGCTTTCGTGCAATGCTCATTGCGTGTGCACAGCTCGGCGTCAGTGCGTGTATACACAGCTCGTGTAAAACCATTGCACGAAAAGCAAACAGTTCATTCATGAAATTTGTACAACTAGTCACGAAAGTTCTACTCTTATTGTACGCGGGCATCACAAAAGCATATGATTCGAGGATGCGCCATCAACAATGCTCTGAGCGTAATCCAATTTCCTTCTTTGGATCGCATGTTAATTAGGCCTAGAAAAGACAACGGTTATTGAGGTCGACATTTGGATTTTGCCAATCAAATAACTCAAGAGCTTGGTCATAAAATAGGCAAACGCAACCATCTTTATTGTTTTCCGTCAATCAACAAACCACTTATATTTCTGCGACGCCACAGAGTTAGTTCTAATTGAGGGTAGACATGACAAAACTCTGAAGGAGCGACCTGGACACAGATTAAAAATTCAAGGGATATAGCTGATAAAATCAGCCATAATGAATATTTTGTGAATACCTTGCCCCTATCAAGACTTTCTAGATTTGTTTTGCAAGGCTAACATATCAGATCAATTTGGTAACCGTTAACTATGCTCTAACTAGTAATTTTTAGCATATGACGGCCGTCAGATAATCTCAGCATTTATAAAACTATAAAATATTCATAAAACTTAAAATACTCAAAATTAACTTTCATAATACTTATAAAACCACCATATATGAGGAACCTGCACTGTATATGTAGAAGACCAAAACATTTATAAAAAAAGCATATTTCTAAAGAGAAAATGCTCAAGGTACTTTTTATTTTAAATATTTATTTTAAACAAACGATTGTTAGGAAGCTTGTTCAATTTATTTTCATTCAGGTTCACATTAAATGATGTGGCTCAATATCAAGCTTTGGGAGATGCGGTTGAAAACTATATCATATCAGAACAGATCAATGGAGTAGACATGCTACTTCTTGATTGACATTATACTTTTACCCTTCTTCGCTAGCCACATTTCATAGCAAAATTCCCATTTTTGTTGTTTTCTTGCGTCTGTGCTATTGTTAGGAAATCCTAAGTCCAAAGTACATATATGAACAATAAAATTCCAAGAATATGGAGCGTAATGAATTAGGCCTTTAGTTTTGAACCATTCTGTTTCAAACACCAAATTTTGATGCACGTTTTTCTTATAAGAAAGTATTTTATAAGAAAGTTGTGATCGGTTCTTCAAAAAGATAAAAACGGTCAGGGCTGGATCTTTGAAACCTAAGAAAGTGTAAAAATTTAGATATTCAAAGTTTCCAAGGAGATTGTGATGTAGAGTGAAATATTTCAACAATACAGTAATGTGCTGAACATAAAATTTATAAGGTGCGAAGAAGTGTTTGTATAGAAATTGTCTCCCTTCAGGAAGTTTCACTAAATAGAAAATCAACCACGTAAATATGATATATTTTTGGTCATTGCAATATTCAGTGAGACCATTGAGTTTTCTTTGTTGTTGAAGTGGCACGTTTTTGGCTCTGTGATATACTTTTAGAAGAAATATCTCGCAAAAGACCAGCAACGTTGTTAAAATAGGTTCGTAGACGAGAGAGTGTTTTCGTAGACGTGGAAAAGGATGATGTCACTGCGCATGCTTAGTAACGTAAAACTTTCCAATGTCACGTTAAGAAAGTATTAAGAAATTTTTGGTGCTGAAATTAGGAAATAGCTAAGAAAGTCTGTGGGCTGGGCTGAAAAAACTTTCTTACAATAAAAATGTGTAGCTCTGATCATAAGGCATCGAGCAGTCTTCAACAGATTTTTTAGCACACACAACCATAACATTTATATGATGTGGATTGTAAATCTTCTATAATGTCAAACAAAATTTATTTTTCCTAAAAGCTATTCTTTTGATAATCAAAGGTTCATTATTCCAACCATCTAAATATGCCAGAAGATTCATATCCTCGACATATCACACCAAAACTGGTAGAATGCTTGGTAAAAAACATTCAGCAATGTTAATAATGATACTGAAATATTTGATAATGCAAAATCTTACTTGTTGTGATCTTTTTTCGAATCTGTTTGAAACTCAAAGAAAAAATAATTTCTTTGTTGGAAAATTTACATATGCTGTGGATTATGACATCAGCCAAGTGTCAAAAAAGCAAAGTTGTTGGTAGATGAGTCGAAATTCCAATTTTTTAGGGCAAATATTCTATCCACTTGTCAGAACCAATGAGAAAGAGCTTTTTTTTATTTACATTTCATGGCTCTGAATCATTACATTTAATCAAAACTATTATATACCAAAGTTGCATCATATAAACCAGAGTTTTCTTCTTACCCTTCTTTTGACTCTCATTTCTCTAGATTTAATTCGCCTTTTTATACGAGACTGGCCTTTTTCCGTAAAATTCACGAATGTTCCTATACAACATAATATACTATGCAACGTGAAAACAATAACATAAACTTCAACTGTGCATTTGTGATCTGTGATTTTGTGATAATGATGCAAAATTTGAAAAGTAAACAGATCTTGAGACAACTGCTGGTTCGTCTCCCCAAGAAAAACTGCATATAATATAGCATAGAGAATACAAGTATAAATGTTTGTTAATGTAAAAAACCTTCAAAATATTTGTTACTCTGATCTGATAACCTAAGAACTTCTGGTTCACTGGCAGCACAGATATTCAATAATTTAACGCTGACAAATGACAATAGAATCTAACGCAGCAATCTCAGATAAAATGTGATCAGCTATGGTATATTATATGACGCAAAAACACAAAGAGATATCAATGTCGCGAACATTCGAGATTTGCGTTGTATTTATTTATTAATTCTTTTAGAAACACATTGCCAAGGAAGCAATGCATCAGAATTTACAAACCAAAGCGGTAATACTTCATTTGCTGGCTAGAATAGTAGGAACATTTTGGGCACAGACAAAATGGAAAATAACAAGCTCTAGGCTTCTAAAGTTTGAAAGAATTATCCAATGAATAAGGACGTTTTATTAACGATGAATTATCTTACAATTTACAAGAAGTCAACATAAAAAAGAAAATAAGGGGGTTGATTGTTAAGTTTTTTTATGTAATTCTTTGAAGTTTTGTTGGTAAATAATCAATAACTAGTCATTTTTATTTAGACCATGGCCTAGCTTCACCGTCGACCTCTGAAGAAGATGAGACAAGACAAGAAGTAATCCCAGACCATCATGACGACATATCAGACCAACCGAAATCTCATGATCCTTTTCAAGATGAGGCAGAACTGATAACACCAGCTAAAAAATACAAGCATGAAACAGAAGTGAACGAGGATACAAGACACAGCTCTCCTCAGTCTTCGGAAATGTCTCCTGCTTCGGAGGATAGAGGCTCGGTGAGCTCACCACAACAGCTTCTACATTATGCAAATGGGCCCCCATCAAATCACGTCGTTCAAAGTCATGTGCCTGGAAGTGCTAGTATGCAAAGAGGCCTGATTTTCCATTACCCAGCATGCACTTCAACACCAGCCTGCATGAGAATGCATCACAGTGCAGGGTTAAATACTCTTCGGCTAAACCACCATCTTCCTCACAACGGAGCCTTCTTCCACCAGCCAGGTCCAAGCTTGCCACCAGTGCAGCACCCTCCTGGAATTCCAGTCCCGCATCCTCCCAGCCACCCACCTACGGCGTTACCACCGGTCAAGTCAATAGAGCTACTACAGCGACTCTTTCCTGAACAAAACCGGCATGTATTGGAGCTAATTTTACAGGCTTGCGATGGAGATATAGTACAAACTATAGAATGTATATTGCCAACCCATGAGAGAGTAGGTCGACGGACATCAGGTAAAATACCTTGCTCCTGTCAAGATGCCAACTGTACCTTCAACCGACCAGCCAATGCAGAAAGGGCAGGATCAGCATTCTCGCCTATCGGATCACGCCCTGTTATTCCGTGTAAACAGAACAGTAACTCGGTACCCAGCACTACAAAAGTAGGAGAACCGAGTCATGATGCGACACGGCAAATGAAGATACCAGGAATGAACGCACTGCAAGATTCTGAAACGATACCTCCTGTCTATATTGTGAATACATCACCAAGTGACAGCCCAGATAGCAGAGTTTCCTCTGAGGAGCCAGCAGATGTTGCTAGTGAAAGACTCCCAGAACCAAAGAATAAAGTATGTTCAAGCTGTGGGCGAAGGTCTTCCAATTCAGACAATTTCTGCAGTGCTTGTGGGAAAAAATTATAAAACTCACTTCAACGTAGAGGGGTTTGCCTTTGTCTTTACGAGGAAAGTGGACTGTTAATTGCCAACAGACGAATGGCCCGAGAATTGTTTTCGATGAATTGAATGCAGTGGTGTATTCTAATCTGGGTTTCAAAGGGCTATTACAGCTTATACAACTATTTTCGATAGTATTAATGCTACATTCAAAAGTATGCAAGCCTTAAAATTGCATGCAATATTAATTTTATTGATTTTTGAATTCTTAAAGCAGCTGGTTAAGGTCTATGAGACAACTTTCCAAGCTAAAATATGAGTTGAAGGCACAGAGAGCGAAGCAGGGACAAAAGAAGTTCGTTAATGACATAATTTAAAAAGCAAAATTGAAAACGAGCTAAGATTACATATATTAGTTAGAAGAAGAAGGGAACCTGTATTTAAAGAGCAAGTTTAACTTGAACACTCTTATAAAGAAATCTTACTCATAAAATTGACTGAGAGATAAAACTGATTTTTGAAAATGAGAGTTTTCAAAGGTCATTTTGTGGTTTTTTGGGTAGAATTATTTATTCAAAGGTTTCTTACTGAATTTTCCTTTGATTTTATCATGCATAAATTATTCAATTAAGGACAGAAAGTTTAACGATTCCAATTTGAAAGGAAAACTAGTTATTTTGAGTTCTTGGTAAAATACTTTATTTCGCATGAAAATTTTTCTCTTAGAAATTGACAAATTTGTGTCAACTTTTGAGGACTTTTGCAATAAGAATGCAGGTATGTTAATCCTAAGGACAAAGATAGTTTCAAATTGTGCAACTCATTCGTCATACAAAATGATTTCTCTTTAATTATTGAAGGTATGGCAATGACAATGGTTGGTGTATAGAAGTGAGACCTTAATCGTTTGGCATTTAAGGTCATATTCTGTGTCATTATTTCTTGTAAATTTCGAACTTCTTTGACGACTATCACAGCTTAACATAGATAGTAATAGACAAGTAGACGAATATATGGAACATTTTAAGACTTAAGAGACAATTTAAAAACTTATGTTATTACAAAGTAGAGAGTAATGTGTTTAGAATAGTCAAATTGTGAAAATTTATCCAATGCCTGTTATTAAAGGTGCAACGCATGAAACACAAGAAAGTGCCTGAATCATACATTCATTAAACGTATGATCGTTTTTTATTTATCTTGATGACTATAACTTCCTTTCTTCTTGCGAATGCTGCGAGCAAGTGCTGAATTCATGATTCTTTGAAACTGACTAATTTTGCCTGTTGGGCTAGACTTTTGCTTTACAAAACATATTGGATTTTATTTCTACTTTTTATATTTTCATTCAAGATGCCAGACTGCTAAATAGTATTTAACTGAAAAAAATTGTTGCTAAGATGAGATGATACTCACCACAAAAGAGGTTAATGAATGCTTATATACAGTCATTTTCAATGATTTGGCTACTTTTTAAATACCATTAGAGCAAAATCTAAATGCCATTAGAGCAAATTCAAAAGCAAAATCTTAAAATTCACCATTTGCAACGAGAAGCCATCGTTTTCTACGTTCATATGCGGCCAGTGTTAGCAATGTTGTCTGAGTCCCAAACCCATGAATGTTTTCTTATGAAAAAATCGTACATCAGTGGCACAAAGAAAAGTAAAGTAAAGTACAAGGGTAAGAAAGAACTATGAATTACAACTGACAAGCTATGCAGAAAGTGATGTTCTTCAAGGATCAATTTTGTAAATGATAAAATGCACAAGGAGTGATATAATGAAAATACACATTGTCATAAAACATCAAAACGAACACTTTTTACTCGTTATTAGCCATTGATATTTGAACTGTTGTTTGCATTGATTTGTTTGGTTTGTTCCCTTCAAATTATGCTCTAATATTGGGTTGGGCAACCTACAGTTCGCGGGCAAGAATCCAGCCCGAGGTGTGAATTTTCGTGGCCCGCGAGATGATAAAACCATGTCACAATTTTTTTGGCACGGACGATTTTTCGAGGGATCTGAAATATTGAATGGAGCAAATCGATTTCAAAATGAGATTATCTTCGTCAAACCGGAGAAGGAAAAACATTTGGTTGGCGCACTCATGGCAGTTCAGCACCTAGTGTTAGAACACGACAGGGATCACGTCTGTCCCTATTTTGTCATGTCACAGTTCCTAGTGAGCCGGGGCCCATAATGGATAAATTGATGTTTACCTAAATCAAATTGAATGGCTTGAGCTAATGGAAAATGTTAAACGTTGATTGGTGAATATTTCAGTATTTCCTTCCTAGGATGATTACTCCAAACCATGAATTACATCCATTTAATTTTGGTTGTTTTTTCAGTTTTTCCTTTTGCCCTTATGATTGTAATAGTCTTATCTTGTAAACCCAGTCTAGCCATTTGCAAACTAACTATATGGTAGAGAAGTTGTTTATGACTCTCTAACGTGAAATGGAAATGAAATGAAATCTTTTCAGTATTTTTATCATCACTATTATTCGTTTTTCTTATTACCTTTGGCCCACCAGAAAGGTTGTCCACCCAAAGTAAAAATATGCTAAAGCATGTTTCAAAACTGAAATTTTGAATTCATTAATCCATTAATGTACGAATTTGTGTCATCTCCACTGCTTTTTCTGGTTCGGTAGAACAAGTTAGTTATCACAGATTCAGATTTGATTTATTTGGTTTTATTTGGCTTTATTTGGATTTATTTTCTAATTAAAAGAATCTAGTTTGGTATTGGTAAATCAGATGATGGCAATGTGATTTTAAGTGTTTTTCCATGAAAAATTTAATCTAGATATTTACGTCATCTTTCTATTTAGGAAATGAACGTCACTGCTATATTAACTGGTGTTATTTTCAATGAGTGCATCACAGCACCAGCCAGTTTTGTTGCCTCTGGAGATTTTAAGGATCCATCCTTCGATCATATTATTGATAAGGGCAAACGAGTAAGTAATGATAAAAGTTCTTCTTTAATTATAAAGGATTAGAAAATTTTATGATTCCCAAGCCCAAATCTTCCTAACGTAATTTCCCTTGGCTGGCTCCAAAAATGGGTAAGTGTGCTTTCGATGGCAAATTTCGATACATCCGATTCATTATTGTTAAAAAGGCTGTTACATAAAGCCTGGCTACAATGATATAGATATGATTTTCTGGCCTCATTGTGTCTTACCCTAGCTCTAGCCCAAAGTATGCTTTCACAAACTGGAAACCTCGCAAGCGCCCTAAACTTCAAGGTCCATGGCAAATTTTCCATCGCCACCACCTTTCGATAACCGTTGTTGTGAGCTTGTTTTTGGTGTATTTAAAGGCAGATTGAGAAGAAACATTTTAGATCATCGCCCCAAAAGTCACCCCTTTGCTCATTTCGTAAAGGACCTAAGCAATTCAAGGGCGACTCGGTGAGCTACAAAGGGGCAGGTGAACTGAATTTTGAAGAAAGGGGGTACTTGCCCAGTGTACCCCCAGTTCCTACGCCTTTGCTTGAACTTAAGAAATCATTGATACCTTGACTTACATATCGAACATCATGAAAGTTAAAGAGAACTTATCAATGAAATTTTTATTGGTCAATATGCTTTGCAAACCGATCTTCAGTTCTCATCAAAAAGGAAAATATTGACTTTCGTCTTGCATGTAGGTATAAAGAGATGCTTGGAACCTAGATTTTATTTGCATTCAAAATATTTTTATGAATTGATTTTGCTCGGAAACCAATTTCTTGAAAAGTGCACTCAGCTGCCCCCGCTTCTCCCGTGGCTCCGGCGCCCTTGCATAGTGGTCAAGATTGCACTGGTTACTTTTACTTACTGTCCTAGGTATCCAAATACTTGCAGTCCGTTTACATAGAGCAAAAGTAAAGAAATTGATACTACCTGTGACATTAGCATGGGCACCGCCAACGAAATCCCATTTCATCTTTTTGCATTAAAACAGTCAAAATTGAAAGCGGATCGAAACTAATTTGTTCATGTGCATCATCACTTGCCATTTTCAAACCCTTGGCCAAACTTAGTAGCATTTTAGTTTTCTTTCTTCAAATTTCTTTAACAGTACTTGTCTCATCAGTCCACACAATTACAATTACAGTACTTAAGTACAAAGGCAAAGCCTTGTTATACAATATCACAGGCACCGCGGAGCAGGGCTAAAGCCCCCCCCCCCACTACTTTTTGCAAAAAATGCCAAATATTAAGTATCAAACTACCAGTAAAGCCTCTTTTTATACGGTTTTAGCCCCCCCCCCAATTTTTAGACCCCCCACTTTTCTCAACGCTCTGCGGTGCCTGTATCATATAATCTACATGACATTAACTAAATTAATTCAAAGCGTCTTTAGATGCTATGAAAGAGGAAGCTTTATTAACTCCTAAGTCCAACCAGTTCCGAATTCAGGTAACACGGTATGAGTAAGCTCGATGATTTTTACGCGTTCATATCCTTATAAGATGTACTTGTCAATCAGTTGCAATGTTTTTCGAGTTTTTTATACTGCATTTTTTGGAGAATTTCGAGAGGTAATCTAGAGAACAGTCAGTTATAGATTTGAGAAAAGGCATGTTGTTTCGGTTCTTTCTCAAGAAACTTGCAGACATGTCATAACTACAGTTTCTAACAATTTTTGCTGCTCTATTTAAGATTTCTGGCCTTGCACCTGTAAACTAGGCCCCTCCATATGCAACCCATACTGAGCAACAGTGGCAGATACTTGGTTGAACAATGCCAGGATATCTTTGAAATTAATTGTCTGGTATATTTTTTATTTTTAATTTAATTTTATGCTCTCCGCAAAAAGAGGAAAATTTTTGGTGTCTGCTGGTGTCATCAGTCTGAATTTCTTCAGACAAAGCGAGAGGTGATTCTCTAGACAAAAAGAAGAGGCCTAAAACAGAATCCGTGCGGAGCGCTATAGTGTATTTCTTCCATTCGTGACGAAACACGATTGACCTTTCAAAACTGCTGTCTGCCCCAGATTCAGCATAAAATGGGCTTAGTTTATTACAATTAACTCACTTTTTATAGGTCTAATTGTGTAAATGCCAAACATAAGATAGAGCATAGGATATGTCAAATGATAACTCGTTCGGTAGTAGTACTTCTAATCTACATGCATTTCTACCGAAGTGGCATTTAAAGCATGCGTTGGTGAATATTAAAAAGAACGTACGTAGCTGGTCTTCTTGTAGTGCCATACAGGTACTATTTTTTAACAAAGTGCCAACCACATTAGGACTTGGGGCCTCTAGCCCTCAGCAAAAAGCAGCAAATCCAGCAAGGCCAATATATTGCAACAAAGGTTACTTTTTGCGTCACTTACTTATAAATTGTTGAAGCCAAATGGTATCACTAGGATAATAATACGAGCCCCTTTTTAAAAAAAATTGATTTTCGAATATTGAGTCTAAAGGACAATGGTACTCGCCATCAATTCCGTTCAAGTAGAAGACTATCCGAGTACAGCAATTTTGATACCCTGCGTGCCAAAGTCTTCATCATTTAGTCTCAGGAAATATAGTTTAAAAACTAGTTACAGAAATATTTTTGAGTGAGAATTTTACTTTATCCCCGGATTCATTAGGCTCTGGTACCCGGAGTACAATATTGACAATCTCACTCGAAAGCCTTAGTCTCGCTTTGTAGTCTCGCTTTAGAGTGTTGGAAAAACTTCTGCATTGAAAATTTTAAGCTTTGAATCGCCAGAAAAAAATTTAATACACACATAAAAAGGATAAGAAAAAGATCGGTCCCTTTTGTTGGGATTGTTGGGAGAATTGTTGTATGTGCGGTCTCCTCAGGTCGATCGTTGATACAATTTTATTTATAAAATTGTTGAGGAAATTTCTAGCAATATGCTGCTTTGGACTTTTAGGGAAAAGATGAAAAGGATGCTAGGAAAAAGTAAAAAATAATTACTACTGACATTGATCATATAGAGGAAAGTTGAATATATAAAGATATGAATTATAAAAGCTACTTTTAAAGGGAGATTCTAAAATAGCAACTCTATCGTAAAATGAAGTTGGTTATAAAGAATGAGTAGGATTCTTGGAAAGTATCAAATCAAAGAACAGAAGAGTAGTAGCTGCTTCATAATTTTTTCATGATTTTGAGAAAATTTTTTGAAAGGCCTCGAGTTTTCGCCCATTAACTTCATAAAGTAACAATCAAAAGACGAGAATGAACAAATAATCGTTGCCTAGGTGTGTGGTCACAAGAATCGATTGTGCGGAGGCGATTGCCTCCAACTGGGTTATCCTGGAAAATAAGAAATAAGTTTCCTTGGCCTAAAAGTTTCACGTGTGTGTCGAGTGGAAAAAATCATGTCTTACAAATCTTTGAAGACCACAATGTCGCTTAAAACATAAACTAAACTGGGGAAAGTTATGGCACATTCATTATTTCGTGCTGCCATCCGCGGTTTTTCACAGAAGGTGAGGTGTTGAATTTGAATTTGCAAGCATATTGAAATTAAAACATCGTACTCAAACTCGAATATATGTAATGATGAAAGGGTGATGTGAAAGAGAAAATTGGGTTAAAATTCATTTCCCTTAGCATCAGAATTGAGAGACCCGTTAAAAATTGTGAACTTTGGAAACAAAGTGAGATGAGTAATTGCCACTGTAGCACTTAGATCAGAACATAAGCACATTTTTTTAACAAATTGTCTTCAAGGTCTTAAATGAAGGCTGGCTTTGTCCTATGGATTTCACTAAGTGGACTTTATGTCACAGGTCAATTTTGGTCAAAATAGCTTGTCCAGAACTGCAATGGCCATGTTAGTTTTTCTTAGTAAGCAGACAAATTCAACATATGAAGCTGAGTTTCTTGATGCTCAATGCATTTCAAGTATATTTGGATGAATTGTGTAGTGCACTTCCACCTGAAATAATTCCGACAAATTTTCCATACCACACTTTGGTTAAAGTGGTTTTAGTGCAGATGAGAGCCTAGGTAAATTTGATGTTTTTGTGAACCAATGCTGCACTATTTGGCAACATGAACAAAAATCAACCATATTGGTAACGTTTCCCCCAGTATAAGGCGCCCCAGTATACGGTCCAGCCCCAGTATAGGGATTGTCAATCAAGATTATGTTCTTAAGTGCCGCCAAAGCCGTTTCGGTTCGTTATCGTCGCGATGATAGATAGAAGTTATTTCAAGTCACAGCGGCTTCTCGGCCAGTAGACATTCAGCCATACACTTTCAGCAAGCGGCCATGTTGTAACAGCCGTACTTGAAAGACATCCGCGTAGCTCACCTTTAAAATATTATACCTTTAAAACTCATACAAAATATAAGTTTAGTTGTTTAAGTTTCGTTTTATTTTGCTCGTACCAAGTTTTGGTGCGACTATCGAGCCGAGTAACGTAGGAGCCTTTAGCAAGAATATAGGGCTCGCTCGTTCAGCTGACAACTACGGGGGTCAAATTGTTTCTAGGATACAGTTTTGAAAAAATCTTGACTGAAACTGTTTCGCCGGCCAATTGAAATCGGTGCACTTGCGTTTAAACTTTATTTGTTTTATTGTTTTGTGGGGTTCCTGGTGTTTAATGTTGCTTGCCTTGTTTATATGACGAGCATTGACTGGGGATTTTTATGAACTAGAAGTTAGAAGAAAGAGGGTTTCGCTATGTTCACAAGGTTGCAAATCAACCTTTTGATTATATGCAGCATTCTGAAAATCAAGTTCACATGTCACATTGCGTTTTTTGCTTGTTCAAAAATTATCTTCCCCAAGAACTACACCTCGGTTGTGGGAGACACGCGCGGGGCCTTCACCCCCGGGTCAGACATAGAGAATTCTCAGAGTAGCGCGGACCTCTGTACACTTTTGCATAAATTTTGCCTCTTGTATGACCGATTATACCTTTAAAACTCATACAAAATATAAGTTTAGCTGTTTAAGTTTCGTTTTATTTTGCTCGTACCAAGTTTTGGTGCGACTATCGAGCCGAGTAACGTGGGAGCCTTTAGCAAGAATATAGGGCTCGCTCGTTCAGCTGACAACTACGGGGGTCAAATTGTTTCTAGGATACAGTTTTGAAAAAATCTTGACTGAAACTGTTTCGCCGGCCAATTGAAATCGGTGCACTTGCGTTTAGACTTTATTTGTTTTATTGTTTTGTGGGGTTCCTGGTGTTTAATGTTGCTTGCCTTGTTTATATGACGAGCATTGACTGGGGATTTTTATGAACGGGGTTCCCCAATGATTGCTTGCGATAGTTGCAATGAATGGTTTCACGTAGAATGTGTCCAAGCAGTAATAAAAAGGCAGAACAAGTGGTTTTGCGAAAATTGCACTGCAGTTGGAAGCGAAACAGAATCGCAACATGCCCCGCTGAATAAAAAGAGGAAGGAAATGGCTATGAGTAAGGGTTCTAAAAGGAAAAAAGAGTCTGCAACCTTACAAGGGAAAAGAAAACCCATTTGTTTGAAACCAGTTGAGAGCCCATGCGAAACGAAAGTTGCAGTAGACGTTAATTTGAAAAGTTTGAATAAATTCTTACTAGCTTCACTAAAAAATGGGTCGATTGCAGAAAAGCTAGCAATGTTTAGGAATACAAAATTACCGTCCGTTTATGCAGAAAATATGAATTTAGTATTGAAAGAGGATATTACTCTAATCGAAATTTTAGCATCGCACGGGGAAGGCTACGAAGAGGCTGCCGAAATGATTTCCCTGTTCCTTAATCAGAACTACGGTAAAGAGTTGAAAATAAATAAATCCGACTGCGATATGTTGATAATTGTAACAGGGTCATTCCATGCCAATGAGGGACAGTCATGTAATGCACCCTCTCAAATTTTCCTGATACTCCTATCAGATACTTAGCATTTTGAGAGGAAAATAACCTGAAAATTTCAAGTTGATATCTTTGCTCATTCAGATATTATAGTTATTTTAATTTTTGCTGATTCAGCATAATATTATCCACATATCCGCCATTTTGAATGTGCAGAGAAAGAATTTGCCTCTATAACCTCTCACTGCCTTTTTTGCAAAATTTGGACATAGAATGGCTGATAAATTATTGGCCAGTACTAAATAATGAAACAAACAATATATGACCAAAATCAAAACTGTCAATTGTATATTTAATGTCAATTACGTTAAAATTAGCCGAACTTTTCATTGGATTCTTCCAAACAAAAGTTATTTTCAAACATATTTCCCAATCACGAAATCAAGATAAAATGCATAAAATGAACATCACGATTACAACCATGTTGTTATCATGAACGCAATGTCAAAAGTGTAATCGGTCGACCTCTTGTATCATCAATTGTCGCAGATGAAATATCGATCTTGATACCAAAAATCATAAATGGATTGTTCTTACCTATTAGCATTGTCCGCAAAAATTTGTAAAGGGTCCCGCCAAAAAGTCACCTATTTTCATCAAAATGTGCAGTTTCCTTAAAATTAGAGTTTCCTTCTTTCTTCTAACTTCTAGTTCATAAAAATTCCCAGTCAATGCTCGTCATATAAACAAGGCAAGCAACATTAAACACCAGGAACCCCACAAAACAATAAAACAAATAAAGTCTAAACGCAAGTGCACCGATTTCAATTGGCCGGCGAAACAGTTTCAGTCAAGATTTTTTCAAAACTGTATCCTAGAAACAATTTGACCCCCGTAGTTGTCAGCTGAACGAGCGAGCCCTATATTCTTGCTAAAGGCTCCCGCGTTACTCGGCTCGATAGTCGCACCAAAACTTGGTACGAGCAAAATAAAACGAAACTTAAACAGCTAAACTTATATTTTGTATGAGTTTTAAAGGTATAATCGGTCATACAAGAGGCAAAATTTATGCAAAAGTGTATAGAGATCCGCGCTACTCTGAGAATTCTCTATGTCTGACCCGGGGGTGAAGGCCCCGCGCGTGTCTCCCACAACCGAGGTGTAGTTCTTGGGGAAGATAATTTTTGAACAAGCAAAAAACGCAATGTGACATGTGGACTTGATTTTCAGAATGCTGCATATAATCAAAAGGTTGATTTGCAACCTTGAGAACATAGCGAAACCCTCTTTCTTCTAACTTCTAGTTCATAAAAATCCCCAGTCAATGCTCGTCATATAAACAAGGCAAGCAACATTAAACACCAGGAACCCCACAAAACAATAAAACAAATAAAGTCTAAACGCAAGTGCACCGATTTCAATTGGCCGGCGAAACAGTTTCAGTCAAGATTTTTTCAAAACTGTATCCTAGAAACAATTTGACCCCCGTAGTTGTCAGCTGAACGAGCGAGCCCTATATTCTTGCTAAAGGCTCCCACGTTACTCGGCTCGATAGTCGCACCAAAACTTGGTACGAGCAAAATAAAACGAAACTTAAACAACTAAACTTATATTTTGTATGAGTTTTAAAGGTATAATATTTTAAAGGTGAGCTACGCGAATGTCTTTCAAGTACGGCTGTTACAACATGGCCGCTTGCTGAAAGTGTATGGCTGAATGTCTACTGGCCGAGAAGCCGCTGTGACTTGAAATAACTTCTATCTATCATCGCGACGATAACGAACCGAAACGGCTTTGGCGGCACTTAAGAACATAATCTTGATTGACAATCCCTATACTGGGGCTGGACCGTATACTGGGGCGCCTTATACTGGGGGAAACGTTACCAACGTTGCTCACAAAAATGAGAACTATAGGTTTTCGTGGGAAAATATAGTAGGCATCCTAACAACTGCATGCCTGAAAACATCCAGGGGTTTGGTGGGGCGTGTGACATTTTTTTGCAAAAATTTATGGTAATTATGACAGAAACGCAGAAATTGCCAACATGACAACAATGCAATAATTTTGATGAAATTTACTTCGCTGAATTTGAAGCATAACTACTTACATTTGAAGAAAAAACAGGTAATTTCTGAAGTTTTCAGCAACTTTCTACACACGTATGAACTTATTCAATATATCAGCAAAAAATGGCACTACAAGTACAGAAAAATGTTGGCCATGTCATAAGCTGTTTTTATCAGCTTCAATAATGAATCCATAGTAGAGTCAATAAGGGCTTGGTGTTCATCTGGTTGTAATTGCATCACAGCAAATTCATGTATCTCACTGGCCAGATGTGCATAATTCATAGAGTTTATGCATAAAAGATAGCAATGGGCCATTATTCATTAAATAGAATGTTATCAAAATCTAGATTTGGAGCAAAGCCAAGTCTTAAGAGGGGGGTGTAGGGGGTAGCAAAATCCACAAATCCGTTACTTTTTCTTGCATAATCAGCAAATCTGCACTTTAACCTACAATTTGTTATGTTGAAAGTTCATTATATATGGGGTTTGTTATACCAAGAGAATTTGTACGAAGTAAGGCAGAATCCAAGGAACCAGACATTTTTCATCACTCTTGAAAATTGTTATAAACTTGTATCTGGGTTTCATAATATCAGGATTTCTCTGTAGACTAGTCCTATGATTATTTTAAAACTTTGTATTTAATCCGCAATCCTGACAAGGTATTAAGCTTTTTTGAAGTGGCATGAAGTAAAAGTAGCAAGGAAGGATAAACATTTAAAGCCATCTCAAAAACCAACTAAACCAATCATTAAGAATTTTGCTCCCAAAATAAAAGAAGGCAGATGAAAGCCTGAACTATGACTTTTAATGCTCAATCCAAATGAAATAAGAGATCATCAGAGACATCTTGGGTATTGTGCTGAGTCTCAGGGTCTCAGGGGGTTGGGGTTGTATTGCTTGTAAATTTGTTCAACAATGATTTTGCATAAATTTGAAGATGTTACAAGCATCTTTTCAGCTATTTTTCAATGCTTAGAGACTTAAAACAAATAATCATCTCTTGAATCATGAGTTTTACTTACACTTTGGCTCATGGCTTTGTTTAACTGTAATTATCAATGATCAGTATCTGTAAATAACAATAAAAGACATTAATCAAATTGTAAAAATCTAAAGAAATGAACTGGAAGATTCCAGTGCATGATGAGCCTCTTTAGCAATGGTGTTTCAGCCAGCTTGCCAATTACTCCATCATAACTGATGGTGCCATTTCAGTTTAACCTCTCTTGGTCCATTATTGATGGCTGTCTGTTTTTTACATACTTTGAAAAGGTAACCTCTGAAATGGTGTGCTCACTTTTGGTAGAGCCAACTGGGAAGGTTGCAATTATCCTGAAAAAGTGTAGGGACAGTTATCAAAAAACTTTTCCTGTTTACACATTTCATGGCAATCTCATTCTAATGCTGACTTGTTCCTTAGAACTTTCAAATTTCAAAATTCCTGAAAAACTTCCAAAAAATTTCTGAATGGTCAATGATTGTGGGCACATTCTCCCTGCCTCTTGCCCCCAGCCATGATGTCTCTGCCCCCATCCATGATGTCTCTGCCCCCAGCCATGATGTCTCTGCCCCTAGCCATGATGTCTCTGCTCCCAGCCATGATGTCTCTGCCACCAGCCTCTCAGCCCTTCTTGTAATTTGTTGATAATATCATTGATTTGCTCAACAATATTGCTGAAAAGAAGCTCCCATCATAGCAGGGGGTAACACCAAAGGAGAACTGGGGCTACATCCTTCTTGCTTGCACATCCTAGCCCTCTGTCAGTGGAAGTCAGTTATTTGTTGTAAAAAAAATTGCCCAACTTTGAGAATTTTACCTAAATTTTTGGCTCTTGGTTTTTGGTTTAAATAATGGCTTCTTGCTCGTTTCAAATATCTTTCTATATTTTTAAAGTTTTGTACAATTTAAGTTCACCTTTATATGATTTTGCTCTAAATTTGTTTCTGTACACAATTCAAATTTGCCATGTTTGTAGAATCACAACATTATTTCCAATTTAGGTGAATCAGAGTTGTGCTCTAAACTTATCAAATGAGAAATCGGCAACATGTATACTTTCAAGGCAGAAATTGTTTAGATCAAGTGTCAAGGTAACTGCTTTTTTCTGCAAATAAATTTAATTTCTGGTGTAGCTAATTTGACCTTAAGATTTTAGCTAATCTATAATGGACCCCCATGTATCAAGTTATTCAAGCAATTTCTTGGTATGAAGTAGCTTGAATTTTTATGTCAACAATTCAGTATGAAGCTAATCAATATAAACTTTCTGTTCTCATCAATTTAGGCGCCTAGGTACTTTATAATAATTTTAGTAGCCTTTCCAAAATATGGGAAAGTGAAATTGTATATAACATGTGTCATAAATTTTAAATTGAAAATCCATGTATGAATAATTATACTAACCAGTTGGTATTTAACTTGTATAATTTTTGAAATAAAATCTTGCAAGAAAAATATGCGAACAATGTAAAATGTCAAAAGCTCTATTTGCATTTGCTTGTTGAACTGAGGTGATTGATTCAATCCCTTAGGAAACTTTACACTCATTTTGTATCATTAGCATTTTTGTGACTTATTTTGTAAGATATTATTACTTGCATTTTGGTAGCAGAAACATGATAATCACATCTTTTAAATTGCTCTTGGTGTCATTAAATTTTTCCCTAAAGATTCATATGTTGCTGTCTGACTTTTTAAATTCATATTATTTTGATAGAATTGCAGATGTTTGGCAACTTTCAGTAAAAAAGAGCTGAGAGAGGAAGAAAAGACAAGTGATGTAATTATTGATGCTTCTATCTGATTAATTGTCAAACAGAAATCTATTTTATCTTCATGTTAATGGAAACAATTTCCTGCATCCGGCTTGGTGTTAAATGGTTCATTGATTCTACTGTAGAATATAAAACATTACATATATGAAATATTTTATGCTTCTTTGCAGGTTTTGCATTTTGTTTATCCACCAACTTATGCTGCAATTTTTTATTATAGCATGACAATATAAAGCATCAAACAGAGTTCAGCAATTCGATTTTATTTTGGCGATTTTATTTTTATTTTAGCAATTTTGGCAAAAACATCCAGTCATCACAGCTATTTCAATCACCTTGACAGTATCATTATCAACAGTTAACCTACAAGACATGAATACGTAGTTGACTGCATAGGCTATCGAATGTGTTTGGCAGCTTTGAAAATTTTTGAGAGACTTTTCTTAAAATACAGAAACTTTGGTAGTCAATCTTACTTGATCCACCAGGCGCCAACGGAATTTTGCTCTTCTTCTTTATTTTTATTTAGCTGAATCAGAATTATCCATATCTTAAGGTGACCAAGTGAGATAAATTTTGTAGCCGTCTCTACTGAAAGGACCAGAATCATGTGTGCTACGGTATCTCGCTGTGAAAACTACATTTTCCCAGCTCAATATTGCGTGGAAAAACCTTGAGACAAAAAGCGAAAATGCTAATGCTCGTTTAGATAGAACAGCGATTAGCTGCAATCCCAAGTGTTCATTTCGTAGAATAAAAACGATATTATCTTTGTAATAACTCATCTGTAAAATTTTATTCTTGAGTCAGGAGAGAGAGTTGCTAATAGGTATTAACACACGTCTTGCATTTTCTAAAATGTTTGACATTAAAGGCCAATTCCCATGCATTGTTACAATACAATATACAGTGAACTAATTAAAATGAATTAAACTTATACAGTTTGGTCATTTTCTTTTCAGAATCGAGAAAATTATCGGTACTAGCGTTATGTTATAGTATTCTCAGACATGAATAAATATTAGAAGTCCGACTTAGATTTTCGTATTACTCCCATATTTCCGACCAATTCAATGAATTTCAAAGATAAGGGGGGGGGGGGGGACACCCCACACCCCGCGGTATTCACGTGCCTGGTTGCGACAGCTCCGATCTCGGAAGCTTCTAATGGTAGCAAAATTTTTTGCAATAATAATGTGAGTTTGATGAGTCAAATAGATGATAAACCTTTCCCAATCGGTGAGTTGAAAGCTTGTAAATGGAAGCAAGAAAAAGGGGTCGGTGGTGATCGCAAGCTGTCGTCAACCTCTTTACGTTCGCATTGCGATTTAATGGAAGCAAGACTTACACTCTTTTTTTTATAAGAACCAGTAAATTTGAGTTCAGGCTGATTGTTCTTAAGTTTTCCGAAAATCTGAGGCTGGATTGTTTATAATTTGTTCTTAAATTTATAGGGTACAAGCAGTGCGATTTCTAGCTTTTCGTTCTGGGGAGTTGTTCAGGCCTCTTTTGCCAACAAAGTGCGTAGAGACAAACTTAATTTGCCGCCATGTTTTAATATTCACCGAAAAAGCGCCCACACATGGCTGAAAATCCTCGTTTTTGAGATAAAACGTTGTTCAAAATTTCATTTTACAGTAGCTCAGCCTCAGCTTGTTCTTAATTTGTTCTTAAATTTTGACCCATTTTGAGGCTCGTGTTCTTATAAAATTGTTGTTTTTAAAAGAAAGAGTGTAAGTTATGTTTTTTGAATTTTCCTTTGCACTTTTATGCAACTTTTTCGTTTACAAGGAAGCTTTTCAATCCTCCAAAAATTCTTGCATCGAATCACAGAATAAGATAATTCATAAAGGTTTGTGTTATAGTAGTTGCAGTACGAAAGAAATACCTGCCATTTTTGTCTTTTCAATGTCTCAATTCTGGTTGTCACTGTTACTTTTAGGATGCAAAATCTCCAAAAGAGGTAGTACTTGATGTTGATCTAACCATAAAGAAGCTGGCAAAAAAGATTGGCACTTCTACAGGTAATTTTATTGTGTTTTATCTTATTTTATCACCAGTTGTCTGACTTACCAGTAACCTGTAATAATGTCAGTTTCTTTACTGAATTATTGTAGCAAATAGACATTTCATTACCATGCCGTTTTGTACAGCGGCCAAAACGAAAAATTTATTCGACTTTATTACGTCAATGAGTAACAAATGGTGCTTTAGTCAATGCGTAATTTGCTGATTTTTTACACATTCTAATACTCTTGGTGTAAATTGACAGTGACTACACAAACTTGAATGAAACCAGTCTGTATATATAAAGTTAAACAAATACCTTTTACGTCGATGTTCAAAATTCCGACGTTTCGCGATCCATAATACTGTAATGCACCTCGGGTGTCTACACTTTTGAAACTTTTTGCAAGCCTCAACTTTTGTAACATATGCTTTTATGAATTGGAGGAAACTGAATTAGACTGAACAATTTCAAGACTCCAAAAAAGAACGGAAGTATCTTTAAAGATGACTTGCTAAAGCATTTAAGGCATTTTTCAGCCAGTTTCAGAAAAAAAATACTTATTCAAAGGTTGAAAAAAATCTGTTCCTGAAAATTCCCCAGCTTGTTTGAAAAGGTGCATTCGATTGGCAATATTTGATTCAAATCTAATTTAAAGTTATAACAATCAGCTTTTTCACAGTGACGACTCGTGTGGAAGAAGATAGGGCTCAAAGTAACTAAACGTAGATGCTAACAAGAGTAAGTTTCCGTGTGAAGCTCGGGATGTGGGGGTGTAGTAGGACTGTTTATCACGTGACATCATGCTAACCTCGCTTTCGCTTATATATAACCTTTAGTTAATTAAGAATGATTAGTGAGTTTATATTCTCGCCACGAGTTGCACGATATTTCTATGACGAAGAGTTGTAGATGCCTGAGTAACAGAAGAATTAGTATGCTGCACATGATAAATCTCTTTACAGGCAAATTTATTACATTTCAAGCATTTGTGTAGGCGTTTGAATCTACAGTTATTGCCAGGTAATTGACATTTCGAATGAGAAAATTTGTTAAAGTTTCTACAGACTTGCGAAGGCAATGAGGAGCTTGAAAAATTCTTCATACCTGATCCAGGAGGTGTTTTGTTTGATTCTGCGAAGAGCGCATTAGGCAAAGGGTCCGTAGAAGGCAGAACAGATTCATAGCGTTTGGCGGCTTCGATGATAGCAGGAAGGGATTTGAAAGGTTCATCTCGGCTCAAGAGATCCTTGGCAATGGGTGGGTGAAGCTTCATGGCAAAGGCGTGTATCAGATCTAGCTGCTGGCCATCTGGAGAGGTGTGAATTCCTGGGAGAAGTTTTTCCAAAGAGTGTTGAGTTTCGAGGAATCGGTGGGCAAAATTAGATACAGATTCTTGAGGTTGTTGGCGCATAGAGAAATAAATGGCCAAGAGTTGACGAAGCTGTTCCTCTTTCGGAATTCTACGTTGGCGGCATAAATTTTGAAGACATTGGTCGTAGAGGGTACGAAACTCATCAGGCGTAGTTTCGAAATGAATTTTGTGGCGTTGGAGGTTTCGAAGGCGCAGATTATGTCGAAGGCACGAAAGTCTTTCTGGCTTTGTTGTTTAAGGTTGGTGAGCCAGAGGCGTGGAGAAACCCCAGATGTTGCCAAAACTTGGGTTAACTGCTCGGCGAAATGGTCGATCGGTTCAGCTCCCGGGAATTGTGGCAGGTCCTACACCACTTTTGTAGAGGTCTTACGCTGTTTTGCGCAGACTTATGCGAGAGGATTTCATGAGAGAATCGAAGAAATGAGATCTTGTTTCTGTGCTTACATTCTTGTTATCGTGCATATCCAAATCCCTTATTTACAAAATCTAATGATATATATACTAACGGCGTACAATAGGTTAATTACATGATTGACATAAAACTAAACGAGGTACAAATTAATACGAGGTTATACAATATAAGAATTATCCTGTTACAGGGGGGGGGGGGGGGGGGTTGGTGCATGATTTCCAACAACTGTTCGTCAAGAAAATTTACCAAAAAAATGCTAAAACGTGTTTTTTTAAGTCTGGATGCTGAAACATAACCAGGGCTCGCCAAAGTATAGCAAATTGTTCAAATCTAACTCCTTTTGTTTATTGATTTTTTATTTTAATTTTAGTCATTTATAAATGGAGTCCCTTAAACTTGTTTCTACTACAAACAGATATGCATTTATAATAAAGTGAATCAGTGCTGTTCTTCAACGGATTCGTATTTTATTGATAGTCGAAAATTCTTTTTTAAACTGGGAATAGAGATTGCATCCCGTACCGGATTTAGTTTGACCATTCATCTTTCACACTGATCCTATCGATGATGGAAATTGCCCTGTCTTGATGACGTTCAAGAGATGCCTTCTTTGATTCTGAAAGGCTACCTCAAGTTAGCATCTGTATTTTTTGTGTCGTCCGCGCTACCCATTCCATTCAAGGCTTGACGTCTCTGAAAAAGCAAGCCTGAGGATCGTACAGCTTTGCACTCGCACAAAAAAGAGATTTTTTCAAAGAGTTTAAATATTGTATATACCATCAAGCCAACCACGTAGCTGTAGGTGTCAGCTAGGGGGGAGGGGCAAACTCGAGCAAGAACCATACCTGAGGGGGGCAGGCTTTAAAACAAGAAAACAGATATATAACAAACAGATATATTTGGACAAAATCAAATTCATGGAATTATAAATATGCCAAATTTTCAAAATATAATTTCGAAAAACTGTAGCCAGAGGGGGCAAGCTGTTGTCAAAATTTTCATTTGGGGGGGGGGGGCGTGCCCCCTGCAGCTACGTGGCTGCATCAAGCTACGACTCTTTTAGAATCCTTCAGGGAATGAGGTCATTTTAAAACCTAGGCGTTATATTTACATTGAAGCAAAAATCTTGAGTGGTCTAGACGGAAGGACTTTGTTTACTCACTTTGACTCTTGAACGAGTGTTATGTCAATCAAACTTCCCACCCTTCCTCGCAAATTATTCTTTAGCCTATAAATTTTTCGTTTACCTTTAGTCATTATTCGCTAATGATGTTTGATATTCTGAGTGTTGCCCGACAATCGATGCTTTAGTACATTATGCTTTCGCATTTTTTTTACCTTCCATTACCCTGGGTACCAGACTCACTATATTATTTTATATAGTGAGTCTGGTACCCAGGGTAACCTTCCATTTACTTTTTTCAATGATCTGGGCTTTTTCAACTGCTGTTTTTTACCGATGTATTCAACTTGTAATAGGTTAATTATTAAGTTTTTGGGTATAAATTTGAATTCTTGTTAAACATTGATTTACTGCTAAACATTTTCTCAGTGACATTGACAAACATGTAAAAATGTTTTGTTTCGCCAAATCGTCAGTTAGTGCCCTTTTTTGACAGGATCTATTATGAAACTTTTAAAAGATGCTGGAGAGGAAATTGATAAAGGTGTTCACACGAGTAAGTGTTACTTGCTACAGTCGATAATTTGTTGGTTTTTGTCGCTTCTTCCAACTTGATTCGAGCGGATAAAGTTCCATTGATAAAAGTCTTGTTTGGCGAATAATGTTGGAAGACTAATCGTATCTTCGCCAGCATTCCTGTAATTGAAATATCGACAGCATGTCCCTACCTGAGGTTTTCTTGGCTAGTTCATCTAGCTGGGCCATTTTTTATTCTGTTCAGAGAGCTTCTCAGTCAGCATTCGATGTTGATTTTTAGATCATGGTAATTTTAAGGTCTTATCCACTAACTAGGGAATTTAGTAATTTAATTTTCTGTCCTCTTAACAAGAAAATTTTGCTGGTTAAAACGACTAACAAAGATCCACAATTTCCGTTGATTATTGGCCAATAATGGGATTATGATATATTGCATTGACTGGGTGGAATAAATCAGGTTCTTATTAATCGTTCAAATTTGACGCTTCAGCAACGTTCCCCATACTTATCGGCTTGTCATTTTATCATTATTCTTGAATGAAATTTTCCTTCCTAAACTAAACTACCCTCGCATATTTTCTGTGAACCCAATTTCTCTAAGTAATCATATCGTCCCTTAAAATGCCCCTAATTTCACGGGATATCGTTGCATAAGGATTCGTTTGCCTATGAAGTTATATTTGTAGACTAATTTTGATATTTTCATTGAGATTAAATGCTACAATAATTAAAAAATAAAATAAACATCTAATTTATATTTAATTTTCTAAATTAGCCCCCTTTAGAAGATCAAAAGTTTAATAAGCCCCTGGGGTTTATTAGAGCTTTTCCGAATTTTGAAATTCCAGCGTCCTCCTCTCTTAACTCCAGCTGTTTTGTAACTACCCCTTTATAACAATAATTCTTCTAACGTGCTCTCTAATAAATATGTTTTTTGTTAATTTTGTCTACCCAACATCCCACATTTAGCTTTGGATCTGGATATCGCAGAGTTTGTTGCACTGGAATTCGGTTTTCAACCAATTCTGCCTGATATTGATTCTTGGGAAAAACTTCTCTGTAGGTGCGTATAACGTGTCACAAAAAACTGTCTTGATATTCAATGTTATCACAATTATTCGTAATATTTTTGTCTGCTTTCTATCGCCTTCACAGGTATCTTGTTGCCTTAGATTTAGAAATTTTCTCTTAAATGCAAACTATCCTTTTGCCAATCAAAGAATGACAAGTGAATTAAACGACGATGAGCAATAGTAATAGAAAGCTGTATGGAGAATCGTCATGATTGATTTTGGTTTTGCATTTAGCTTTTATGAAGTCTATATTATTAAGTCAACTGCTAGCGCAATTGCCAAAGTTGAAATGTTTCATTTTCAACTCATTTTGTTGCTTTTTGAAATGCAACACCCTTATTTTTCACTTAGAATTAACAGTGAAGGTTTCATTTTGTTTGTAATGTGTTGTGAAGGTAATGGCCTAGTGTTGAAGATTTGATTTTGAAAATTGGATGGAATGATGGTAGTATTAAGACTATTTACAGGACAGATCGGAAGCAAAAAAGGCTTGGCTGATTATTTCTTTTTTAATTGAATTTGCTTGAATTCCAGCTTTTCTATATTTTAGAGAAATACCCACTAGCTCGACTACCCTCCATCCCCGACCCCCTGTTGTCACCATTATGGGCCATGTTGATCATGGAAAGACAACCCTATTGGATAAGCTGCGAAAAACTGCTGTTGCTGAGCATGAAGCTGGTGGTATTACCCAACACATTGGCGCCTTTTCAGGTAACTATCTTTTACTAACTATCAGGTAACAATCGGTAACTATCATGTAACACTCGTTACCATCGACTCAATTCCAGCAATATATCTCTGCCAAACCCTCTAAGAGGTTTACATGGTTGTAGAAAGTAAACAGATGAACATTATTGGTATTTCAAGAAGGGAATTAGGTAGAATGACGGCAGATGTTGTAAAGAAGTTGTTGCAACACGCAAAACATGTTCAGTAACCCTTTTTAACAATATGAATGTGCTAATTTATATGGAAGAACAAGTATAAACATTTATCAAGGGCCATATAAAGTAGTTTCGAGTAATGTGTAATGAAGAATTAGTAATTTGTATTCTATCTTTCTAGTTCCTATTTGCCTTACAATTAATATTTGATTAATTGCAAATTTTCGCGTTATATCTATAAAGTTAAAAAATCAAAAAGGAAAACAGGGAATGATATAATGGATAAGTCTTGCTAATCTCAACATACTTTTTCAGCTTTTCTTGAGAATGTTAGATTGAACTATCCATCGACTTTTTTAAGTGTCACTTAGAGATATTGCTAAATGGTTTTTAGCCCTTCCAAGAACCAATATCAAGAAAAAATTAATCCTGTTTTTTGGGTTTTTCAATTTAATATTTTGTCGTCTTGTTTTGGCAAACTGATTCTACTAAAGACATCTAAAGATAATGTCATCTGGAGATAGATGTTGAGTCATGTATTGCATCGCTGTTGATAAATCTAAAAAGATCAACACATACTTCCAGGTCTTAGTCAAGAAGGGGAATTTCAGAAGAAATCATATTAAAAAACCTTTGACTTTTTTAACCTCATTAGAAAGAAAATATCGAAGTCACAGCCTTTGGGGAAAGGTGAATAAGTTGATAAACGGCTATTGGACGTCTTACGTCAAACCAAGATTAAAGATAATTGTTGATGATTGCTATAAGATTAAATCCATCAAAATCTTAAATGCATTTGCTATGTCAGTGATTTTCACTGAAAACATCTACCACATCCTATTCTTAATTGAAGTTATGATAGTGATTATAATTTCCTTTTACTCTTCAACTAAGATAAGCATGATTTCAAATTGACAATCTGTCTGCTCATAGCTTATCAAGAAGTGTTTCAAAACAGCTTTAAGGGCTGTTTATATTAGCTGTAAAACGTAAGAATCACTGCCAAGTAGGCGTCAACAACACCAAATAAAAATACAATCATCGAGAATATCATTACTTGAAATGGATAAACTTTGTTGGAATGTTAAGACATGTACCACAATTATGACATAAGCGTCAATATAATATATACACACTAGAGCTGGCGACATCTTTAATATGGAAAACAATTTTGATAGTTTGTTTGAACACATGCAAAAGATTATTGTGTAAACATTTCTCTGATGCTTTTAATTTAAATCAGCTGTAATTTTACACTTATCAAGCACTTTGTACCTTTTTTATCTTATTTAAATAAGTTTTCATGTTCTTAATTACCGGTTCTTCGAAAATTGTTTTGTAAGTATCTTCGAAGGTAGAAAACAAAATGTATCACGGGAGAAGGACCACGTGGAAGGGGGTTTAGAGGACACCTACTCAAGTATTTCCATAAGCGAGTAGAAAAAGCTTCCAGAGGGGTTTTTGAATGAAATATAATTTTTTCTAATTTTCACTCAGCCGTATTGAGATACATTAAACATAAGAGTCTAATGGATTAGAACCTACATGCTGAAGTTATGAAATTAGACCCCCATTATATAAGAACTCATCCAGCCTGAAATCTGAAATAGGTTTCTATTTGTAGAGATACCAAATAACAAGACACTAATTGCTTTGTCATTGCCATTGAACTTTCAATTGATGTTATAGACGTTTTAAAAAGCTAGATAAATTCAGTAGTGAATTCTCTGTTCGGTATTTCAATGTTCCCAAGCCAAAGCGTTGTACTGTTCATATTTTACGTGAATTCAAGTCTTTGGTAGAATCCGTCTTGCTCAACGTTCTGTAGACAGCAAGGATTTCCACTAATAGGTATGCAGTCAATGGAAATTTCAAGATATCTTGTCCCAGTAAATAATATGCTCGAAGTTGGAAATGGGACAAAAGAAATTTGTAAACGCTCTGCATCAAGTAAGAAAAATTTAAAGACCCTTGTTTCTTAAAAAATACCCAATATAAAGACCTAGTAGTCAGGCTGACTTGCGTAATTGTATGTTCTTACAAGCGGATGTTTACTGTCATACTGATGTCAAGTTTTGAAATCCTAGAAGGACTCAAATTCTAGTTGAAAGAACTCAAAGCATCTATTATATCAAAAGGCAAGAAGATTGTTCATCCTTCCTTCTTCTAGATATACAGTGTTTTGGGCTTTTTCTTATTTTGAATGAGAAACAAATTTTTCAAGGCTACCATATACGAAATACATCTTGTTCTTCATAATTACCCACGTGTCCGTAAAGTTCTTTTTACTATGTTACAATTTGCAATTAAATTTTCTAGTGAATCTTCCTTCTGGTAAAACAATATCATTTATCGACACTCCCGGACATGCTGCATTCAACGCAATGAGAGGTCGTGGTGCTCGAGTAACGGATATAGTTGTCCTTGTAATTTCTGCTGAAGATGGTGTCAAAGAGCAGACTTTAGAATGCATTAAACACGCTAAAGAAGCTAAAGGTTTGCCTTCCTCTCTTGGCTTGAGTGGAATTGTGTTTGATTTGTTTACTCCTGATCAATTAAACGTTTTTTTCTTAAACAATAATGAATTCATTTACAATCATCGGAAAATTTGAAAGTAATCAACTTCTGTCACCAGTTGACAATTTTCATGGCGTGAATTATCCTAAAACCATTCAGTAAATGCAAAATTTGTCATGATGCAAAAATTTCTATAATTATTGCTTATGGAAAGTATCATTTTGTCATTGTTCGACTACTCTGAGCTTTTGATGTTTCTTTTGGGCGAATGACCATTTTATATCCTCCTCTTTGCACTAGCCCTCTCACTTGAAATTATCATTAAATCTCACAGAAAAATTATCAAAACCTCTTTAAAACTATATGTTGCATTTGTAGTGTAACATTTTGATGATCTAACTTCCATAATTTAAATTAAAATGTATCTTTTTTCAGTTCCCATTATTGTTGCGATAAACAAAGTCGACAAAGGCAGGGCTAACCCGGTACGTTATCTTTTTAAATCTATCTACCTCTTTTTCGTAGTTGCGAGAGAGGCTGTATTGGTGTGGTGAAAATTGTTACATTTTTAATGCCCTTATCATGGTCGTTTGCTATTCAAATTCCAATCGTTCTTGACTCTAAGGAATTCCTATATTACCAACAGAGAGTATTGTTAAGGATGTATTTTGTAAAGCTTTCTTTGCCTAGCGTGCAGACCCTTTATTCTGGGCGCAGGCTATCTTTAAAAGATGTTTTTTAACCTTGGCAAATTCTTGGTTGGTAAAATAATTTCTTCGCGATAATCGAACATGGTGTGAGCCCGAATAAATTAGAAGTATCGTTCGCGTGTACACCAGTGGCGTAGCGTGACTTTTTCAACTGGGTATTCTCTATTAATCAAAAGGGTGGGGCAGGGTGTGGCTCGATGGGGCTTGATGAAAATAGGGGGATAATAGGAAGATTAAAAGGACCTGCAATTGACATTTTATCTAATTTTCTTTTTGGTTCGGTTGGCAATTACTGCACTGTCAGGCCATTACTATGATGAAAACGATGCTTTGCTAAAGAACCCATCGCAAATATACTCTTCGAACTCATTCATTGCATCAAATTACCACTTACCATTTCATCAAAAGTAATTCAAATCAAAACATATCATTGAAAGCCAGTAAAACTTTACTGGTCGAAATATGTCCCAATAGTTGTTGTTGAATCGTCTAACATTTGCACTGATGTAAAGAGGAAGTAACTGTAAACACCTACTCTTAATACCTTAATACAAAAGGGCTTTCGAAAGTTTCAAAATTATTCAGATAGGGCATTACACGAGTTATAAATGATTTTGTGGTATGCAGTATAGACTTTTTCTTCATGGCCTAATCGTGATATTTTCAATACAAGTTAATATTTGAAAGAATCGAAGGTAATGAGATGAGACTGCACAATAATGCAAATAAATGCGCTCGAATAATGCAAACAAAATAGGCCAACAAGATAACTGAATACACCAGGCAACTATAAGGATATTATCCAGGCCTATCTGCATTTACTTAAATTCTATCACATAATACAAACAGAAACATCCCTGATTGGCAAGCAATAACAAATTGGCATTTCAAGAGGGAACAGATCTGAGTCAGTGTAGTATTATGTAGCAGCCTACCTTTCCTTTCCACTTTGATGTTGGTAGATTAAGATTAGGGGTCAAATGAGAGAATAATTATGAAACAGTAATACAGACATTGCAATAGTTTTTTAATTAAGTCATGTTTACTGTTTTCGATGCAGCTCCATCACTCCAACCGCTCCGACGTCCATTAACTGTTTATATCGATCTCATAACGAGACTATTTTGAACCAACTTGAGGCTGTACGCTGCATATTTCTCAGCGTACAGAACCATTGTTTTAGCTGATTAACGGCAAATATTATTCATTGAAAGGAGCATTTTGATTGGTTAAAGTACCGTCTAGGGTATTCACTGCGTATTCATGACCAATCTCCATACAACATGAAGTAGCTCAATCTTCAAAATTAGCTTCAAAGATCTCCCAGCTTCTCTATGCTTCGCAGCGTTATTGTTTCCATGAATTTCGTGATATTTTGTACTTGTACAAAATGTAGAATATTGAAGGTAACGAATTCAACCAGAATCAATAGCCCCAAAACATTTTTTACTTATTACAATTATACGTCGTATTAATATTTTTTCTGAGAAATCTCAGGGTATTCACTGAATACCTTGAATACCCGGACGCTACGCCACTGGTGTACACATTTATTTTTATCGAGAACTGAGTAGATTAGAGAGTGTTTTAAAAAACGTTCATACTTTTTGTCTTTGCAATTCACCGAAGCATTTGATTGTCAAGAATTTAAAGAAGCAAAAATGTTGCTGCTAGAAAGAAACTTCAGTTCTTAGTCATATCAATACACCAATTCGACTTACGACCTCGTTTTCATATTGTTAGTGCTTGTATTTTGGATTTTACGTGAAAATGAAGTTTAAAGAAACTCTACCCCCCTAGTTGCGGTTAAAACCCCTTTGTTTATGAAAACTTCAATTTATTTAAGTAGACTAAATTTCTTGCTCTAAATCTGAATCTGAGGTCAAAAATTTTCTAAAAAAGAATTTTAAGAATTTTTTCAAAATAAGGCCTAAGTTGAATCGGTGTATTCAGAAATGGTTTGAGAATTTGGGACCGCTTTTTAACTCACTAGAGTGCATGAGCGGAAAGTAAATTAAAGCCCTGGCGCACTCCTAGCTCGATTTACACGACACAAAGAAGCTTCAACCCGTTTAACACGAAAAAAAAGGCACTTGGGTTGAAAAGGTTAAAAATGTAGGGTAACGAAGGCTTAAAAATTCGAATTAATAGGGTTTTGGGAAAATTTCTTTCTTGAAGGCATCTCGAGAAGTTCTAAAAAAATTATTTATATTTACTTATCTTTATAGGATATTTTATCGCTTTCTGACTGATCGCCTTCTGAGGTTGATGCTTTTTTCATTGATGTCAAAAACTCACTTCAGTAATTCAAGAGTTAATATATATCTCGGTTAACAGGCTAAGGTGAAGCAAGAACTACTACAATATGGAATTCAGCTCGAAGAATTTGGTGGCGATGTTCCAGCAGTAGAAATATCTGCTTTAAAGGTTTGTATTTTGTATTTTTGTATTGTCATTCCCTTTCCATTATCCACATGAACGATTTCTTTTAAGACTGCCGATCGATATTTAATTTCATTAAAAGCAAAACACAAATCAAAATATGTTTCCTTCCATGTCTTCCATGGCAAAAACTGACAGGAACATAGTGATTTTTCGCATGCAAAACATTTACGAAAAACGTTTTCTTTTTCTTTTCCTATCTACAAAAAAAGCAGAAGACAAAATAGCAAGAATACAAACAAAAGAAAATGAATGGTGCTTCTTGTTTTTCTTTTGTAAGTTTAAAATGACAGGAATAGTAACTTCTGCTATTACTGACCTGTTGTTTACAAGTTCTGTTCCGTTGTTGACTTTCAAATAGCAAAAGATTGCATACACCCGTTTGGTACATGACAAGACAAAACATATAAGGTTTTGGATGTCTGAATGTTGAAAAAAGAAGTTGTTATTCCAGCGCAGAAAGGCTCATTATCTTCAATTCCAGCTCACATTCCCATATGGGCTTTATCCAGTCTAATGGATGTCAAAAGATTCGAACAAGGTCACACTTTGTTTCACACCAATAACGGGGTAAAAAATCACCGGCCAACCACCTACCTCCATTTCGAGCTTGTCTCAGATTGGAACATGAGTTATGTAACCATATAAAACTCTAATTAGTCTCGCTTTCTCGATGGACAAATTAAAAAAATATTCTCTTCACTGTTACAAATACCAGTCACTCTCCATCTTCCTGGGCATTAGTTTCAAAACATTTCCCTGTAGCGAAGACTTGAAACATTGGTCAATAAACCAGTCTTCTTTCGATTATATTTATTGTATTCAAAATGGAAAACTAGAGTTATCGAATATTAATCTCCTATTTCTTTTGCTTTCTCGTTGAATGTAAGAGAAGGAAGATTTTCCTTGCTGCTTCCACGACTTTTGCCACTCTCTCCATCTTCCTAGACATCGGTTATAAAACAATTTACTGTAGTTGATACTCGGAACTTTTGACAATTAACCTTATTTCTTTTAATTATATTTATTGTATTTAGAATGGAAAACTGGAGTTATCGAACAATAAACTCCAATTTCTTTTTCTTTTTCGTTGAATGTAAGAGAAGGAAGATTTTCCTTGCTGCTTTAACGACTTTTGCCACTGTCTCCATCTTCCTAGACATCGGTTACAAGACAATTTACTGTAGTTGATACTCGGAACTTTTGACAATTAACCTTATTTCTTTCTTTTGATTATATTTATTGTATTTAGAATGAAAAACTGGAGTTATCGAACATTAAACTCCAATTTCTTTTGCTTTCTCGTTTAATGTAAGAAAAGGAAGATTTTCCTTGCTGCTTTAACGACTTTTGCCACTGTCTCCATCTTCCTAGACATCGGTTACAAGACAATTTACTGTAGTTGATACTCGGAACTTTTGACAATTAACCTTATTTCTTTCTTTTGATTATATTTATTGTATTTAGAATAAAAAACTGGAGTTATCGAACATTAAACTCCAATTTCTTTTGCTTTCTCGTTTAATGTAAGAAAAGGAAGATTTTCCTTGCTGCTTTAACGACTTTTGCCACTCTCTCCATCTTCCTAGACATCGGTTACAAGACAATTTACTGTAGTTGAAACTTGGAACTTTTGACAATTAACCTTATTTCTTTTGATTATATTTACAGTATTTAGAATGGAAAACTGGAGTTATCGAACATTAAACTCCAATTTCTTTTGCTTTCTCGTTTAATGTAAGAAAAGGAAGATTTTCCTTGCTGCTTTAACGACTTTTGCCACTCTCTCCATCTTCCTAGACATCGGTTACAAGACAATTTACTGTAGTTGATACTTTGAACTTTTGACAATTAACCTTATTTCTTTTGATTATATTTATAGTATTTAGAATGGAAAACTGGAGTTATCGAACATTAAACTCCAATTTCTTTCGTGTTCTCGTTGAATGTAAGAAAAGGAAGATTTTCCTTGCTGCTTTAACGACTTTTGCCACTCTCTCCATCTTCCTAGACATCGGTTACCAGACAATTTACTGTAGTTGATACTTGGAACTTTTGACAATTAACCTTATTTCTTTTGATGATATTTATTGTATTTAGAATGGAAAACTGGAGTTATCGAACATTAAACTCCAATTTCTTTTGCTTTCTCGTTTAATGTAAGAAAAGGAAGATTTTCCTTGCTGCTTTAACGACTTTTGCCACTCTCTCCATCTTCCTAGACATCGGTTACAAGACAATTTACTGTAGTTGATACTTTGAACTTTTGACAATTAACCTTATTTCTTTTGATTATATTTATAGTATTTAGAATGGAAAACTGGAGTTATCGAACATTAAACTCCAATTTCTTTCGTGTTCTCGTTGAATGTAAGAAAAGGAAGATTTTCCTTGCTGCTTTAACGACTTTTGCCACTCTCTCCATCTTCCTAGACATCGGTTACCAGACAATTTACTGTAGTTGATACTTGGAACTTTTGACAATTAGCCTTATTTCTTTTGATGATATTTATTGTATTTAGAATGGAAAACTGGAGTTATCGAACATTGAATTCTAATTTCTTTTGCTTTCTCGTTTAATGTAAGAAAAGGAAGATTTTCCTTGCTGCTTTAACGACTTTTGCCACTGTCTCCATCTTCCTAGACATCGGTTACAAGACAATTTACTGTAGTTGATACTCGGAACTTTTGACAATTAACCTTATTTCTTTCTTTTGATTATATTTATTGTATTTAGAATAAAAAACTGGAGTTATCGAACATTAAACTCCAATTTCTTTCGTGTTCTCGTTGAATGTAAGAAAAGGAAGATTTTCCTTGCTGTTTTAACGACTTTTGCCACTCTATCCATCTTCCTAGACATCGGTTACAAGACAATTTACTGTAGTTGATACTTGGAACTTTTGACAATTAACCTTATTTTTTTTGATGATATTTATTTCATTTAGAATGGAAAACTGTAGTTATCGAACATTAAACTCAAATTTCTTTCGTGTTCTCGTTGAATGTAAGAAAAGGAAGATTTTCCTTGCTGCTTCCACGACTTTTGCCACTCTCTCCATCTTCCTAGACATCGGTTACCAGACAATTTACTGTAGTTGATACTTGGAACTTTTGACAATTAACCTTATTTTTTTTGATTATATTTATTTCATTTAGAATGGAAAACTGTAGTTATCGAACATTAAACTCCAATTTCTTTCGTGTTCTCGTTGAATGTAAGAAAAGGAAGATTTTCCTTGCTGCTTCCACGACTTTTGCCACTCTCTCCATCTTCCTAGACATCGGTTATAAGACAATTTTCTGTAGTTGATACTTGGAACTTTTGACAATAAACCTTTTTCTTTCGATGATATTTTTTTATTTAGAATGAAAAACTGGAGTTATCGAACAGAAAAACTCCAATCTTTTTTACTTGCTGCTGTAATGACGTTTTTTACTCTCCATCTTCCTGAACATTAGATGACAAACAATTTAGTGAAGCGGAGACTTCGACAAGAAACCTTAAATTTTTCTTGCTTTCTCGTTGAATGTACGAGAGGGAAGGTTTTCTTTTCTGCTTTAACGAGTTTTGTCACTCTTCATCTCCATCTTTTGTCATGTTTTTTTTCCATTAAGAATGGAAATAAAGAACTGGAAGTAGTAGCCTTTACTGATTTACGTGTTTTCATTGTTGTTTATTCTCGGCGAACTCCTTGGAGTCCGTCGAGCAGCCTGCTACAGTGGCCTTTTCTTCATTCACACAGTAGAACATTTATCAGTTTTCTTTTCTTCTTTCTTAACTTAAAGTTGTAAAGACATACTATTAATCATTGAGGAAGAGGAGTCATTAATGAAATGTTTTTCTTAAAAGTCAACAGACGATGGAAGCCTGATATCAGTTTTCTTAAAGTAAAATGAGCGTCACCTACGAATTTAATTTTGTTTAAACCAACACTGCCACCCTCCCATGCATCCTCCCAACTTGTTGGGCCATCTTACTGATTATGTGATAAAAAGATGGAAAGCGGTGTTGTCATCTAACTCCAATTTGTGTCCCTGCATTTTTAAATGCTTTCACCATCTCTGTATGTATCAAAGAGAGATAAAAGATGAGTTGTTTTTGGAGTAACAGACCAAATTGCCAAAAAGGAAAGCAGTATGAGTCAATAATATTCGTTTTGTATTGATTAGTGAAATACCATGCTAGTGGTCTTGTTTGTTGAATATTTCTTTTGTGTATTTAATCTTATCATTCCAGTCATGGGCGATCATTGTAAAGGCTTTATGTCGTCTCATGGCAACATTATGCCATGGCTTTAGCAACTTCTACTGACTCTAAATTAGAGAGGTAAACAAACAAACAAACACTCAACTGTTGTCATGAAGTTTATGACAAACTGTCGCCCACCTAGATTTACAATTTTCTCAATTTGTGAAATCTACAAGCGGGCTATCGCCTACCCGATATGTTGGAAAAATAGAGTTTTTAAGGTGAAATTAAGCTCCCAGATCTTCTCCATTTTTATGGCCAGAAATTGATAGAGATGTCATGCCTATTTGAATTTTTTATCACCTTCCTTCGTAAGCTTTATGCAACCAACAGAAATCAAGGACCAGAGCTAGCCAGAGTCACCTTCAGGCCCCCAAACGAAATACTCTGCGCCAGTTAGAATCGGCCCGAGCTACGCAGAATCTGCCCAGGCCCCCCGCTAAACCGAGCTACGCAGAATCTGCCCATGTCTGAATTTTATTTCATATTCATCAGAATGCGTCATCTTTTTTCGCGGAAATTGCAGAGCTAAATTCTGCAAGGTTCTAGCTTTAATTGTCTACTACCCGTAGATGAAAGTTGAAAAGATCGACAGGAAACTGGATTTTGGCAACTGAAGAGACCTCTACTAGATGTGTTTTTCTCAGTTTCCCGTTGAAGCAAAGTTGAATGCTTTTTCACACTGCGAGGCTTTCTATCAGTTCTCTTGTCTCTTTGGAGTTCGGTGCAAAGGGTTGGGTGCACCGAGTAGAGAGACAAACAAAGACTGATAATTGTACATTGTCTTCTGTACATAGATAAAAAGACCATTGGATTAATCCACTGAATGTATTGTTTCACACTTTTTTAAATTGCTAATTTGATGTTCATTGCAAGTTCGAGAATTTCAGCTTTTGAATACATTCAGAATGAATGCTAGTTACCTATTCATCGTCATTAGATGAGCATTCTGTGCTACATAGAACAATTTCGTTGACTTTTATTATAGAAAACACTGATCTCAGAACAATCAGTCATGCCATCTCTTTATTGGTAATGGGATGTTCACTTTAACTTATTCGAAGAATTTCCGTTTTTTAACACATTCACAATGAATCCTCGTATCCAATTGATGGCTAATCAAAAGGGATTCTTCTCTAGTAAGAAAAGTAATTTCAGCCTTTATTTAGAGGCGCCCGATTGCAAGCAAAAACAATGAACGTAGCAACAGGGTTATTTTCTTTTCAAATTTGTTTGTTGTGTTCTAACCTTAAGATTATTAGCGTCAATTTGAAGAGGCATTTCAAGGATCAAATAAACACGGAATCCGGAATACGGAATCAGGAATACGGAATCCGGAATATCCCACTCGCAATGTTAGAAATAAAAAATCAGAACTTTTTATCATTTATCGTTACTTTCAAATTTCAAAGATGCTTAGGTAGAGACAACATTGAAGGGGCACAGAGGCTCAATTTTCATGTCAAAATACTTAAAAGGTAAAGCTCTAGAACCTTATCAACGTCCACTTCCCGTCTTGATACCAGGAGTCAAATGATTATAAAAAATTCTTATTTTGAAATAACTGAACCATGTTCCTGTTTGACTCGATAGGTAATTAGACACTTTAGTTCACATTTTATGAAAACATTTTGGTTATAGGAAACCATGTAAAACTTTTATTTTCACAATAATCTTGGAGGCTGGACGAGCAAAGAATTTTTTCTATACTTCAGCCGTGATTCAAAAAATTTTTTTGATATGTTCTCTTTTTCTATCATTACTTTAAAACTGAAATGTCTCTGGAAGACAGATTTAAGTTTTAAGCTTTTTACGGTTGAATGCAATTTGCAAAAAGCTACTTGCCTTCTTTTCACATAAGGAAGTCCTTGTGCCTTTTTTCAGCATTCATTTAGGCATCGAAATTGAAGATATTGACTTGTGGTTGTTAAATTTTTTGGAAGACCCCTATCTCCAAGAATGTTTTAATGGATTAGGTAAAAGTTCAAACGCCTCCTTTACTGTCCTTTCCGAGTCCAGTACTTTAGTTATCTTAGAGGGCCCTGGTGCTTTTCTGCTTTTAAAGTCTAGATACTCCTTTTACTATAGATAGGCCCAACGAGAGTGGGGAAGAGAGGCAATTGACCCTGGGCCCGTAAGCATAGAGGGATCCACTTGTAATTAAATTGCCTCTAGCCAAATCTTGTCTGTACTGGGAAGGTTTAACAATACTTTATGAACATCAGTAGCAAGCAAATAGAGAAAATTATAGGTATATAAATCCTTATTAAATGCATTTTAAATTTACTGCTTTGGTTGAAATGGACTTAGGACTGGGCCTGCCGCTGGGCCCGATGTGGCCCTCGGTGGCCCTGATTATAAACACTTTGGGTTTGTATCATATTTGGGTCGCTATGTATCATAGAGCTAGTAATCTTTGCTGGTATAGTTGGAAGTGAGGATTCTTAACTACAGTCCAGCTACCCATCTATATTTCTCGTTACCAAAAAAGAATATTTTGCAATTTATGCAATTATGTATAGTTACTAGCATTTATGTATAGGGGGTACCACTTTTTGCAGATCACTTTTCATAGTGATCCTCTATTAAGCAAGGAAAAAATTTCTCAAATTAATCGAAAGCTTTGCGCTTCGTTTTTGGTTTCGGAACGCTTCGCTCGTCCATCTCTCGTTACAAATGTAATAAGTTCAGCGGTCTAAGGACTCATTCCTAGAATCAAAAGGAAAGAACGACAAACTTCTCAGAACAGCAAGATATATATCCACGAAATAAACAGGGGTTCTCATAAAACGAACTGAACTTATTTGTTTTAGTATCTAAATACATAATTGTGCAACATAATGGTATGGTTTCTTACAGAAATGTATATACTTGTTTAAAAAACCTTTTAAAATCGACAGAAATAGCTTTTTCTTATTTCGTAAAATATTTTCTTGCAGGATGTGAATCTCGATTTATTAGAAGAGATGATCATAGCTCAAGCGGAAATATCTGAATTGAGAGCTAAAAGTTCAGGATTTGCGCAAGGTGTTGTTCTCGAAGCACAAACCCATCGACAGAAAGGGTAAGGCTGTCCCTTTATCACCTCAATTCATTTCCACCTCGCATTTCGTACGTGATGGACAGCATGCATATATATTTATGTTACTGACATGAATTCAGCTTTTCTGTGACTCGACTAGTTTAGACCAAGCTTCTTGTACATTGAATCGTTTTCTTCGTGCTACTTCTCTCCGAAGCATACAAAGGGCACTTGCAATTGTAGCCTTGCCAGTGGCCCTACGGTAGGGTACATAGATTAGCCTCGGAAAAGACAATAATTTTCTTAAAACCCCCAGTGAATGATAGTAAAATTAGCCTTGGTTAAGACAAGAATTCTGTCGAAGCCCCCAATGAATTATAGGAAAAATAGCCTTGGTAAAGTCCGGATTTAAAGAAGTTATTGTCTCAATACGTGCGATGGTTGTAGGAGCAGTTTTCTACGAAGGTTTATAGGCAATTTTTGAAAAAAAAGAAATGCATATATAAAGTATAGGTTTCGGGTTTCATCTTTGATGGGCTGAAAGATTTAAATTCTCCATACCTCACCGACTGTAGAAAATAGCGTTTTGTTTTGTTACCGGTAACGTAAGATCACGTGATTAGTTAGCTAGGGAAGAAGGGTTTTGAGAGTTATAAGCGTTTGAGGAGGAAAAATTCTAGTTAAGCTTCAGCCATCGTTTAAAATCGTTATAGTTTGGAAACGGGATCTGCAACATAGGCAGATTACCCAGATTGTGTTTGAGATTGTAGCCTTTCAATCCGTTTAATTGCACGAACATCTTGAACTTAATAATTGGCGAGTCAGAGTGACTTAGGCCAGCATTTTCTCCTCACCGACCAATCAGATTTCAAAAAATTGACAACATGCCTCGCAGCTGATGTAAGGCATATTTTATTCAGATATATCCCGTTAACTTTAATTGTTTTGTTATGCTAAAAATGCTTTCTACACATTTTCTTTGAATGAGACTATAACAATCTCTTCCTGACAATTAGAAACCTTTTTAAATAGCGTATATTCCAGTTGTCTGAAGAGAAGCGATAGTACTTGCCGAGAAGTGAGATCGTCTTTAGAACCAATATAGCAAGCGCCAGAGCGCAAAACTATTTATACGATTATTGTGACTTTATGAGACAATAAGGGCTGCGTTTTCTCACAGCGGAATGTTGCGATTTTTTTCGCCAGGGACACAACTATCAATGCCGCATTTAAAGATCTTAACATTTATTTTTAACTATATTTTTGTATTTTCTAATTATTTAGATGAAATAAAAATACAATGGATTGACAATTTGTATATCTAAATTTTTGGCGTAGGATTGACATACCTCGTCCTTTATGTGGACAGCCAACTTCAAGATTTTTATCTTTGTATCTGCGGAAAACCAAAAATACAAATACCATTACATATGTGGGAAGATATAGCATCTATGCCTATAGGCTAGAAAAACTGAATCGTTTACTGACTTTCCTAAGCCTATCTGCTGTTTTTTCTCAGAATGATAGCATCAGTTTTGGTGCAGAACGGAAAGCTCCTTCGTGGGGACAGTATTGTTGCTGGAAATGCGTTTGCAAAGGTATGAGAAGAGTTTATGGTTTTACTTCATGTTTATGACTATCCAGTAAACTATATACGAAGGTAGGAAGTTTAAGAAATTCATTTTTGCATACACTGTATTATGATCTTATTTTTTAGTGATCTTTCCCCTGTTCTCGCGCAAAATATTGCTACCTAGAGGTCAGTGAGTCATCAGAGCCATTTGTCATGGCCGAGGCATGTTGCATACGCATGATATTCCTACTAGCATTGTGCCGGACAATATGCGTCTAGCTGGTGTGTTAAAATTTCTTCAAGGGAAGTCTCCTTTGTGGAGTATTGTCTGATTGGCTACTGTCTTGGTTACGTCTGGTTGTCAAAGGCGACGATTTCGGTGTTGTTGTGGTTGCCCAGAGAGACAGCTAACCACGCACCTCCAGTGCCTGCCAAAAGTCTTGGTACACTAACGTCAGTTTTCAAGGATAAATTCAGCCATCCCTCTCCCCTCTTTCAACAATGTTAGTTTACTACAAAACGACGTAGGGAATTAGGTAGTACGTTTGTTCCTGCGATTTTTATGATATTTTTCTAAATTATCAACATTGCTTTGGGGGAAGGGGGTAGGGAAGTAGGAGTATCCGGGAAAAGAATTGAAAAATATAAAAACATACCCCTCCCCCCCAACGCATATTGCTGGGTGCTCGAAGTAATTTTCACAATGATTATAGCTGACCATGCAGCCTCCTGATTTAGAAATTGGAATCAGCGTCATATTCTTTCTTAGACATAATCCACCACCTTGCAACTTGTGGTGATCAGGATGAGTTTCAAATGCACCTTTATTGCATTCAAATTTTTGATTCAAACAGGCGTCTTATATCAAGGTCTTATTCTGTGCTTTCCACTTGCAAAAATGTGAATGCAAAGCACATCTCCAAAACTCACAATTGTAAAGGATTTTGTATATGTACTAATTATCAACAAATTGCTGTTTGCATGATTGACATATTGCGAAATAGGTACATGAATACGTGGTTTGAATAGAAGATCGAATAAAAAGGACACAAATCCTCAAAAATTCTGTTGATGCTGCTATCTCCCGGTAATTTGATTGGTTGTCTTGTTAAGAAACACAAAGGCTTGATTACCAATCAGGTGATTAGGGTTCAGTCACTATGAATTATTGTCTTGCCCAGTTGGGCTTACCAAAATTTCTAGTCTGATACGATCTGTTAGAATCGTGTAGTCATAGGAACTAACACAGAAGAGATGTTATCGAAAAGACTTTTTCTTTCTAAGGATATTAAAATTCCTAGAAATTACCTGTCGAAACTGCTAAGGGGTTTAAGGCTTCTAGGAATTCTACAATTACCCTGCCTATATAATCGCAGACCAGATCTACGAGCACAGGGAGCTCCAAACGAACCCCATCATTGAAGAAACCCATTACAATTAATTCTATGACGAAACCCATTACGAAACCCATTAATATCTTCTATTTATTTTAACAACTCCTTGGTCTCCGAAATATATTTCGGTTGAAATATGTAGTCTTATGTTTCATTGTTTGATTTTCCGAGGTACGTCAATTGCTTAGTGACAACGGAAAGCCTCTAACTGAAGCAACTCCTTCCACTCCTGTGCAAATATTAGGATGGAGAAAGCTACCTACGCTAGGTGATCAGTTCATGGCGGTCGAATCTGAGGTTGGTTTCTAAACTTGTGCGATCAGTTGTGCATTTTTTAATTTTGCCCCTTTCTTTATGATGCCAATCGTTCGAGATCCATATAGGCAATTTAGTGGATCAAAAAATGGCCATAGCTGTGTAACAAGGTGATATGCCTTGGGCATAGACACCAGGTTCAGGCGAAATCATAATCGAGAGGCCCAGGGAGGCCCTGTTATAAAAAAACATGAACTCTCTTTTCAAAATAGTTGTTACGAAGTGGTGCAGCGTCAGGCGTTGATAATAATTTGTAGACTTGAAACTTATTACCGTAGCAAATCTAATGAACGATCACTTTTTAGTGCTCGGTCCTAATAGTGCTCGATATGCAGACCAATACACATTTTGGAGTGTAGAAAAGGGCCATTCTGAGATAAGACTTCGAATTTCAGGATGGATGTAATCATTAGCAACTGTTTTGTAGACAATCTGAAACTATATTTAATCGCCAAGATTACTTTTTAGTAGCTACACTTTCCTCTTATCAGTCTATAACGACCCATTGATAAAGCGATAGTAGATTGGATCAAGACAAAATAAGATGAATAAAGCATGATATTTATCTTGGTAGGGTCTCTGTCAATGCCGACTTCCTTGAAACCTTGAAAGTTGGTACCTTGTAAATAATTTGTACCTTTCAAACTTGACGCCAATCATGTTTCAGGATATTGCAAAAAAGATTATCAAGCTTAATGAAATTAAGGAAAGACGGCAAAAGGAAGTTGAATTTCGGTTGCAAGATGAAAATTTGCATACTCTGGGAAAAATCAAGGCGAAGGTGGAATCTGGGAGTCGGAAGATACCAATGAGAGTAAAGCTAAGACGCGAGGCTGCATCTCAAAGCTATTCAAACTCTGAAAATGATAAGCCTATCCTGAGCTTGGTAATTAAAGGTTGGTTGATTTTCATTCATTTTTCATAGAGTTATCCAGTTTAGAAGTAAGATCCATTGCCGATCGCTGATCAAAAGATTTTCACAAATCTCTAATCAAAGAAGGCGTTTTTTCTTCATCTTTGTATTTGCCAAAAATGGATCATAGAATTGGAGTTGCAAAGTCCAGTCAACTCTTTAGAAGTATCTAAATATTCATATCGTAGTAACTGGAGACCGAGCTATCCAAAGACATGAATTATTCAGTGCAAGCTACTTTTAATATGAAGAAGTCTCAGGTACAATTTTGACAAATGTCTGTAGTTAGCGAGATGGAAATTGATGACGTCAGCTCGAAAATGAGAATTTCCAAAGATTTGTGTCATATACCCAAGTCACTTTTATCGCTTTTTTGTAGCCAAGCTTTTACCGAACATAATCATTTTCTACATGTATTTTGTTTTTAAATACAGTAAATGACAAAAGGATTTGCAGTCTTTCCTCCTCTCTTTTGCCTCGAGGGGTGTATCACTCTTCTCAAACAGCGTACAAGATTTTTTAAACGATAGGATTTTTAGGGATTTTAGGCTGATTTTCTCCAAAGAAAGGATTTTTGCCAAAGGCATACGAGATTTTCTCGGAGTGACATGCCCCTCGTATTACTCACAATCATCCATGTTATTTACTGGCGCGAAAAATCATAGCGAGTGCTTTTTGATCGTGTGAGCAATTCATAATCAGATAAAATGACGAAATCTCAAAGGAACATCGGGTCTTTTAGAAACATTCAAGTGATTGAAAATTGATTCAATTTTTTAATTGGGACGTTATTAAAAAACATAGACTGTAAGAAAACCTTGAAATTTATCTAATTATATATAGCCGTTTACGTACGTTCAACATTGAATGAAATAAATTCAATGAATAATTTAAGTCTGCTAACAATTAACTGTCATTGTAATTTGGTTTTATAAAGCTATGAAAAGACAGCAAGTGAAAACATAAAAGTTGTGTGGTAAACTTACATGACGGAAAAAATATGTAACCTAAAATAATATGTAACCTAAGCATCTGCGAGCGTCATGCTGTTTATAATTTGAGAAATAATTATGAATTTATGGTACCAAGGGTAAGAACAACCATTTATGGAACCGAAACTATCAAATATAGAGGGCAGCGCCTTTGGCTCTGTTTACCTCAGCACATAAGGAATGCTCTCAATGAGTTTAAGAAAGAAATTAAAAGCTGGAATGGCACCGACTGTACATGCAAAATATGTAGGACGTTTGTGCCACAGCTTGGTTTTTTGTAATTCTCTCATTTTAAATAGCTTGGCTTTTTATAGTACTACCCTCTAAATTCTGTTTTTAATAGATTATTATGTACATAAATTTTATGTATTTAATCTCGTATGTATTTATTTGATGTAGTAGTTTTAACAGTTGGCTTGGATTAGTTCATTTCACTGTAAATAGCTATGTAGCGCGAACTTTAAATAAATTGATTATTATTATTATTATTTTATTATTATTATAAAGCGTCGATATTGATAAATTTGATGACAATATATGCATTTCATTGACAAGAAACATGTTGATGTTGACCCGACCGTATTTAAAATTTAGCCTGAATATCAATTTTAAGAGCCTTTTAAGAGCCACCTAATGCAACCACGTCTGCAGTCACGTTCCCTCCCCCAGTTCTCAGCAGGATCGATTTTCTATTTCATCTAAATCCGATGAAAAAAGTTGAGCAAGGATAATATTATGTCAAAGTATTCTTCGTGATGTGATTTTTTAAAACTGCCTTTATGTAACCAAATGTTATTCGTGGGCATTCTTTAGTTTTGTCTTGAAATTTATTGTAAATGGGCCATAATAGATTACCCAGCTTACTTGAAGGGGGAACTCTACTACCTGCCCCCTTCACTTTTGGTCCAGCTCCAGCCAATATGTTTTTTAAAAGTTGAAATTTTTCCAAAAAACAGTCACGAATGATGTACTTTGGGTTTTAAAGACTTATTGCTAACAATGAGCCTTTGCGAGCGTGGTGACGATCCAAACAATGGAAGTAAACTTCTACGGATTAACCAAAATTGTTTTCAGACTGGCTAAAAATGCATTATGGGATGCTTGCGTAGCGCAATGGCTCATTGTTAGCAATGAGTCTTGAACTCGGATCATTTTGTTTTCCAAGAACTTCTTTGTTTTCAGTCTAAAACTGCTGGTATTTTTTCGTTGCTGGTTTTTGTTGTCTTCATTCCTGCTAACGATGTTAAACTTATTGAAAAAGTCCGACAATATTATTTTTTGTTTATTTCTAAATGCCTGGCAATATTGTTATATGTTTATTTGTGAAAGCCTGGCAATATTGTTTTGTGTTCGGAAGGGCTCCCAGCGGTACAGGACTGGGGTGGGTGGGGGCGTGCCCCAACTTTTTGCACAGCGAAAAAGGTTTTAATGCAATCTTTAATTCCCTCCCTCCATTTTCCAACTTGCGTCAGTCAGAGTTTGCAGATTTCTTTGCAAGTTTGTTATATTTCGTGAATGGGAAATGCTTGTTTAGAATTGGGTGAGTCATCTTGTTTTGATGCGGAACTCTGCTTGATTTAGAGCGAGGTTATGCGCATTCCAGTGATGTGGGCATATTCAATACACCACAAAGGCAATTTTTTAAACTTATTTGCAAAGGGCGCTGGACAATAAGCATTAAAGCATTTGTGGTATATGGCCTTTGCAAAAGAGCCCTTGAGACCATGTCGCTTACGTCATGAACGGTGAAGGAGGAAAATTTATGCTTTTCACGAGGACAAATATCAATCCTGCTAAAAAAATTTATCATCGGATGTACCCTCATTTATAGTTGGATGAACTTTTTTGGTTTTGCCCGTTCTTCTGTAGATGTCTATTAGCATCTTGTTTATACCTGCTTTTCCAATGTATTAAACTTCTTCTTAAGTACGTATTCGACTTTTTATGTATTCGCTATGTATTACGTATTCGACGTATTCGCTATAAATTTTAATCATTATTGTTATTGTTATTATTATTATTATTATTATTATTATTATTATTATTATTATTATTATTACTATTATTATTATTATTATTATTATGCTGATGTACACAGTTCTGATGTTATAACTGGCTTGTTCTTGATGTTTCTTGAAATCGGATCAATACCCATGATCTTAGATCTCGAGAACTTTTCTCAACACTCTTGCAGTTCCTAAAAGTACAGATTTTTGCATTAGTTTCATCTGCGTCTTGACTCCAATTTCCTTGATGTAGTTGCTCAAATTTCGTGTTACTGTTCCAAGTGCTCCCAAGACAATAGGAATAACTTTTGCTTTCACTTTCCATAATCTTTCTACTTCTCTCTTTAATTCGTCATACTTTTCGATTTTCTCCATCTCTTTTTCAGCTATTCTCACATCTCCCGGGACTGCAACATCAATGATGTAACACTTCCTTTCTTTCTTATTGACAACCACTATGTCAGGTCTCCTTGCCTGGATTACATTGTCTGTTTGAATATTGACATCCCAGAGAATCTTTACATTTGTTGTTCTACCACTATCTGGTTGATGTTCGTACCATTTATTTCCACAATCTATGTCATATAGGCGACAGACATCCCAATGGAGGGCTTTCGCTACACAGTCATGTCTACGTTTATACTCTCTCTGTGCCAGTTTTGGGCATTCACTGACAATGTGGCTTACTGTTTCCTCTTTCTGATTACACATTCTACATTTCGAGTCCCTCTGCGTCTTATCGATGTTTGCTTTAATTGCATTTGTTCGCAATGACTGGGTCCGAGGAATTTTCCAAGGAGACAGTTTATCACCATTAATGTTTGTGATTGCTATGATACCACTAACGTTAGTACTGCGTAAAATGAAAACGTCCTATAAATTCAGTTCAAATGGAGAGCAGATAAATCATTTAATGTTCATGGATGACATCAAACTTTATGCGAAGAATGAAAGTGGACTAGATGCATTGATACAGTCTGTCAGAGTTGTTAGTAATGATATAGGTATGGAATTTGGAGTAGAAAAATGTGGAGTGTTGGGTATGAAGCGAGGGAAAGTAGTCGAGTCTAATGGCATTGACTTACCAAATAAGGAAACCATTAGGTCTATACACGAGGAAAATGGTTATAAATACCTTGGAGTTATGGAAGCTGATCAAGTATTAGATGAAAAGATGAAAGAAAGTCTAAAGAAAGAATATAAGAGAAGAGTGAAAAAGATACTGAAATCTAAGCTTAATAGAGGCAATATGATAACTGCCATAAAGACTTGAGCTGTTTCAATGATGAGATACACGGCACCTTTCGTTGACTGGAGAAAGGATGAGCTGAAAGAAATAGATCGGGATACTCGTAAAATGATGAATATGTACAGATCACTGCATCCCAGAGATAGTGTAGCAAGACTCTACTTACCCCGTAAAGAAGGAGGACGAGGACTTGTAGAAATTGAGGATTGTGTTCAGCTCGCAATTTTGGGGCTTGAAAACTATGTTCAGGATAGCAAAGAGAGGATATTGTCATCAGTGAGATGCGAGGCAGGAGAAAGAGTGTCAGAGAAAGATTTCAAGAAGCGAAGAAGAGAAGAGAGGCGATCACAGCTAGAAGAAAAGGCGTTGCATGGACAGTTTTTCAGGCAGACAAGAGAAATAAATGACCCAGAGTCATGGGGATGTTCGGGGATGTAGTTGCTCAAATTTTACTGCGACCAATGATTTAATTTCCTCCTTCAAGTCCTGCAGCCATTCTGCGTTTTCATTGTGCCGTGTTGGTTTGCTCCATATATACTTCCAAAATTCCATAGTTTCTTCCTTTTCAGGTCGTACTTCATTTCTCTCTCCGCCATTCAATTCATCATAGAACCGACTTTGGTTTTCCCGAAACAGTCCATTCTGTCTAAATTGATCTATTCTAGCTTGATATCTTGTAATTTTTCCTGATTTAGCTGTAATCCTTTGTTTTAGTTCTTCACTTACTGTTATGAGACCTTTTTCTTTTAACCAATACTTTCTCTGTAGCTGTTCTTGAAATCTTGTCTTAATTGTCTTCCCTTTTCTTAACTCTTCAACTCGGCTTAGATCTTTCCTCAAGTATTTTACTTGCTTCTGCAACCTTCTTTTCCACATAGGTTCTCCTTGCCTCTTCTTTCTAGTGATCTTTACACCTAATCTCTCAGTTGTAACAACTGATGCTGCATATAACAAATCATTGGTCGCAGTGATATTTTCGCTTCTTATTTTACCCAGCAAGTTATTCATCTTTTCAACTTCTATTTTGACAGAACTTTTATTTAGACCTCTCAGAGCAGGTAGCTTTGTCCTTTCAGGTTGGTGTAGTACTTCAAAAAGCCTCTCAGCAATCGCTACTTCCTCGTCTGAAAATTCCTCATCGTCAAAATTTCTAGCATCATTTTCAGCTGCTCCTGTCTCATTATTCTGCTGTACATTATCATCATATTCTATTTGTATTTCTTCGCGTCTGTTGTTAGCATCGCTTTCCACACTTTCACCCTGGCTTTCATCGTCACCTCTGTTGCCTTCAATTGTTTTCTGTCTCTTGATCTCCTCCATCTCTAACTCTGTTATCCAACCCTTCAGTCTTATTTGCCTAACTTGGTCTAGCAGTCTTTGCTCTGATACCTGAGCAAGATTTCTACTTCTCCAGATATTTACCATACGTTTCCGGTAACCCCTCTTATTTGGCTCGCTCGCGACATAGCACTCCATCACTGTTCTGTTATCTTCTCTTGTCCACTGATTTCTAGTTCTACTCCCCACAGTTGATTCCGCAGTAGCATGATATCGACCGAGGCTGGCCTGCGTAGCACCACCACCCCTGCCGGACGCGACAGCTTCACCTGTGGATCCACTCCCGTTGACGTCGTTCTCTATGTTATTTTCAGAATTAATCATCATTTTCTTTTGAAGATGAGGTTGTGGTTTTGCATCACCAACAAAGCAGTATTTTTATCGTGACACCATCACTAGGGGGGTCACCGACCAGGGCTGAAGAGTCCCCCCTACCCATGAGACAGACTAGCCCCCGCCGGACGCCAACCCGGTATTTCACGGCCTCGGGGAGAGCTAACAGGTAATATACCTTGCTCAAGGGTGACCTGGAGGTAGTAGTGGCAAAGGGTAACCTCATTCTCCCACGTCAAAACTCCACTACCGGATGTAGTTTTTTGTCATACCCAGGACATTATTATTATTATTATTATTATTATTGTTATTATTATTATTATTATTATTATTATTATTATCATTATGGCTAAATAAGTGATTCACAGACACCTGGATGTTAATTGGTCCGGATAATATAGGAGGGAGCAGTCAGCAACAAGCTGACAAAGGTCCCACTCTGTTATCTCAAGTTAATTACATAGACAATGTCTGTAGCAGTGTTGCAAATTACCTGGTAATAGGAGATTTGTGATTTGTAATTGTAGCTTAAGTTGAATTGAAAATGAAATGTTTCCATTATTATTATTTTTATAAATAAGGCTTGTAGGCGAAAATAGTCCATCGTTCCAGTTTCAGTCGCGTATGATTTTTGTTATGCGCCATTATTCTTGAAGATAAAAACAGACTAGGTATCAAACCTAATTCTGATAATAATATAAAATTTTGGCATCTGGCTAGTATAAAACGTTTTACCAAATCGCTATCGCCAGTTGTATTATTCAATTTTTTATGTTTATATATTTTGTGATGCTCATAAATTTTTAGGTAATACAACTAATGCTCATACGTCTTTTTAGCTGACTATGGAGGGTCATTGGAGGCAATTTTGGATATATTGAAAGCATTCAAATCAGAAATGATTGATCTGGAAGTCGTGAGTTCTGGTTTTGGACAGATTACCGAAGGAGACATAAACCTAGCTGATGCTGTCAAAGGTAAGAAAGTGTCATTCACTGTGATGGAGTTAGGCAACATTGCAGGGGTCGACGTGTAATGAAGAGTAAGGTTACAATACGTTTAATCACAATCTTTGCTTACAAAGCAAAGGAAAGATTTGAACGCTGAGAGACATTAGCCTTCTTCATACCGCGTGATCTGGGAGCTAGTCTACCTGCTTGCAAGATGGCAGGTAGAAAATGAAAATCAACAGAACATCTGGAACAGTTATTTGAGCGATTTAAAGCAACTTAATTGACATTGTTCAGGGTTTATCCTTATTTTGTATTTTAGTTAATATTGATAAAACTTCATCTTTGAACCATCAGCATTACGAATTAAACAGTTTTTAAGGCATAGAGTCGAACAACAGACCTATCGTTTACTGCTAGACCAAGCCGCGAACGGCGAATTTTTACTTCTTTTCGTGGTTTTGTGCTAAAAGGAAACTGGATTGTAATCAAAGTATGAAGAATTGTGATTTTCCCTGCTGTTTATTCTTGATGCATGAAAATTTGATGTTCATAGGAAACCCGTGACCATTCTTGTTTTTAAAGAGATAAACTATAATTCTGTTTGCCGATTATTCCGACAGTGTGCCCACCATCTTGAAATTATTATCCTTAGAAAAAGTGGAAGGACGAGAAAAGAAATTTTGTCCCTCTTTGCTTTTCTATTTTATTTGGTCCTTTCCTCTTTTAGTTTTTCAAAACTCCTGAAATTTCTCTAATACTTGTGTTACCAGCTAGCTTTGTAACTGTTTTGAGGAGGTCTTTCTTGCTTCTCATGGAGTGTCATTTCCACTGAAGATTGTAATCTATATGCAACTAGAAATACCCCTCTTTTGTTTGTACCATAAGTGTTCAATTGCTCATCAAGTATTTTTTGTTAGGTATAGTTTATGGATTCAACGTTACTGCCAGTAAAGAGGTAGAGCAGCTTTCTAATCGAGTTGGCATTCCTATCAAGAAGCACAATGTTATTTATAAGCTTGTTGACGACATAAAGGTAAGCTATATCTAGGCCCCTTGTTGTAGAAATCATTCGGTTTGCTTAACATGAATATCTTTCTTGCCAAACTTTCTACTCTTCGGATCGGATCAGATCGATAAAGTCACAGAAATGACTTTTTAGAATTTTCAAATTTGAACCTGAGCATCATGAAATATCTCTCAGATGTGCAAAATCAGTAGAATTTAATGCAAATTGGCTGAGATGCGGCCAAATGGGTACAGACTATTTCCTAATGGCATTACAGTAATTTAGTCTTTGCTTTAAACTTTTCGAACCAAACCAAAATAGCAGTTATCCATTGGCAAACTTCAAACCTTTAAATGGCCGTATCTAACCAACGTTTTAACACGTTTACTGAATTTGCACTGTTTGTAATCAACAATAATACGTTTTCTCAAAAAAAAATTTGTTTAACAAGTAGCCTAATTCTTTTTTGTTCTTTGTCACAATCTTTTTGTTTTAGTGTTTCTCGTTAAGAATTATATGTACTGTTATGTTTTCTTTAGGAAGAAATTTCTTCGAAGCTTCCAGAACAAACGGTAGAGCACATATTAGGCGAGGCAAACGTATTACAAGTGTTTGTTTTGACTGGCCAGAAGAAGGCTGCAGTTGCAGGTTGCCGTGTTAAAAAAGGAAGTTTGACTGTGGAAAAAGATGTCGTATGGAGGGTTATTCGTGATGAAGTGGTCTTGCATGAAGGTAAAATAAAATCAGGAAATATTACTTCGTTTTTGTTCTTCTCCATCCACTTTCTCTTTTTTAATGTAAATTGTCTTTTTTAATGAAGGAATGTTCAACTTCGTGATTTCGAGATAAAAATTATCTTGGTGATATTAATGGCCAACTCGAAATTAGGCCCAAAGAGGTGAGCATTCGTGGTAAAGGTGTTTGAATAGTGGCAAAGCCCAATTTATATTTGAAAAAGAGAATTGGGTCATCGATGACAGAAATATACTATCACAGTTTGCCAAACAGTGACGAAACGAGGAGTAGATATAGATAAATAGCCTTTTGAAGAAAGACAAATGAAGGACTGTTTCAAGGTTGATATTTCCATTCATAGCCAGAATATCCGTAATTAGCTAGTAAGGTGGTTTGAACTTTTGTTTAGGCCCATCGTTTGTTTTGTAAATGAATCAGAACTGCAGTGCATCAGCATCTGATTTACTTCAAAAATAAATCAAAACTGGACGGTGCGAAGTTATATGTAGCAATTTTTGCAAAGGTGAACGAGAGTCTGTCTGTTTTTCTAACTACGCTAATGCCCTTGCATTTCCCGATAAATTTATTTCTCACCCGAGCAAACGAAACTTTTCGCAAGCTCAAATGAAGCAAAATCTTCATTTTCTTGGATTGTCTGTTACATTTTTGTCTGTTATGTCCCATTCTTTTTGGGATTTTGCTTTTGTTAAAGAATATTTTGTTAAGACTATCACTATTGTTCTTGATTTCTAGGTCCTCTTGTATCCTTGAAGTACGGGAAGCAAGATATAGCACTGGCAAAGAAAGAAACTGAATGCGGTGTTGTACTGCGAAATTTCACTGACTTTGAAGCTGATGATAAAATTCAATGTATAAAGATAAGTTACGTTAAGCAGCAACTTGATTTTAATAATTTGCAGGATTAGTTATAGTAATTTGGAAGATAATTTTCGTTCAAGGCCTCTTCGTCTGATCATAGTCTGATGCTTGTTTTGTCATTTTACCAGTAAGTGCAATTTCGATAAAATAGCACAACCATTCCTTCACCAATACTGTGCCAAATAGCCCTGGAGAAAGTCGACAAGATTAAACGTGAAACAGATGGCCTACTTTTTGCCCAGTGTCCAGCTAAAGCAAGCAACTCTGCGGGCGTTTTCAGAAACATGTGATTTTTCATGTCATCGTCCCAGCCATTAGAGTCGTTCTGTTTATCTACCCTGCTGCGGAGTTAGCTTTTCAAGTTAGCAGTTTTGCATCGCAAGAATACTGACCAATCGCAAACCGTTATTTTGATGTCACTTGACATGTTGGGTATACGCAGTCCTTTTATATGGACACATTACCTTTAAAGAGTCACTGCTAACAATGAGCCATTGCGCTACGTAAGCATCCCATAATGCATTTTCAGACTGTCTAAAATCAATTACTGCCATTGTTTGGACCATCGCCACGCTCGCAAAGGCCCATTGTTAGCAATGAGTCTTTAAGGCAGTAGACAAATCCTAAAGTGGCTTAAGCCAACCACCAATCAACAGCAAGCCAAATAAAAGATCGTTGTCATCATAAAAGTCAATTTTTTAGTTATAAAATATGTTTATCGTTGACATTTGACATCCGCTACTTGATATTCGACATTTGAGTGGTTCTTTTTTCAATTATGTGAGCAACAATTCACAGCAGATTAACAGCACCAGCAACAATAGACATGGTACTGTAAAAATCAATAATGTACAATCAGAGTAACAAATCAAATTATGGAGTTTCGATTCAGTTTACAGAAGAATTTGTAATTTTTCCTAAATGTTTTTCTTGCAAATTTGGCAACATTTACTGCTAAGTTGTCGTGTTTACTTTTTCTCATCTAAGAATCAAATTTATTATTAGATGGATATGGGGTAAAATAATCAGGCGGATGCTGTTTATTGAATCTTTCATTCAAGTGGGGTTGCATTATTGCATGATGCTCATTTCCAGTTTCACGATACTCATAAGAAATCAATAGAGGTGGTACTCGCTAAAAGTTCAGATAACCTAAAAACGTACATGAGATAAGATGAAATAGATCGCAACAAGGAGCTCTTTTCATTATTTTAATATATCAATTAAACAGAAAATAGGTGCCTAATTATTAATCATTTAGGCCCAATCTTTAAAAATTTTTTTCGAGCAGTTTCATATTAAAACATAATTGTGACAAAAAGCATAGAACTTGCGCAAGCGCATTCAACGGAACAAAGCATTCAACGGGCCTAATCTCCAACGGGCTTAATCCCCAATCTCCAATGAGAAAAAGTATTGCGAAATTTCGCTGCAAAATACTTCACGCGACAAATGCCTTTGAATGCTTTTGTTGACCTCACGACATTGGAATGTAAAGTTTCGAAGCGTGACAAAGAAATACGGAATATGATTGGCTGTTGAAGGATTTCGCCAGCGAAAAGCGAAAAAAGTTAAACTCATTTTAACTTTTTTTCGCAGAGAAATTCTTCGCGAGAAATCCCAGCAAAAGATCACTGCGCTTGCCTAAGACGTATTTCGCGCGAACTTTTTCGCATCTCGCTGATTTTTTTCTCACTGGAGATTGGGTTTTACGCCGGAGCTTGTTGAAGCTCAGTACTCGTTGAGAGTGATCAGAACTATGATTTCTTAATTGTTTGGTCATCTCGGGGCTCAGAATCGTTTAGACGGTTTCTTATGAAGTAATGAGGGCACAATCTAAACACATAACAACTTTTCAACTAGAAATGCAACATAGGCCCTGTCAGTAGAGGCGCCGACAAGCGATGGTGGCCGGCGAGTCCTCTTCCCCTCGTTCCTCTAAACGGTTGACTTATAATTAATTTATTCGAAAGAAATCAAAGAATAGAATACCCCAGCATAAAAAATCTTTGTTTGAAATACTAGAAATGCTAACTCCATGGATACTATTCTAGTCAGCTGAAATCTATTATATTGATTTCAAAAGACTTGGTACGCTTGTGATTTTGCGGTAATGTTCTCGAGAACCATAATTGAGCAGTTGCATTGCGTTACTGGCACATCACAAAATTGGAAACATGAACATTGTGATATGATTATTCTGTATCAGTTTTGTCCTTATTCTACGTAGCTTCGTCAATGCAAAGCAAAGGAAGGTATTACAAAGTAAGTTCTTTATCGAAAAGTTTGATTACTGATCTTCAGATATAACGCTCAATCTAAGGCTCAATCTTTTCTTGTACTGCTTCTACTGATAGAAAAGGACAAGAAATATAATATTCTAGCGCCTAGAATAGAAGCGCTTTTATGTTCTTTTTCTAAATTTTGCTTTCAATTTGTAGGTTTTACTCTTCTTGATTACTGAGTAAAGCAGTTGTTAAATATTCATTCTCGAAATCCGTTTTTCCTAACGCATAACTGCAAGAATGTGGCACCCACTGAATGCCCCACCTAAGTTCGTAACTTCCATTCTGACGGGAGTGATTGTAATGACTAGTTGATAACTTGGAATCCAATGAAAGATATAATTCAGCGCTTCGACTTTTCGATTTTTGAAATAAGAATTCTAGAGTTTTTGATAGGCGTCAAAGATCTGCGTTTTTTCTTGACTACGGTAACTAGATTTGTTCACTAAACTAGTCGACCTGAGCAGCAAAACCTCAAAAAAGTGTGCAAGTTTAAGCTATCAAAAGTAGCATTAGGGCATCATTAAATACTCTTTAACAGCTTCAGGAAAATTTATTTTCGCTCCTGTTTGTTCATCCCATTTGGCATTTGTCTATTATACTGACCCTGCGCAAATCAAACCTTGACGTTCAAATGATTGGCTTTAGAATAATATGGCAATGTTGATGATTTTTTTTTTTAATCCTAGTATGTAACGGCTACCCAGTATTGGTAAACTTAATAGACAACACTTAGATCCTTTCATCCTTATTGGTACATAACGAATCGTTTCTCCGTTCTACACATAATGCAAGCCATTTCTTCCTGGCTTCTAAGAATCCATAATGATGTTTGCAATGCTTTCTTGAAGTCTGTAATTTTGGATGATATTTTATACATGATATGCGAATAGATTTAGCTTTGGAACGGACAGCTCACCGTCATCCAATACTGAATGTTGCATCTCAGGATTCCTTCGAGAATGCATCAGCTGAGTTGGCATTTGGATCTGGTGTCCAAGCAATATATTTGTTAAGCCAATAATTCAGTGTAGGCGCGAAATGGTCTATCTCATGTTGGAGTTTAAAACATCGCTCAAATTTCTTGAGACTTGTTGGATTCGTTTTTTATTCCGTATTTCTATTAAATTACACTGGACATAGGATTAGCCGTTTAATTGCAATTTTCAGGAAAGTTTATTGCAGTCAAGTTGCAGACTTGGAACCCCTCCCCATGTCATTGATTTATGCAAATATGTCGGTATGGCTTACTCAGAGGTGGAAAATTTTTTTTTCTTTCTGGGAACCTAAGAATCTGGCTCAAAACTTTCTGCAAGATTTATGGGGTAGACAAATAAACTTTCTGTTTGTGCCTATATCTCTATACTTAGTTGGTGTATCATCTGCTTATTTGACTTAACATATGTCACAAGATTTTTATATTTTCTTTTCTTATATTTACTTACAAAAATTTTCTGTGAAACTTTCTGCTAACATTTTCATCTAGAAAAATTTCTGGGAACTACGTTCCCAGGTTCCGATACTTTTTCCACCTCTGGGCTTACTATTACTAACTACGCATAGAGAGAAAAGCAAAATAAACTTTTCTTGAACGAACGGCCCAAAAACTTAAGCACTGGCCAGAGCAGTTGTTAGTTATTATGCTCAATGGGTTCTCAGGTACAATTTGACGACAACATGGGTAAGCCATCCTTTCTTTGGCGACAGGTCGGACAATTTGGCGCAAGGAAAGAAGTTATGGTTATGCAACGGGAAGCTGTTCATAATCCGCTGTTTGAAATGCCGAGCATGACTTCGATCAAAAAACGAAATATCCCTAGAAATGCTAGCTCCATGGTTACAATACTACCCCGCAAAAGTCTTTCATATTTCTTTCAATTGCTGTTAGAAGCTTGGGATTTTCAAATATGTTCTAGAATCAAAATTGAAAGCAATGCCAGTAGGAGCCTCATAACAAGTTACGCTCTGATAGTTTTCTTTGATGCCTTTGCAATGCTGAATTTCATTGAGCAGTTGCATCCAACCAAATCGCGAACACTGTGACATGAACAATATATATATCAGTATTTGACCATTCTTCGTTATCACGTCAAATATTGGTGACTCAAAGTCTTCAGGATCAAACAGTAGGCTCCTAAAGCCTGGTTCCCACTGGGCGTACCCTGGGAACCAGAGCCACATAAATTCGAGACTATCGCTTTTCTGCTTCTATCTGCTACTTCCTAGCTTTACTTTCCTTGGTTCTCCTTCGCAACAGAAAGTAAAGTCTGCACGCAGGCTACTAATTCCGTCCTCGAATTTATCTGGCTTCACGCTAGCGACGGGGCTTCACTATTTGAATGTTCATCGTAACTTTCGATAATTGTCTAGATAGTTCACAAAAAAATTTTCAAGGCTTTGCATCTGTAAAAAGATTAATTATGGAGCTATAGTCAAGTTTTTCGGCAATTTCATTTTCCATGGACATTGAAACCAGTGAGCTAAGCCTGTTTTGGTCAATGGTAAAGCGAAGATAATATTTTATGAATTTGAGCTTCCTGGACGATATTTCGCCTGATGCAACACTAGAAGGCAAAGTCAGAAATAAACTTAATGCAATGAAAAGATTGGGAAATAAGCGTTTCAAATTCAAATGCTTTAGCTTCTTCACAGATAAAGCTGAACTGAAGGATTTTTTAACTTTGAATTTTAGGGCATCTTCTTTGGCTCTACTAACCGCCAAGAGCCCTAATAACCAGTAAATTCAGTTGTTTAATCAATTCTTCATACTACAGTCCTACTATTATTTCTAGTCACTTGCAGTCTTGGATGCATAAGATAGCAAGAAAAAATGTTAAAATAAAGTTCATGCAAAGCTAAAACTAAGCAAAATCCACTCTTTCGGTGTTCTCAAGAAGAAATCGTTATAAAAACTAGAGATTGACTACATGTTTCTGAAGAGTATATATTTTAGGTGTCTTTTCAAGGGGTACTCATCGAGTGTGAAAAGGAAGCTGTAGTGGGCCAAATTCTCTTTACGGTTGCCTTCACGTGGCTTTTCATAATTTTTCCTTATAGTTTGATCTAATATAGTTACTTCGTCTTGCATCAAAAACATAATATCTATCAATTTTTAGCATTGTTTATTGGCGCCATATTGAATTAAAAAGTATGGTCAGAAACAATTTTTTTTGACATTATGAGATATCGGTTACTTGATTCTCTCAAGTATACACCAATTCGACTTACGGCCTCGTTTAGGAAATTTCTCCGAACTTCCTTATGTACGACCTTTTTATGCTCAGATTTGGCTTTATCATCATCATTGGCTGGATACAATTTTTTTAGATTATTTGTGCTTGTATTGTGGATTTAATGCAGAAATGAGGCTGTAAGTTGAATTGGTGTGTTACGTGTTTCGTCTAATTTGTTTAAGATAAGAATAACTTCGCGAGAAACATGTCTAGCCTCAGGTTAAAAAAATTAAAAAATGAACAATATCTGTTTAGAGATTTGAAGATTTAGAGGAAAGATTTTATCAGCAAATTATTCCTGCAACTTAAATGGTTCACAAAACTGTTGTTTAGTGGTCATAGAAAAATTCATAGTATAAAGATGTGGAACAATTAATGTAGATAAAAACATTTTTATGATGCCATTTGATGTTCTCGTCTATTTTGTTGAGATAATATAACTATTTGCCAAAACTATTTGCGGTATATTCTATGCTATTGGCATTTTTACCAACCGTTCAGTTATTTTGTTATTTCATATTTCATACTGGGAACCATAGTTATTTCATATTTCAAAACCAAAAAATCTAAATAGTTATATTTTCTCTCCGAAAGCTTTGATTATTTCATATTTCAATTTCCCTTTATAGGACCTCTTAACTTCATTGCGGCATTTGGTTGACCTAGGACCCTAAAGTACTAAAATAAAAAAGGCCCTTGACACCATAATGATGTGGGTAGAGCGGAAGAACGCCGTAGTTGGCACAAAAGCGCATTTGACAGTTGATATGTCCTCTTGGTGCGATGATGACAGTCAACTGCGATCAACTATTGTCTTATCGTGGTGAAGACCCTTCTGGTGTTAAAGGTCCTTTTTGATGTTAGTACTTAAGGGTCCTGGGTCTTAGGGTCTTAGGGTCTGGTTTTTACGGTATGCCCAAGTAAATCGTGACTCAAGAATGTTGAGGTATACAATCCTCTTGTATCACGACTTAAACCCTTTGAATAAAGTCACCGCAATATGGACGGAAGCGACGAAGTAATAAAACTAATTGCAAAAAGGGCAGAAGTGTTTGATTTAAGTAATATACACCCAAAAAATAGACAGGAGAGCGTCAGCTAGACCAATCAAGCTAAAATATACCCCTCCCCCCATCATAAGACTTGTGATTTGGGCAAGTGTTTTGTCATGTGCTATTCGTCCTGAATGGAAACTAAACTGCCATCTTTCCAAGTCTTTCAGAATTTTCCTCGGTGTGTTGCGTGCTTCTGCCCAAAAACAAACAAAGCGCATTCCTTCGAAGGTTAAATTGAACAATAGAAGAAGTGATGCAAAGAGACGATGAATATCAAAACTTACAGCTTCGGGCTTCTTTACAGCCCAGTTTACGAACTTTTTTTTCCATGAAAGTGGTAAATTACTGGAGCCGCCAGACCTGTGCCATCTTCATGATTCAACCTCTTTCTAATTCTTGGTGTCTTGGTGTCTAAGTTCGACCCGATAGCCACTAATTTCCGATATTACACCCAGAAGTGGCCCAAGAAATCTTTTAACAGAGGGGTTGGAGCTTCCTGCAGGGGAGCTAAAATGACCAAAATATACCGTTTCTCTTATGTTATTTTATCAAATTTGCTCCGACAATAATCTAAAATTTCCTCCGATGGATGCTAGATGCTTCCGAAGGAGGCACTGTAGCCCCCCCCCTAGCCCTCCCCTGGCGCCACCACTGATTACACCTTTAAAATACAAAACTTGGGTCTATTTTCAAATTTGGGACTTACATTGCAAAACTTTCCAAAAGGCGGGCACTTCCAATTAGTGGACACCTTGCTCTTGCCCCGACAGTGTCCGCTAATTTGAGAGAATTCTGTACAAAATATCGCGTGCGAATTTCAAATTGGAGTTGAAGTGGGAATGGGTCTTTAGGTGACAAATTTTCAGCGTGCAGTGAGGTTCTAAAGGTTCTTGCGCAACCGGTATGCTTAGGAAATTTCTTATGTTTTGTATTTTTATGCAGTACAAAAAGATAAAATAAGAGAACTAGGATAGTCTAACTAAAATCCCTCGATTTACCTCTCTTTTTGCAGCTCAATTCTCGGTGAAACGGGTTCTGTTGTCCGAATGCCAGGTATCCTAATGAACGGCATTGATGAATGAATGCTCATAAGAAATCAGGCATTCCAATTCAAACTTTTGATGTCTATTGACAAACTCTTGCCTGAAAAATATAAGCTCAATCACCTTCAGGTCCACTAAATCATATAAAATCATGTATACAATTATTTTTACAGTTAATGTTGACAATATACATTAATCGATATTCAGCCAAGATTATCAATAAATCGTTTCCCTCTTTTTCAGATGAACAAATTTGAGATAGTCTGGCTGCCTGTCTTATATCTTCTTCTTTTGCTGTGCGAAAATCCTGCTGAAGGTATGTCACAATTGTATGCTTAAAACTCGTTGCAAACGTGCTAGTTTCAAACGAATAACCAGCATTTTAATTACTGTAGCAACACAGTCGTTGAGTAAAAAAGGTTTCCATACCATACAATAACGCCATAGACCCTTAGGCTAGTGGACAGTTTTGCATCTGTGTGATGTCCATAAACTTGTGCAGATAAAACACCGGGAAATATCAAACTTCCCAACATGGTTCGTCAGTTAAATAAAAAAGAAGTATAAGTCCGTGATCTAGCAAGTTTGTCTTTTAAAATTGATTAGCTTAATGCCAAAGCTTTTCCCTTTTATGTCACAAAAATTTTAATTTTTGAGTAATCTAAGGATTTAAACAATCCGTGCAAGGAAAAGGAAAACATTTGAAAATAGCTTACTATTTGGAAAATCAGAAACATAGCTTACTAAAGTGTCTATCTCCCGACACCTAAAGAGTATAAACGTTGGGTAATAGCATTAATGTCACTTAGAAAAGACGCTTGCTTGTTATCACAATAGTTTGAAAAGAATGAAATGAAAAGTAGCGAATTCTGGATTAACTCAATTCTTTTTGTTGCACCTATTTCCTTCAAATAACGTCCAATTCTACCTGTTACTGTGCCAAGTGCACCAATGACTATTGAGATGACCTTGGTAGATACATTCCAATTCTTTTTGATTTCGCTGGCTAGATCTTGGTGTTTTATGATCTTTTCCTGCTCTTTGTTTCTTATATTCACATCTACTATTGTAATTTATGACCTTCTTGCATCTTCTTCGTGATCCGTCTGTACTGTAAAATCTCATAATACTTTGAAGCATTCATTTTTAGCAACGCTCTCAGGTTGATGTTTGTACCACTTGCTACTGATTTCAAATCCCCGCTAACGTAAAATATCTCAATGGACTGCTTTAGCTACGCAGTAGTGTCGGCGCTCGTATTCTTATTGTGCAATATTGGTACATCCACTTACAAAGTAATATATTGTTTCATCTTTTTCATAGCATGTATTGCATTCGGCATCTTCCCTGCTACTATCTATTCTTGCTTTTATGGCATTTGTCCCGAGAGACTGCAACTGTGCAACTATTATCATTACTTCGGTTTCTTTCTTTAATTCTCCCTTCTGAATCCACATCCATAATTCCTTTGTTGCTACATCTTTTGTTTTTCTGAAATGCTGTTCGTGAAGCTCCTTTTTCCAGATACTTTTTTGTTTTTCTTCTTTTCGTCTATTCTAAAAAATTTACGCAATTCCTACCTCTTCTGCTACATTTCCTCTTTCTACAGATATCAGTCTCTCTTTGCATTGCACGAGAGGCGACGTCTTGAGAAGTTACCCTCTTTATTTCAGCTTCACCTTTCTTGATGTTAGTTCGGTTTTCCAGGTTTTCATGCTTTGATCTAACAGACCAACTACATTACGAAACCGACCAAGGCCAAAGTGTCCCCGTATCCATGAGACAGATTGCCCAACACCGGACGCCAACCCGGTATTTCTTGGTCTCTGGGGTGAGCTAACAGGCTCAAGGGTGACCTGGGGGTATTCGTGGCAAAGCGTAGCGTAACCCACGTCGAAACTCCTCAACCCGATGCAGTTTAAAGTCATGCCCAGGAGGATAGTTGTTATTATCATTATTATTCTTATCACAATAAAAGTACCAGCAGTAGCACAAATATACAATATAATATGTATCTATATAGAGACACGCAAAAAGCATTAAAAGCTGTCCAGCAAGAACATAAAGATCGTCTGCAAAACATCCTAATTTTCCAAGGATTTTTATTATCACATACCGTATTTCCTCTAATGAATGCCACCATCTGATAAACGCCGCCCTCTATTGAACGCCGCATCGTGAAAAGCGGCGTTCAATAAAAAAAACACCAAACACGAAGTAAGGAATCGTTTTAACGCTCACTATTCGAATACGATGAAAGTTTTTATCGCATAGAGATGAGGAATCTGACGGAAACAGGGATATTGACATTCCTTGACTTGACTTGACATTCTATTTATCTTTTTTCATCGCATTTTTCAAACTTTTCATTTTGTATTCATCCGTGCAGTCTTTCCAGGCTTAATTTTACTTTTCAGCTAAATCTGTAATACACATCCTTGGTTCTCCGCGAACCTAACTTTATCGACGAGGCACAGCAGTCTCTCTCAAGTACTGTCTATCCTAAACGTAAAGCAACGAAGCCCAGTGCAGTCTTTTATAAACACTGCCTGTCCTGAATAAACCTAAATTACACTATAATATCGACGAGCTACAAGAGTTTTCTCAAGCCTCTTGAGCTGAGCAGTTAAGCCTGGTTTCCACTAGGCGATTATCGCGATAAAGGCGACAACTTCAACAGACTTTTCGCTTTTATCGCGACAATCGTCATAATCGGCCAGTGGAAACATGAAATCTTTATAAATTTAATCGCGATTTTCGCGTTTGTCGTCCTTATCGTGATAATCGTGGCGCGATAATCACGATTAAATCATGTTTCCACTGGACGATTGTCGCGATAAAAGCGAAAAGTCATTTGAATTTGTCGCTTTTATCGCGATAATCGCCCAGTGGAAACCAGGCTTTAGCATCCTTAAGTTGTCATAGCCTAAATTATTACAAGTGCATCTTCGCATATCTCTCTGTATCTGTGCCTGCTCGGGTCTCTATGTACCTCCTTGAAGCTAACTTGCCAACTTACATGTATACGTTAACCTTCATCCTGTTGTTGCCACAGCGGCATCTTATGTAATACAATAGTATCTTCTGTTAATACAATAACGGGAAGTAAGCTAATACATCAATGCAAATAGGCATAATACAACTGTCTAATTATCCGAGAGTGGTTCTTTCCTAACGCGTACATTAACAAAGATGCGATTACATGTGTGGGGCAACATTACAAAGAAATACTGATAAACAACTGTGACTAATACGAGGAAATAGAATGAATGGAATTGGTGAAAGTCTTAACACGAGATTTGCATGGACAGACAAATAGCAGTATTACAGTTTGTAATAAACTCGCGGCATTCTTTAGAGAAAATACGGTATTTTTAACCCGGATCCTCCACAAATAGACAAACTATGTCTATGGTCCAAGGTGCAAAGTAGCGTGCCTCGGGTTTTTTTCAATTGCACCATGGTATCTTAAACAATACCGTTGCCACTTAGAAAAACTTGAAAACATGGAACTTGAGCAAGACCTTTGACTGTTCTTTCTGTTTTCTACCAGAAACCCTCCTTCGCGTTGTTGCAGGCTGCAAAACATATCTAGAATTCTAGCATACTGATCTCCGCCAATTTTGTTTCGATCTCTATGCATAGGAACTTGGTATTCGTTCATAAGAAAGTGGTACGGATCGGACCAGGCACGTAAATACTGGGGGGTGTGGGGGGTGTGACATGGGGGTGTGGGGGGGGGTGTGACACCCCCAATCTTTCATCCAGTCGGAAAATTTGAGGACAGTCGGAAAATTTAAAGCTGTTGGTAGAAATCGGAAAAAACATTTGTGAAAATTGAAGTTTTGACTCAAATGACCTTGTGAACTGTAGCTCAAAGAGAAACATAAGAAAGGTATAAGTTCAAAAGAAAATAGTTGTTTGGTAAAAGGCAATCCTAAAAAGAATGAGAGGCGACGCAATAGAGAAAAAACGAAGTTTTGTACGAAAATGCAAGTATTTTCAACTACATTCGTCGTAATGGGGATAGTGCGATAATCATTCCATCAAATTGCTTAAAAACGGGATACTAACTAGAATTTTTTAAATAATATTCTTTAAATAACAAAAGAGTGCCCCATAAGATAAAAGGCATAAGACTTCGTGAATTGTTTTAGTGCGTTTTTCGAAAGATGGTTCTTTGATCTAATAATTCTATCAACTCGAGCCCCCCCCCCACTTTGAATTTCTTGGCGCCGCCCCTTTGAAAGACTAAACGACCTCATGATTCTTACTTGCGAGAAAGAAATTTTTGGACAACGTAAATTTAGATAAGATAGTGGAACCATGGGCAAGTCCTAGAAGGAGAAAACTTAACACCTGATTTTTGGACTACGTATGTTTTAATGCACTAATTAAACTAACAGTCTTTATGCTCGATCTTCTAAATTTACGAAATCTAGAAACTTTATTATACAGCTGAATAATTATTTACGAGACAATTTATAAGGTTTCGTTGGTAAAAAACTATTAAATTTTAGGCCCTCATACAAAATTAGAATTGACCTTTGTCAGTCGGAAATTTTGAGCCCTTCACCCCCCTAAAAATATTTGCCAATTTACGTCCCTGGATCGGACCTTCCGTTCACACGGGAACGCTCGAGATCGATCCGCTATCCGTGTTGATTTCAGCTCGCTTTTGAGAGCACTCCACGTTTTGATCCCAGCTCGTATAAACGTTCGCAATATGTGGGATCGATCCCAAATCGGCACGGATGGGAAACGAGGCTAATGAATTCTCCAATTTGAGGTGCTTTGGGCACGGGGCTTCGACCTTTGGTCAGGTCTTGCTCGCCCTCTTCGCCCATATGATGGAATCTACAAACTTCAATTGATATCAGTAACAATTTTTCTATTATTTCACGAGTTTATAGATAAATTTAGCGAACAGGCTCCGACCTGTGTTTTTATTCCAGCGTGATATTAAGGAGTAGGGTCCATTTTATTCAGCGCTTCAAATAAAGATGTTGTTGTTTGAAGCCATTTTCTTCTCAGCCTTCCTATAAATTTGGCAGTATTCTCTTTTTCTTGCTAAAAACATAAGCAAAACCACGCGCCTCCCTCTCAAAAGGGCCTGGATCCCAAACTGGATCCAATGGATTGATCCCGTTCCTCCACTGTAAACGGGGTCTAAGAGTCTGACTTTGTCTCCTTTTGATAAGATTGATGTTTTGCGGAAAACTGGGGGGCCGTGGTCCCAAGACCCCCCTTCGTCAGACACCCTTTACAGATAGAGGAATATGTAAATTCCACTGTTTGTGAAGTCTGCACGCAGGC